TTTTTTTTTTTTACACCTCCACACATTTTTTACATCGTTGTTTTATCAATTTGTGGTTGTTTTTTGTGTGTTCCTCTATTTTTTTTTTTTTTTTTTTTTTTTTTTTTTTTTATTCCCCCCCCCCCCCCCCCCCCCCCCCAAAAACTGTACTATTAAAAAATAGTTCCGCTTAGCGCTGCCAAAACTAACATCTAAAAGGGCATATGCTCTGCAGCGTGGTCGACCCCTGACGCTTCAGGCGACTATCAATCTTCCCACTATGACTGATGATCCAACGGATCCCCTGGCGCATCAGTTGAATGGATACCTATTACTGGTCAACCTCTTTAGGCCGTTCGATGATATGCTGGTTACCGTCTGGAACAAGACTCGTAGCGAGTCAACACCATCATACCTTAGCGCTTTACAGAAGCAGTTCTCGGACATGATTCCGCCTTATATGAATGTCCAGGATTCCGATTTACGGGCAAACCAGCAATGGCTCAAGACGATTACGTGGCATTTGAACATGCAGAACGGCTGCGTCCCCCAAGGTAGCCAGGATCAGATGCAATTGCAATACCCTATCGACATGTCACGAGACTTGATGTCAATGACATCTCAATTCCAAACTCAGAGCACCGAATTACTAGGAACCCCTCTCGTTGCGAAATTACTGGAAATTTCATCCGCTTTGATCGATGTTCTATCAATCCTGCCTTCATCTGGAGATCCTTTCAGCATGGGTCCTCGTGAACAGCTGAACTCGCTTTTGCAGCTTTTATCGGTTCTTCGAAACGGAGATCACCATTTCCTTCCCCTTTTGTTGAACAAAGTCCACGACGTCCTGCCTCGCTTGGCCAACCCCATTCTTCAGCGCGCCCCGGAAAATGCTTGCATGCAAAATATCGACATATTCGATGGATTCGGCAATGCCGGCATGGCCCAGCCTCCGATGATGACTGAATTCAAGACCGAGCCGTATACCCCGGGTAGCATGCAGCACATCCAGGATATTGGAACAGACTCGGCTCACTCTAGCAATGGTGATGATATGAAGTCGCCTTTCCCTATTGTCAGTTCACCGCCCGTTATGTCTCCAGGCGTGGATTACAACAGCAACGAGTTCAATTCAATCCCCGAGATCATGAGCCCGATAGGACCACCTTCGCAACAGTCATTCCATCAACAAACGCCGATGAATCCGCAACAACCTCATCTCCAGCATCAGCACCAGCATCATGGATTATCACACGGCATGACCCAGAATCACAGCATGGGCACGATGCAAACAGATTTACATGCAAACCTAAACCACGGCTTAAATCCGCAAGCGAATATGTCAGGGATGAGCCAACAACAGAGCTTACCTCAAAATCCGCCATTTAGTATGATGAATAACATGCTACACCGGCAACCCCAAAGAGCGAACAGTTTCATGATACATCCCCAGCATCAGCACCAACCGTCGCAAATACCAAGAACGGTGGGCGACTTCCACGCGCTACAGCGAGCGAATTCAGAAAGCGTCTCAATGAACTCCATGGGTCTTGGACACATCAATCCAGAGGTAGACTTTAGCGGATTAAGGTAGCAGTGTCAGAACGTTTCCTCCGCGTAAACACCAACCTATCTACCTACCCCCTTTTGGACTCGAATTGAGTCCGAACTCTCAAGTCTTTATTATCTCGTCATTGCTACTTTTTGTCCACACGCGGACCTCGGGTTTCTTCTGTATATTACTGGAAGAATACCCCCCTCAACATATTCTCAAACCCCGCGTGGTTCGCGAGTCATGCCGTTGCTTACATACGAGGCGAGAAAGCATCACGTCTCATCCACTTTGAACGACCAAAAAATCGCTTGGATTTCAATTATGGAGCATAAAAAAACCACCATCTACGTTGGTAACTTTAGGATATCAACCGGGACATTTTGAGAGTCTTTTTTTTTCGAATTCCTTTTTGTGCTTTATTTTATTTTATTTTTTTCGTCTTTATTTTTTTAAGGAAAGGGGGAGTTTATGAAAGGCGTAACGGGGAAATTCAGCCGGTGTCTATGGAGAAAGAAGCACCGCGTGTATTATCAACATGCCGAGAAACCACGCACACACCAGCCTTATCTACCTCCTATGGATGGACAGAGAGAGAGGGAGAGAGAGAGAGAGGGGGGGAGGGGGAGAGGGGGAGAGAGGCGAGTGCAACTGTAACGAGAGAGGGGGATGAACGCAAGTGACGACGACCAAGAAACCAGGAAGCAAAGGGTGCTATCAAGTATAAGATGGGGCTGCGTCCCAATTTACAGTATTAGCTGGAAAGCTCCGAGAGCGAATGAATGGGTTGTTGGAGGGGCATGGAATGGTGTACAGGTATCACCGTGTTAGGTAGACTCATAGTCCAAGAAATACAGTAAAATAATTAATATTGGAGAGTGTCTTTTTATTGACCTGTGCGAATGATGAATGATGTTGTTCAGTGAAGGTAGGATTCCGGTTGGTAGATGGTTTGATAGGTGTAAGTGACTTGTAAGTGGGTTTGTGGACGAATTAAGTACCATAGAACCTTAACCACACTGTCTCTTTTAACGGAAACCACCCGCAAATTGCAAGGTGTAGGTACCACGAACTCCACATTTCTTTAATTCGCGACGCGCTGGACGTAGGCGTAGGTAACTGCAAGGGAAGCGCGTCAAGCGGGGGAATTACCCCAGGTATGATTCTGGCACTTCTGGCACTTGACCAACTTTACTTGGTCCACAACCTGCAGGAAGGAAGAAGTTATCACTGACTTCCAAGGTTACATGCATTGTATACATGTACTTCTTATATACCTAACCTATGAAGTTTAACTTCGGCACCTGCATAAGGTAAAACATGTCTAATAATAATGAAGATATGAATTGCTAACTGCTACCTGAATATCTATTTCAACTATTCAGAACCAATCTTATTAAGCGATGATGCAGTGTCAAACCCTGACAATCCCGCTGACGAGGCGCCTCAATTACTCCCCTTTCGCAACCTCAATCGTGGTCCCAAGCACAATCGCAACAACCACAGCAGCCTCAACTATGGCCTAACCCGCAGCTACCCCTATCTGAATCTCAGCTGTCGCCTTGGGTCCTACCAAATTTTCATGAGACGGCATACGTAAACCACCAGTTTTCTCCGTCGGTCTACTCACCCCTTCCGCAATACCCTTATCCTGACGAGACCTGCCTTCAAGCAACCTCGTTTCCAACCTCATTTCCAACCCCGCAGCACCCTTCAGTTGGTCCCTCTCCACAGTCAGGTCCAAAGCCTGTCGAGTCTCGGGATAACAAAGTTGTTCAGCCAGCTCCAAAGCGAGCCAGACGCCAACAAAAGCTTTGCTCAGAGGTGATTAGCTTACTCAGTGATGATGATGATGATGACGAAACTCCACGTCTAAAGAGTGTATCTTCTAAGAAGAGATGTTACACGCCCTCTACACGGCGAGCTCCACCTAACGGTCCGCCACCTCCGCTAGATTTGATTTCTAGTTCCACAGCTATGGAAAAGTATGGCTTTCGCGACTTTCGACGGCCCATAGGCTTGTCTCGTCAATCAGGCATGTCTTCTCAGACGGGAGAGCCTACATCATCTCCAATTTTTCTTTCTTCGCCTTCGTCAAGTATAAAACCTAGTCATCACGTACCCGTGGTCGATGATTGGGATATGTCGAGCCAGATATCAGCATCTCCATCTTCTTCGCCAGTGCCGCCAAGTAAGCAAATGGCAGCAGATCCTGTTCAGGTCGAGGAACCTCCGCTGTGCCCGGAACAAGCACGCTTGGTAGAGTTAATTGCAAGCGGGGAAAACGTGTTCTACACCGGCTCAGCTGGTTGCGGTAAGTCAACGGTGCTCAAAGCATTTACGAAGCGTCTTCAACAGATGGGCAAAAATGTCCGCATTATTGCACCAACTGGCCGGGCCGCATTGCAAGTAAATGGATCCACCACTTGGACCTACGCAGGCTGGACTCCGGATCATCATAAGCGCTCGTTGGATGAGTTGAAAGCAGCCGCCCACGGCCGATTCGCGTGGAAGCGATTCAAGGAAACCGACGTCCTTGTTATCGATGAGATTAGCATGGTAGAAAACCTGCATTTTGAGAGGCTGAACGAGGTCATGAAAGAAGCGCGGAATAATCCCAACTTGTCTACTCAACCCGCGTTCGGAGGAGTTCAGATAGTGGTAACAGGAGACTTTTGCCAACTTCCCCCCGTGAAGCCTTTCCAACACTGTATCACGTGCGGATTTGGCCTGGTTGAGAAAATGACGGTTAATGGAAAGGTCCACGTCTGTAAGCGACATGGCGAATATCGTGACGAAGATAAGTGGGCATTTCGGAGCAAAGCTTGGGCAGAATGCGATTTCGTTCACGTCCACCTTAATACCATCCACCGACAGAGCGACAAGACCTTTATTCGAATATTGCAGAAGTGTAGGATCGGACAACGACTCAGTCCTGAGGATACGGATCTCCTGATGAACCATGAATGCATGGTACACCATGCTACCAGACTGTTCGCTACCCGGAAAGAGGTTGCTAATGTTAATAAGCGCGACTTCGAGAAGCTGAAAACCATAAATCATATCTATTGGTGCTTCGACCACTTCGTGTGGCAGCAAGCCGTCCATCCGCATCTAGGCTGGAAAGGAATGAGGAAATCGAATGGAGTCCAACCCGAAGGTCCGTTACGCGCTCTTGATGATCACCGTTTCGACAAATGTGTGCAGCTCAAGAAGGGTATGTTGGTGGTCTTGCTCGTCAACCTAGACCTAGAGGCGGGCTTGTGCAACGGTAGCCAGGGCATAATCTGCGGTTTCGAGAAGTACGACCCCAAGAAGCTCCCGCAGGCCAAGATATTCGGCGAACACGCGGTGATGAAGGAAGGCCAGATCAAAAATTTCATAGAGAGCCCCGGCGCCAAGTACAAGACGTGGCCGATAGTCCGATTCCACAACGGCCAGGTCCGCACCATCTACGCCAACTGCTCCATCACGGAGCTCGGCGACGAGAGGCCCTACAGCTTGCTCATGCGCACGCAGATCCCCCTAGCCCCAGCTTGGGCGATGACCATCCACAAGAGTCAGTCGTTGACGCTCGATCGCGTCATCGTCAACTTATCGAAGGCGTTTGAAGAGGGGCAGGTGTACGTGGCTCTGTCGCGTGCTACCAGGCTGCACGGACTTAAAATCGAGGGTGACGCGAAGGGGCTGTTGGCCGGGTTAGGCGGGAATCCGGAAGTGCAGGAGTTCCTCCGTGAGAAACTTGGCGATTTGGATGGCGTTTTGAGCTCTTGATTCGCGGCGGGAAGAAAGGGTACGCAACAACTGATCAAACGGGAAAGTTAGGAGGAGTTATTAGTAGGTATTCTTGTGAATCCGTCTTCGGCACACAGGACAGTCTGGATAGGACGAGGCAGGACTAGAACCCGGCTAGAATTAGGGGATAAATGGTTTTTGCCGAGCTGGCTCTGTTGGAATAGATGTAGATACCTGGGTATATGAGGTGCAGATTAGGGTGCTTGTTTTTATTGTAATTGCAAGCTAGTAATGATGCCTTGGCTCGGTTCACTCATTGTAGGGTTGAGTTCATGGGAGGCTCATGCGAGACTTTCAGGGATAGACAATGGAGGAGGGTCTTTGCTATGGACCCTCCTAACAATGTCCTTGTAGATTTGTTTTTGTTGTTTTTATACGGGGTGTATGTGTGCCTAGAAAGTGCGCTTCTCCAGTCTTTAGACCACGTTGCATCCGCAAACAAGCTGTAAAAAGCTGTAATCTGTTGCTGGAGGTTGTTTAGGACAGTGGCATAGGAGCCAACATTGTGCATAGGATGCCATATTCGGAAGGCTCTTGTTCACTGATTGGTCTGTTAGACGGTGAGTAGGGGCCGGGGCAGCGCCCCCCCCACTAGGTACGCTAAGAAAGAAAAGAATATTACCGGCGTTGGGGTTACCAGACAGCCAGATAAGCACGTGTTAAGAAACTGTTATATTTATAACCGTGCCGACCTAATATATACGAGACGAGTATGGGTTGGGGAATTAAATATGTCCGTTTTACCGGTAGTCGAGGAGAAAGACCGGATCTGCAGGAGTGGTTAGCCCATCCGGGGAATTGGAGGAGTGTGTTATGATAAATCCGAGAACGTTACATGTATATGCAAGCTTTCGCGCCCTTCAGACATTCACCCCTCGTTTGTATAAGAAGTCTGCGGTATAACTTACCTACCTTACAAACGGCCTCAAATGCTACGCTTATTCTAGTCTAGAAGTTAACGACGTTGGCTTAGAAGATTTCCAAATAAGCATAGGAGGTACGTTAGTTATCCATAGCATCGGGCTACACTCTATATAAAACTTAAACAGAAAGAATTGAGGCTACGAGTAAGATATCATGGAGTGGTCGATATCGAACTATTCGAGCTATAGGTTAGGTACCTACATAGGAGGTACCTAGGGTATTTTATAAGAAACCGCACAGACGAAAGGCCATTGTCACATGTCTGAAGCTTTTGTTGATGTCGGTGTTGGAGATGCTGTACGCAGATACCTAGGTACCTAGCTAACCTTATAATAACCACAAAATCCGGGGTTTTTAATAATATCCGCAGATAGTAAGTCGATGATAACCTCTCTCGGGACTGCCGGGAATTACCGAGAACTAATTCTCAAAGCGCGATGCAACTCACTGTCTGAGATGTGAAAAGCGTGGCGTGGCATGGCAGATTATCAGGATTGTGTCCAGAATATATCTAATTTAGAATCCCATGATCTAGACTACTTACCTTACCTAGCCATCTGGAGATGTAATGCTATGTTACCTACCAAGGTATGTATGCTGGGGGTCGAACCCGATTGCGGCCAAAGGGGAAATCACGTTAAGCTGCGGGCGGCTCTCCTCCGAGTCTTAATATATCTTTGAATATCAGGGACGCTGATGCACCATGACGATCATACATCCTGGCTCTTGCGCCATAACTTAGGTACCTAAGGTGCTTACGATTATGACCTATTATCGCGTCCCTTTTTCTTGTGCTTTGCTTTGCTCTCCGAATTAAGCTTTGCCAATCGCCCTTAAGCCGCTGGCGATCTCCCTTGGATCCCTGGGCAAATCATCCGGGAGGGTCTCTGCCCTTAGTCATTTTCCGCCCAAGGGGTTAGACAGACACATGAGATATTACATACATGTCTCGGCTTGCTCGCCGCATATCATCTGGTCGGATCCCAGTGTCCCAAAGCTTATAACTACCTAGGTAACTAATCTCTTTTCGTGGCCGAAGGCGAATACAGACAAAATCATCCTATCGGCAATGTCTAGAATCATTTCTGAGCGCTGCTGCTGAGATCTCGACGTGGCCAAATTTGCCCAGAGAGATAGGGCGCGTCATTCAAGCCGGATTGCGGTCGTAGGCGTGCGGATCAGATATCGGTAGGACGGCGCCCTAGCCGGCGGCGCATCGAAAATATCGAGGATGATAACGCCGATCCCGCTGCTGGTCCTATCTATAGTAGGCATCGCGGCAGCATTGGCGTTACCAGCGTCGTCGCCCCTGCAAGCCCGCCAATCGTGGACTGTGGGATACTGGGCGCACGAGCTGACGGACTTCGGGTGCAAGCCCATCATATTCATATGGGCGAAAGCTACCATCGAACCGGGGAATATGGTATAACAACCTAACCTAACCTAACCTCCCTGACTTCATTCATCTTTATCGCCGCAAATGGATCCAGGAAAAAGCGCACATCGCTAATATGAGACTTCCAGGGCAACACGGTTGGTCCGCGGCTGTCCGACGGGCTTAAAGCTCTCTTCGGGCCCGCCAACGTGGCCACCCAGGGCGTGGACTACTGGGGATTCATAGAAACGAATTTCTACCCCGGCGGGGCGCCGCCCTGGGGAATCTTCGACATGCAGCTGCTTGTGAATGCGGCGGCGACTTGTCCGGACTCGAAGATCGTGATCGCAGGGTACAGGTAAGGCAAAACCTTCCTTTTTTTTTTTTTTTTGGCTCGGTATATTATATATATTAGGTCTAGGTATATATATGTCCGAGACACAAGACCAGGTCAGGTTACCTAGGTAGTAAACTAACAGCCCGATAATAAATAGCCAAGGAGCAGCCCTCACGCACCGGGCGGTCGAAGGCCTCAGCCCCGCGGCGAAAGACCGGATCGTGGGCGTGGTGACGTTCGGGGACACGCAGGCGCTGCAGGACGGGGGGCGGATCCGGGACTTCGACACGAACCGGACGCTCATCATCTGCAACGCGGGCGACCTCGTGTGCACCGGCACGCTGTACGTCTTCCCCGTGCACTTCGACTACGTCAAGTGGGTGCCGACCGCGGCCTACTTCCTCGCCGGCAAGCTGCTGGCCGACGCCCTGCTGCGCCCTTGGCCCAACGGGAGCTTCGTGTTTCCCAACGTGACCGTCCCGCCTTCGCTCCCGCCTGTTCCGCCGCCGCCCCAGCCGTCGGCTGCGGTTCCGATGTCGTTGCCGCCGCTGCCAACGCCGAATGGGAGAGGGAGCGGGGATACAAATGACTAGCTTATCTAGTGTTATTGTTGTGGTGGATGTGCCGTAACCTTAGGTGCCTACGTGGGTAGTTGATGATATCGTACGCAAAGCCTACCAGGTTATTGAGATGGAGGACACTGGCTCTCGCGGTGCACTGCAACACTCTATCCTCGACGCATAGAACACTAGAGGCGCATAACTGGGTAGAGTAGTCACTAGAAGAGGCGGCGAACAGGGCTTTTCGCATGTGGTATTTATTATTCATAGCGTTTGATGGGATTTACCTTAAGCATGAAGACTTAGAACCAAACCATTACGAAGAACATGAATATTTCTTAGTAACGATTGTTTAACTTCCTGCCTAGGTACCTATGTAGATACCTAACGTATAAACTATTTCTAATCATAGAGGTAGGTAGCTTGAAGAGGCGATTCCGTACCTACCTGATAATGAGACAAACCGTTTAGTCGTTTAGTTCATATTTCGCTAAGAGCAAGACTGTTCTGCGACAGTTATCATAGGTTAGGTAGGTATCTAGATAAGTAGTTTAGCACTTCCTTCTCCCATCACCATTTCACACCACCACCACAACCCGCAACTCCCCCCATGGGCCCTTTCCCAGAGTCCCTTACCTCCCCCAAAGCCATACCAAGGCCCCCGCCATTCAAAGCCGTAGCCAAAGTTTCCCAGTGCTCCTCTGCGTCCAGTTTCAGTCACGGGCATCTAGACTCCCTAGTCGATATAGCACGACGCCCTCCTAATTACCTAGGTACTCGACGGGACGATGATCAACGGAGTAAGGGAGACCGCCAAGAGCACCTAGCCTACATAGCTTGTTTCTCTTCGGCACTTCTCGAGCCAGCGGCAAGGGAAGGATATATAGAGGTAGGTAACGGTAGCAGGTAGCAGGTAGCAGTAGGTGAGAGCGTTGCAATCTGGCGTTGATGCCATATCTGTGCGCGGTGAGGTGATAGATACCCTATCCTCCCCTATCTAGGTAGGTACCTATCTATCTGTCTTATCCCTTGCCAAGCCGAATTTGGTACGCGTGGGTTGGATCCGGGGTACGATAGTCGTGGAATTATTGGAGAAATAGATTCTTGGTTCTGGGTTGGTGGATTATTGATTAGAATTAAACAACTTGAAGGAGTAGGTGTTGAGCTAACTTAGGACGGGGATTGTATCATGTCATGCACATAGTCTTCGCTCTAGAGAAGTTGCAAGTTGCGTATCAATAGTGCCTCGAAATTGAGGCACATCAAGAGTTAAGAAGAAAGCTACTACTGTCTATTGACATCCTTAAAGGCACACTAAAGACTTGAAGAGACGCAACGCAACAATGAGTACCTAAGCTAGGTACCTTAGGCAGGTAGTACATGCCCTACGCATGTTAAGACATCGTAAGAATACACCGTTCTCATCACGACTATTAACGGCTAGAAACTGCTCACAAAGCACACCCTCACAAGACGACGACGATAAAAATTACAGCCATAACATTCAATATACCACTAATTGAACCTGGCCCGCCCGTTCCATATCCACAACACGGGCGCCTTTAAACACATCGATCCTCTTCTCTCTAACTATATGAACCAACAACTTAAAATACCATGGGTGTAGGTTATGCACCTAACTTATAAAAAAAGAGAAAACATAAAAAGAACCACAACATCATCATCTCATTGAATTTACCTTAAACCCTATAACGCCCTGAATCGAATCGAAACGAAACGCCTTATTCGCTCTCCCCTTTCGCCTGGCATTGGAAACAAGGAAAACCACCACCAACCAACAAGTATTGTGTGCATGTTTGTGCATACTCCTCGCAAACGAACTTTCCCCGCCCGCATCTTCTCTTAGCTTTTGTCTTAGCTTTATGGTCGAGAGAGAGAGAGAGAGAGAGAGAGAGAGAGAGAGAGAGAGAGAGGAGAAAATTATGCTACAAGAAAAACCCGGATATTTTCTTTTTTATATTCTCGACAGCAAGAACATTACTTCTTGCTCTTAGCAGCTCCTCCGTTGCCGCCCATCTTGACTTTTTGGGCCTAATCAAAACAGTTAGCCGAGCTCTCTACGAAAAGATTTGTACGTTGGATGTATGTTTGGGGGGGGTGGTATCACTTACGTCTTTAGCAAATTCCAAGCTCCTTATAGTTTCGTTCTCGTTCTCCTTGAGCGGGCTCACCATGACGAACATTAGCGTCCGGCAGCCCTTACCGAGCGACGGCCGCAGCAACTGGGTCAGCGTGTAGGACCGGAAGTCCACGCCCTCCGTCTTGCCTTGGCCCAGGCGGGATAGCACTGTCCGGAGGTAGCTCAGCGACGAGTTGATCTCGACACCTTCCTTGTAGATCTGCTCGCCGCGCGCCTTGTCGGGGGACTCGGAACCTGCCAAGTCGATCAAGTTCAAGGTGCCCTTCCGGGTTTTGATGATTTCCCCGTCCTCGTTCTTCTTGACCCCACGGATCTTCAAGACAAGAATAGAGTGCGAACGCGAAGACCGGTCGTTCATTGCGGTTGCGGCTGTGTGGCGGTTGTTGTCTGCTATCCTGACCATTTCGTCAAGGTCCTTTTCTTCCTTCAGGAGTGTGAACGAATGGCCCTTTATATTTAATTCTTCGCTGATGGGATCAACCATGAGTGGTTCTGGCTTCGCACTGCGAGATGCGAGCAGGTCGTACAGCTTGTCTTGGTAGACTTCCAAGTAGCTACCCTCGACTGTATATTCCCAGCCGAGGACCTTCAGTCTGTCAACCTCACCGAAGATCATTTCTTGTGTTCTGGGGATGATGCCATCCTCCTTTCGGCTCATCGTGTACGTCTTGCCTGACCCTGTTTGGCCGTAGCAGAAGATACAGACCTTCTTACCATCCATGACGGATTGAACGAGTTGACTAATCTCGTCGAACACATCTTTATTGGTGCAGCTGTCGTCGAAGACTCGCTCGAAGCTGAATTCTTTCGGTTCTCCGGGAATCATCTTGCCGGGCATTCTGAAGTCTTCTCGCTCGGTCGGTATGGTTAGGCCGTCGATTTTATCCTCGTCGAGCTCGCTCGCTCGTGTGTTAAATTTGATAAGAGCATCACTTGATTTGTCTGCTGGAGGCTTGATTCGACACATGACACGGATGTTGCCCTTGAGCTCTTGTACTTGCTCAAAGAGCTTGTGCCGCCTCTCCTCTTCCTTGATGAGCTTGTCTCGCAATGCCTTGGTCTCCTCGTCGATCTTCTTTTGGGCTGCTAGCTCGATCTCCTGAAGTCTACGCTCGCATTCCAACTGAACGGCTTTATTCAGTTCTTCGAGACTCTGGATTTTCTCTGAACTGATGTCAAGCTTCTGGCTCAGAAGGCTGATTTGTCCACCTAGGTGGCCTTTGTCTTTGGAAAGGCTTTCCTCAGCATCCTCGGCACGTTTTCTGAGTCGATCAATCGTCTTGAGATTTTCGTCGATGTGAGCCTGTAGTGCCCGCTGCTCCTCTTCTGATCTTCTCAAGCTGTCTTCGAAATCTCGGATCCGAATAGACTGCCTATCAAGGTCTATGTTGAGCAAGCGCATCTCGTGCTCATGATCTCGCTTCTGTCGTTCGAGAGCACTCCGAAGCTCCTTATTTTCACTAGACAGGTTGTCTAACCTGGCCTCTGCTTCAGCGCCGCATTTTTCCTCGAATTCTTGCTGAAGCTTGGCGACTTTGTCCATTTCGCGTTCATAGTCGTCGATCTTGGTTCTCATCTTTCTTTCGTAATCTGCTTTTATATCTTCGCAGTATCTGTCATGGCGTTTCTGCTGATCCTGGATATCGATGCCGAGGTTACGAACTTGGCGCTCTGCGTCTGCTAGCTTATCCATGAGTCTTGCCCTCTCCGTTTGCAGTTCGTTCCGTTGGTCTTCTAGGTTCGCCACTGCTACGTCTTAGCAAACCATTCGAATGTGACTGTGGCATATTGCATCAGTGACCTACCTCTCTTCTTTGCGATTTCAAGCTCTTCCTTAACACTGTAGTTGCTCTTCTCGGTAGCATTCATGAACTCTTTCAGCTGTTGAAATTCGCTGTCCATTTTGCCGAGCTTTTCTTCGATCTCGGATACTACATACCCGGTCAGGTTAGAATATTTAGACAAATAAGGCCCCTTTTTAGGTGATGGTGTTGTGCTGGCCATTGGAGTTCTTTTGAAATCATTCCAAACAGTTTCTAATCGATCAATGGCTTTTCTAACCGGTGTTGTAGGGACTACTAAGTCCAACTGAGCTTCTTCACCTTGTGCTTGATACAGCTCTTTGGCATCTCGCCTTTTGCGTCTAGGGGTTATCTGAGGGAGCAAGGTTATAGGTGGAGGAGGCATGGATGATTCGGAGCTCGCTTGATTTCCTTGTAAATGTGTCTTCTGTTTGTCGAGTGATAGTGATTGGAATCTTTCAGATAGAGAGACTTCTCTATCTTGGCAAATTGACTCTTCGTAATAGGTTTCCCCTAAATCTTCAAAAGATTGGGCCTTCGAGAGCTTCTTCTTGCTGGATATTTTGCTGTAACTGGGCTTTGCGCGAATATGCACTGTATGGGGCATCGTACCATTCTTGTTGTTGCTGCCCAGTCCCTCCTCACGTGTACCTATCGAAGTTGCAGGCCGTGCAGGTTTTACGGCCGATCGTGTTCGCGCATGAGAGTACTGCGATCTGGAAGAGGGGCGATTTCCGGAGCCGATGCTAGTAGCATAGCCGCTTGTACTGGAGGAATAGCTGCTGTTCGAAGTGTGACGGGATATCGATGCTCCGTTGAAGCTCGTGTGATTAGATCTAGGCTGCTCCTCAGCCGAATTAGCATAATAGTTAGGAAGCGTTACGATAAAACGCAATCGAGGACGTAAAACCATGATTAATATCGGTAGAGTTCATAGGGAGAGTGTCTGGCGAATAGGGTCATAAAAAGGGGGGGTTCTCCCGCATTTTAACTATTTCATATATCTATTCGGGAACATTCTAATATCTCGAATTTGATGTGTATGTGGTAATCTAGAACATATGTATCATGGAACAAAGGCAGAACGTTGGTTTCATGCGACATTTGGAATAGAATCGAGGACTTAAGAACCACAATCGAAAGGACATGTAACTCACCGCGTCTTTCAGAGCCATACCCCTCAAGCTCTGCGTAGGTTGGTATGTTGTGGTGGTAGTGGTAGACGAGCCAAACTGTTCCGCCCTTTTGGACAGAGGCACCCTTTTGGCGTCAGACTGTACGGCTGCATTTTGTTTTTGTGAGTATACGCGATCAGGGTGTTGGACAAACGGGTCGCTCGAACCTGGAGCCGGTACGCTGCGCTTCAGCCCGTGTGCCGCGGGAATCGACGATGACGGTTGCGACCGAACATTACTCTGGGAGCTAGTCATCTCGTGCAAGCCGCTGATGCCAGAAATAGATGAGGACGGAGGTCTGGGTATTCCCGTTGATATTTTCGATGGTTTCTGAATACCGCTCGCCCTAAATTGCTGTTGACGATTGTTAGTCGACTCCTATTTCAGGTACCTATTTTATTCTTGCACAAAGAGTACCTAATACTAGATAGACCTAGTCGACTTTAAGGAATAATAGAGAGTAGATCGAAATTACTTACCACGCTCCCTGCCTCCATAGTTGGTTGGCGTTGTGTTCCTCGAAGCTCAAAGCTCAAAGCCCAAAGCAAATCAAAAACTGAATGCAAATTAAATAACAAAAGCAATTAAGCTTCGAAAAGGGACATGCGCCAATTCGAGCTCGAGGGTGAGGAGTCGACGTTAAAATAGTATTGAAATGTATAAGAATTGGGTTTGAAAGGGTAGACTTGTTTTTCCATTAAACGAAGTGGGTAGCGTTTAATGGCGTTCAGATTGTACGTCGGCAGGATAAAGCTTTTGAGTTGTGCAAATATTGGCTTATGCAAGACCCGCCTTGTTGATTGCTTGGCGAAGTTGTCCGGGTAACGAAAATAATTGAGTTAGGTACCGATATACGGAATACAGTTAGCTTAGCTCCGTTGTTTTGTGGAGCTGAAACGGATGCAACGGGCTGCCCGGGCTGCAAAGGGCTGAACTGGCATCAGCTCAAACTTGGTCCGAGCTTTACTGAGCTCTTGCTGAATCTTCACATGCCAAACACCAAAAGAATGCCAGCCCTTGACTTGACGCCATTAAATCGTCTTCTTGATTCCATATCCTCTTTTATCTTACGGACCCCAAATTCTCGTTATACTAATTTTCTTAACCCTTACCTTAGGTACCTACCTAACGCAGGCACATATCAGTCATCTTTTGCGTTGGCCCTCCATACCGTCTTATTATATTCGGTGTTTTCTTCTTGATGTCTCGGTAGCCTCGAAAGGTACCCAAGATCGGGACAGGTTTATCTATCTACTATAGCTACCTCATACCTACCTAGATACCCACGTAACCTAGGTCCCTAGCTTAGTTATTTTACCACAGCTCTACGAGACGAGATGGAGAAATACAGCCAGTTCCGCGACCGCGGTAAGCTTTAATCTACCATAGTATTTTTCTTTTCTTTTCTTTTTTTTTCTCTCTCGTTGAAGTAAGTGATCATGTGTATACAACATGTAGTTTGCTAATATCACTCATGAAAAGGGTCTGGCATCTCGCCCTTCATCCCTTCTTCGACACCCAGTTCGACCCTCTCCTCGCTCGTACACGTAGCTCTTTTCCTCTTCCGACTCCCGCTCTTCCTGTCGTACAGCGCGTTGTTCTTCCTCTTCCTCGACAATTTCCCTTCGTTCCTCATCCCCCAGGTCCTTCGTAAGCTGCTGCTGTGGACGTTCCTCGGCATCCCGGGGATCTGGTGGGTGGACCTGCAGCTGGACGGCGTCAAGCGCGGCTCGCTGTCGCAGCAGCCGAGCTCTCGCTTCCCGGGGAATACGAACCGCTCCATCATCGCCGCGCAGTTCACGAGCCCCATCGACGCCCTCTACCTCGCCGCCATCTTCGACCCCGTATTCACCGTCTCGTTCCCGGGCACCCGTAAGGTCCAGCGCGTTTCGCTCCTGCGCGCCATCCTGCTCGCCCTCTCCCCGCCCACCCTGTCCCCGCCACCCCCCCAGAACTTGACCACCCTGCGCGCGCTCGTAGACCAGTACCCGCACCGGGTCATCGCCGTGTTCCCGGAGATGAGCACCACCAACGGCAAGGGCATCCTGCCGTTCTCCCCGTCCCTCCTCTCCGCGCCCGCCGACGCCAAGATCTTCCCCATCAGCATCCGGTACACGCCCCCGGACATCACCACCCCGATCCCCGGCGCCTACGTCTCCTTCCTGTGGAAGCTCCTCAGCCGTCCCACGCATCTCATCCGCGTGCGCATCGCCGAGTCCGTAAGCAACTACTCCGCGGCCGCGCCTCCTAGCGACGACGGTCCGGCCCGCGGATTCGACCCGCGGGATAGGCCCGGCGACGAGGACGTGGATGGCGATCCCCTCGCGCCCGACGAGCGCGCGCTGCTCGACAAAGTGGCCGACGACCTGGCGAGGCTCGCGCGGAACAAGAGGGTCGGCCTGACGCTGCGGGATAAGGCGGCGTTTGTCTCGGCCTGGAACAAGGGCAAAAGATGAGTATTGTTTGCTTGCTGGCAGGTTATATCCCACGTCATCGTTACGCATTTCGGATGGAGCGTTAGCATTGCATTGCATTACTACTAGTACTATTTTATTTACCTTATGACCTATCTTCTCCCCCTCCCCCCCTTTCCCCCAACGTGGTTTGGTTGGTTTGCCTGTTCGAACGGGAGAGCCGAGAGCGGGGGTAAAAAAAAAACAGGCGAAACAAACGCGGCGAAGTACTCGAAGTACTTCCAGGAGTCTCGTGTGGTTAGGTATTGAGGAAGAAGAAAAGTAGTAGCGAACGAATATAAGCACCAAGTACGCAGTCTACAGGGTTTTGACCCCATGCTGTGAGGAGAAATGAGAAATTAATAGCAAAAGGAGGTCAATCTACCTTTCATCCCCGGCCTTGGCGGCTTCAACCTTAACTCAGTGATCAAAGTCTCATAAGCATCTTTAACTTTAGGTGCCTACCTGGTAGGAGGTAAGTATCCGTACTTTAGGTTCATGTCATCCAATGCACAAATAAGCTCCCGCAATGTTTCAACTTTTGTTCGAATTTCTTTTCTATTTTTGTTTTATCACAATTACCGCCAAGTTCTCAAACCGCGGCCGGAGTTCGATGCGCCTATTTTCCGGACCAGAAACCAGAGATCACCATATACTATAGCCCAAGTCCAGTAAAATAAATACAAGACATCATCCCATTTGCTTTTTATGAACATCGCCCGCTCCAACTATTGCTTTCTTTCCCTGTACAAGCTTGATAAGATCTTATTTGAGTCCGGTAGTGACGCAGCCGTGGCTGGCATCGCTGACGAGGGCAGCATACTTGGTCAATGTGCCCTGGGAGTACCGCGGCGGTGGGGGGCTCCATGCCTTCTTCCTCTCGGCCATCTCCTCGTCGCTAACATCGGTGTCGATCACGCGTCTCTCCGCGTCTATCGTAATTGTGTCACCGTCCTTCACTAACCCGATCGGCCCACCCTCGCGCGCCTCGGGCGTAATGTGTCCAATCAAGAAACCGTGGCTGCCACCAGAGAATCGGCCGTCCGTCAATAGCGCGACGTCGTTACCAAGACCATAGCCCATAATGGCGGATGACGGCTTCAACATCTCCGGCATACCAGGTCCACCTTTCGGTCCCTCGTATCGGATGATGACCACAGTCTTCTCGCCCTTCTTCAAATCTCCGCGTTCAAGTGCCTGGATGAAGTCTTCTTCCTGATCATAGCATTTGGCTTTGCCAGTGAAAACAAGACCTTCCTTACCCGTGATCTTGCCGACGGAGCCGCCAGGGGCAAGCTTACCGCGTAGGATCTGGATATGGCCAGTGGGCTTGATAGGGTTAGAGAAGGGTCGGATAATCTGTTGGTCCTTGGGGAAGGACGGCCACGACTCGACGTTCTGCTTCAATGTCTTACCAGTAACCGTAATGTTGTTGCCCTTGATGATACCCTCACCAATAAGGAACTTGAGTAGAGAAGGAGTACCGCCGATCTTATGTAGGTCCTCCATGACGAATTTGCCGGACGGCTTCAAGTCGGCAAGGAAGGGTGTCCTATCCGAGACGGCCTGGAAGTCATCGACGGTGAGCTTGATGCCTACGGAGTCCGCAATGGCGATCAAGTGCATGACGGCGTTTGTGCTGCCTCCAAGGATGTTGACTACAACCATAGCCTCCTCGAAAGCTTCTCTCGTCATGACATCCCGTGGGCGTATGTCTTCCTTCATAGCGTTCTTAATTGCTTCACCAATTTGCTCACATTCCTTAATCTTGCTAGGGTCATCAGCAGGACTGCTACTGCTGCCTGTCAAGGTCATTCCTAACGTCTCAATAGCGGTGGCCATTGTGTTCGCCGTGTACATGCCACCACATGCGCCCTTTCCAGGGCAGGCATGTCGAATAATGTCGAATCGCTGTTCTTCCGTGATATCGCCCGAAATGTACTGTCCGTACGCCTGGAAAGCGCTGACAATGTCAATTGGCTGACCGGCCTGACTGCAGCCTGGCTTGATGGTACCACCGTAGACCATAATGCTGGGTCGGTTCACTCGGCCCATAGCAATCAGAACACCGGGCATATTCTTGTCACATCCGGGTAACGAAACGTTTGCGTCGTACCATTGACCTTGCATAACAGTTTCTATACTATCGGCAATGATCTCTCTGCTTTGCAGAGAGTATCGCATACCGGTTGTACCCATAGATATACCATCGGAGACACCGATCGTGTTGAACCGGTAAGGAATGAGCCCGGCGCGTGCAACGGACTTTTTGACCACAGCTGACAGGTCCATTAAGTGCATATTACACGGGTTGCCCTCGTACCACACTGAGGAGATACCGACCTGAGGTTTTTTCATGTCCTCTTCGGTAAGACCCGTCGCGTACAGCATAGCTTGCGATGCACCCTGCGCTTTGGGTTGTGTGATGAAGCGGGAAACTTTGTTGAGGTCGGAGTCATTATTGGAACGGCGACAGCATGTCGTGCTCAGAAGACGACTGATGGTAAAATAGAAGTGTTAGTTATGAGGACATGTTTTGGGATTTCGTTGCGCTGATTTCACATACGCATGTTGCATCGACGGCTTGAGAGCTCCCCGAGTCAGAGCTGTGGGAGCTCTGGCTCGAAGAAGAGCATGTAAAGCCATGGTGAGCTTTGGGCGAAGGGGTCTGGAGCTGTTTGTTAGTCGACAACCAACAGACGCTCTCTCTCTTTCTCTCTCCCGCAATTGAAAAAAATGAAGTCAATTGAGAAGGAGGAGCCTTCCAACAATTATGCCCAACCACGAAGGAAAGAGAAAAAAGAATGTAAATTGCAATTGACCTCCCTCGGAATATTGTAGCTTCACGGTCGAATTTTAATGAGTCGAGTTCAAAAAATTAAAAATTCTTGGGCGACATCGGCCGGTGACAAAAATCCCAAAATTGATTGGAAGAAGCAGCTGAAGCAACAGACAACGCGGATACGCCAAGCCCCGCTAAACCCCGCACTAATGACATACCTAGTAAGTACTATTTATGACCATTTGCAGAATTACTATTGGCTCTCTCTTTGGGTACTATGTATTTGATGCCGTACAATGCCGGCACAAGGGGCCGAGATCTGCCCCGCTCATTCTCCACTTACTCCCGAGCCAAGTTGAGAGTGGAAGCTTATCTCTTTCATATACTGTGTGATCCTATATAAGCTGCATGCATTCCTGATAACGTCATATCCGGCAAGGACACGATGCGGAGTCGCACATGTTATCAATAAGATGGGAGCCGGGGATGCTATTGACACGGGTGTAACACAGCTTGAGATAATACTTGTACAATACTTATAGCTATGGCTGGCCATACCCCTTCGCAGAAGAAAATCGAAGGTAGCGACTACAATGGCGTGGTTCGCGTAGACCAAGAAGAAGGACTTCACAGTTCCGCACTCCCCAACGACGTCTTCGGGAGAGAAGACGATCATGAGATCAAGTACAAGACACTGAGTTGGCCGCTCACGGCCGTCCTGATGATCACCGAAATCATCTCGAACGGCATGCTCAGCCTGCCGAGTTCGTTAGATGCGGTCGGCCTCGTTCCCGGAGTGATCGTCATCGCGTTCCTCGGCGCGTTCGCTACTTTCACCGCCTGGCTGCTCGTCGAGTTCAAGCTGCGGCATCCCGAAGGTGCAGAATGCCCGACAGCTAATAGCTCATTGCGTTATTGATGTTCTGCTAACAGGGTGTCGTTATTTATAAAGTGCATAATATGGGCGACGCTGGGAATATCCTTTTCGGCCCGGTGGGAAGAGAGATACTGAGTGCGGGAACCGTTATATTCGCCGTCTGTTCCGCCGGGTCGCAAATCCTCGCAGGTCAACTTGCCCTCACTGTCCTGTCTGATGCGAAACTATGCGCAACCGCATTCTCTGGAATATTCACCGTCGCAGTAGCTATATGCAGCTTTCCCCGAGTCCTCCATGATCTTAGTCTAGTCTGGATAATCGGCGGGATATCCATAATATCTGCTGGAATTGTAGCGATGGTAGGTGCTGGGGCCGTTCCCGTCGACCCAGGGAATATAGTGATCGCAAGATCTAGCGACTTCACGTCGGCTTTTATCAGTCTCACGAACCCTGTGTTCGCCTACGCCGGCCATTTCGTATTCTTCATTTTCATCTCCGAGATGAGAAATCCGAAAGATGCGATGAAGGCAGCATGGACGCTGCAGATCGTAGCGACATCCTTTTACATAGCTTTTGCCGTTGTCACTTACTGGTATATTGGTAAAGGAGTCTCTAGTCCGAGCCTCCTAAGCTTAAGTACGCTGTGGTCCAAAATCTCGTTTGGGCTTGCAATCCCCAATTTCTTCATCGCAGGGAGTTTGAATCTTCATACAGCTGCGAAATTGGTCTTTGTTCGTCTCTTCAGGCAGAGTCGTCATATCCACTCGCATACCTTTACTGGTTGGGGCGTTTGGACGTTACTTGTTCTTTTGGTTAATACCGTGGCATTCCTCTTCGCGGTTGGAATTCCCATATTCAATTATTTAGTTGGTATTGCAGCATCTATGTTTGCTGCCTGGTGTAAGTCGTCTCCCACATCCTAAAACATTTACTGACGCTTGCTATTACAGACGCCTATGGTCTTGCAGGAGCATTCTGGTTACATGATACATACCACTATCGTGGAGGATATAGTGGATGGTTTAAGAGACCTATTATGTTCACTCTTAATATATTTACCGTCCTCGCGGGCGGGTTCATTTGTATTGGTGGATTGTATGCAACCATCTACTCGTTACGAGAAGCGGCAAACGCTGGCGAATTACCCCCACCGTTTCAATGTTGATGCTGAGTAATTCGGTTGATAGATTCCCTATGGTGCATAAGTTTGAATTGGTAGAAAATACACATCAATAAACCGTGTATACGAAGAACAAAGTTCTTATTATCTTATTTTTTTTACGTGGGTTTATCAACTTTCACATTCCATATTGTGCTAATCCGTCTGTACACGGGGCGCATACGCCGTATCAATTTCTTCTAACTTTCAGCTTCAACGCGTTTTGCCCACCGTCAAAACTCATGCTGTCGCTACCGAGCGCTTTGCTCCATCTGTGTTTGGATATACATAAGTCTGAGGAATAGTTATTACTTTCCTAAGACCTCCAATGGAGTACCTATGTCTCTAGAGTTTTAGACATTTCGTAGGGCGGAAGTGGATACCCTGATATGTATCTCACACGCAAGCCATCAAGATGTTAGAGGTTTTATTATCAGCCCTTCCCATTTCGCAGGTCAAACATAATTCACAAGAGCATCGGTCCAAGCATTGACCTTCTGTATAATACTCTACTCAGGGATGGCACTTCTTGCACAAGCCATGCGACAAGACCTCAGCGGAAGACTAATCCCAGACATCGCATGGGCGCGACAAAACTATTGAAACCTTGGTACCAGTCGCACATTGCCTATCCGTGTCCGACGGATTATCAGAAAGGGTGTCTTCCTAAGCCGACAGGTTTGGCTCTCCATTAAATATCAAATAGGGTTATAAACGCTCTTTGCCGAATCCGCGGCAATTCAGGTAGAGATGCAGCAACTGATCATGATGCCTCAGCTTTTGTTTCGCCTCGTAGCTTAGAGAGTTCCGGCAACACGGGATTTTGGGATGACATGACGCCTCTAGACCGTTGGCGCCATTCGCCCCCTGAACAAAAACCTGACCCGTTGGATGTTACAGCCCAAACAATCAATCGGGAACTGACCGATTTGCAGCCTAGAGATCGATGCCGATAACGAGGCCACAATGGGAGCTTTTCCTCTGACGTCTCTTCCGAGGAACTGGCGTGCGAGCCTATGGAGAGAGCCTTTTTACGACCCTTTTTGCGCAGGAATCGGTTCAGCAAGAAATACTAGCAGACTCGTATAAGTAGCCCTAATCGCAACAATCATAGATATCATCAGTTTTCATGCATATACTACGACAGTAAACTTACGAGTACACAAGTCTCTAAGATAGTGAAAATATCTTAAAAATAAGAATTCTAGAGACAATGCGTCTCCTTGTCTTGCTTATATTTATAAAAAAATGGCTACGCCGTGGGATACCGGTCGTCGTAAGTCTGTCCAATAAGTTCAAATCACATTTTACTAGATTAGTAATTCGAAGGATGCTGATTCTACCTATGCTAATAATGTGAATCTCATAAAACTAGTTGTATTAAAATATTTTGGAAAGTTAGGTCTAGGTACCTAGGTACCTGGTATCTATTTCTCTCCCGCCCCTTACTCCTAGTTTCCCTTCCCCGTTCATCCAGCATCTTGATCAAGTTCACTGCTCAGCCTTATTGTATTCTATGACATCGCCTTGTCGAGCTATCTTAGCTCGATTTGACGCTTCGACCGCGATTCGAAAATCCTCCAATAGCTCATCCGTGTTTTCGAGCCCAGCCGATATCCTGATCTGCGTGGGCCTCAACCCGTACCGAGCCGCCCAGTCGAGCTGCTTCTTGTACGTGCACATGGTGTACGCGATCGCAAGCGTAAAGGGGGCGCCCAGGTGCACGCTGTTATGAACGTTGAGGTTATCGTAGAACGTCGCCGTAGTCGCGAGATCCTCGGATTCCACTGTGAAGAGACAGCCGTAGCCGGGAGTGAACTCTTCCGTAGAAGGGCGCATGAACTGCTTGAAGTGCTTCCCCGAAGGATTCACGGTGGGGTAGTGCACTTGGAAAATGGCGCTGTTCGGGTCCTCCGCACAGGATTGGAGATATTGCACGAGCGAGTTGGCGTTGTGGTTGAGCTTGGCCGTGCGAGTCAGGTAGTCGCGGCTATTTCGCTCGAGGGCTTCCGCATCGTCGATGTACAACTCCGGAACGTAGTACTTATCGAAGAGGGATTTGAGCTCACGGTACTTGTGAGAAGCAGGATTGAGGACCGCACTCCCCGCAATGAGGTCGGCGTAGCCATTGAAGGACTTGGTGAGCGAGGTGACCAGCATGTCTGCCATGTGTGTGATGTCGATGTTGGCCCAGCTTCCTATCGTATCGTCGATTGCGAGTACCACATCGTACTTGTCAGCCAGCTCCCGGAGCTTGGTGATGTTCGGACATACAAGAATCGGGTTAGCGGGGAACTCGGCCCAAATCGCTTGCACTTTACGGCCATAGCTACGTTCTTCCTCAAGATAGCGTTCCAGTTCGCACAAGTCCTCATCTGACCCGAGACCAAAGAACTTGTAACCCGGACCAAACTCCTGGAATGTGTTGAGTGTATGCATGAAGGCCATGCCGAAAAGGATGGTGGTACCATGGTAGTGTTTCAGCATATAGGAATGAGGCTTGTAGATTGAAGCCATGCCTGTAGGGAAGAAATAGACATCCTCGGTTGTTGGTCTTGGTTGCCGAGTGGGATCTAAGGGAGCTCGCTCAAGGTAGTAAACAATTCTCTCTCGCAAAACCTTGTGCGGCAAGCCCTCAAATTTCGGTCTAGATTTCTCATCCTCGACAACGGGAACTTCAGTAAGCTGGTCTATCCACTCCAAGTTCGCTTCCGCAAACCGAGACGAAACCGCAGCACCAGGGGTAGTCCAAAAACCTCTCAGGACATGATACTTATCAGAAGGGAAAACAACTGCAAAGAACGGGTCTTTGGCAGAGAAAGGTCTGATCTGAATCTGATCAACCGGAACGGGGCTTTTATCAGCGCCGTTATCCCGCTTGCTAGATGTGGCATACTCAACACATTCGGTGGCTGATTGAAGCGTGGAGAATAAAAAGCAGGCCTCGTTTTCGGCTCCGATTAGTCTCAGCACCGCTGTACTTAGCTTCACAATACATGATATCATATATTAGCATCTGGCACTGAGATCCTCGACACCTAGGATGATGAACTTACACTGGCGATATCCCTATGAGGCTTCATTCGTGGATAGGCGTTATGAAGATTAGCGATAATCTTGGAGGAATCAGTGCCAAATTCTTCCGCTTTCTCCCATGTTGGCATGTGAACGGTTACCGAGTGTTGAGATGCTGGTGGCACCGCATAGCCAGCGGCAGTTGTGATTTTGCGGGACATGGTAAAGAAAGAGTCTTTTTTGAGAGTCAACTTTCAATCCCTAACTGAGCGTTTCTACAGCAATAGTTCGCAGACAGGCAGGTAGGCTTTTCTCTTTTCGAAATCTACCAAGCTCTCACAATTCGACACCAAATAGCGTATTTGGTGTTTATGACTTTGGCAAACCATTCTCCGAGACGGCCACGATGGATGCATCGAGTTTTTTTTTATGAGGGCACGGGTGATACTTCGTAGGGGCGTGCTACGACAGCGCCTAGGAGATGGCCTAACTAGAGTACAAGAACATAAAGCTGATTGTCTCTCGCCTAGAGGAGTTAGGTTGATGCATCGCATTGCTCATACGCGACGCGTCAACGGGAGTGAGTTTACTCGATACGAAGCCCATTTTTTTTTTTCCAATGAGGGTATATTTGTTTTGAAGAAAAGCAAACGAATTCTTGTTGCTACGCGACATTTATGGTTGTTGTTTACAGCGTAGCTAGTAATTTCTGTATTAAGGTCAGCTATAATTAACCTAACGTAATCATTATATTCTAGTGTGATGATCGTAGCATTGCGCTGTATTTCAGTTGGGTTTAGTTTATAGTAATGGTGTAATGTATTGTACCTACCTGTTAATCCCATCCGGGTTCCTGTGGCGCGAGTGGCTCGATCGTGGGTTGATGAACGAAGATCTGAATTAATACTTAAGATAGAAGGGATAAATCAATGATATGCGCCGTGATTCAATTGTGCTGTGCGGACGAATAGCTCCGACTTATACCATTCATGTATGAAATCAAGATGCATCCGTTTACACCAAACCGAACAAACCGAACAAACCAAAAAGAAGAATTCAAATTGAGGCTCGCCACATTATTATATTGTTATCGATAATATTAACTGATTTATCAATTAGATCTCGAAGCATACCTCTAACATGAGCACGAGTGAGGTCATGATCCTACAGCTGTGACGTTTTGAGAGCCTATGACGTCAATAGTGGAAGTTTCTCCCATCAGCACAACCCTTCGAGGCCTTACGAGCAGCATTTATTAAAGGATGGAGCATCTGATGTCAATTTCTCCTTCTCTCTTGTGTTAATTCATAATTCATATCCAAAACCATTCAATCAAATTTCGTATCCAAATCTACCAGACGAGCTATAAAAAAAGCAATCATATTTTCTCACCCAACCCTTATCAAGTAAAACAACATTGCAATGAGCGAATCAACTAATACGTCCGAAAGAAAAGCACCTAGTGCGGGAACTAAGGTCAACCTTGGAAAAGACGCCCCTATTACCAAGGAAGGACCCGGAGTTGTAACCGTAGATTCGCTCGCCGCAGAGTCACAAACATTCCGCCAAGCCAACGAGGTAGAACCTCAGCCAGTTCCTCGAGAGAAACTAATAAACCCCCCAAAGCCACATGAAGCCGACACACATGAAGACGGGAGTCACTCATCTCCAAACGAATCCGAACAGGGCCACAGGCATGTGGAGACTGCACCTACATACGTGCTGAGCCAGTACATAAAGCAGAAACACCCACACGGCAAGAACTTGAAGGAGGACGACAGCATCGGCACGGAGGACACCACCAAGAACCTGAGCTTCTCCGAATTTGGCACCGAGAATGACCCCGGACTAGCCGCCGAGAAAAAGTTCATCTCTAAGCCGCATGTCTCCGGAATACCAGATGCCAGCTTTAATGCTGGGCGCGAGAAGCAAGTGGACAATCAGCAACCGTTCGGCGCATTGGATAGAGATACTTCGCCGTGAAGGGGGTTAAAAAAAGTTGTTTGGGTTTCTAATGGTACTTTTGTGAATTGTCACTTGATACCACCCGACCAATACGGTTCTTGTTCATGTTTATTTGCTATGTTTTTAGGATATTTCACCTTCCTGTCGCTATGACAGATCAGATATATCGGAGGTACCAATCAATACCTTAGGCAACGATAACAACAAATAAAACAAGTCTCTAACATGCGCAAGTAATACTAAAACTACCTTAGATTAGGTTAGGTACCTAGATATTTGTATTTTAATAATTATCTTCGATGTGTTGCCCATCTTTTTTGCTTCTTAGCTTCTGGGAGGCTCTAACGGAGAGCTGCTCGCCATGCTCGAAAAGGGGGTTGAATATTTAAAACTATCTGACCTACCTCTAAGGCTACCTAATCTAAAGAAATACACGTTTCATGACGATGATTTAACTATTATCATTACTTTTTCCCCTATGTTAATATCACTTCCTGTTTAGCCAGTCTCTTAACATTAGAAACATCTTAAAACATATAGAGTTGGAAGAGGGTAATTATATGCTGCCAAGATATGTCCAGTTCTACAAAAGACTAAGATTTAACAATCTAAGACACTTCGTAATTTTACTCTAGGGGTTATATCGTTACTAGGTACCTACCTTAGGTTAGGTACCTATATGTAGTTTTAACAATTAGTTGTAATGAGGTAGGTAAGTATATGAAAGTAATAAAACGGACTCTCCAGTCACTAACTCGAGAAACCTTTCTTTGATTACTCTCAGCCTTTGCAGAAGTATACAATTACACGAAGCTGGCTGAAACATCAACGCTGTATGACACCTAGCCCACCTCATATTTAGAAATATATGTTCTCGTTAATTATATTGGTAGTACGTATAATAGTGCAGTCCTACGTAGATTCGTAGTTCTTGTATCTCGATAGAGCCCTGTAACAAAAATCTTGCTTGTGCCCTTACGTGCAACCGGAGTCTGCATTATCGAAGATCTCAGCTGGGGGGCTATTACTAAGAGAATTACGGCTCCCGAAGATGACTCAATCTTGCAACACGACAGGACACGACCCCCCCCCATCGAGATACCTATTCCCGCCTTCTTCTCTCGTGCACGCATTCGGCGTTACCATTCTAACTCGTGTATGCTTTCGTAAACCCATATCGTTCTCGAACGAGTCTGTCTCAAGTTACGTCGGCGAAGCCAATGCGTGCGTGACGCGGCTTCGTCAAAGCCGCCTCGATCGCCAAGTGATATTACCAAAAGAGGGGGGGGCTTGAACGAGAAGTGCTCATTATCAATCTAATCTTATAGACCATCATCAAGCATACATGCTCGCTTTGATGCTGTGCCAAGGCTCTTAGGTACGTATACCCCTTATTAGTCTCCGAGATTCGTAGACGATAAGCCTCAGCTCAAGTGATACTCGAGAAAAGTTACCTCCGCAGGAAATAGCGTACCAAGTTTCGTCAAAACATGGCGCCTTAGTCGTCATGTAATTCAGACATCTCAAGAATAACCGGGATAAGACCTTACGCCCGGGCTGGTTATATCAATCGTGACAAGAGAGGGCCCGAGCAAAGAGGTAATAATGGGTTACAACAAGGTAGGTTGGGTTAAGGAATGGGTCCTATGATAAGAGATATAAAAACCACTTTCTACCATATATGGAATGTGATAACTCTTCTTCACAGAGTTACTATCTGATAATGAGACCTCTTAGGGAATACCCAAGTTGTGAGGGTCTGTGGTTGGTGACGCGTCATCACGGGATCTGACGTGTTTGTCTACTGCATTCCGACATCTCAACCCCGTTATTTGTTTAATCCAGAGCGCTTATAGGATATGAATGGACCAGGTCTAGGCCCTAACAATATACTGCTCCGAGACTTGGTCGACGCTATGTAACATGTTGATAGAAATTGTGCATGTAATTGTAGTCTCGAGGCTGAAACTCTCGGCCCTATGCTGCAAGAAACAATCCAGCGGGGTTGATATCGCTTCACCTCGTTGCTTGATACACCTTGTCAACTAGAAGTTCTTATTTACCACATTCCTTTTTCAGCAGCGAATCGCATGTTGTACATATTACCTGTGTCTTGATGTCCTGATTACACATGCTAACCTGTTTGCTCGATGGTCTCGATCCAACATTACCCCCACGCGCGCGCGCGCATTTTCAACTGCACACCATCTATCGTATCAAAATGCCGCCAAGCATTGTGTTTCCCTTCGAACCTTGAGCATCTCCCCGTGAAGTCGAAAACATTTTCATGATAGATATGTAAAGATAATCAGCCCCAGCCTTGCAGATGCACTTAATTCTCTTCCGAGTGGGCATTGGCCCGGGCGGTGATGACGTCTGGAGAAGCACCACATAATTGCCTCCAAAGATAGGATGATAGAAGGGGGGGGGCTGTACCTAGCAAACTACAAACTTTGCTTAATCGTATAATAACACCGGATTGGGCCGCGGTGACATTATTCCATCTCTCATTTTCTTGTAATCTGGCAGCATGGCGACGCATGCAGCAGCAGCACGTCACGCACGATAGCAGGGTTGTGACGAACCCATCCACCGGTGCTAATCCCCCTTAATGGAAGCTGAACAGACAGTTAGGTACTAGGATCCCAAGATTTCCTATGTACCTAATGCAGGTATAAACCCTTACCCATCGGCGGTGCAAGGGGCGTGAGCATAGTGACGAATAGAGTCGCTCTCCGTGTCAAACGTAAACGGTCATAAGTGAAAAGTAGGCTGAGATACCCGCTTTACTGTCGCGAAACTTGGAAAAGTCCGTAAACTGCCAATCCCCGTTCCACGCCGGTCCCGAAGATTGGGAGTGTTGGAGCAGATTACGCAAGCCCCGATGATAACACGGCCCTATATGTCCTTGTGTCTTGTGTGCCCCCTACTAATGTCTTCCTATCTGATTGCACGCAAGTATCCGCATATACCAAAGGAGTTAGGTGGTACACAGCGTATTCCTTCGGTCGTGTCGCGGGTCTTTGCAGACAAGCCACCTCCAACCCCCATACGTGAGAAAGAGAGCAAGCAGCACGGTGTAAGAGTAAGAACACACCCACACCGGGTAACCTCCGGGGGCAAAAAAAGGATTAGGTACTGGTCGTACAACTAGGCTAGGTTAGGTAGATACTACTACCTACTACATCCACGGAGGAGCGGAGGATAAGATGGCACTTATCGTCAACTACCTACGGCAAACGACCGGGAAGGATCAGGAACGGAAGAAATTCCCTGCGCATGCAGCTATTTATGCTAATTCAGGGGGGTGAATACAACGGACCCTGCAAATCGAAGGGTAAATAGGGATTTTTTGACAAGCCCGCTGCCCAACTAGCTTTAGAGTGCCGAGCACGTATGCCGATCTTGGCCTGATATATTGCTACGCTGCATGGCACCCCGGCATCAACACCCCCCCCCCCTGTGGGCGTTACACTGTGGGGTTTAGTCTTTGCTGATGACGATATGATGTCTGGCCCCTCGGGTGGGAAAATTAGGTATGCCTTGTAAATACCTAACATACGCGCTTCACCTTTCTCCAGCTTGGGAGATTCAAATTTGTTCGAACTTGCTGATATCTGATATCCGTATCACTGGATGTATTGTTCTGTATTACCAATATTATGTACCTAGCCTAGATAGTTATTATTATGTAGGTAGGTATTTTATTACAGCCATCTCTATAAGCTTAATACACATATAGTAAATAGTATATAATACAAAAAAGAAGCACATCATCTATCTAAGGCTTGTGCTTGACACTATAGTACTTAATTAGCCTCTTATATTGGGGGGGGTAATTCTGGAAAGGTCTGGGCAGACGTACCATGCTGAAATACACACCTCGCTTCTGGAGGAGGGCAATATGGGTACCGGATTCTAGAACCTGGCCGTCGCCAAGGACGAAGATAACGTCGGCGTTCTGAATAGTAGCGAGCCGGTGGGCAACTACTATCATGGTCCTGCTTTTCTTCGTTCGCTCGAAGACGCCCTGCACTAGCTTCTCCGTCTCCGAATCGAGGTTCGACGTAGCCTCATCTAGTAGCAAGAGCCGGGGATCTCTGATAAGTGCCCGGGCGATCGAGAGGCGCTGCTTTTGCCCGCCGGATAGCAGTATCCCTTTGATACCTACCTTCGTGTTGTATCCTTCTGGGAGGGAAGTGATGAAGTCATGTATCTCAGCATCGCGACAAACTTGCTCCAGCTGCTCATCAGAGACTGTATCAGAATCGACACCGAGAAGGATATTCTCTTTGATGTTGCCGTTGAATAGGGATGGCTCTTGGGCTACAAGAGAAATAGATTTACGATAGTCTCTGAGGTCGATGTCGTCGATTTCGATATCGTTGTATGTTATGCTTCCAGATCTGATCTTGTAGAACCTGCATATAATTATGAGTTTCACATGTTTCCGTAGAGGAATGCCGAATCGACTTACCTCTCTAACAAGGAGACAATGCTTGTTTTACCACAGCCTAAACTGCGTTAGAGTTTCAGAACCATAAAATGATGCCGGTAAGACTTACCGGAGGGCCCGACAATGGCTGCGAATTGACCTTTCTCAATCTGATCAAATTAGCACAGGGAACGGTAACCGGCAACCCGGTGGGCGGCGCGCTTACAGTCATGCTCAACCCATTTAACACGGGGACATCCCTTGTCGGGTACCTGAACCACACGTCTCGCAGCTCAATCTTAACGCCTCTTCCGTCCTCGTCAACTTCTTCGTCACTCAGCGTAATTCCCCGACCATCGCCGTTATCATTATGTCTCATGGCTTGGATTCTATTTGCCGCTGCAGTAGCTTGCGCAATATCTGATGGGGGATTAGTATTTCATGGCGTGATAGATCCTGGATCTAGACTTACTGGGTCCGAAACTGAGCCATTGTCCTGCCCCTGTAGCACCCTAGATTGGTTCGGTTAACAGTTTAATTCATATGAATCGATATGCTCCATGCTGCTTATAAGTTGCTTACCTGTACCACAGCAATATAAACAACCACTTAATTACGGGTTAGCTTCTGTCTCGGTCTAATGGTGACTCATAACTTACGATATTGGAACGTCCAATATTCCCCTGATACTAGCAGCGTACCTCCATACCTGGAAAATCGTCAGCGACTTAATCAAGTGCGTGCAGAATGTATAGGTCAAAGATACCATAGGACAAATGCCATGCAGAGGAACGGCAAGCTATCACTTGCCGAAAATACTATAGTCGCGAAGCGGGCTCGTCTGAAAGCCTTCTGTACATGCGCTTGTAGTAGTTCTTCATATCTGCGGCAGATGCTTTCCTCTAACGTGAGTGCTGTTACTGTGCGGATGGCCCCAATAGATTCCGTGGCGAATTTAGCGCTCTCGCCAAATACTTTCAAGTTCATAGTCTCGAACCCCTTTTCAACACGAACACGGAAGAACCCGGCGGCTAGAGCCAATGGCATGGCGGACGATAGCGCAACGATTGTGAGCTTCCATCCAAAGTAAAAGGATAGAACTAAGCACCCAATAACACTGAGGATTGATATGGCTGCGAATGCCATATTCGTTCCTAGTAGTTGCTGCAGTTGCGTGGGGTCGCTGGCCACGATTCCAGTGAGGGCGCCTATGGATCGACCATCACCATCGAACCAGGACACAGTCTTTGAGATAATGTTTTGGAAATACTCTCGGCGATAAGTCGAGGTTATGTACTGCGCTTGTTAGCCAGAAAAATATGGCAAAATGAGTGCTTGGGTTATGGAGGACTTACAAAGGAGACAACCGTAGAAGAATAACCCAGGGCAAAGTAGCCGGCCCCTGCTGCAGACGCAAGGGCAACGAACATAAGACACCAGAAATTAGTGATAGCAACTAGTGTATCTCCCCAATAGGCGAAAGAAGAGATCAGAGCAGCGAAGATATAGGCTTGGACAGGCGTACTTCCTGTAATACGCATTAGTAAAATCCTTCTTATAGAATGCTCACTGCATTAGGTATTACTTACCACCAGCCACCACGGCACCAAATGCCATCACCGTGTACCAGGGCCAGAACGGCTTTTGTTCAACAAGCATAGCGCCAAAGCTTCCCATTACGCCCTTCGGTTTGTGAGGTGGGTTTTCGACGACGGTGCTCTGGCTATCCCGAACCTCGGCTTTAGTTTCATCCAGTGTCATCAGATCCATCGTTCTCTTTTCCACCTCCGTCACCTCAGATGATTCATCTGGAATGTCGCTCTCGCTACCCATGGATAGTCTTTGCGCATTGGTAAGAAGCCAGTACGGCCCGCCGACCTGAGCCATAAGGCTCTCGTGGTTCCCCCATTGGACCACTTTACCTTTGGCGAGCACAACGATATTGTCTGCCTTCTTGACTGTTGACAGCCGGTGGGCTATCATGATCGTAGTGCGGTTCTGAGATACTTTATCCAGTGCAGCTTGGACAACCTTCTCTCCACGAACGTCAATTGAACTCGTCGCCTCATCCAGAATTAGGATTTTCGGTTGCTTGACTATAGCTCGAGCGATCGCTAGTCTTTGGCGCTGACCGCCGCTCAGCTTTATACCGGCATCTCCAACATAAGTATCATATCCTTCCGGGAGACGAGATATGAATTCGTCGGCAAAGGCTTCTTTGCAGGCATATTCTACCAGTTCCTTTTTCCTGTCAAGGTCGCAGTCCTCCCATTCTGTTCCAATTAGGCCATTTGCGACGTTTTGGAAGATGGTCGTGTTAAAGAGAAAAGGTTCCTGTTGGACAAGTCCGATTTGAGACCGCCACCACTTCAAATCAATGTCAGTCAGTTTCGTGCCGCCAATTGTTACTGAACCGTTGCGAAAGAACTGGACCTATAAGATAGCAAGATTAGCAACCAGAATTGGTTCAACAACAGTATACTCCTTACCAATTTTTTCTGGTCTGAATCTCCATCCAAATCGTACCATCGCTCTATAAGAGCCACTATTGTACTCTTCCCAGAACCTGAAGGACCAACGATAGCTGTTGTTTTCCCCGCAGGTAAGATCAAGTTGAGACCGTCGAGAACCTTGAGCTTTGGCCTTGTGGGGTACGTGAAATTGACACCCCAGAGCACAATGTCCCCCGTTGCTGAGACATCGGGATATTTCAACCCTGTGACGACTGGTCTCGGCGCATCGATACCGTTGAAAAGGATGCTCGCTGCGCCCGCTGCTCGAGCAGCAGCAGAAATTGGCGCCGCGATGCCTCCAATTCCCATGACTATCATCATTATGCACATCAAGACGCTGTGGAATGGTAAGCGAGGGAATAGTTATTGTCATAATGGTAAACTAACGTGATTAAAGTTCCGACATCAGGAATTTCAAAGTTTATCAACATCTTGACAGCGTACCAAAAAGTCAAGGCAAAGGTTCTATTAAACTATAAGCATCCGATTTAAATTCAACGTTTTCGACAACACGATATACTAACGCATATACACTGAAGTAAACTGAAGTTCTAAGTTAGTACGACATATATCGGGAAATTTGAAGTGGCGAGGTACTACTACTCACTTGTTCCTTGTTGAATGGCAACTATTTTGGATAGTCGAAGGCCCCTACGCTGTGCCTCATCCACCCACTCTTGATACTTCTGCACCATCTTCGTTTCAGCGCCATACGCAGCGATCATTCTGATGGAGCCGAAACTCTCACTTGCGACTGCGGACCCCTTAATGTTTGCATCTTCGACTTGCTTCATATTCTTTACGACGAAAGGAATGGTGATGCAGTAGCATATTGTGATCAGAAACATGCCGCTGCTGGTAACTAAACTCAACTTCCAACTGCGGGTAAAGGCGATGACAATGGAAGAAATAAACATGGACAAGTTCTGAATAACTGCTGCTAGCCTCTCGGATATTCCATTCTGTAGCGTGTTTGCTGTGGTTGTTATAATGGCAGCAACTTGTCCAGGGGGTTGCGTGTCTAAAAGTGACACGGGTAGGCTGAGTAGAGCTTTGAAGTAGGCCAGGCGCATCGACGAAGAGATGCGGAAACCCATCATGCGAAACCCAAGCTTGAAGCTTATTAGCATTGCACATTGTTGTTTGAACAGGACGATAACTTACGGTAGCAATGTAGCCTAATACAAACCTTCCAATAAAAAGGTATACCATGAAGAGACTGAATAACTGTATGTTTAGTGGAGTCACCTATAAAGTTGCTATTAGCACTTACACGTATTCGTTTATGAGTTGAGTATAGTGTTCCTTAGAACTTTCGGAGTTTAGATCAGCTCTGGTACTCGCGATGGCTCCAACGAGTTGGCCTAAGCAATTGGTAAGTTTTAACTTGATACTATTGGTAGATAGGTACTCGAAGAACATCTCACCAAAAACAATGGTCATTAGGGGAAAGGCAACACCGGCTCCCATAGCGGCCACAACAGAAGCGAATAGCATCACTCTGTCGCGCCATGTTGTATAACTGAAAATCCTCTGTTCTTTTATTAGTATTACGCAAGACCGTGTCGTAGAAATGGCTTACAAAGAAATTTGAACTTGTTTTCTTGAATTTTGATTGCTGAGATGGTGTGCTGGCCTGTAGAGTAGGGGGAACTTGTGGGGCTGTGGCAGGCCGAGGTGTGTTGACTGGTGAATTTGGAGCAACGCTATTCCCTGGAGAAGCTGATGGGATTGGGGAGAGGGCTGTTCCTCCGGCTTGTGATTCTGGAGGCTTACCCAACAACGATAGGGACGGCTTCAAGTTTATCGTAGGTCGTTGACCGGTAGGCCGTACCGGACTCGGAGGTCCCGACAGCGAACCCGTCGAAGACACTGAGGTTATCGAGGCCGTCCTGCCAGGTGGAGCAGAGGCCCCCAATAGGTCCATAGTCGAGGTCTCTCTCATGGGGGGTGATGGGGGACTTGCTTCTATCGAGATTGTGACCGAAGTATCTCCTCTGGGGAAATCCGGTATGGTGTTACTTCCTTCTACCCCATCTTGTATGAGGGTTTCTTGATTAACCGGGCTTGGTCCGTTGGTAGAAGCACTATCATGTGGCTTCTCAGATGCTTCCAGCACGGTATTCCTTTTCTCCATATTACATGTGCGCTTTGCGCAATCAGGAATCCTATGCAGCAACTATCCAACAGGGAATCCAACAAGAAAAAGGACAAAGCTGATGATGATTGGGGCTAGGGTAAATCGGATAGTTCAAGAAATCCAAACTGTCAGAGAGAAAAGATATTGGGAGTCGCTGGGAACGAGAAGCAAACTACTCATTCTACCATGTGAACGGGACCCTTACCATATGGGCAACCATCAAGGGCCCTGGGTAAAGGGTAAACGCGTTCTGTGGCGGAGGCATGCTCCGCTAAGTAGAATCAGAGAAAATTAAGCATCAATTAAAATAAAAGAACCGATATACCCCATTGGCAGGGCCCCCTTGTCATACCTTATCCGGCTGCATGTCTCGGGAGTATTGGACGATCGCCGTGTCCCTAGGTGCCGATCATCTTCAATATAAGCAACCATTTACCAATAGCTACCTAAGGTACCTGCGGCATATTATTACCTGAAAAGCCGGGTTATAGTAGGAGAGACTCCCGATAAAGGTAGGTGGCTAATTAACTGCATTTTCTTTTGTCAACTGTCACAGTCGATGCCGGCGCCAAATCGAGGGAGGTTACATTATGCATGGAAAATGCTAATACTAGATAGACTCTGTCACGGAGTTTTCCTACAAGGTAACATATTTGTTCGGGGTAATTATATTGCTTCTACAACTATTACTGCATGTGAAATCTCTATACCTACATCGGGAAAGGAAAAAAAAGAAAAGTACCTAAACAACTGCGGTAATCTAAAATGGGTTCTATCTTGTAATTCTATGCTGTCGCATCTGCAATCATGTTCCGAATGACATCTCCAAGCTCCTTGACGACACCTTTTTCTCTTGGAAGGGTATGACCTTTGCCGTGGTCGAAGATGTAAGCAGTGTCGGGTTCGCATGTGTTATACAGGGCCATTGAACCCGCAACGTAAGGATCAAGGGACCCGACTTGTATTCTAGTTAGCATCTTTCAGTTCTGCAGCACGTAGCTCTGGAAGTCTTACTGATATGGCAAGTATGAATGTTAATCATCAGATCAGATTCATCGGCGAGAACCATCGCGTAAGTAGCAGGGTCCAAAGGCGGCCAACCGGCGAAGAAGATGCCGCATTTGATCTGCGGTTTCCTTCCAGTTTGCTCAAACCGCCTCTGTTCGGCGAGTAGAAAAGTTGAAGCGACGGTAGCTCCCTCTGAGTATCCTAAAATCCCTTCAAAGGGGCCTTCCTTTTCCATGATCTCAAACAGGTACTCGATTGCTCTATTCGTACTTTTAACACTGCTTGCGACACCTTCTTTCATGAGTTCTCGCATGGTGTCTTCAGCCGTATCGCACTCAGGGAAATCTCGAATTCGAGACAAGACATCAGTGTCATCTGTCCCCTTCTCGTCTGGCTCGATGAAGCGATAGTAAGGGGGCTTTCCGAAGAAATCTTCGAACCCTTCTGGAGGTACTGCCTCACATGGCGCATCGACAAACCGAAACTGGGCGGTGTCATCAGACAGCAATTCGTTGATAAGAGGTGCTAGATCTCGTCAGTAAAGTGTGTGGGTGTATAAGATACACACGGTGAATGTAGTACCTAGCTGAACTTGGAATTTCTAACTGCATGTTAGTGGAGTAACTTATCACCCGAGAATACCAAGACTTACATCAGCGCTTCCATATGCGCCTGGCAAACATAGAAACTTCATGTTGCAAGATTGTGAGGTAGGTAGTTTCGAAAAAACCGCACACGATAATTACACCGAACTGGACGAGAATAGAGGGGATGATGATGCACTGCCATAAGAGACAATCACGAGAAGCAAGGAATGCAATAAAATGAGTGATTGCGCGTTATTGAAGAATGGGAAAACGCGGAAGAAGGCTTACGTGTTAGTTTACGTATAAGTTACTTGATATCTCTGTTTGGAACTGAGACCCTACCGTCCCGGTTCCCCCTCCGGGGGTGTCCGTAGAGAGAGTCCGGAGACTAGTGAGCTCGTTTTAGATACATTGCTTCTCAGCGCGGGTAATCTTGGCAAAAGCTGCTGCAGCAGCACTTCATGCAGTGGCAACATCCGCCGATTCCTATCAGACTATCACACGGAGTCGCATGGCATGGGTTGACAACCTAACCCCTGCTACTCGACCTGTAGCATGTGAGCTGAGGCTCTATTCCTCGAGACACCGGAATATTTACACGGGGTTTTCAAAGGCCTATGAGAATCGATCTGGCTACCTAGGTAGCTAGCTATTGGGCCTTAGTCTATCGAAGATAATGCCCATGTTTATAAGTCTCGGATTGTTTTAGGCAAGGCCTCGGCGCCACCCGGGTAACGACGCCAATAGCGCGTTTAACTGTTGGAAATAGTATAAGTTGAGCAGGGCCGCCGTCATTGGGCATGATAACAGCCTACTACGTAGTAGACTGTTGTGCTCTCGTTGTCGGTAAGTGCCCCCACTCGCGCCACGATGTCGAATGGAGCCAGAGGAGCTCAAAGTGCCGGGTGCCAAGCCGCGCGGGGTGGGACTATACAATCTATCCATATTGGGTGCCGTCAAGGGTACTATCTCGGTGGTCGGTGGTCGGTGGTAGTAACGATGTGTAGTAGCAGCAATAGTGGCAGCAGTAATAGTAGTATCTGCTACGTACGTCTACAACGTATAGTGTGGTATATGCCAGGGACGCGAGCCTTCATTGCATCCTTATCTCACTGCCGCCACATTGGATCCCTGTCACATCGCAATATCTATGTCTTAATTTTTTATTCGTCTTAACCCCTTTGGTCGTCTCAAACCTCCGGTATCAACTTCCCAAGATTGGAAGTCAAGCATAAAAGAAAAGCCCTATTTGCACTGGCAATCTTAGCCCTTATGATCTAGTACTTGATTAGCCTTGATGCAGGTATTGTCAATAAATGGTAAATGGATCGGCAATAACTTTCGGCGTTGCCTTGACCGTAGGAAGTTTAGGACAGCTTCCTCGTCGAGTATCTCAACTCGCTAAGAGGACCCTCTCGGTGATATCGCTACCTACCTGGTACCTAGGTAAATGAGCACGTCAGTGTATGTTATGCTGATGTCGTCGTGTAAGCAAGTCGTAAGCTACCAGGACCCTGACCGACCTCCCACCGTGCAGTAGTAGTTGAATTGCTGCCATTACAGGGGTAACTTAAACAGATGAAGTTGATACAGTATCTCTCCTGTCGATAGGTGTCTTGATCCAGTAGGTTAACCCCTGCATAAGCTTCTCCTATGTTCTGGCCTCATGCAAGAGGACGAGTAGCTGGGATGTAATGTCTAAGACAAATTGACAATATGATCGGCGTCGTGGCAGTGGTGATAGTCAGGGATGACAAATGATACCACTGGGCCGACTTTGACTATTGGATCCTACCATTCCCGTCAAGCGTTTCCGATATACGCCTTCAGATCCGTGGAAGAGTTCCTCGCCTAAAGTTACATCCATGGGGTTCCGTGCTAAGGGTGGAAAGATTTTCCTATTGCCCGAATATCAGGCTTTATTATTGTGACTGAGTACTGCCCAGTTAGAATCCCAGATCGGACACGACACATTACGCGTACGAGAAGGTTTGCTTGAGACAGAAATATAAACCACATTCCCTACTCAAATGATTCTTCTGTCACTCTTTCCTCCAGGACGCTTTGGCTCCATAGTACCGTCGCAACGAAATCCGCAGTCATGGCCCCGTCAGCCACAAACGGCAGTGTATATGGCACATCCAACGGAGTCCAGGGGGATTCGAGAGCTCCTACTAACGGATACACAAACGGGCACACCAATGGACATACCAATGGACATACAAACGGATTCACTAATGGTTCTTCATATACGAATGGCAACTCTGAGCCAAACGGGCACCATGCTCCGTCCTTTGGCCAGACCAATGGTCACCGAGTCGGCCAAGCCAACGGCCTGAGCAACGGACAGTCAAATGGTGTAAATGGGAGCCATATGCCGCAACCCAAGGAGAAGACGATGCCCATTGCTATTGTTGGCATGTCATGCAGGCTGCCGGGAAATGTAGCTAGCCCGGCCGAGTTCTGGGAGATGTGTGCTAGAGCTCGAAGTGGGTATTCAGAGATCCCGAAGGAGCGGTTTAACACCTCCAGCTTCTATCACCCAAACCCGGGGAAAGCTGGCTGCCACAACCCGGTTGGGGGCCACTTTCTGAACACAGACTTACAAGCATTCGACGCCCCCTTTTTTAGCCTAACGGAGAAGGAGGCTATCTCTATGGACCCGCAACAACGGTTACTCCTGGAATGCACGTTCGAAGCGCTCGAAAACGCGGGTATTCCCAAGCACAAGATAGTCGGAAAGGATGTCGGTGTATTCGTGGGGGGTTCATTCCCCGAATACGAATCTCACTTGTTCAGAGATTCAGATACTATTCCCATGCACCAAGCTACCGGTAAGTAGGCCGTTCCAAATAAAGTAAGTTTGGCTGCCGCTGATGACGTTGCCAGGTTGCGCGTACGCCATGCAATCTAACAGATTATCGCACTTCTTCGACCTCCGCGGGCCAAGCTTTACCACAGACACGGCATGCTCCTCTAGTCTGGTCGCACTGCATGTGGCTTGTCAGAGCTTACGTGCTGGGGAATCAAACATGGCAATAGTCGGGGGTTGTCATTTGAACATGCTTCCGGAATTCTGGATATCATTCTCTAAGTCGAGGTAAGTGATCCCGATCAAGTATCAAATACAGTATCTAATTGTTGCTCTTATTGCCAGGTTATTTTCGGACTCTGGTCGATCATTTTCCTTTGATAGTCGAGGTACAGGGTTTGGCCGTGGTGAAGGCTGCGGTATGATAATCCTCAAGCCTCTTGACCAGGCTCGCAGGGACAACGATCAAATCAGGGCCATTATTGCCGGGAGTGGCATTAACCAGGATGGAAAGACGCCTGGGATTACAATGCCGTCTGGAGAGGCGCAAGGTGAGATTGTCCGAAAATTTCTTTTTCTTTTGAAGTCCATCGCTAATATTACTCCGTAGAAACATTGATGCGCCAAGTATATACTAATGCTGGACTGGACCCCGCGGATTGTGGCTTCGTGGAGGCCCATGGAACCGGGACTCGGGTCGGTGACCCAATAGAAGCCACCGCCATACATAATGTACTGGGCGCCGGTCGAACGCCACGCGATCCGCTCTTCATTGGATCCGTGAAGTCTAATATTGGTCACCTCGAAGGTGCTTCTGGTATCGTAGCGGTTATCAAATCTGCTCTCATGTTAGAGCGTGGGTTCATTTTGCCTAATTATGACTTCAAACACCCTAATGAGAAGATTCCGTGGAAGGAGTGGCACTTGAAGGTTGGTTTACATTCCATCATCTATGTGTCTGTAGACATGGCGTTTACTAATATCATATAATAGGTCCCCGTTAATCAAAGGCCATGGCCGCGGAATAAGAAATACATCAGCGTCAACAACTTCGGGTTTGGCGGTACCAATGCCCATATTGTTCTTGAAAAGGTCCCCTTCACCCAAAGGGGCCCCAAGAACGATGCCGATCTCAAGAATGACAACCCGGGAAGGAAACTCTTCCCAGTGACTGCGAATGACAAGAACACCTTGGACGCTGTTTTGAAGAGTTTAATTATCTACTTGGAGCAAAGACCAGAAATGTTCCAGAAGGATTTGATGTCGGATGTCGCTTACACATTGGGCCAACGACGATCCTTGCTGCAATACCGGGTAGCAATTCCAGCTCTTAGGTCATTCGACTTCATCGATGCCATCAACAACCAAAATATCACACCTGGCAAGGAAGTAGACCCGCTAAAGATCGGATTCATCTTTACTGGACAAGGTGCGCAATGGTATGGTATGGGACGGGAGCTCTACGAGCAGTACCCCGTCTTTGCCCATGCTATTGATTACGCGGATGCGTGTCTCAGCTCGTTAGGCGCACCTTGGTCGCTGGTTGAAGAACTAAGCAAAGATGAGAAGACATCTGCAGTCGGCGCAGCTCACATCAGCCAGCCAGCTTGCACGGCCATTCAATTAGCATTGGTCGATTTAATGCAATCATGGGGTATCAAGCCAACCGCCGTGGCTGGTCATTCCAGCGGAGAAATTGGTGCCGCCTATGCTGCTGGTATCCTCACCTTCGAGGCATGTGTCTCTATAGCATACCACAGAGGTCGTCTCATCCCCGTCTTAAAAGAGAGGTACCCGGATCTCAGGGGCTCTATGATGGCAGTCGGAGGTAGCAAAGAGGAGTTCGAGCCTCTGCTTTCGGAACTCAAAGACGGCGAGGTTAAGATTGCATGCTACAACAGCCCTAGCAGTCTTACAATCTCTGGCGATGAAGCTGGCATTGATGAGTTGAAGAAAATTGTTGAAGAGAAGCAACTCTTTAACAGGAAACTTTTCGTCGACACTGCCTACCACTCACACCACATGAACCTCCTCGCGAAGGACTACCAAGCATCAATTGATGAGCTTGAAGGCCCCATCCCGACTGATGTTAGATTCCACTCTTCACTCCTCGGCCGTCGTATCGATGGCACGGAACTAGAGGCATCCTATTGGGTACAGAACCTCACCTGCCCTGTGAGATTCAATGAGGCGGTACAGAGTATGCTCGAGCCCATTGATGGCTACAGAACAGGTGTGAACATGCTTGTTGAACTGGGACCTCATTCGGCTCTGCAGGGACCCCTCAAGCAGATTCTGAAGACTGTGGGTGGCGACGCAGCTAAGGTCCCTTACGCCTCTGCCCTTGCGCGCAAGAAGGACGCCGTGGAGACAGCACTCGATGTTGCAGCCACGCTGTTTGCGAAAGGAGCTGCAATAGATTTTGAAGCCGTCAATTTCCCTAAGAAGGGCAAGCCGCCAATGCTGTTGAGTGACTTACCTCGCTACCCCTGGAACTACTCGTCCAAGTACTGGCACGAGTCCCGCATGACACATCTACACAAGAACAGGACGGCTCCACGCAACGACATTCTTGGCACTCTCGCCAACTACTCTAATGACCTCGAACCTACATGGAGGAACATTGTTCGCTTAGATGACCTTCCATGGTTACAACACCATAGAATCCAATCTCTTACAATCTTCCCCCTCTCAGGCTATGTCTCTATGGCTGTTGAAGCAGCTGCTCAGCGAGCAGCAAGTGCCAATGTTAACTTCGACAAGTTTGAGCTTCGTGACGTCTCTGTCTTAGCGCCGCTTGTTATCCCTGATGAGGATGTTGAGATGACAACGACTCTCAGGGCACACCAGGAAGGAACCCTAGTTTCTTCGGAAGTATGGGATGAATTCCGTATCTGCTCCTGGACGAAGAGCAAGGGATGGAAGGAACATTGCAAGGGTTTAATCGCTGTCCAGGCTCACGAGTCTAACGGCGTGGATGATGCTAGGCAGAGTTTGGCATCCCGAATCCACCTTCAGTCAACCATCGCCGATATCAATGCTGCTGCAACTTCGTCGATCGAAATGAAGAAGCTATACGACAACCTGTCCGAGGTTGGTGTTGCTTATGGACCTACCTTCCAAGGTGTCACCAACTGCAAAGCTTCAAGCTCTTGCTCGCAAGCTGACCTGCTTGTTCCGGACGTGGCAAAGGAGATGCCCAACCATTACATAACCGACACCGTCATACAACCCTCATTCCTCGAGTCCCTCATCACCATGTACTGGCCAATTGCCGGCTCCCAAAATACCTCGCTTGACACGATCTACCTGCCCTCATCTGTGTCGAGCGTCTCAATCTCGAAGGATGTCATTGACGTCAACAAGACCCCCGGCAAGGTCGTCAAGGCTTATTGTCTCGGGTCGCTACCCACAGATAGCCCTAGGCCAACGAAGATGTCTATGTTCGTTGCCGATCCTAATGCGTCAGAGCCACTCATCAAGCTTGATGGCCTTAACATTGCCCCTATTCTCGAGCGCGACGGCGAGACTGACCAAGAGGCTCACCGCGAGCTCTGCTACAAGCTAGACTGGGAGCCCATTCTCGACCCTGTTTCAGGGGACTCTGATAGTTCATCATCCGAATGGGTGCCTGTCGAAGACTGCAATCTCCCCGACACAGACATCGAGATAGTCTACGGCGAGGGCCGCCTCCAAACGCAAGTTGCTTTTAGCTTAGCCGAGGCATTGCAACGGATCACTGGAAAGCTACCTAACACTAGCAGTCTCCTAGAGGCCAAAGCTGACAATAAGCTTCTCATATTCCTCTCTGAGATCGACAAGCCATTACTCTCACAATTGAAGCCTGAGGAGTTTACTGCCCTCCAAAAGATGCTCACCAGTGTGCAGGGTGCATTGTGGGTTGTTCGTGGAGCTTACGATAACTCTACATCCCCGGACCTTAACATGATCCTTGGTCTCAGCAGAACCATCCGCTCCGAGACTCTACTTCCGTTCTCCACGTTAGATCTCGATGGACGCAACCGACTTTCCACCGAGCAGATCTCCGAGGCGGTTCTCAAGATCTTCACCGCGGTCTTCGGCAAGAGCAGCGCCTTGAACGGCGAGCTCGAGTTCCAGGAGAGGAACGGTTCCTTCTTCACCCCGCGCATCATCAACGACCCCGTCATGAACGAGATCGTTCACCGGGAGACTAAGCCCTCCGCCCTCCAGCAAACACCGTTTGGCGAGACTGACCGCCAACTCAAGATGGCTATCACCGACGCAGGCGCCCTGGAGACACTCCACTTCACGGACGACTTGACTGTCGAGGAACCCCTCAACGACGAGGACATCGAGTTCAAGGTTCACGCTGTCGGCGTCAACCACCGAGATCTCACAGCTGCGCACGGTAAGCTCGCAACCCACGACTTCGGCGTGGAAGCCAGTGGCGTGGTCACAGCCGTAGGCAAGGACGTGAGGAATATCCAGGTCGGCGACCGTGTTGCTGCCATCACCAAGGGCGCGTTCGCTACGTCGACTCGGACCAAGGCCAGCTTTGCATTCAAGCTCCCGTCGGACATGCAGTTCGAGGAGGGCGCAACACTGCCTCTCGCCTACAGCACCGCCTACTACTCTCTTGTAGAACTCGGCCGGCTCGCCGAGGACGAAACCGTCCTGATCCACGCGGCCGCCGGTGCCGTTGGCCAGGCCGCCATATCAATCGCGCACATGGTCGGCGCCAAGGTGTTTGCGACGGTGGGAAGCACCGAAAAGAAAGAATTCCTCATCAAGGAGTACGGCATCCCCGAAGACCGCATCTTCTACAGCCGAAACCTCTCCTTCGGCAACGCGGTCCGCCAGGCCACGGGGAACGTCGGCGTCGACGTAGTCCTCAACTGCCTTACCGGCGACGGCCTGCGCGAGAGCTGGAGCAGCCTCAACAAGTTCGGCCGCCTGGTCGACATCGGCGCCCGAGACGCCAACACCAGCACGCGGCTGGAGATGGCGCAGTTCGACAACAACGCCAGCTTCATGACGGTCGACATCATGGCCGTGGCCGCCGAGCGCCCGAAGCTCCTGCAAAGACTCCTCTCCAACGTGGCTAAGCTAATGCGGTACGGCAAGACCCGCCCCATCTCCCCCGTGACGGTCTTCCCCATCTCCGAGGTCGAGTCCGCGTTCAAGACGCTGCACGGCGCCAAGGCCCACGGCAAGCTCGTCGTGGTGCCCCACGCCCACGACGTCGTCAAGGCTACGCCGCCTCGCAAGCCCGCCCGGCTCCTCAAGGCAGACGCTTCGTACATCCTCATCGGCGGTACGGGTGGGCTCGGCCGGAGCATGGCTCGCTGGATGGTCAGCCGGGGCGCTCGGCACCTGGTGCTCGTCTCGCGAAGCGGTAGCGCAACGGGCAAGGTCAAGGAGCTCGTCGACGAAGCCGCCGCAGTCGGCGCCGAGATCGTGGTGCGCCGCGCCGACGTAGCCAATCCTGCGTCCGTGGAAGAATTAATCCAACACGGTCTCGAGGGCTTGCCTCCTGTCAGGGGTGTCATCCACGGCGCCATGGTTCTTCGCGTAAGTTTTTTTTTCCTCCTTTTATCTCTTCTAACTACCTAACCTACTTAATGCATTTTAATCGCTCTCCGTCTAACACATACATAATACAGGATGTTCTATTTGAGAAGATGACCTACGACCAATACACCACCGTCATCGAGTCCAAGGTCCAAGGCGCGTGGAACTTCCACAACGCGCTGTCCGGCGCCCCGCTGGACTTCTTCGTGGCGATATCGTCGGTCGCGGGCGCGGTCGGCAATCGCGGGCAAGCGGCGTACGCGGCGGCGAACTGCTTCCTGAACGCGTTCGTCCAGCACCGGCTGGCGCGGGGCCTGCCGGCATCGTCGCTGGACCTGACGGCCATCTCGGACTCGGGGTACCTCGCGGAGGACCTGGAGAAGGCGGCCGAGGTCGCCAAGAACCTCGGCAGCGACACCATCTGCGAGGCCGAGGTGCTCGCGCTGCTGGGCGCCGCCATCGGCGGGGCCCTCGCCAAGGCGTGCAACAGCCACACCATCACCGGCATGCGCATCGCGCCCGGCATGCAGCCGTTCTGGACCCCCGACGCCAAGTGCAAGCACCTGCGAGAGGCGATGGAAGCGGCGGCGGCGGCGGACGCGGCGGCGACCGGGGGCGCGGCCAAGGCGATATCGTACAACGCGGCGGTGAAGGCGGCGAAGACGCTGGAGGAGGCGGAGGCGGTCGTCTGCGACGGCCTCGTGCACAAGCTAGCGGCGGTGATGATGATGGAGCTGGAGGACCTGGACGTGACGCGGTCGCTATCGCACTACCCGCTGGACTCTCTGGTGGCGATCGAGATCCGCAACTTCATCACCCGCGAGTTCGAGGCGACCCTGCAGGTCCTCGAGCTCCTATCCAGCGGCTCCATCCAGACCTTGTCCAAGGCTGTCTGCGTCAAGAGCAAGCTAGTTAACTTCTAGATCTTCCCCCGGCAGAATCATGCCCACGGGACCTAAGGCCAGGCTAGGCCGGGTCTTTATACGTGACGGAATACAACACAACATATATTTGATTGAAACGAGTACTAGAATGAACGATACGGGAGATTGGTGGAGCTCAGCGTTTTTCCATTTTTGTATTCATTTCCTTTCTTATTATGAACCCTTACTATTATAGCCATTTATCACTATTTATCTTTTTTGGAGGGGATGTTTGGGTAATATCATGTCTAGATCTATTATTGTATACAAGTTTTTCCGCCGAGTTGTCTAGGTTGTTATTTCGGATAGTACAGCTGGATGGTAATATTTTCTTCCATACTATTTGGTAGGTATATGATTGGTAATTATAGAATGTTTCTATATGATATCTTTTATGTCTCTCTGTCACCCTCAATTCCATGATTGCCACAAATGTTGTAGGAGGTGAGGTGTCCAAGGTATGCTTAGGAAGCTCTGTGAAGTAGACGAAGTCTCCATGGATGCACCTAGAATCATTCGCGACATTTTGTTAGTGGAGCTTTCTGAACTGCTACATTCGTGGATCCCAGTTTGCGTCAACGTCTTTCATCAAATCTTCCCCGAGTATATCTTCGAGTCTAACCAACTTGTAACTCGCCTGATCGCTTGTGCCTCCGTCTGGGAGCTGGTTGGCATCGTCATGAGTGACTAGTAGCCCACCCGGGAATGCATCACCAAGGGCGGCGCCCACGGCGGTAAGTCCGTCAGTGTTGGTAACACCATCGACACCTTTCTCCGAGTTATCGTATATGGTGAAAGTTTCGACGTAGTCGTGAGGAGCAGCCCGACGATATACGTTATACGCACTAACACCCTGCTGGCTGACGATGATGAAACCCTTGTCTGCTGATGGGCCTTCAACCAAAGTCACACCCTCAACATCAGCGTACATGTTACCATCACCAACTTCGCCAATAAGGAACCCCTCGGTCGAGTCATCATCCGGCTCTGCACCATAACGCCAGAGAGCATGAGGTTCCTCGCCAATGATAATCCACCCATTTGCCTCGTCTGAAACGCAACCTTCGACTTGACCTCCGGTTCCTCCAGTGAAGTTACGTACCAAGGTGGTTTTCAATGCGTCGTCAACCCAGGAGAGCTCGTATTGTAGATATTCGGCCGACTTGGCGTTGACAAAAAGATACTGCTTGCCACTTTTACGCGAACGATATACGCAGCTACCATAAACTTTGTAGCCATCCTTAGTCGGCTGCGAACCACCAGCTATGGTCTGTAGAGTGCCGTTGGTGGTGATCTCAAAGAGGCTGAATACTGTTAGGCGCGATAGCTGGCATTGGGTAGAAAGAATAATACTTACCATAAAGTATTGTCAGTTCGACAGGCAGCATATGCCAAATCAATAGTTCTATTCCCAGCTTGGAAATTGTATATCACGTCAACGTTGTCCGGCTCTCCGGCATCTATGCTCTGGAGTAGTTTTCCATCCAGATCGAAAACACTCAGTCCAGCACCTTCTTCTGATTTCGTAGTGGTAATAATCCTCGATTCGGCCTTATCAGTGGGCGATATCCATATCGCAGGATCATCTCCGTCGCCGCCATGGGCGTCCGTCTCAGCAACTGGTCGTACTACTTTGAACGTACAGTATAAGCCACCCCATCCTTCTTCGCATTCGCACATATTCGCTCCAACACATTTGCCATGCGCTGAGCAGTCATTACGACACGTAAACTTTGCGCAATTGTCACCATCAAATCCTGCGAAGCATGAGCACGATACTTTGCTCGCGTCGCTCGTCCCTTTTTGACAGAAGCCACTAGAATTACATTCCGAGCAAATTGGACTGTTTGACTTGCTTGAGGTCGTACGAGGATCGTAAGAAGTGTTCAAATCCAGACCCAACCCGCTAAATGCGGTTTCCAAGGAACTGACAGCAAAGCCCTTCCCAGAATCGCTTTTGGTGGCATAAGCAACCACACCTGATGGGTACTTCTGTGTCGACGCTTGATAGACACTCAAGCCCTTAACTTCTATATCTTCATTGGCGGTAACCTTCATAGAACCCAAAAGTGCAAGGGAGGTGTTATAAACAGCGATGACATCGTTCTCGGCAACGAATATGTAGTCTGAGTCAATTCCAACGTAAGCAGCCAGCCCCGTAACATCATCCTCGGCCTTTCCTAGAACACTGATTTGAGGAGGTGAGGTTGCCTCTGCTGCTGGAAATGCGTAAATTTCTGGGCCATCGTCGGTCGCAAAATATACCGTCTCGGCAGACAGAGAAACAGCGCATGATGTTGCCTCAACTGGGTTCTCAAAGGTCTGGATTTCGATAATTTCGTAAGTCCCATTACTTTCCCTTAGAAGGTGTTGCACCGTTTGTTTTTTGCCAAACAAGTACAGATATTGCTCCCCGCTGCTTTGACTCTTCCAAGAACAGAGAGCCGACCAGTCCCCTAAGGTACGCGCCAGTGGCTCACCTACTTGTTCGGCAGTAGTTGCGTCATATAGCCTAAAATAGGAGTCGGGCTGAGCAATGGTAACGACAAGGCTCTTCTCGCCGATGTTGTGTACGGCCGTGACAAGCTTGGTTCGGCCGGGAGTCTCGTGGCCCTTTTCAGTTAACAGTGTTTCGCCATTTAAGTCAAAAAGTCGAAACCCACCCGTGCTCGCACCACCGTCGTTGCCAGCGAGAACGGGTTGCACATCATGGTAGAACACGGCAGTTGAGTCTGACTCGACTTCTCCTGATCTTGCTGAAATAGGTAAGTCGACCTCTGATATGGCCGCTGCAGTTGCGCTGGCAGCTAACGAAGTAGTCAGAAGATAGGAGGTCTTCATCCTGGAAGTGATGAATTTTATCGTGCCTAGGAAAAGGTATGGCATCCAAGAACTTTAAGCAAAGCCATCGTCGTTTTGTCTTCCATTATATAGTTAAGGTCCCATTTGAAGTTGCCCCCATCTCAGGGGCTCATCGGAGCTCATCCCTGCGTAAATCACCGTCGAAACGGACCCGTGTACTCATGCGACAATGCCGTTGGCTCGAAGGCCCCCCGCCAAGCAGTTGAGAGATACTCTCCTTCCGCCTTATAGACGTGGTCGTAAAATATTTACTCGCCGGCATTTCGGAGACCATATAAGCGATAAATTGCCATTAAGTCATGAGAATATCCAGTTTTGAGTTAAGCTGGTCTTAAAGCTCTTGTCAAGAGTTGAAGAGTTGTGGGGAAGAAGATGCAAACAGGGACCAACGTGGTTCCCACAAGCAAAACAGCTTTAAAAAAAGATTAGCAAATCATAACGGCGATGAGAGTGGGGATACAAACACGGTCGTCGGCATAACTGTGTACATGCGCATTAAGGGGAATCTCAAATAGGTAGCTTATATCCGCAAGTCTGCAACTTGAGCGATCTACTTACCTAATATAATCGCGCCGGCATTGATGAGGGCCAAAGAAAGATCGTGATGTCCACTCCAAAAATTCCCTAAAGTTGAAGTCAAATCACGACCAACTACTAAAAGTAACGGTTACTACCTAGAAGGTAAGCAGGATGTGGTACAGATTTAATCCACGCCAAGAGGTCGCATCCGTTTGAACGTGCGAAATCGGGTAGAGAGGCTGATTGGCTACCTGGTTGCCTAGTCCCTGGTATCGGATCTCAAATGCGCCTACAAAGAGTATCACGGGATTCCGCCTCGGAGATGTTGAGAAACGTACCTCCTACACGGTGTAGATGTCGCACAGGAATTTACTATTTCCTCTGGTGATTCTCCTGTTTCTCATCTCATCTCATCTTTCGCGTGGAATCATAGATTTACTATGTTAGGTTAGGTATCTACCTGGTATTTATCCAGAACCCCATGTGCGACCTTATCTCGCGAATAAGCCAATCGTGATTGGTGGTTACCAGCCCATGGCCTTCTCGAATTGGAAACGCCGTGGCACCTCGAGATAAGATTTCGATTCGCACCTAGGAAATAGAGGTAGTTGAATTTGTGAAACAGGTCTTTACCACAGCGACGGGATACCCGATGTGCATCTTCCCATGGTCGGTGTAGAGCATCTAGAGCTTCGTGGAACTTGGAAAGAAGGCTCGAAGAAGAATAAATCCCTGATAACTTAGACGAGCACGACGCAAGGCGATCCTCATTCGTATCAGTCCGTCGAACCAGGCTGTTAAAAGGGAAGCAAGCTAGGTTGTTGATTCGCTCTGATAAGAATGTGGGATGGCTCCTTCAGCCACCACGCCGAGTGATCTCTAGATTAAAAATGAACAGTTTTTGAGCTATTTGACTGGCTCTTGACGCTACTAATGGATGAAGGCTGACAGGGCCATGACGCATCGTAGGATTACAGGTATCGTATGCACAGTGGTTGGTGTTGCGCATCATGAAGTCTTTGTTGCTTGAGGTATCACAAACCGACTCCATGAGAATGTCGCACTGTCTTTCGTTTACCACCCAGTCTGGCCAGTCCGAGACAATTCAGAGTGAGACAATTCAGAGTCGAGCTCCGTTATCAAGAAAGTGACAGCTTACAATTCAGCCGTACCTACCTAGGTACCTTAGGTAGGTACATGTATGCTGCGCCCAAGGCTTGTTTGTCAAACTGTTAGGTACCTCTTTCGAATAGTACCTTAGGTTAGGTAGGTAGGTACATTAGAGGTATGTATTGTAGTTCGGTTGATTCAGTTTTCAGTTCAGCTCGAGGACTTCAGGTGGAAGTGACTTTCCTTCCTAATCTTTGCTAATCTCGCATCAAATCAGGACGTGACTTTCCCTTACTTTCCCTTACTTTCCCTTACTACCTAGGTAACGGCTCCTTCCAGAGATAATTACAAAGAGTCGGTTACACATAACAGTGGGAAGGGGCGTCACGACTTGGAACTGATAAGAAGCAGCACACGCACCTTTCCTTTCTACCTTATATGCTAGGTACCTACCTAACCTACCTAACCCTACCTACCTCCTATCTAAGATATCTCTCTTTTTAAATTCCTTCCAGAAGCCCTTTCCTGCATTGCATTCTCTAATGATACCCATTTTACCCATTTTCAAGACCCGCCCACATCAGACTTCCATATCTTGAAGTATCTCTTTATCATCCCCTATCCTGTCGCAATTCGTGTCGCAACTCATGCTGCTGTAATCGATGGCAGGCGACAATTCTCCTACTCTCTCTGCTGCCTACAACGGCAGCGAAGACCTTCACGATAAACAGCCTTCATTCGTTGGCGGCGCTTACAACGAATACGATGGTGACCATGGCGCCGACACCGAGTTGAAGCGCTCCTTGAGCACACGTCACTTGACCATGATCGCGCTTGGTTCCAGTATTGGTATGGGCTTATGGCTTGGTAGTGGTACCTCCCTAGCGAACGGCGGTCCTGCTGGTATCTTCCTCGGTTATTGTCTCGCCGGTTCCATGATTTGGTGTGTCAGTCATTCCATCGGAGAGATGGCGTGTGTGTATCCTCTCCCATCGGCCTTCGTACAGTGGACAGGTGAGTAGAAAACTTATAAACCGAATTCCTAAGCGATCCTAGATAACTAATACATATCTCAATAAAGGAAAATTCGTCGATCCAGCTGCGGCTTTTGCCCTCGGATGGTCTTATTGGTTCAGTTACTGGTTAGCAACATACTATATCCATACGTTCGGATATCGACTGGGTTAGAAACTAATACATCGTATTATATAGCATCACCATCGCGAATGAGTTAGCGTCAGCAAATACCGTTATAAGCTACTGGACAACTCGCGTGCCGATAGCAGGATGGATCAGCATATGGCTAGTCATTATCATTCTGATCAATATTGGCGCTGTTACCGTCTTCGGTGAAATTGAAGTCGTCGCCAGCACAATTAAATTTGGCTGGATCTTCGTTGTCATCATCTCCATGATCGTCATGTCAGCTGGAGGAGCAGGCTACGACGCGGTGGGCTTTCGATACTGGAATGAGATCCCCTTTACGCACGGTTTCAAAGGATTCCTTGCCGTTATGCCTACTTGTATCTTCGCCATGTCCGGATCTGAGAATTCAGGTTTGGTTGCCGCCGAGACAGCAAACCCCAAAAAGTCCATCCCTCGCGCTGTTGGGTCCATATGGCTCCGGCTTGCGCTTTTCTACCTGGTCGGATCACTTATGGTGACTATCAATGTTGATCCCAGGAATGACCGACTTTTCGGGGCTGATGGTGCTGAGGGTACTGGTGCTTCACCATTTGTCATTGCTTATAGCGACGCAGGAATTCCTGTTCTAGCCCATATGATGAACGCAGTTATTCTCATATCAGTCGTCTCCACTGGGTCAATCTCAGGCTATGGCGGCTCCCGAACGGCGATGGGATTGGCCTACCTAGACATGGCACCTAAAGTATTCACGCAAGCCGATAAATCCGGTCGCCCCTGGTGGGGTCTGATCCCTACGTTTGTCCTGGGTGGTGGGCTTGCCTACCTAAACGTTAGTCAATCCGGTGTCAACGTGTTCGGCTGGTTTTCCAATCTCACATCTCTCTTCACTCTGTTCGGCTGGGGCATGATCTGTCTTTCCCACATCCGTTTTCGCCACGCTTGGGCAAAACAGGGGCGTACACCCGAGGAGCTTCCCTGGAAGTCCTGGATCTATCCTTATGGTCCCTGGTGGGGCTTGATTATGTGCATTCTACTTATCATAGTCCAGTTCTATCTCGCCGTCTGGCCTCTTGGAAGCGAGCAAAGCGCTGAAACCTTTTTTGCAAACTACATCTCCGTCATTGTTATCGTTGTACTATGGCTTGGAGCTAGACTATATTACCGTGGAAGATGGTGGGTCAACCTCGATCACATCTTACTTGACGAAGGTCGCAGGTTTTATAAGAACGACATTGAAAAAGCCAAACCCACTGGCGTCAAAGGATATGCAAAAAGAGCTGTCAGTGCTGTTTTTAGCTAGGCGGTTAGCCATTTTCCATACTTTAAAGAGGTTCAGGTACATAGTATGTTGGTTTGAGAGAAGCGTATCATAATAGGTACCCACCTGGTATACTCCTAGGTCCGTAGGTATATTATGGGGAGGGAGGGGGTATTTGATTTGGCTGAAGTAAAGGTGTTGATGTAATTACATAATTACAGGCCTCCCATAATACTCTGTCGGGCAGTGAACACTCTTACTAGGTACCTACCTCTAAACTTGTTATACCGATATCATTATAAGGGCTTACAAGTCAGTACAAATAAAACCACTTCAGGCAAACATTATACCAGAAGTACTTTCCACCTCGTACCTAAACCGAGGGCCCCCCGTGTGGTGGACCACAAGAGCCCGACTTTAGGAATATCCTGTACCAATGTACTCTTCCATTTTGGCCAAAACATTTCCTATCCAAGTAATCCTTAGGTTAGCGAATCCGACATAACATCCCTCCTAAATTCGGTCATCATTACTAGCCCTGTTAACAGCGACTTAGAGGTAGTTAGTCTATCTACCACGATATCAGTAATTCAACATAACGTCAAGAATCAACATAATGTCAGACTTAAATAGGGCCTGGAATGGCATCGGGTATAATGTAAGCACCTGTACCAAGCATATAAAAGGTAGGTAGGTACTCCAATACAGCAAATCTTAGTTACTTGTAAATCGTAAACCTCGTAATGTAACGATAAAACGCGGAGCTTATAATCTCGTAACCTTGTCATTCAGCGTAATCTTTTCAATTGACTTTTACATGTACCTACCTACCTAACGCTATAAATACATGTATATAGTACTATTCGAAGCCCTGTATTTAATACAGGGCTTCCAATCCTTCTTCTTTTTCTCTCCCTCTCTCTCTTTTTTTATTTCTTTTTTTTTACATACGTCTTATATGGTTGACATCGTATTGTATGTGACATTCAACAGCCTGGTAACCGTTAGTACTATCAGTAATCCTATACCTATCGTACCTAGGGTTCTTATCTCAAACCTAAACATCCTCATACGTACAATATAGCCATCTTAGGTATAAGGTAACTATATTTCAAAAGACAGCCAATTGGCTGACGAACATTATATCCACACCCTACAAGGACCTATGTTACGAAATAAGGTAGGTAGGTACCTAAAGATTGGACAAAGCCTCAATAAGAGGTAGGTGCCTGGGTAGGTACACCAGGATAACAACGTGTAAGGAGAACGCAGCTCCCTCGAAGGTGCTTCGAGGGGCAAGGGCAATAGATCACAGCTCTACACACCAAGGTTATTACTGTCTCCACCTGGAGTATTCACATTATCTACGACATACATCACGGGATCTCTGTGTCAGTCATATTTTAGAAGTTTACTTCAAACTGGTCCCATTGAAATCAGGTAGCAACCAGCACCCACTCCAACTCACAAGTAGGTATTCGTAATAGGACAGATGTAGGAAGGCTGAGAATACAGGTGTTCTAAAGTTTATCTTTTGGATAGCACATTCCTCTATAGAGCGTAATTCCCTCGGGTAACCTAAATACCTAAGGTTAGGAGGTAGCTACCTAGGTAGGTAGGGTAAGTAAACTAGTAATTGAGGACCTCCTACTTTCATATCTTACAATACCTGTAGCAATAGCAACTCGGGTAGCATGCAACTTTGAAGGGTCTTAAGTGTCGTTGTTGCCAAATAATACATATGGCTGTGTACTTGCTTCGGCATGGTCCTGCTGCCTGCATTAGGTACTAATTGATATGGGCAAGAAGGGAAATGACTATGATGAATGGGACAGTGTTATTCACCAAGTGTTGCACGCTTCATGGTATCATCATACCTGTAAAGTTCAAAGTCCTTTCAACGCTCCTTTCAAACTGGCCATTTGGCAAGTAATGATTCCCCTATTTAGGCACCATACTATGTGCCTAAGGTAGTCGAACTGGGCTGCACTTGCCTAGGTACGCTTGAAACATGGTAATCTATAGAAGTGCGGTTGCTTGTCATACGTACCTGCTCTCTTGCTCTTGCCTTAGAGATAGTGCGTTTCTGGAGCATTTTTTTCCTACCTTCGGAGTTCTGCCATATCTGTTGACTTGAACGAGGAACAACAATAACAATAATCACATTTTTTATACCTATTTTAGCTCAAGAAGCATCTTTATTAGATGCCGCCAATAAACTTATCATATTATCAGAAGAAATAAAGAAAACGGACGTCCAACATTATTACAACAACTTAGCGAATTAGCAAGCCTATATCCGTACATAAAAGCAATATTAGCTATGATAAGTTTTTTCATTATTAATTATATATTAACTTATAACAGTTCTATTACGATTATTCAAAATATTATTACCGGCATAAGATATGTCGGTAATATTTTCTCATCCTTTAACAAATGGTTAGCAGCTCCTACCAACGCTGCTAACCGCGCCACCGCCGAAGCCATCGCCGAGGCCGTCCGACTTGAAACTGCCGAGGCTCCCCCCTTTCGTGTTGAATGAGTATAATCCCGTAAAAACAACCAAAGGCGGATAGCAAAGATCAGACCTTCACTGGTTTCGTCCTCCAAAAACCAGTGTAAACACCCGATGTCAGCAAAATAACACTCTACCCGACAATCTAGTCGACACGGCACAAAACTCAACCGCCATACGGCCATAAATATACACAGTCTCATACATTTCTTCGACTCTCTCGGCTTGTCGGCGCCTCTCAAGGTTCTTGTACAGAACTTCGTCGCTTGGGCCGTCATGTATATCTTCGAAGCTCTCCAGTTCCGATACCCTATAGAAGTTGCTGTACAAAGCCCCATCTCTCAAGTTATCGTCCACATCTTCCGGCCACACTATCATCATCATTCTCCTTACCGTTATTATCCGGGACGCCGGACATGGCGGGATTTAGGCATCAATCTAAACCTGGATCAGGTAAGGAGTCTCACTAGAGACTCCTTGGAACAAAGAAGTTGTTCTGTATATAGCCTTGGCTTCAAAGCCACTGTAGTCAGAGTTCCTTGCGGAACAACGAAGTTGTTTTACCTACCATATGCTCTGCGACGTGACAGGATCAGGTCACAGAGCATGTTCGTCTTATTCCAATCAGGGCCTAATCCCTCACAGCCTCGCGATAAACATTTTGCTCCTACTCACACCCTTCTCACGACCTTCGGAGGTATGAACTAGATGCCAACTCGATACGCAGTGCACCTCTCATTCTTCATCCTATCAATGTGCATTGATAAAAATTAAAACCCGATCTTTCGGGGCGGTCGTCTTTCGCTCGATGCCGCCCGAGAAAAGCAGGAACAAGGGGAACGAGTTCAACAACCGTGGGGCTAAATCCGACAACCATTCATATTCGCAAGCCATATTTCTCTGGTAAGGCTCTTTTTTTTGTTTTTTTGTTTTTTCCCCCAAAACCACATTGCTAGCTTCTCTGTTTATACAGGGAGCAACGAGACATGTATTATTAAGTAACGATCTGACTCTTTCGTAGAGAAAAATTGCTATAGGTACCTCCTACGCAATCTTGGACAGCGAGGAAGAACCCCAATCCTTCCTTCTCAGCAGCCCCCAGAAATAATGACCCAAACCTGAGCGTATCAGGCAGCAACAATAGAGCGTTTAACGATCCCAAATAGTCATGAGCAGGCGAGCCACACAGTCGCGTCCATCGAACGGTTAAACCACCAATGAGATTGCTATATGAATTGATTATGACAGCAGAACTTTGAATCTGCAGCCGAAGTTACCGAACCAAGCGGTCTTCGCGTTCGATAATAATCCATACAATCCTTGTTCTTGCATAGAGGCTTGATGCAAGGGGATTCTGGATGAGGGTATGTATCAGGATCCATCGCGTGGAGCCATTCGTGTGTCGGATTTATCGTGTCATGGCCGTCTGTTGTTTCGCAGACTTTAATCATGACCCTATAAGTGGTTTGAAGACACGGAGAGCCCGTAGGCCTGGGATGATGTTGGGTTACGACTACCCACTGTTGGATTTGACCGTACCTGTGCAGCTCATGACAAGCACCGCAGATCTGTGGCGTTGCAGGATACTGCTGTGCTTCGTCATCACCCGTTTCGTAGCGGATCTAATTGCAGTCATGACTAAAACATGCCATCTTAGGCAAACAAGTCGGAGGATATGAAGGTAGCATCATGCTCGCTAGTCCTTCTCGATATTTCCTGAATACCGCCCTTAGCTCCGCAGCAGGTATCCGCCTATCTAGAATAGAAGTGGAAAAATTGGGGCCGGTATGGGGTTTCCATTTCAAAACGAGGTATATCATATTACGCGACAAGATTAGAAGATGGGCACTGGGCTGGGTTGGGGGTGAAAGCCTCGTGCAGCGCATATCGTGGCTCCGATGATCACATGAGATGTTAAAACTGGCGATTTAGGATCCCGGACCCGAGGGCTTACGCTTCCGCCATTCGAGGATATGACGTTCGATGGTGGTCCAGGAGATCGAGACGTGCTCGCATAACTGCACACCTCCTCGGCGACCTATACACTGCCCTGGGCTGCCCCGGTCAGTAAGTTGTCCGATGCTGTGGTCGGTGTGGCAGGGAGCGCAGCAATACGGTCCGTTTCTGCGTGGCCTACCAGCCCAAGGCCTGAACTTGTAGCGAAAGGGTTGCCTGTTGAACTTATTTTCGAGCTTATAGTCGTCGCGCCAATCGCGCCAATCTCTGCACATATCGCACGTTTTGTCTTTTCGCAGGAGTTGCCGAAGTTGGAGCTGCTGATTGATGGAGAACTTACGGAACGTCCACCAACCAATCTCCATCGCCGCAAGACGCCGGAGTGTCCTCGAGACGTGGGCGAGGCAACACAGAGAGACAGGGTCGTCCTTGAGATGATGGAGTATAGCAAGCAGCAGCTCCTCCGGCAGGCTGCAGAGACGGCTGTATTTGGCATTGTAGACTTGCGCTGCTAGTAGCGGGTCCATGGTTCGCTCCTTTGAGTGCGAATTATTGGAGATTGCTTTGGAGATTGCTGTGTCTGCCCATTTGGTGGTATTTCGAGATCTTCGCGAGGTCGGCGAGGTCGGTGCCGCCACCGTTTGAGAACAGACATCGCATCAGCTAGCTTTTAAAGTGTTTCTTTAATCTAGGGAATTGATGAAGACGGGGGAAAGATGGACGGAAAATGGGGACATCATTCCTGATCTATTTATCTACGCCGGGGAATTTCTGGCATGTAGGTAGGTAACTCAATCGACGCTAGCCAGTGGCGACGGATTTTTGATACTTTTTCCCAAACGGCTGACGACGACAAATGTGAGTGCACTGAAACTCAATTGACTTCCCCTAGCAGATACAGTTGTCCAAGTTCCGGTCGTAGGCGAACAATCCCTTTCGATTAATGTTTCCGCCGTCGTTAGAGAAACTCTCAAAGCCGCTAAAGCGAGTCGATTCTATCCCCCCCTCGAAGCTTGAGGCGGCTAGCATCCGTAAGCCCTTACGAGTTTTACGCCTCGGACGGGAAAAACTTATCTTTCTCCGCATCTACCGCCGACGATAGAGTTTTGAGGACGCGTTCTGGCAGTTGTCGCACTAGGGATCTCAGCAATAGTTTTCAAGTGTTAGCCGGCGCCGGTGATTTATTATGCGGGCCGTGGGTGAACCTGCGAGTACTGTACAATCAGAAAGTTCACAGCAAAGTTTATGAGGTCGAGAATAAGAGCTACATGTCCCGAACGATAACGAATTTTCAAAGGCTTTTAATTGTGTGTTTGAAAAGCATACCCGAAAGCTCTGTATATAATAAGAGCGAGAAGATCGATAGCGCACCTTGTAAGAGAACAATCCTCTATTAAGCCGATAATATAAAAAGAGGATTTTTATAAAATAAGGATACCAGCTGGGGAGTAAGCAATGGTGTGGACCCTTCTCCCCCAAATCGCTGGTAGGTATGTATATGCCGTGGTATTCAACACGATATCGTAACTGAGGTGCGGGGAAACGATGGACTAATAGCTAGCATTCATGATTAGCGAAATGCCAGACCAATGACGGTATGTTTATTCTCGGATACCTACCTGAGTCGTTATATATAAGGCAGGTATTTAACGTGGCCGGATTACTCTCAAGATGTTTCGTTGTTCAAGTACAAATTTTACTTCACCAATATGGGTCCCGTCGACCACTCTACACCGTTCACCATCAAAGAAGCACCTATCGACGGTCATAGGCCTATGAAGGTGCGGGTTATTGGAGCTGGCTATTCGGGGATTTACCTAGGTATTCGTATACCACAACGTTTGCGCAATGTCGACTTCCGGATATACGAAAGACACGAATCCGTGGGTGGAACATGGTGGGTAAACAAGTATCCAGGTAATATCTCAATGATGATGTTAGACACGACGATAGTTCGCTTAAATTAACTCTTATCCATCTGATTTAGGGTGCGCATGTGACATACCAGCACATTCATATCAATACTCGTTCAACCCGAACCCTAACTGGTCAAGTTTCTACGCCCCTCAAAAAGAGATATGTTCGTATCTTCAAAATACGGCCGAGACATATGGGGTTCTCAGATATGTCAAGCTGTCACATAGCGTAGGATCCTGTCGGTGGGATGACAAGAAGAATAACTGGTCTCTTACAGTCTCCCGAGTGGACCTCGTCGAAGATATGCTGACTTATAACTAGGATCCTAACAATTCAACGAACCGATACCAACGAGACGTTTGAAGACGAGGCAGATGTGCTAGTTTCTGCCAGAGGAAACTTAAGCGACCCTGCTTGGCCTGATATTCCTGGGTTGAAATCCTTTAAAGGGGAAGCCATGCATTCGGCGCTATGGAATGAAAAGTCTGCATCACCATACCCGCGTGATGGTTTAGTCAACTGACAATAAATAGTTATGATTTCAAGAACAAGAGAATTGGGGTTATAGGGAATGGATCTAGCGCTATACAGATCGTCCCGAATCTACAAAAAATCGAAGGAACACAGCTTTCATGTTTCGTCAGAAGTAAAACATGGATTACGAATCCTTTTGGTGATGGTGCGCCCCTCTCTCTCCCCCTTCTTTCAATCAAGCTGATTCACTTTTTGATAAATTTCAGCCGTAATGAAGAAACTTGGCTTGGACCCGACAAAGTTCGAATGTAAGTCGCCGCAACTTTTATCTTTCAGCTTACACCTAAGCTTAACTGATGCTTCCAAGTCACACGGGAACAACGGCAAGAATTCGCCAACAACCCCGAGAAATTTTTGAATTTCCGTCGGATCATCGAGGTAGACGGGAACATATCCCATCCTGTCTCGCTGAGAGAATCGGAGATGCAGAAAGGGGCAGTTGGACTGTTCAGCGAAGCAATGCGGCAGAGATTGTCCAAGAAGCCCGAGATCGCCGAGTTCTTAATTCCCGCTTTTGGAATCGGCTGTCGCCGTAATACGCCGGGGCCGGGATACCTCGAGGCGCTTGTTGAAGACAATGTAGATTTCATCACTGACCCCATAAAAGCGATAACGGAGGACGGAGTATCTCTCAAGTCAGGTCGTTTGATCCCTCTCGATGTTCTTGTCTGCGCCACGGGATTCAATACCACGACAGCACCACCTTTCCCGGTTTATGGACGTGCCGGCCAATCGTTGGAGTCGCGCTTCACACCATATCCTACCGCATACCTCTCACTTACTGTAGATTCGTTTCCCAATTTCTTCATGATGCTCGGTCCAAACGCAGCCATTGGAGCCGGGTCTCTAACCGTGATTCTCGAAAACCAAGGCGATTACATCATCAAAAGTATTAGGAAACTACAGAAAGAGGACTACGCCAGCATGAGCGTCAAGCCCGAGCGCATAAGGGACTGGGACGAGTACTGCGACGAATATTTCAAGCGTACCGTCTATACAGACACGTGCCATAGCTGGTATAAGAGCGAGGGAGGCCTCGGCGAGCGTATCGTGGGCTTATGGCCAGGGAGCGCGCTCCATGCGCTGGAGGCTCTGCGAGCGCCTAGATGGGAGGATTACGAGTGGGAAAGCGTCAATGGTAACGGGCCAAACAAGCTGAGATGGCTGGGCAATGGGTGGAGTATTACGCACTCGAAGGGTGAAGGCGAAAATGAATGGGGTGGTGATCCGGCTTGGTATATCGAACCAAGCTTCCTAGATGTTCCCATCCCGGGTCGTCCAGAAGATGATGAGAAGCTGAAAATGCGACCGTTCTCACATTAGTCGCCGTGGGAATACAGGTAGCTTGATCCAAACTGCGACTCCATATGCGGCGCAAAAACGTACCATCTAACGGAGTTAAGATTGTATTGCAAAAAAAAGGACACCGTAATTGCAGACTAGCCATTACGCCTTATATTAATTAGGTACAACTACGTGACAGGTTGTATCTATATCATGAGCTACTCGCGATGACTTTTGAAAAACCCACTATTTCTAGGTAGAATTCAAACAACAAGCGTATTATGAAAAAGCCGCTACATGGATTGAAATAAAATAACGTATTATTTCTCGGAGACACCAATGTGCTGCTATTATAGTAAAGCTACCTACTTCTATCTTGGTAAATCAAGGGTCAATCCAGTACCTACCTAACCTACAATAACCCAACTCGTTGCTTCATCTCGATCTTAGGCCTTTGAACAGTCTACCCACGGTGTCCTAGAGGCTGAGCGAGCTCCACATAACGACGATGGCAAATTTTTCCTTATCAACTTAAGTCCGACTCCGTACCTCTTATTCCCGTTAACTCCTATGTTCTTCGATGTTCAGTCCCACTAATAAGTGAATCGGACTTGGGCTAATAGGTTACCCTTTACACAATAGTCTTGACTGTTGTGGAGTTCTGGAGTTGCAAATAGAATTGCGTGGGTCTATAGGCACCTAGCTTTATACGATTAGTAGGTAATACACCGAAATGACTCAAATGACGGTGAATATACTATCCGTGAGTTATGGACCTAAGATGTTACATGGGTACCTTAAGTCAGATGCTCGTTTGTGGTATATCTAACTCACATCGAGCGAAGTCTCAGAAATGTGTTGAGGCAACTTCGGGATTACCCAAATTTCCATCATGTTTTCTATTTGGCGAAGTAGATACCACCACCCTTACTAGGATAGTTGGATAGGTTAGGTACTTAGTATGAAGGTTTAAGTGAGCCCAAAAGTGAGCTAGTTGAAAATGTTGGCAACTTCTACTTATGTTGAGCGGGTAAATATATTATTAGTCTTGGCTTAGGTACCTTATATAAATCTGTATTTCTAATACCAATTTGTTTATTAAACTTGCGAGGGGAATATAAAATATTAGTGCTTCGTAAGCGTTAATTGGTAATCAGAACTGCAAATAAGACCGACAAATGCTTAGCAGTATTCCATATATGACTTAGATTATCTGACTTAAACTATATGGGTAAAGGAACTATGGGTAAGGCGAGCTCGCAAGTAGGTTGGTTGTTTATATCTGTTTGAATCTCTAAGTGGCGAGAGCTTACACCCACCTATTCCCCTGGTTAGCCTCTTAATGCCCAACCAACTCGCGTATTTTTAGTGCGTAAGAGGTACCTAATAACTCCACGATGTAAGGCGTATATGAGGCCATTCGAAGCAATCCTCCCATTGGTTCGGGGTTCTTAAATCGGCAAAGTTGGTGCAGGAAACACACGTGAGATCTACATGCAGGACCCAAACTTATAAGACATTAGGAACCGGTAGAAATTGGCCGGGAGAGTCAGCTTGGTGGCATTATTCAGCTATCGCTGCGACAATCTGGTTGAGGTCCCGGCTCGCTGGTACAGATACTGTAGGATTTCTGGGCATGACGAAATCTGAGATCTCAGTCCCGTACTTGTTCGTACCTAAACTCCAGGCTTAACACCGAGAGGAATACATTATAGGTACATACGAGACCTACGTTCTGAAGCCATCGCAGAACTAAGTACCAGGTAGGTACGCTTGTGTCTCAATCATCCTTGGCGATGGAAAAAGTCTATCGCCGGAGGTAACACCGTAGTCCTTAGAATTCACTGTAGAGATAACAATCATATATACCCCAATGATGCGCCTAGTACATCCTATCTATTCCCGTTCCTATTTGTTGAGCTGGCTGGGTCCTTATCTCACCGACATGTGATGAAATGTCAGGGGGGGCTTGCTTTTCGATCACCGCAAACGCATTCGGCTGTATCAGTTATCAATGACTGGCCTATCAATGCCGGACGAGTGTAAATACAATGTATATGCTAGCAGTCTGTTCTCAGTGATGACAGGTCCGGAAAGTTGACACATGCCGTAGTGGAACTCGAGATTAGTATAAATCAGGGAATCCGGTCGGCATAACAACCGTATTATATCCAACACCATGGCTGATTGGCAATCAAGGCCGGTGGGCCGGTCTTGATATACTTCATCTGACTCCTCCATCGGGTTGGCTTTTAACCTTAGTCCCTTGGTTAACAATCAATCATCTTCTTGTAAGGGGTCCCATCCGAACGGGCGCTAAAACTACTTGAACATCACCATTTGTCAAGGTCTCCAGCGAAAACAGTGGGATCCTCAGTAAATTTTAAGATCTAGACTCTTTTTAGCAATTCTTAAACTTTATATAAGGCGCTCATATCTGCCCCGAAAGATTTAGGTTTCGGTAAAGAGTCGCGTATCGTGTTTCGTCGTTTGCTTAGGCGATTCCAAGATCCCCCAGCCAGTAAGCGGCGCCTTGTCCGTCGAATCCTACCCACGAGACCAATACAAGTGCCTAGCTTGTAGCCGCGACCATGTGGTCTAGTGGTTTGGGTGATGCCACTCGGCGTAGGGAGCTGGGAACGCCAGTGAACATATGGCACCACGAAGATACCCATCTGGACAGGAGAAGATCAACCGAAGTTGCACAGGACTTAGAGAGCCACGATGCGCATGATGATCCTGACTCGGCCGGCAATGGAGAAGGTACCTGGGGCGAAAGAGACGTTGGTCGATTTGATGAACAGGAAGCGTTGGATGAGTTAGAGGCACTGAGGCACAACCTCTCACGGCTACAAAGCACAAGAACAAAAGAGTCGCAAGCCAGCAGACATTTCGATTTAACCAGAGCCGGCAGTCATCGGAGCGAAACAGCTGATGTGCTTTCAAGGCACGGTTCAGCACAAGCTCAAGGCGACGAACTTGAGGATAAGGATAAGTTCGTAACGGGAGAGACAGAATTCGAGCTGGGACGATTTATGCGCGATGGCCACTTCGAAAAACGTACCGAAGACGGTTCTGCGAAGCGAGTTGGTGTCATATATAAGAATCTCACGGTTAAGGGTGTGGAGAGTACCTCTTCTTTCGTTCGTACACTCCCGGACGCCATACTTGGAACTTTCGGACCTGACTTATACCACATTGTCTCCCGGATCTTTCCCATCCTTCGATTAGGCAGGAAGCAGCCGATGCGAACCTTGATCAGCGACTTTACGGGATGTGTGCGTGACGGAGAGATGATGCTTGTTCTGGGTCGCCCTGGCTCCGGATGCAGCACATTTCTCAAAGCTGTAAGCAATAACGTTGAGTCGTTTGCTGCTGTCGAGGGCGACATTTCATACGGCGGCATTCCGGCAAAGAAGCAGAAGCAGATGTATCGAGGCGAAGTGAACTACAACCCCGAGGACGACGTTCACTTTGCTTCGCTAAATGTCTGGCAAACTTTTACGTTTGCGCTTATGAACAAGACGAAGAAGGGTGCTAAGGCAGAAATACCTATCATCGCTGATGCTCTGTTAAAAATGTTTGGGATCAGTCATACAAAGGTGCGTGGTAATCAATCATGAATGTTTGGGATATCCCCCAACTCTTCAACTAACATATTTGTATCAAGTATACGCTCGTCGGTGACGATTATACTCGAGGTGTGTCCGGCGGCGAGCGTAAGCGAGTATCTATTGCCGAGACATTAGCATCGAAGTCCACCGTGATGGCCTGGGACAATTCGACTCGAGGGTTAGATGCCTCAACGGCTCTCGACTACGCGAAGTCGCTGAGGATTATGACCGACATCAGCAACCGAACAACGCTCGTAACACTGTATCAAGCCGGTGAAGGTATTTACGAGCTCGTGGATAAGGTTCTGGTCATCGACCAAGGCCGACAAATATTTTCGGGTCCGGCCAAGGATGCGAAGCAATATTTCATAGACCTTGGGTTCGAATGTCCCGAGAGGCAGACCACGGCTGATTTCCTAACCGCGGTCACCGACCCTAAAGAGAGGCGCTTCAGGCCCGGGTTCGAGGACCGAGCACCGAAAACGGCCGAAGAACTGGAAACGGCCTTCCGCAACTCGCCGAACTACCAGAAGCTGCTACAAGACGTCCAAGACTACGAAGAGCATCTCCAACGCACGGATTACGCGGATGCAAAGAAGTTCGAGGGCGCGGTGCAAGAGTCCAAGTCGAAGCATGTTAGCAAGAAGTCTCCTTATACCGTTTCGTTTACTCGCCAGGTGTGGGCATGTACCCAGCGAGAATTCTGGCTCTTGATCGGGGATAAGTTGACTCTCGGGACGAAATTCTTCATTACTATCGCTAGCGGCCTCATAGTCGGCTCCCTCTACTATAAGGAGCCATTCTCAACCGCCGGGGCCTTCACGCGCGGTGGTGCCTTGTTCTTTTCCGTCATCTTCCTCGGCTGGCTTCAGCTTTCCGAGCTCGGTAAAGCCGTTAGCGGACGAGCAATCGTCGCTCGCCACAAGGATTACGCCTTCTACCGTCCATCTGCTGTATCGCTCGCCCGTGTTATTCTGGACTTTCCGTTGATCTTCCTTCAGGTGTGTATTTTTGGGACAACCATGTATTTTATGACCAACTTGGATGTCGATGTGAGCAAGTTTTGGATCTACATGCTGTTTGTCTTTACCACGACGATCATGATCACGGCCCTCTACCGTATGTTCGCCAGCTTATCGCGGGAAATAGATACAGCTGTGCGCTTCTCCACCCTTGCTCTCAACCTCCTAGCTATATTTACGGGCTACACCATTCCAAAAACTCAGCTTCTGCACAAGTACATCTGGTTCGGATGGCTGTATTGGATCAATCCTCTATCGTATAGCTTCGAGGCAGTCTTGACAAATGAGCTCTCTGACCAACTAATGGATTGTGCTCCTGAACACCTTGTCCCTCAAGGCCCTAACATCCTCCCAGAGTATCAAGGATGCGCTTTCACTGGCTCCCAACCAAACTCGAGAGTCGTTGCTGGGAATGACTACTTGCAGACGGCCTTTGACTACAGCCGTTCTAACCTATGGCGAAACTTCGGCGTGGTGGTCGCTTTTGGAATTGTTTACCTCCTCATCACAGTTGTGATAACGGAGACGTTCGATTTTTCATCCGACGATGGCGGCGCGCTCATCTTCAAGAAGAGTCGAAGAGCAAAGAAGCGCGCACAGAAATCCGCCACGCCATACGATGTGGAAAATCAAAGGGCCGACAGCAACCGCTCGTCCGCAACTAGGGTCGACAACGCACAAACTACGAGCGAGGAACAGAGCGAGGCTTTGGAACAACTTACCAAGGGCGAATCTATTTTCACATGGCGAGACCTCGAGTACACCGTGCCTTACCTCGGTGGCGAGCGTAAGCTTTTAAATAAAGTTAATGGGTACGCGAAACCTGGTATTATGGTTGCACTTATGGGTGCCTCCGGGGCCGGCAAGTCGACGTTGTTAAATACCCTAGCGCAGCGACAGCGGACTGGCGTTGTTACAGGCGAGATGTTCATTGACGGGAAAGCTCTGGGGCCCGAGTTTCAGCGGAATACGGGTTTCTGCCTCCAGGATGATCTCCACGACGACACGCAAACGATTCGCGAAGCCATTGAATTCTCTGCCCTCTTACGACAAGAAGCGACCGTTCCTCGAGCCGAGAAGCTCGCATATGTGGACAAGATTATTGACTTGCTCGAGCTTAACGACCTCCAGGATGCTATCATCAGCTCCTTGGGCATCGAGCTACGTAAACGAACGACTATTGGCGTAGAACTCGCCGCCAAACCGTCATTGCTTCTATTCTTAGACGAGCCAACGTCGGGTCTCGATTCTCAGTCGGCCTATTCTATCGTCACCTTCCTGAAGAAGCTCTGTGCCGCCGGCCAAGCCATCGTCTGCACTATCCACCAGCCAAGCTCCGTCCTCATCCAACAATTCGACATGGTGCTCGCTCTCAATCCCGGCGGGAACACGTTTTACTTCGGCCCCATCGGCGAGAATGGCAAGGATGTAATAGACTATTTTGCCCAGAGGGGAGCCACATGTCCTCCGGAGAAGAACGTCGCCGAGTTCATCCTCGAAACCGCGGCGCGGCCTCACAGGCGACCCGACGGCACCAAGGTCGACTGGAACGAGGAATGGAGGAACAGCGAGCAGGCGCAAAGGGTCATCGAGGAGATTGACGGCCTCAAGAGAGTCCGCGGCGCGGCGTCGCACGGTGACAAGGTCTCGAAAAGCGAGCGGCAAAGGGAGTTTGCCGCGCCGGCTTGGCTGCAGACGGTCGAACTGACGAAGCGAATGTTCAGGCAGTACTGGCGCAAGTCGTCCTACCTGTACGGAAGACTCTTCGTAGCGGTGCTCATCGGGATCTTCAACGGGTTCACCTTCTGGAAGCTCGGGAACAGCGTCCAAGACATGCAGAACCGCATGTTCACGGTGTTCCTGATCATCATCATCCCCGCCACCATCGTGAACGCCGTCGTGCCTAGGTTCGACCAAAATATGAGCTTGTGGCAAGCCCGCGAGTACCCCTCTCGCATCTACGGCTGGGTGGCGTTCTGCACCGCCAATATAGTCGCCGAAATCCCCGCCGCCATAGTGTCGGGTATCATATATTGGGCCTTGTGGTGTTGGCCTAGCGGTCTTCCCGGCGACAGTTTGGCTGCCGGATACTCTTTCATAATGACGGTGCTTATCTTCCTATTCATGACCAGTTGGGGCCAGTGGATCTGCGCATTCGCCCCCAGCCTAAGAGTTATTGACAACGTGAGTATTAACTCCCTGTCATTAATACCTTGATGCTCTTTTTGTTATTAACGTACTGTGCGCAGGTGTTGCCATTCTTCTTCGTCATGTTCGGTCTGTTCAACGGTGTAGTGCGGTCCTACTCGGCGCTCCCAGTGTTCTGGAGGTATTGGATGTATTGGGTCAACCCCGCCACATATTGGATCGGCGGCATGTTAGCCGCGACGCTTGATGGGGTTCCCGTTCGATGCGACCCGTCTGAAACCGCTCAATTCGACGCCCCTCCCAACCAAACTTGTCAGTCTTATGCCGGCGAGTTTGCACAATCTGCTGGAGGGTACCTGCTTAATCCCGAAGCCACATCTGGGTGCCAGTACTGCCCTTATACAGTCGGCAATCAGTATCTTACTACCTTGAACGTCAATGCGGACGATAAATGGCGAGGTATGTTCCAATCCAATGCGCATACCTAGTTTAGGTACTTAAACCTATGGTATCTAAAGTGCATGCTAACATAATATCAGACTTTGGCATCTTTTTGGCTTTCTGCATTTCTAATTGGGCGCTTGTGTACTTCTTCATCTACACAGTACGCATTCGCAATTGGAGCTTCGGGTTTGGTTATGTGTTCGGCGGTCTAGGAAAGCTTGCCGGTGCGTTGAAGCGACAATTCAAGAGATCCAGCAGGAGGGGCGAGTAAGGACTGTACCAAATCGGCCTAGTCACACACACTCCTTTACGAGAGCCCAGCGAGGAGATACTGATTTTTGAAAGTTCTATTAATCCCCAAAGTGGCTTCATAATTTTTTTTCTTCATGGGGGAACGCGCGAAAAGTGGGGCAGAATAGGGGCAAAAGGGGTAATTATCATCTCCCCCAGTCTGACAAGGTGGAGGAAGTGATAATCTGCTAGTACCGTAATGCGCCTACTAACTAACCAACACATGCGAATTCTGGCGATACCATACGATATTTTATTTTATTTTTCAAGGTGAAGGAACTAGGGAAGAAGACTTATATAAATGACTTGATATTAATATGAGATATAGACTAGATTTCACCCCCGTCACAGGGTAGATTATATAGAATGAAGAATAATAAGCGCCAAGCTCTATTATAACTGATTAATTCTAAAGTAATAAGAAACAGATTTGGGTTGGTAGTCAAAATACGCCGGTAATGCAGTCCCCGTAAATCAGTTTTCTGGATGTAGGTAACCAAACTTCTCAATCACGCTCTTCGTAGGGTTAATACCGTCCTTCTTGCACTGGTCCATCTTATCCAGCGCTTGTCTCGAGAACTCTCGAACCTCGGCGCTGGCCTGGTCGCTCTCCGCGAGAGCTTTGAACTTGACGCCCCACGCCTGCCACAACGCACGGCTATACCTCAAGCCGCCGACCTCGACGAGTACGCGCTTCTCGGATAGCTCGAAAAGCGTGTCGCCGGCGTAGATGATCCACTGGGCAGCTGCTGCGGCGTAAGGTTCGTGCAGGGACAAGTCCAGCAAGATGCGGTCCTGGTGGCTTGTCGCGAACGGCGATGGTCGTCGCAGCGCGCTCAACGTGTTAGTGTCCGCTATGCCAGATGCCAGCAGGCGTGCTAGAAAGGCAGAGAAGTTGACGTAGGCGGTAGCAGCGTTAGGGTCCTCCTCTAATTGACGTGGGCCGCTGAAATTTCCTAGGTTGTAGGTAGGTTAGTTAGATATATACGAGCCACAGTAACTACCAGGGCTGGGAAAACTCTAGAGGAAGTACCTTGGTCAAGGTCGCAAAGCCATTGGGGGAAACCCTCATATCCGGTGTCTTTCGTAATATTCCAGAGCACTTTCTCCCGCATCTGCCCGTCGCTAAACTCCGGGACAGGGTCCTTGGGCAATTTCTGGAGTTCCTGGAGGAGACCTATAAGCCTTTCTTGGCCACCATGGTCGGCGGGAACTTTCATGGCAGCTCTTCCCACGCAATCCCATAGGTATTCCATCCATCCCCTGGGGTTAGGGGTACGGACGGCACCAGATGTTATCTGTTCTAATGTCGGGTTGGGTAGCGCAAGATAGGCGGCATGAGCATCGCGACAGTCGTCAACAATGACCCCATGGATTATCCCTGCCGCAGATTCGGGAGATTCCACGTTGTTGACGAGGTTCTGTAATGTATCATTGATCTTCCTGTTTAAATCCGAGACACCATCATTTAAAAGGTCAAGAGAAACAAAAGACGACATGGCGTCTTTAGCTTGAGTATGTTCGGACAGATTGGACGGATTTTCGCAAGTATCCGGAAGTTGGGAGGCAGAACTCCTCATACTCCAGAATCTTGTGATGGAATATTTTCTGAAAGACATCACTGACTAGATAGATCAATACAAGTTCGTGGACACCCAGAAGTCAGGAGCGAAAATCGTAGCGGGTAACGGTGCGTTTAATGTGGCGGGATGGGGCTTGCTTATGTTAATTATTTATACGATGAAATCTGTACTATTCAGCATAAGTGTTACCCAGGGGCTAGGAAGCTGGATAATATTGGAAAGACCTTGTGCTATTATAAGGGGTAAACAGATGAATAATCTCCAATATACTCTCAATCAATACAAATAATAATAACCTATAAGAGGTACTAACTAGGTAAACAGTAGAATGGTTAATGAACCAAGTGTGCTAGGAGATACATTAGGTTAGGTTAGGTAGATATTTCAGACATAACGGATTGGGCATATTATGTAGCATAAAGTAAGAGGCGACTGAAATCACCATGGTGTGTCATTTTATTACAATTTAGGTATTCCAAAGCAATGAATATCGTCCTTGCCATCTGTTTCTGCGCTCATTAACAACCTTGAAGGCTCTTATGCTACAAACGCCATCTCATAATTAAAATGTTCTCGAATGCCAATTACCAATGCTTATGATGGTGGGGAGTTTGATGCACGGACATATTCAGTTACCTCATTAAAGGCAGAAGGCCTCCATTTGGTATTACTCTTAGTGGAGCCGATATGTATGATTGAGATCATAGGGCTGGTAGTGTTGTTTGTAAGGTTTGTAAGATGCGGTTCGCTCTGGTCAGCCCAGACAAGGGAATCCAATTTGCGAAACATTCGGAATCGCTCTGCGCGGATTTTCTCCGCGTCAAATGGTTGCTTCGTATGTAATAAGAAGGTCTCGAGTTGGAAAAGAGACTCAAGGATGCACTCTCGAGATCCGGTAAGCCTTGCTGCAAACACCGAGTGTTTGTAAAGAAATTCGGCCCCTTGAAAATCCCCCCTAATGCATTTAATATACCCAAGCCAGAGGCAACGAAACGATTCATCTCTAGCAACAAGCGAGTTGGGACCTAGACGGGACAAAGCTTCTTCCGCTTTATCCAGGTATCCTTGATCCAAGTTCAACTTGCAAGTCGCTAATGCATGTTCCAGCTTGAGCAAACCGAGTAGGGGTCGGTCAGCAAAGTTGCCGCGTATCTTAGACAAGTGGTATTGGAGACTTTGTAATTGAACCCTAGGGTCCTTCTCCCTTTCGACAGCGTCGAAGTATTTGAGATACGTCTCGATAGTCAACGGGTGAGTCGGTCCTAGCCGTGTACTATACTCTGATACACAGAGTGCCAAGACACGCTCCGTAGCATTCCGCTGTTCAACGTAAGGGATTGATACGAAACTTTTCCAGAACCTCGTAAGCGGACTTTTCTGACCATAAGTTGCCATACTAAGATCCTGACAGAATTGAAGCAGTAAAGCGCGTACCTCTCCGCACCCAATTCGATTTAAATGGGCAGAAGTCGCCAGTACTTTAGGTATTAAAATTGGTGGAGGATTTCTAAATACTCTCACCAGCATCGAAAAGGGCGTATCAAGGGCTTTTCGAACTGTACCTGGCTGTGCCTGACGAGACACTGACAGGCTTATAGTTATACATCTGTCGAGTAGTGCACTTAAGAGTCCTGAAGGCCCGGATCGCCCGTGGGTGTTCCAACAATAGCTATCTGACCAAGACCAAAGACCGGTCTCGAAAGATTGATCAAGGTAAACGTGTAGCGCCTGAAACATGTCCTCTGGAAAGGAGGGCACTGGACTACGCCGTCGTTCTACTGGAATTGAACGCATAGGTGACGGCGAAAGTCGTTTACTAGCTGGCGCAGACGAACCCAAAGGAGGGGTACGACAAGTTACGTCCCGAATCGCTTCTGGATTGGGTGTTGCTCCAGCGTCGAGCTTTGCGAAGACAGATGGATTTCGAGACAGATATACCTGAAGGTTATCATTATCAACCTCTCGGCTCCTGATATAAAACGTAGATGGTTTCTGGGTCCTATCACGATGCTTCTTCAAATACAAGATCTGAAGAACCTCGTCAAATCGGAGGTTTTTAAATGCACCCCATGCTGCAAGTTTCTTCTTATACATAGAAACACTGTCCATTGTCAGCTTATGTACACAAATCATCCGGCCCTATCAAGCAAGTCCATACGTGGAATAGAACCCATGATGCTCCTCCATATACGACTTCACCTCGTCGAGGGTTTTATCTTCGTCAAGGTACAATCTCGTGATAACATCTCGCAATCGAGCCCAATCCTGAGTTGTAGTATGGTGAGAGTCTGGCGTATCCATCTTTCATGGTGACAGGTAGGTACCGTTACGTAAGGTCGAATGAGAGTGAATAAAAATCCAGAGGCCTCCGACGTAAAAACTATCCATAGTTTTCCCGCCGATTCTTATACTGCACATCGGATAGTAAAGCGAGGCTTAGGTCAGTTAGAAACCTAAGGGTATCAGCAGCAGACGGTACGAGTACATCCATAAGGCGGGATCAGGTCACATTTCGTGTGGACGCTGATTGGTTAAGAACGCAGGGGTTTGGCCAATAATGGTAAAAGTTACCTGCAAGAGCCTCTGTAGAGGAACCATCTGGGCTGAAAGAAGGTCAGTGGGAGTTCGAAGGCAGCTGAAAAAGGAGCTAGGGTTCGGGAGAACTAATATCTCCATTGGATGCTTGGAGGCTTCGGAGATCTGAGGCACACCTCTTACGCTCTTCCTGCCATTCCTGCTACCTATTCCTAGAGAACCACGATACTTTTCTGACAAGTGGCACATGTGGTGAATCTCTTTTCTCCCTCTCCCCCTCCCCCAACCCAATTTCGGCAATTATGAACCCCTGAAAAGGCATTATGTGTCTTCACAAGCTTGTTACCGCTCGCTGCTGCTTGCTGCTTTTTGATGATGAGTGGCGATCATGTCGCTGGTCTAGCAAGTATATGCCAATACGGTATTCGTATTAATGGGTATCCAGCAGCATCGTGCCAACTAAGACATCCACACAAATTGTCTGTTGGCGAATCTTTTTATTTTAGCTGAATGATTTGCAGCCTTTCTACTTTCGTCGATCTACGAGGTTTAAATCGGATCCTATGGATGTGGCTAAGTCTTAAATATATGCGTATACGACCTGTAAATCAAGTGATATCAGGTTTCGTGCGATGTGAAAGTGAAAGGGAAGGTGAAAAATGTTAAGGACAAAAAAAAGAGGTGGGGTAAAGTCCCGGGGGGGTCGGGGGGTTACAGCTGGAGTTACCTAGAAGTGGTAAGTCTGTCCCTATTGTACCTCTTTAAGTACTGGAAGTATACTGGAAGTACGTATCCGTTTGTACCTACCCAGGACCCTGGTACCTTAGTAAGCTTTGTACTTAGTAGGGTCTACGGATCCGTTAGGTACCTAGACACTCGCTCTAACTTTTCGTGTGACTTGATTGGCTCTTTTTTTTTTAATTGACAGTCGCGTTCCACTCATTAAGACGCGTTTTACTTGGGAAAAGTCGCGTCGTCCAAAATTCCATATTCCGTATTTCACAATTCCGTATTCCATATTCTATACGAACTTTCACTAATTAAAAATAAAAATCGATACCCATATTGTATTGCCAAACAGATCTTGCAAACGCATCAACGATGTTAAGGCAAGATATTAATCGTATAGATCCCAAGAGGCGCAATGTCGTCGACCACCGAAAGAAGCAATTCGCAGAACCTACTTACAAGGAAACCGAATATCCTCATCGTCTAAACTTTTACGAAACTCCTCCAACAGCAGATATTACCTTGGAACAATTCGAGCAATGGGCTATCGATAGGCTTCGGGGTATGCATCAAGTTTACCTGCTATACAAGTACAGTCTAGTAAAGTAGGTAGTGAAGTCCAGTAACTGACGACCACCTCTTTCAGTTCTCGCCGAACTAGAAGCATGTTCATTCCGCGGTAAATCCCCCGCCGAGACGGCTACGCATATGAAGCCTCTGCTCGAGAAATACCTACCACTCGATTCTAATTCGTCTTCCTCCACCAAGCTCTCCGCTGAGAGGCAAAAAGACCACTACAGCCATTTTATTCTCAGACTTGCATTCGCATCGACTGAGGATCTACGACGAAGATTCAGCCGCGTCGAGACAACACTTTTTCGGCTGCGGTTGGCCGACGAAACTGCACGCGAGCGGAATGCTTTTATTCAGAGCCTAAATTTAGATTGGGAACCCGTGGCCGAAGATGAGAAAAACAAGTACTTTTATGAGCTGACGGCGACTGCCGGCTCTAGAAAGGGAGAAGAAGAGACTAACTGGTACAAAGTCGATTGGGAGCGCGTACCTGATTTGGTCGAAGCTAGAAGAGTATTCTTAAAAGCTGGCAAAGCCTACGTACCTTCAAAAGAGCTGCCAAGTATGGTCACTGCCGAGTTCACGAAGAGACTAGATCGAGCGTTAGAAGTAAGTCCCTCTCCCGTACAAATAATTGAAATCCAGATCAATCTGACATTTTACAGCTCACGGCGCGTGCATTACCGCGGCTCGACGAAGATGATCGGCTTACACCGATCCTGGACCACCTCTCAAAGAACTTCGTCACCCCCGACGCAGGTTATATCAGCGGCGGTGCTGCCCTTACCGGTGCCGAGATCACAGCGAGGAACATCGACAATTTATCATCACATTTCCCTCTGTGTATGCAACATCTTCACCGATCGCTGCGTCGGGACGCGCATTTGAAGCATTACGGTCGTCTTCAATATACTCTTTTCTTGAAGGGCATCGGCCTAAACTTGGAAGAATCTCTGATCTTCTGGCGTACTTCTTTTCACAAGATAACGGACGATACTTTCAATAAGGAATATAAATACAACGTAAAATACGCGTACGGCGACGTCGGCGGAGATTCAAATAGGCGCGCGGGTGGTTCCTCACCATTCTCGTGTCAGAAGATTCTTATGGAACATCCACCTGGTCCGGGTGAAGCCCACGGGTGCCCATACCGACATTTCAACCTGGAGAATCTAACCTCCTTGTTGCAACAAGTGGGCATTTCGGATCGCTCAGTCTTACAAGGGGTAAAAGAGGATAAAGAAAACCAGAAGTTCCATATGGCTTGCAATCGGTAAGTTGCTTTTAGATAATTCTGCGACATCAATTTGTTCCGGACTAACCAGTTGGTGTAGGGTATTCGAATACGTCCATAAGAACGAACTCAAGAAAGCCAAGGATGAGGGCATCATGACCGCCGCCCAGCTCGAGACGATTGTTCATCCAAACAAGTATTTTGAGAGGAGCTACTTGTTAAAGAATCCGGGGAAGTCTAACAATGGTGACGACGTCAAGATGGAAGGCTTTTAGGCGGCACGTACATGAATAATTGTACTAGCATAATATGATTTGGATGGGGACGAAGCGTACGCATTGGTTCACGAATTTCCCTCAGGGCCACTTTTCGGTTCACCAGCAACTTGGACGGGGCGTCATGGAGTTTTTTTTTTTTTAGTTTCTTTTCTTTTCTTTTTTTTCTCGATAGTAGGGCATTATATGATCATGTTCCACGACGTTTGTTACGTAGCAGAAAGCCACCGGCTGATATACATATGCCTGTTGATGAATGGAGACAACAATATATGTAGTAACGACGCCCTGACGAGATTCAAGACATTAACATGTCACACAACAGCTAGTAAACGCCAATCCAAATTGCACGACATCAAGACTTCAACGCTTGTTGACATTACCTACCTAGGTACTATGTGGACGAAAAACTCAGCAGCCCGCTCAACAAAAGCACAGACGTCGGGCGTGCATGTTGCGGCGCCGGTAGTTAGGTATGAAGTGGCAGACCCCTAATTCCGACCAGGATCCAGGGTTGGCATTGGGTACCTTTTCCCCGGTTGTAGATAGACGAGGCTCTAGAACAAGGACCATCCTACTAAAAATCTAGTTGTGTGTAATGAATTCATGCGAAGGGTCGCTAGGTACGCCTTCCGATAAGTCGATACGCAACCTTGCCATCCCACGAAGACGTCGGTGGTGTCCCTCTGGCTGTGGTTGTAGCTGGAGCTGTAGCTGTAGTGGTGGTGGATAGGTTTAAGTTGCGAGATGATATAGTTACAAGAAATGTTATGTTTCCGTACCCGTATCGTGATTAGACGCAGGGCTGAGAAAAACGATCTCTACAAAACATGTAGGTAAATATAAAAATCAGGGGTGACTACTTCATGCACGTTTCCCGTTGTTTTTTTTTTAAAAAAAAAAAGTTGTTTCACTGCAGTCATCATTACAACGAACATCCCTATGAGCCGGGTAGTGGATATAGAACGGAACTGTGGACACCCGTGCGCATTCGGGAAGAAAGGACACGGCATCAACGGAGCTTACCCTCCTATATATATACCATATACTTCAACAGGCTGGGCCGAGCCCCCCGAGGGTGGTGGAACGTTATCCCGGCATAGCCATCCCGCAAAAGTGAAAGAGATTCGTAAGTTCCCAATGGCTTACTCGAGAATTACAGACCGGTTGGGATTATTGCATCCTTCCCCCTCTCCGCCACAATACATAATAAGGTAAGTTAGGAATACGCTTACTAGATAGCAGGTAACTGAATCCATAGCGTAAACAGCGGTCTAACACATCACGCGCGTTCCATACGCGGCCAAGTAAGTAGTAGAACGATATGGGTTATTACTTACTAGGTAGTAGTATAGTAGTATTATACATTAATGGAATGGCCCAATTGCCCGCGCACGGCCTCAACGGCGCAAGCATACACATACGGACACGCACACAGTCAGCGCAGAAAACGGGCAACGAGGAAGGAACCCGCAGAAAACCGCTCCCTATTCGGGAAATGCCATCCCGGACGGTGTCCCATGATGGAAAAGCGGAACACTCGGCAACCATGGCTGAGCAGGCCAAGTCTGACCTGCGGTGAAGCAGTGAAGCCAACAAAGGCTGAAGGCAAGCTCCACAGAGCAATGTTGTATTGCATTGTATTGTGTTGTGTTGTTTTGTATTGCACATTTGCTACGAAATCGCGAACACCTCGGTGTGGCTGACCTTAAACTAAGCCAAGCCCTAGAAATCCATCCTTTTTTTTTTTTGATTCGGCTTTGGCTTTTTGGCTTTGTCTCGGGGAGCTGACTGAGATTCTCATATCTTTGCTCTCGGACAATTAACGGAAACGCGCAGAAACGGGTACCGACCTTTGAAAGGGGAGGAAGAAGGGAAATTATGCGCGAGGAACGAGGCATGGGGAGGACCTACCTACCTAGGTAGCTAAGCAGCTAAGTTTGTCCTTGTGCTTGTGTTCGAGTCGCGGGGGATGCACAAAAGATCGACAGGGGATGAAAAAGCACCCCCAAAATGGAAAGCCTATGATGATGATTCATGGGTACAGTACATAAGATAGCATACGCTATTATATAGAGTAGACTACTCTAGAGCAGAAGAACCACTCAATCGCCCCTTAAGACAATGGAAGAAGCGGGGAGATGATAGGATTTATGCAAAAGAATCCGATTTCGATATGATGGGCAAAGGTTTTGGACATGGGATTGACCTTTTCGACCCCGATCATTGGCACCGGACCCAACACCACAACATACCTAGTACGTTTTTTGATCTATCGTTTTCTTTTCTTGGCTAGCAACATCTCATAGTTTCTTCTTTTTTGCCAATATTTCGCACGAATAGTCTAGTAGTTGGGTCCTAATAAAGCATAAGCTTAGAATGAGGAGCACGAGCTCACAATTAGCTTCACAGCCATGCAGTAGCATTGCTCCCGGAGATTTTTTTTTTAAGTTGGTTTCTCAATGGCACAGAATGATGCAGAAATTTTTCGGTTAGAGAAGAAGAAAAAAGCATGCTACTCGGCTCTGCGACATTGTGATACTACCCATATCCATATTCAATGGTTAAGGTATTTGGGCTTCTAGTGTAGTCTAACCGGTGTGATAATATCTTGATTTGCTTTCGATGAGATGAGTAGTACGCCGTACGTAAATTGCAAATCCAATCGTGTTACCCGGTCAGATGCGGCTAAGAATACTTACTTGGATATGTGTACGGATCCGTACCTAACGTATAATTCTGCGTACACTACTTCGTCCATAGTAGGTAATAAGAACCTAACAGTGGATGAAGACTGAATCTGGAACGCCCTAAAGACCCACCACTACTAGGACAGGGCTGGGCAACGGGAATCATCGATCCCCTTTGTCGATCCTTTGTTCTGCTTAGGTCGAGATTCTAGAACCGGTATAACATAATCAGTCGTACGTTATGTTATTATCAAGGGTTTGTTGGTGGAATCGTCTGGATGGGGCGAAAGAATCTAGATCGCGGAAAATTTCTGTAGCAAGGGTATCAGATGAGGCTCTATCGTCTACAGTTATCTCGAGTCCAACTACCATGTCAATTGACATGGCCTCGGTGGAAGATTCAAGAACAGCCCGCTAGCCAGCTAGCACGAATCTTCAGCTTGTCAAAGAAAATGCCGAGCGATGCATCCGGATAGTGGAAATTCAACACATATACGGAAATTATCTAAGTGGACAAGATCAGTGATGAGACCGGCTTTTGGTATGGGGGAGACATGAGGTAGTGATCCTCAGGCTTGCATGTAGGCGTCCTGTCGGCGTTCTTGCTCAACCACCCTCGGATGCTGGCATCCCTTTTGCACTTTTGTCGGTTACACGTGAATCTACCGGCGATTCAGCTAGATTAACGACTACGAAGTTAATTTTCGCGGTCTTGTGTCGAAGAGATTCCCATCAACGGACCCTACCCTAACCTTATGATACACCGTCGCTGGTTTTCATGATTGTTCTCCAAGTTTCGTAAACCCCCACAAGTCCACCCTGGAAGTGGATCTGCAAGATCAGGTAGATCCATCCATCCATAGATAGAGCCGTGATGAGGGTAAAACTGGAGTCCACAGAGAGTCGGGTCGCGACCGCGCAAGGGACATACGCTCCAGGACAGGGGGAGGTATCAAAATTTGATATTGTATTATTTTTTTCTCTAGTTCCCTAGTTCTTGAATTTAGTGCCAACTGTCTTTGTGAACCGTTATAAAACAAACGCCATGCTTATGTACCCTAACTAAGTCTTGAGCTAGGTATTCTTGAGAGAGTGGCAAATACAATTTTCCTAGAGGCGCCTGATGGGCTGCCAGTACTGTGGGATCTGGAGGATCCCTACCGTTAGTGATCGTCACCAGGTCTAGCGGGAGAAGGGTCTGGATCGAGACTTAGCAGATTGATCGGGGCTCAAGCAAAGACTCCGCCGGCTCATGATCTTTTCAGAATAAAAACGAGAAAAGGAATATTGCTGAGAAAAGCGCCATTATCCCAATAAGGAGCTCGAATGAGTCTTGTCAATAACGATCCAGCCTACAACAATCTTTTAACCGCTGAACAGCTTTAGCATATATCTATCCAGGTATTAACTTATTAGGTAATTCCGTCCCTCACGGATCGGATCGTGACAGTTCACCACAGGTTTGCATCTGCAAGTGATAAAGCGGTAGAAATTAAACCCCCAATAGAAGCACGTGTATGAGGTCTATCCGACGAATTATACGCGCAGGAACAATTCAAGCCAAGTATTAGCAGGTCTCAGCCATCGTGGTTCTTCGTGGCCATCGCTTGATGCCGCTTTACAGTAAAATCAATATCAGAAGGCTATTAACCGCATTTCTGCAATAGTTGATATTGTAGAGGAAGCCGAGTCCGCATCCGTAATACAGGGACATATTACAACAGAAAGCTAATAAGAATACACGAATATCTGAGCTAGAGACCTCAGAGGTAATCTCTATAGGAGATATTTAATGCTACCTAAGTAACGTAGTTCAAATAGTGCGTAACGACGGATCTTCGCCCGATTCATGATGTCGGTGCACACGCAATGAATGACAGCATCTTCCCTCCATCTTAGATCTTTCAGCTCCGCCAAGGAGTAAACCTGCTACAACAGCTACTTACGTAGCTCGAAACGATAGCGTGCCTAGGTGGTGCTACCTATTACCTATAATTTACATCTTCGATGGATTAATAAAAGCGCATTTACGGATCTGGATACAATTGGCATGATTCATTGCATGATATAATTTTACATGGCTCTCTATATGGTACATTGTTAGGTCCGCAACGATACCTACCTACCTCCCTAACCTACCTGGTAAACATTAATGAAAGCTGAATGGTCTTTATTTAACTTCCGGAGATCTGATTTTTCTCATATGGACACAGCTTGTGGCAAGCAGATTCATGGAATATCATAAGATAGACTTATTACCTGCCCAGCCTGTACTTCGTCGCCCTGAATCAATACTTCCCGGGATTAATCTGGAAATATTACATAAATCTAGATAACAAAGCGCTAGACCGAAAATCGTCGTGACTTGTCATGCCCTGTTCATATGGTATACAAGTACATCTTGACATAGAAAGAGAAGAATAGAAAAAGCCACAGCCAGAATTAATCAACGCATGAATAAAGTTGTTGTTCAAGCCCGACGGATCCGCTTGATAGAGAAACGCCAAGGTCTTCGGGATTTTAGGCAGCACGCTATCCTTCCATCCTCTCTTTCTTTTTTTTTTTTTTTCTTTTTTTTCCTTCTCTCTTCTTGTTATACACCCCTACCTTGCTAAACGTTACACCCTAGTCTATTCGTGACCAGGCACAAACTGGACCAAACTGGACACCTGCTGGGCTGCTCCCCGTTAAGGTCCACTTGGATACTTGCGCCATATTACTGCGTTCTTATACCTGTCCTGTTGTGCTGTGCAACCCGTACAGCCTTTGTTAGGGTACTTGCTCTAGGTACCAGATTACTATCTGGCAACGGGGACTAGGTCAGGCCTACATACGCTACACTACAAAAAGAAAAGGGCCACCCTTGCGGAGCCAAGCAGCTCTTTTTTTTATATTTTTTTTTATTAACCCCCCCCTGGTAGTGTGGAATAAGAACTGGATCTCTCGGCTCGAGTCTATGCCAAACATTCCGAAACAGGCCCCCCCAAAGAAGCTCCACGATTCACATTCCACTCCCGACTTTCTGAAAGGCTCCCATATAAACTGCCAATATTCCCCTAACCCCCCTTCCCCTCCACAGATATACATATACGCTAGTCTGCGCCGCTTGCCACTCTTCAACATGTCGAGTCGACCTCCAAAGACACACTACTCCAGCTCCTCCTCCATAGACACAGATAGCAGCTCACCTTCGTCGTCCGACACCGACCTCTCTTTCCGAACCAGTATGGACGTCCAACCCGTTGCATCGGTCGAGGTGTTGCGCTGCTTGCGCTGTCATCGCCATGTCGAAGCTACGTCGACCGACGATCCTGCTTCGACGGGAATGATTCGAGTAGGGTTCAACCTTTACTATTGCCAGAAGTGTGCGACTGCGGTTGGATACAAATGAACACCATCGTCAGTTGGGTAACTAGAGAGAGGGAGAGAGGTCGACTATTTCGACAAACTAAGATTATTCATACAAAACCCCCCCGACTACAACTTCAACACATGCCGGCCTGATGCAACAAAAACATTACCATGAGATTTTGGCCGGAAAGAATATGGATATTTGAACAAATCGCATTTTCAGACCTCCACGAGGAAAGGAAGCCGACAAATGGCATTCCCGCAAAAGCTTTTTTGGCTATGGTTATGCGCTTTTGCGCCAAAGGAAAACAATCCAAACAAAAACCAGCTTACGACGTTCCGCTGCATCTGCATGGATATGATTTCTCCAAGATGTTTATATTCAGCGACAGGTGCATATCAGCCCACGTATAGCCAAATTAGCTTCGCAGGGATTTTATATTTTTTGTTCTCCCTTTATTTCACATACTATGTACATTTTACTTACCTAGCCAAGTGGGTTTTGTTTTCCCGAGTTCTCGTCTGAACTCGGTACTTAACCACCACCGCTCATTTCGCCACCGCCCGTTCCCCAAGCTTCGGGGCTGCAGCAAGGTCCGACCCCTTTCCCAAAAACATATGATTGACAGGGAACTTTTTTGAGGAGGGGAAACACGGGCGAATATTCGTCTCCATCTCGTATCTTGCATGGCGACACGGGATCTAGCGGACGTTCTCCTGGCTATCTCGCATATCCCGCCCCCCAACAAGATCTGAAGAATGATGATGAAGTTTCGGATCGGGTCTTCCCCCTCTTCCATTATCCATCATATTACTACCGGATGTTAAATTTGATGCAATTTGGGGAATTGCATCTTTACAACTTACGGTTTTTCATTTTCATCTCGGGGATACGTGGCATCGAGGCGCAATACTGCCCGGGATTGTGTCCACATCCGGTGAATCTGATCAGTGGTTACAAAGACACAAGGTTCAAGGTGTAAACACAACATGGCCTTATCAACAAATCATTAATCGGTGGTTCAGACGAGCTCGGTTACGCTTAGAAAGCTTTGGGGTTTTATTTTTCAATTCATTTTTTTGCTGGCAGTCGGGCGACGACAAAAAAACATAAATTAACTACAACAATACCACGCAAACATCCACCATCTTACATTTTCCCTGAGCCCAGAAGGAGAAGGAGACGGGAGAACGAAGAGCTGGGAATGGAGGCACACTAGCATGTGCCCCTCTCACGAACCCCCAGCTTGTTTCAAAGTCCTGCTTCGACGGGGTCTTCACACGTCATACGCATCTCGACCCAAACAAACCGGGCCAATCCGGAGTCGCCGTTGATGTTTCCCAGTGGGCTCCCATCCCTCCATCGTCTACCCAATCACCAATCCCGCAACCCGGCCCCAGCCCCGGCAAATGCTACCGAACCCCAGTCCGTCTGCGCTCCTTGTGACGTTTACCTACTTTCACTTCCCACCAATGGCGCCGGCGCTGCCGCGAAATGTGCTATGTCTTGCAATCAAATCACACACTCGCATATCTTAAAACATGTGTCCGGTTCTGTTCTTTTTCTTTGCCCCGCGGCGAATCAATTCAATTCGCAATCCCCCCTTCCAGTCCCCCTCCTATCTTCCTTCCCATGTAGGAAGTTCCGCAAGTCAACAAGCTACGCTCCGGAAAAGCAGCTGGGGGGCAGGCGATCTGCTTTTTTTTTCTTTTTTGCGGACCAAGGTATCTTTTCCTCTTGCTCCCGTTTACGTGCGCGTGCAGCGTGCATCGTGCAGCTTGCAGCACGGGGGGCCGAGGGGGGGGGACAAGGGGGGAAAACAAAAAAAAAAAAAATAGAGGAAAGGAGGGGAACGTTCCTCGAGTCGGCGACTATACCACCACAACTCTTTTACAGATACATACCTGGCCCCTTGCAGCTGCCGGTCCTGTTTCTGTATAGGCATTACCCACTCCGAAATTCCCTCTTCTGCTGGCACGTGGGGGGCCATACTACTATTAAATTCGCTTCGCTTCTCTTCGCTTCCCCTGTTTTGACGCTGCGCGGGGGGAGCTTTTCGGATGGCCTTTTCCGGTTGCCGTGATATCTTGTTCCGTTTCGCATAAATTGAAATGAGTGGATGTATCGATACCCCCCTTTTTTATTTTTTTTATTTCTTCATCCTCTCATGTCTTGGCGCGCTTCGGTGGTAAATTTCTATCGGTCGGGTTGCATTGGTTTTATTTATTTATTCGGTTCATTGTATCTTTTTTTAAAAAAATCAACGTTGCTGCTTGTTATCATCATCGTTGATTATCGGCGGCGTCCCATTGGAGTGTAAATTAAGGGATTTGAGGGAGGACAAGATGCCGGTGGTGGGTACCATTAGACCTCGGGCATATTAAATTGGGAGGCATCTTTAGGGGGTACATATTGGGTGCGCGGGTGGGTGAATATACGAAGGGCATAGGTAACCGGATCTTGGGGGTATTTGGACTGGGAAAAAGGGATGAGGGGAAATATCTTTTAAGTGGCATTTTTTTGCACGATACTTTGATTTAATTCCAATTATGATATATTGTCTTCTCACTGTTTTTCTTTTCTTGAGCCCTTTCTACATGTGACTTTGAACAGCCGGTTCCCTTAACTAGTTGCTACTAGTACTACTATTCTAGATAGACTAGATGAGGCTCTCGAGAATCTATCATATCCACCATAAGACGTCGAGGGGAATGGATGCGTGTTGCGCAAATCGCTTACGTGTGTACGTGAGCGTCTAAGAGTCGTAACCCTAGCCGTTGCAGGCAGCCCATAGGCATGCCGCGTATGCAACCCATATCGATTATACGCGTATCATACAAGCCAGGCTAGGAAGCGGGCACTAGATGCCGCATTCCAGAATTAGGAAGGGGGGCGCCGGCAAGAAGCTAGTGTCGGGCTACGATAAGGCCGGCGCGCAAACGAATTCGACGGTTGTTTCTAGCCATGTGGTTTGTGTACGCGACGCCGAAGGATTGCCGCCGTTGCTCCTCTTGGTGGAAAGGAAAAAAAGAATGAGGCGGGTTATTACGTGTATTGGACAGGATATCTATGATACCATCGATACCACGCCTTATGCTATGGCACACGGCCTTGGGTTCATACGCTGTAGATAGGGTCCAAATCCCTAAAGGACGATATTATATCTCATTATTGCCACCAGGGCACACAAGATAACCATCTCATATGCCATGTGGTTGTACTGCGTAGGGTAGCTATGTAGATTAGCTTTCGTGATAGCTAAATCTTACCAAGCGGCTTGATGCGAGATGTTACCAAGACACAAGTCATATATCAACTTGTCGTAGTGTCGTATAGTCGGGTATGTCGGGGTCCTTTTAGCTGCAATTGTAATGGCCGTTATTGGTCCCTGGCGGTCTCCTTAGTCTCCTATAGGTTAGATAGCTCTCCCAAAGCTCGACCGCGTCCGACCAGGCTAGTAACAGCCGCGAGCCCAGATGCTAGAGAGGCCAACGAGTAATCTCCATGCCGTGCTTATTCCAACTACATAAGCTCGACATGTGAAGGAGCTTAGCTGTCTGCAACGACTGCATTGCGACACCATGATAGCTGTCTCCGACCATACATGCCAAGCCACGACTACGGCAGATCCCTAAATCCTGCTCGTCCGAAAGAAGGGTTCGGCAGCTCTCCGTCTGAGGGGAACGGTGCAACCCTCCTCTCGTCCAACATACCCTGTGAGCACATGCTCGCAAAGGAACAGGTGCCCCCAAGCATATGTCATAGACGTTGGCAAGCCCCGGTTGGCTCGAACATGATCCTGAATTAATCCAATTCAGCCAAAATGCGACGATCAGGGTCCTTTTCATCATTGTGCAGGATGCGCGTCGACATCATTGCGCAGCAAAAGCCCTTCCTCGTCCCGAACATTTCGAACCATAAGCCAAAACACAGATCGGATTGGCGGCTAGCACGTTAGCACATGTATATATGTAGACATGTAGGTACTTATATATGAGGTAGGTATACATGTACGTAGTACGATGTAATACGAGAAAGTGGTTTTTTTCTTTTTTTATTATTTCTTTGGTCATCCCCTTGAACGAACGCATGCGTTCGTGGCGTCAAATGCAAGCTTAGCATATATAGCTCACAACATAATTCGACCCCGTCCGCAAAAACAAAATGCTGTACCATTGATTCTACCCAATGCAAAATTCGCCTAACCCTTAAGTACCTAGTTACATGTCTCTTAATCATGCGTATAATTACAAAGACAAAAAGAAAAGAAAAGAAAAGCCTTATCTGGTGTATCGTGGTTCGCGGGGAAAGTGGTTGGTATTAGCTGGGGTCGTCGGCTAGTCAAGCAATGAAAAGGAGGGAAATTTAGAAGCTTCGCGGGGAAAGCTTAAGCCCGCTGGCGATCCGCGTAATGTACCTACTGTACAATACAGCGGGCTGGTTGGAAGGGCAGTGGGATGGTGACATTTAGCTGACCCCCATAAAAGAGTTTGGAGAGTAAAGCGGGAAGCTGGTTATCCGGCGTATCTGAGTAGCCACGTTTGATGTCGCCTACGAGTCATGATTGCATGCTAATGCAAGACTGGGTACGGCATTTTGGGGTAGTAAATGAATGATAAGCTTCAAAAGCCGGGGGAGTGCCATCGCCAGCAAACAGCAGCCAGCAGCGAGCACCAACGTCAGGAACGTGTCTCTTTGAAAGTTTACGCCGGCTATCTCGCGAGAAAAACGCAACCAAGAAAGCTGCGAATCAGGTCGGACCAGCAAAGCGCCGTCGATTTCCGTCCCATGGACGAATATTGTCAGGCCTTGGGTGCCTGTGGTAGGTAGGCACCTCTTTTTTGGGTAGGAAAAGATTTACGGACTCAGAGCCGGTAATTTCTTAACCAATTAAAACGAGCTTGTGTCAACGGACATCATAGCTTAGACAAGCTCCCCCCAATAGCATGCAAGATGGGCATCCATCAACCTTTAACCAATCAAAACAGGAAAAAAAAAACACTTAAAAGTGAAGCTGTGTAATTGTGTAATGCGAGATTGTAGATGGGTTTCCACCGAGGTGGATGTAGTGCAGCTAAATCCTGTGTTATGATGCAATACCGAGATCCCGGAACGCCGGTTGGCTCCCCACTAGCTTCAAGATTGTTGTTGAACTTAATCGGTTTTACGATCTGATGCAACTTCACGAGCATCGTCAATCTGCCTTGCGTTAGGTAAGCTTAGACGTCGATATACATTTCGCTACCTAACCTAATTGAGCTCAACTGAAGCTTCCTTGAATTGTAAGGCCGAATCACGCAATAGGTACTTTGTTCCTTGGGTTTGGTACCTCCTACCTTACCTAAGGTAAGGGAAGCGTCCTAAAGGGTCGCTGTTTACATAGTACAAGCTTAACCTTCAGAAGGGAAGTTGACTCGACCAATCGGAAGCACAGGCAAGGACGGCTGCTTGCAATTTCGGGAAGTTCTTTCTTTAGGTAAGTTCAAGTACCTACCTAACATACAACGGAGGTAGGAGGTACCTAGCCTAAAGAAGGCACATAGGGACATTTAGGTTTAGGTAGGGTTAAAGAAGAGTTTTATTTCTACATCGGGGGAAGGCGCAGTTAGGTACACTCATAGGTACACTCAAGTTAGATGAAAAAAAATTGTGCTGAAGGTACGAAACAACGTACAGTGCCTACCTGTTGGTTTCTGCGAATTAAAAGTTACTAGACTTAGGCAACTCCTAGGAAGCAAACACAAACCAGTCGACTCGACAATTGAATCTAGTTTTAAACCACCACCACCACCACCACCACAACTACAACAACTACAACAACTACGACTACGACTATTAATATTACTATTACTATTACTACTATTACTACAACAATAACTGCCACTACTATTGTTACAACTTCTATCACAACTATTTGATAAAACATCCCATCCTAAACTAACATAGTACCTCTGCCTATACCCTATTCGCTAGATTGGGTACGAGGCTGGCTATGTCCACAAGTTACCATCCACAAACAGATGGTCAAAACCGAGCAAAAGAACCAATATGTGGAAACAGCCCTACGATATCATTACTCAGCTTCGTCGAAGCCATGGGTGGAGATAATCCCGGCGTTACAACACAACACAAACAACGCCAAATCATTAGTATTGGGTCGTAGTCCAAACGAAGTCGTTTATGGATTCAAGCCACGAACCATAATTTCGACGATGGAACTACCGGACAACAGCATCGATTTGTATTGACATCTCCTCAACCTCCTGCGGACGATCTTGTGAATTTCGACTCTCTTCGTCTGCCCGGCCGGCCCACTGCTGAACCTCCTGCAGACGATCCTATGGACGTTGACCCTCTTCCACCCGCACCGGGTCGAGACGAACTTGAGCCTAGCTCTCCCACCCCGCACCGCCGTGAGGATGTGAACCCGCCCGTCCCTGCACGTCAGGCCCTTCTCCGTCGCCCTGCTAGGTATCATTGGAGCAGACCCGTTTCCTCTTCTCAGTCGTCTACGAGTTCCGATGATTCTCGATCCGAGGAGGAGGAGGAGGATGGAGCGGGAGGACCTCATCCTTCCTCGTCATACCAAGACTCGGGACACCCGTCTTCCTCTCCCGTCCCGGACTTGGGCCGTCCTCGCACCGATCACTGCAAGTCATATTATTTCCACCTGCTCTTTTACCATGTCTATTACACCAAAGAATCAAAACAAAAGACCACAGGACTCAAGACCTACAGAACCGATGTCCAATGACTAAACCAGAGAGCCTTGCTCTCTGCCTAAGCATACAGGTACACCGCTCTGTTAGAATATCTTTCGAGATTTAACTAATACATTCTCAGGGAGAGACTGAACAAACTTCTGCTGAACTATTGCAACCAAAGAACCGCAAGGTTATGAAGCCAGTCACGGAATCATTGGAGCCTACAGTCCCCCCCCCCAACCATTTGCCCTTACCTACCTGCCTATCTCAATACAGCGCCTAGGTTCACGACGAAGATGTCTGTATTCTATCAGCGTCTTTACGGGTGCCAGAACTGTCAAATGTTCTTTGGGGTGGATTTTCAAGGTTTTCCCTGTCGATGGGCCTGGAACAAGGGGAGACGCTTCGCCCGCTACCCCTGCAGTTTCTCAGTTGGATTACCTACATTCTTCAAATGTTGACGGCATCATGAGAATCAAGAATGGGTGCGAGATAACTAGAACTGAAAGGCGTCTAGCAAGAGTGGTGGTCACTGTCAAGACTTGCAATACAGATATCGACCAACATTTGCACCGAGAGAAACCATCAAAACTAGTCGAAGTGTCTAGCACCCCCTACTATAGGTTCGATCGAACATTACGCTCTATTTCTCTTGCGGAGAGGTTGTCAGTCCTGCAACGGGGGTCATACCAATAACTGGCTAGGGCACGGCAACAACCGCTGATACACACACCGTAATCAGTTTATATTAGAATATGTACCTACCCAAGGTAAGCTAACAAGATTTTCTGGCTGCCTTATGAAGAGATAGTTGCTAATTTTACAATAGTTACTAGGTCACTGCCGCTGAAGAAGCTGCTGAAGGTGCTGGTGATGCTGCTGCCGACATTGAGGCCCCCGAAGAGATATTGTCTGAATGATCCATCGGACGGTTCTGACCTATACCTACCTGGTCAATTCCTTCGACTAGGCCGAGTCTGCCGAGCTTACCAGCACGGTTTTCCCTCCCTTACGTGTTATAACTACCCCAACCACACTCACTGTTGTTAAGTACATCACGTATAATTTCCGGAGCATTTCTTTTCCTACGGAGTCCTGGCATGTCTGTTGACTTGAACGAGGAACCTGGAATAATAAGAAGAAACTTACAACAACAACGGCAACAATGATAACGACAAGGATAATAATAATCACATTTTTTATTCTTTTTTTATACCTATTTCAGCTGAGGAAGCATCTTTATTAGATGCCGCCAATAAACATATCATATTATCAGAAGAAATCAAAGAAAACGGACGTCCAACATTATTACAACAACTTAGCGAATTAGCGAGCTTATATCCATACGCCAAAGCAACATTAACTATAATATGGTTTTTCATTATTAACTACATATCAACTTACAACAGTCCTATTACGATTATTCGATATATTATTACCGGCATAATTATACATCCATAATATTTTATCATCTTTCGGCACAGGGCTAGCAACTCAAACCGCGTAACGTCGAGCTACCGCCACAGAAAACGCTGCTCAAGCCGCAGTTGCTGAGGCCAAACTGGCACGATTTAGGGCAATCCTCCTCGATGATACCCCGGTCGCGTAAAGCCCCGAGGGCCTGCTCGTGTTGAAGGAGTATAATCACATAATCGACAGCGTCATGGCGTCCCTTCGCCTGGAGCCATTTATCTCTGTGTTGAGGATGTGAATATAGCAGGGGTTTGTTGACTGGTATGGGGCTTGAAAGTAGGGTAAATTGATGTTGTATTAGAAAACGTTTTCTAGTAGTGGGCCTACAGGCTCTACTGTCAGGTACATAACGGGTAGTCAGCTCCCTAGCAAGAGGATGGAAGGCTAGACATTACTAGACACGCTACAATATACTCCATGTATAATAACCCTAGCACTCAATCTACATGATATCGGTCAAAAGCATCAAACCTAATAAATGCCAAGTTTGTAGAAAAGGCTACCTCTATACGTAACTTAGGTAAGTAGGGTTAGTTTTATTAGCAGTTGAATTTGCCCATTAATTATGGAACTAGGAAGATTAAATTTAAAACTGCATTAGCGGGCGGGCAGCAGCATGTAATATTGTTGTAACTGTTTTGTCAACACAATTAGGTAAATGATCACAGGCCTGTAAGACTCTGTCGAAAAGTCAATACTCTTACCATTACACTTGTCATGCTGAAATCATTGTAAGTACATACACTTCAATAGGTAATTTCTATTTCATAATCACTCATAATAGGTTTCTTGAGGATGATCTTAAGGCCGGCCTATCCACCAAGATATCTGGAATCGACGTAGGTAATGTTAGCCTTGGGTAAGCTCCGGGTATATCCAGCCTACCTACAAGGACCTGTATCAAATATATATTATAACGTAGCAAATCATTCAATAAGAAATCTTGTAATTCCACATGATTGTTTACAGTTGACTTTTATATGTGGGCGCTTTGTTAATATATTATAATAATTATATAATATTTCAAAGTCCTGGGTCTTGCACATGCCAAGCTTTTAGTCGCTGAAACTCAACATGCATGATTATAATACCTAATAACAGTGTATTGGATTAGTTACCTAGTACTAATTTTGGGGACGGATAGTGGCTCATACGCTAAATTATAGGTGGCTCACCACTACAGGTACAGGGAAGCTAGCTGTTATTGGTAGATCTGACACTGTATAGCTTTTTTTATTGACACATACCTACCTTACCTAGGTACCTGTACCTATTATCGTTTTTTTCTTTCGAGTCTCGACAACTAGCAACATCCAACGACTTATCTATTAGGTAGTTACTATAAATGCCATTGATGAGAATGTCTTAAAGGATGCACTTTCCTGGGATAAGAGTCATTCTTGAAAAAAAAAATGATCTAAAGAAGGTATAGCATTATCTATTTGGTTTCCGCTTCCGGGGTCTCTACGATATGTATAGTTTATCATAGATAACCAGCCAGTTGCGCCACATAAGCCGTTACATCAGTCTGTCCGTCAGCGTGTTTGGTTGTCATGGGGCGTCTGGCAAGCACCTGACCTAATGTAAAACCTAATGTAAATCGAAATTAACTTTGAGGCATCGATCTCATTACCCCAAAATTGGTTTCCACCCAATCCAACGGGAAATCCTCTAGCGGGTCCAGGTAGGTACAGTCTAGTTACAATTTCTCTACAATTTACAACTTCTTTTTTAGTACTGAACTTCCACTTACCACAATGTTTCTCAATCCTTTGTTCTTTCTCATTCGATAACCACATGTCGGCTGCATCAGCTACAATTCATTCTAAATTCTTTTCGCTTCATTGTTCTTACCGTTACAAATGCATTTTTATTATCATGGAGTAATTGATTTATCTCACCGTTACAATACCTTCTGGTAATTTCACCTTAGGTACAATGCGTATAGAGGTAGATAGGTACCTATACCTACTGATTTCCCCCCCACGTTCTTCATATCGACTCATTCATTCGCTCTCCGTTTTTCTTCCAGATAAAACCTTACTACTACCTTACTACCACCTTACTCACATACATTCTATGGACCTACATAGTATACACCTCCTACGCAACCGCCCCTCGAGATCCTATTGGAGTTTGCCTATCTCTGATCTGTGATCCATACCGATTGAAGTTATCTAACCTAGGTAGTTTAGCTCATATAGGAAGTAAACCTACCTATATATAACTATCTAGCCTGTATATACTGATGAGGTATATATAAGCTGCGTATAGCTGTTCTGTTTTGTTCTGTCACCTTTGTCCAATAGACAGACTTGCGGATTGCTGCGGATTTGCTGCGATTGCTGCGATTACTCGGCCACGAGGCGACGCGCATCGCACCCCTGGTCGCAACCAAGTTTCCTACCGCTGCACTGTACCTTGCCCACGGTCTAAGCTAATGCACTCTGAGGTCAACGTTACAGTTCACAATTCACAATTCACAATTCACAATTCACACAGCTTCCGGAGTGTGGTACTTGGACTGTCGTACTGTACCGCCGCCGCCGCCGAGTTTCTAATTGACTCGACTCTTGACTCGACTCGACTCTCTGTCAAACCTTCGCTGACCTTTGGCTGCGCCCTATTAATTCGTCACCTCACCATTAGAATATATGACCTCTGACCAATAAGACCGGGTACTAAACACCAGATTCGTCTGATTTCAGCACCAGTCGGGTACGTTAAACGCCACTCGTAGTTAAGCTTTAACCTGTTCACAACCTATTCGCAACCTGTTACTTTTCTTCGGAGCCCACGCGTTGGACGTTGGAATCGTTGTTTACTTGTTGACTACGAAGCGCAGCTGCCGGACACCGCGCTGTATACAAAAAAAACGTGAATCTTCAAAACTTCTTCTGAATAGTGGAGTCTTTCCTGTCCAACTGCCGTCGCCAGCCCAAGTATTTGGCTACATTCAAGTACGTGCTACGGTACTTTGTTGGTTTCAAGACCTGGTTGACCTGGCTGGTACCTAGTGGCTCCCTGTCAGAGAAAAAAAAGAGGGCCACTGTCAACCCTTGACACAAACGCTTTCCAGATCCTTGCTATGTAATTCCCTCTTACATTACCTACATACCATCGAGACTCCAGTCATTCACACACACAAGATCCCGTCCGTTGTTTCACACCGTTCCAAAAGTTGTCAAGTCAGCCGCAGTCCACCAGTACTGGCTCGCTCAGTAACTAAATATGTCCACCGGACAATCCCAACCCCAATCACAGTTTCTGCGGGAAGGCGTTCTCGCAGACCACGACCGCCGGCCTGTGTCGCAAACACATTCTCTCAACGAATTATCTACTCCGGGAACACATGCCTTCCTAACAGCTGCCGACGCATTAAATCGAAACCGTATACAGGAAAACCGCATAGCAAAATCTTATAATGGCGAGTCCACACATCCCTCGAACTACGTACACGAAGAGCCGATGAGTTCGAGAATAGAGGTACCACACGGTCAAATCCAGTTCCAATCGCATACAATAGCCCCTTCTCCGCCTTTGCCACAACGCTCGCTGGGGGAATTGTCTTCGTCTCCTGAAGAATTTCCATACTTCCAGTCACCACTTGGGAGGGCTAGTACTCTATATGTCGCGACTGATGTACCGCCGGCGTCTTCAGAACGGTCCGACAGTCTCAATAGCAACCCTAGCCCTTTCCCATCGTATCGCTCAGCTTTGAATCTACAACGCAAGAATTCCTCACCTAGCCTTAAACCAGTTTCGAGAACACCTAGCGTCAAGCAACACTACGCGAGAAGTATTAGTTCTGCCGCGAGCTCAACCTATCCAAGCCCCATAATATCTGCTATGGGCGATGTTACGCCTCTGCCGTCGCCATTGTTAGGTAGTGATTCACCTGGTCCGTGGAAGCGATTTAACTCCCGCCGCCCGTCTCAAGCGCGGGAAGCTGCACCGTCAGTTATGCCTGATTCGGTTCTTATTACCGCAGCTGGCGAATCTGTCGCATCCGCACTGGCTCACCAGTCCAAACGGAAGGTGTATGCCGGACTAAATGTTGGCCACGCAACCGAGATCAGCAGTGGCAAGGTCGAGCACACCCGCAATAGAAGTATCAGTGAATACATTCCGGATCCGAAGGGCATACCCAAGCGCCAGAACACCGTAGCCGGGAAGGTGGACGGGAAGGGCACGGATAGCGCTGTCAATCCTCATTTACGCCGGGAACCACACTTGTCTGAAGCGCGAGGGATTATACCCGTAACGAAACCGCCCTCGCCTCCTCCTAGCGAGTCGTCGCAGAGCAGTGATAATGTCAGTTCTAAGAGGTCACGTTACGAATGTTTTGAGGCCCGCGACCGATACGATGGAAGACTCAGACGGTGGCGTGCGATTAAGGAGCTGGGACAAGGAACATTTAGTCGAGTTATGCTAGCAACGAGTCAGGTGGCTGCCGACGACGAGACCAACGACACGAATCAGAACAGTACAAATGGGACATCCTCGCTGATGAATGGTTCTCAACCGGATCGCAAGACTTTGGTCGCTGTCAAAGTTTGCGAACACGGGCCTCGGGGTGGGGCCTCGGAAGACCGGATTGAAATGAGCCTCAAACGAGAATTAGATATAATGCGATCGATAAGTCATCCGTCATTGGTCCACTTGAAAGCCTGGAGTATCGAACCGACAAGAGCGCTACTAGTATTAAGTTATTGCCCTGGAGGCGATTTATTTGATGTCGCTACGACATACCGAGACGCTTTAACGCCTTTACTTTTGAGAAGGATATTTGCCGAGATAGTTGGGGCGGTAGAATATCTCCACGAACGTCGGATCGTTCATAGGGATATTAAGCTCGAGAGTAAGCAGCAGCGTAATTATTATTATTGCATAGACTTTATTTACTAACGTTGGAAATAGACGTTTTGGTGAACATTCCGCCATCTGAGCTCACAAAACCGGACCAGGATTGGGCTGTATATCCGTATTCGGTAACTACGCTTACGGACTTGGGTCTGTCGCGACGCGTGGCCGGCGACGAAAAGCTCGAGACTCGTTGTGGATCGGATGACTATGCCGCACCCGAAGTTATATTAGGACAGCCGTATGATGGACGTGCTGTCGATGCCTGGTCACTTGGTGTTTTACTTTACGCTCTCCTCGAATCACGACTCCCTTTTGATCCTCCACCAGGCGCTAGCGATGCGCAGAGAATGCGAAGCAGGACAAGTCATAGAATTGCCCGCGTTGAATGGAGATGGATTAAGTATCAGGGCGACGACGGCGATCATGACGCGAACGAAGCAAAATTTGAGAGCGAAGGCTTGAAAGGTGCCATGGAAATTACCGAGGGTCTTCTTAAGCGAGCCAGGAGCCGCTGGCCACTGGAGAAAGTGGTCAAACACGAATGGGTTCGTGGCGGGATTGAAGTTGAAGGTGGTCTAAAGTTTAGAGAAGAGGAGGAAGGGGAGGAGGTATTATAACATTGCCTGGTGTTTTCCAGATGTGTTTCTTGTTGAGACGGGTGTACTAGAGGTGCATAAGTTTTATTTTCAACAATTTCTTGGGCTCAGTTTTAGGAGGTCTGGCTCACGGCTAGGAACGCCGTGGGGAAGTGGACCTTGGAGAGCTTTTCAACTGATCATTTGGGGATGATTCGAGACTATGCTTTAAGGTGTTTCAATGGCTTACACACGAGCAAAAGATAGACGCTGTTGCAAGAAACGAGCTCGGATATATGGCTACTAGCAACGGGGGTTCTGAGAGCGGTTTTGGCATTCTGTATTACCTACATACAAAGATGATACTTGAAAAAGAGATTCTTCAATTCAAATTACCTGGATTACCTAACAGAAGCACGGACTCTTACTGTCGCGCTCATGAAGTCTTAATGTCTGGCTTGTATAAGGGGATATCACGTTACACCCCCCGGCTAAATAGTGCACATGACCTGTAAAAAAAGGGGTTATAAGTCGGGTGGTCCGAGTATGGGCCATGGAGTAATATTGCGACACGAGGTTAACAAAAGACAGGTATTCTAGGTTATGAAGTATGTATCGAAGCAATGTTGCCCAGCCCGAACGCTTGAATTGATTCTAGAGTAAGTTGGAATGTTAAGTCCGTATATGCTTGGCACATGCTACTGGACGGTATTGTACACTTGGTACGAGATCTTGTCAAGGGGTATTAGTACTAGATAAACACATGTTATATACTTAGGTTAGGTTAGGTACCTAAGGTGGTAGGTAACTACGAAATATGCGTGAGCTATGTTATGGGGTTAAACTTGTATTGGTCGGTACCTAGTTCAAGTGAAAGCATTACTATAGAAAAATCAACTCTGCAGGTAAAAATCCAGCATCAGCTTCGCATACCTACCTTAGATAGGTACCTACCTTTAGGTGGCTATTACTGCTAGCGAAAGTACGTGTAGGTACCTAACCTTGTGTAAATATTTGGGGACTTCTCATTATCAATCACATCGACAAGTCGTAAAGGAGATTTGAAAAATACAACGAAAACATTACGTTAGGTAGGTACACACATACGATCATGACACCCTACCGGCCCCGACTTGATAAGTTCGAGATAAAATCCATTTTCTGTTTCTTCTTCTATCCCCAGATAAAAAACGCCTATCCCGGGTATCTCTCTCTTTCTCTCGAAAACGCCGAACGAGAACTCCTATTTCCCAAGCTGCCTGCCTGTCGTAACTCTGTTCTGTTTGTAGCGGGGGTTTGACCTTGAATGCTTTATTCTTTTCAATCCCCCAGTTTTGAAATCGATTTCTAGCGTAGCTAAGGAGGTACCTTAGGTGATTATTCCCCCCTGTCCGTCTTTCCTTCTTTCAAGCCCCTCCGATCCCGTTGTGATTCCTACCGAAGAGCTCATTAAGACTTACTTGGCGGCCGAGCCCTTGCGTCGCGGGCACACGATGGCCCCCGGCGTCGTCACCGGCCGGCGACTCGCTCGACGGGACACTAGCCTCGTCGTCCTCGTCGTCGTCGTTCCTCCTGGTAGTATCGCCCCTGTCCTCCCGGGCGGAGGAGGAAGAGGAGCGCGCCTTGGACCACATCTCGTGAATCAGCGCAGCGTTAGTGCGCCTGTCCTGCTCGTCCTCGGCGTAGATCCACATGCCGAGGACTTTCGGGCGGACGGACTCGCCGTTTTCCATGGGGATCTGAGGGGAGGCGGCGGCGGCGGCGGCGGGACCTTCGCCGAGGTTATGATCGAGCCTGAAGATGAGCAGGCTGGTGGCGAGCTCGAAGTCGCTGACGGTGTTGAGGTCGAGGATCAGGTTCTGCATGCCCTTGCGGTTGAGGACGAAGAGGCAGCCGTCGGCGGCGGCGGCCTCGCCGTCGGCGTCCTGCGCGCAGATGAACAGCGTGCCTTCCATGTTGGACTTGTCCCACTTGGCCGGCGGGGTGAAGACGTAGACGACGGCGTGCGCGGCGATCGACAGGATGCTTGTGATGCTGGGCCGGTACCGCCGCAGCACGCTGATGTTCAGCTCCGTGTTGGTGCGGCCGACGAGGGCGGCCGGGGGCGGGGGCGGGTGAGATGCCATGTAGTGCGCTGTGTCGGATTCGTAGTCCGAGGCTACTGCTGTTGTTGTGGCGGCGGCGCCGCCGCCGCTGTATTGGAGCTCTGCTGCTTGGGCGCGGAGTTGCTGCGATCGGTTGCGGGTGTGGTTATGACCGTGCTGCAGCTGGGGATGTTGCTGAGAGGAGTGTGAGTGAGAGTGAGGATGCGGGTGCGGCGAGCGAGAGAAGGACGGGTTATTCTGGTGGTGTTGCTGTTGTTGATGTGGTTGTTGTTGTTGTTGTTGATGACCTCGGTTTTGGTATTTGCGGGGTGTTGATGTCGTCTGAGACATTTTGCGCTATGAAGTAGAAAGTATTTTTTTAATAGAATTTGGAGCTTGGGAGGGGGAGTACAATGGTTCTTTGTTCGGCCTGTCTCGTGCTAGGTATGCTTGTCGATAATGAAGTGTTTACGTACGAGGCGTGAAGTTAAAGTTTATGTATGAGTATGGGAATTTGCTTTTGTTGTCGGGTTCTGGGTTATAACTTTTTAACTTGTAATACGTTCTAAATTGGTTGGCGTTGATTGTAATGTACCTAAGCGACGTGGGGAGCTGTTTGCGCTAGCGAATCAACTGGCTGCAAAACATAAAAGTTTTAGCTCTAAGGAAAAGTAACCCCGCCCCCGCCTATTGGAGCTTCAATTGTATATTTCAAGTGCCGACTCACAGGTTGTTCCTTTAAATGCTGCATGTACCTAAGTGGATGCTAGGTATGTGAGCTTACCTAATCTAACAGATACCTTTATGTACTACTAGTGTACTACTAGATATGGTTCACCTCCAGTTTAATTTTGTACAGCTCATACCTCTACCTAACCATGTATCCGTCGATGCTTGCTGTTGTTGTGTAATAGCCCCCAAAGTCCTTCATTCCATTCAACAAACTTCCCCGGCTTAGGCCTGTAATAATTATATTTTCTTCTAGCACTAACACACTCTTTTTTGACGCCAAACTTGACTTCTCTTTCAATATTTCTTCGTCCCAAGATTCTCTCCTATTTATCCGCATTCACTCATGTTCGAACAAGGCACAGTCCACGATCACGATGCTTGACGTCGGATTCAATTTGCGCGATCAAAAGCTGACATAGACACCAATCCCCCATTTTAATATTCCCTTTTCGTTTGGGACTACGGACTACCTGTTTCAATCGCTTGGGTTATATTAGGTACCTAATACCAATAACCAAATATGACATCCCCTAATCGCGACCCGTCCGTTGTGTCGGATACGGAGCCAGTCGAACCAGAAGTCTCGAATCAGTATTCTCTCTCCCGCGCTGTACGTGCTAGAAAATCCGAATATACCAGATCTCATCGCATACGGATAAAGATTGGGTCCTGGAATGTTGCTGGCTGCCCGGGTACCGACAAAGACCTGGCGAGTTGGTTCGTTGATGGTAAAGGGGTTGAACAACAGCTAGACTCGAAGCTAGCTCGGATGAAATTTTCTGAGGATAGTGCCGAACTGGAAACGGATGAATTCGAAGATGCTAGATCCCAGACTAGCGCAAAACCCAGCGTCAATTCAGGGGTTCAAGAGACCTTGAACTTAGACGACGAGAAGACCCAAGATGGAAACGAAGAGCCAGATGTTCGAATACTAGGTGGGGATAAGATAGGACTTTATGTCCTTGGACTTCAAGAAATCGTGAATTTGAACATTGTTGCCCAAACCTTCTACTCTGACCCGGCTGCCATCGCGAAATGGAAAGATGCGCTCGAAGCTGCCCTACCGAAGGACTACACTCTTGTCGCTTGCGAGCAACTTGTAGGCCTTCTGCTTCTTATATATGCGTCGCCTGAGGTAGCTGAGACCATAACAAACGAGTCTACTATTAGTGTTGGGACTGGTATATATGGCCTCCTGGGCTACTGGGGTAACAAAGGGGCAATTACGTCTCGTATTCTCTTAGGCGAAACGACACGGCTCGCTTTCACCAATTGCCATCTCGCTTCTGGCCACGATCAAACCAGTCTTGATCGACGATGTTGGGATTACAATAGGATCATGACCCAAACCAAATTTACTCCTATCAACTCTGGTGGCGTACTTGAAGACGATGGTGAAAAGCTAGGAGATGAGGACTTTTCTTTCTGGTTTGGAGATCTTAACTTCCGCCTCGATGGTTTACCCGGTGAAGATATCCGGCGCTTGCTAATGCTACACACTCGCGGTGAGTATGATTTAAGCAAGAAACCTACCGGGGAGACGTTCAGCGATGACGGTGTTATCATACTACGAAACAGTGATGATGACGATGGCACAAATACCCCTGGCATGATTTCGCGCGAAGCATCATTCGATAATGATTCTAGCGATGAAAGCACTGAGTTTCCGGAGCCAGACGACTTCGTTCTGGACCCGCACGACGATCCGGCATCCTTACAAGCTACTCTAGATTCCTTACTTCCCCATGATCAGCTCAAACGTATGATCAAAGAGCGTAAAGCATTTCACGAAGGTTGGCGCGAGGGGCCTATCACATTTCTGCCAACATATAAGTATGATGTTGGTACTGTAGGACTCTTCGACTCTTCGGAAAAGCAGCGGGCCCCAAGTTGGTGCGACCGCATATTGTATCGCACGCGTACGGATATAAGCCAATATGAAAAGAAGTGCCAAGACGAAATCGACGCCAAGAAACGGGATGAAGATATGCAAAGAAGAGGCATTGATCAGGCTGCGGAGGATGAGGACGTTTTATTTGATTACGATCCTGCTACCGATTCAAGTACCGATAATCCTGGATATGGTGACGGTAATTCTTACGAATATGACGAGTATGATGAGGGCGATGAAGATACAGAACATGTTGTAACGAAGGAAGGTTTCGTCGATAAAATCACTTTGGATATATATACCAGCCATCAGCGGATCATGTCATCAGATCACAAACCAATAGTTTCTATGTTTACGCTAGAATATGACGCCGTAGTCCCCGAGCTAAAGGCGAAAGTACATGCCGAGGTGGCAAGAGAACTCGATCGAGTGGAGAACGAAGGACGGCCAGGAATTACTGTCATTGTCGAGGGAAAACATTCGATCAACAAGGAGAATAAGTACGCCGTCGATGGAAGCGAAGGGATAGATTTCGGAGAAATCGGGTTCCTACGGAAAGTCTCTAGGTCCTTAACCATCGCTAATACAGGACGCGTTTCGGCGAATTTCTCGTTTGTAGAAAAGCCAGACACTGTCGATGCAAGCAAATACCCGAATTGGTTGGACTTTAAATTTGTCCGCTCCGAAATTATCAATAACGGACAGACAGAAGATACTCTTGGTGATAATATCACTTTAGAGCCAGGAGAAACAGTAAGCGCCGTCATCCAGGCTTATATTCATGATCTTGCGCATTTACGGGCGTTAAATGAAGAAACGGCGCAACTAGAAGACGTTTTAATATTGCGCGTAGTCGACGGGAAAGATCACTTTATCCCGATCAGGGCTACTTGGATACCTAGTTGCTTTGGGCGTTCGCTCGAGGAACTTATTCGAGTTCCGCGCGGCGGTGGCATCAGAGCACTAGCAAAGGAACGAGGGAAAGGAGGGTCGATACCTTGTACCCTAGAAGTGCATAAGTCATCGCCCGGTGAACTTTTCAAGCTAACCGAGGCTGTGCAAAATCTAGTAGAGAGGGTAATAGCCGACGAGAATATGTTAGAGCAAGCGGAAGTGCCACGCGATAAAGCCGCTTGGCCTTTCAACGGGGATTGGTGGCAAACGTCTAATGCTGAAGCTCACGATGAATTGCGAGTAGCCATAGTTGAAGCGTTAGAGGAGGATAGACCTGTGCTAGAGGTTATCGGGCCTGATGTGCCGACATCAAAGCGGCTTGAAATCGTGAGCGAGGTGCTCCTACTATTCCTTCATAGCATGCCGGATGGTATCATCACCGCGTCCCTATGGGCTAAGATCGAACAGGCTCTGCCTAACATAGGAGCCGGAAAGACCCCTGCAGATATCGAAGCGGCTAAGACCGGCATACTTGACATACTTTCGACGGCGCCATATTATAACATTTCCTTCGTGTTCCTCATGTCTATGTTAACACGGGTGGCAAACGACATAGTTCCCCTCAGTAAAGAAGAGTTCGAGGCCTTGAACGCTCTCAGGCCTACGATAGGGAAACGCAGCCTGAGTTTCCGTCGAATTACGGGAGGAGCGAAGATCGACGTGGTCGCGATACAGCGGAGGTCAGCGTGGGAGAAGAAAGCTGCCGAGATTTTCGGCGTAGCGATCTGTAGAGCGCCGATACCAGGGAATGCAAAAGAAAAGAAGGCCTTAGAGGACAAAATGAGGGGTTCTGTTGAGGTTTTCCTACGGCCAGACAGCGTATAGGGGGAAGAAGCCCTTACTCCTAAAAGACGCATCACTGGTGAAGAGTAAACAATAACAGGAGTGTGGTATATAGAGAGAGCAAATGCCTAGACGATTTACTCGCCCATCGGGAATTCGTGTTTAATACGTGCAGATACCTGGAATGATCTTGATATTTCACTAGGTAACATAACAGATTTTTGAATTTTATTACTGCCGCAACAGCAAATCCCCATCGGCGGTGGGTGGTATGTTAACTGACCAAGCCTGCGTCCTTTCAACCTCAACTTTTCGAGCGAATGACGAACGCGGTTCCGCCACACTGGCGAGTGAAACATGGCCCCGCGCAGTCAGGAGAAGAAAAGAATTATAAGATTAAGAGTATAGCAAGGGGGTTTGAAGATGCTCGTTCTTCATAGCTACCTAACCTAGGTGCGGTTGTATGCTTGGATAATTTTGGTAGACAAGCTCAAGCGCGACAATAAGAGGTACCTAGGTAAGTAAACACGAGCAATGCAGGATGGATTGAAACTACAGGTTTTCCGTATAAATTTCATACCTAGGTAGTTTTCCAAGTGACTAATGAATGCTCTTATACTTATTTCACATATGAGGTACCTTACAACCTTTTCGGTCTTGTACCATACCAGGTTCTGCTGATTATAATTAACCGTTTCGTAATTACAAACCGTCTTTTTACAGTTACTTTTATATGAATATTCAAAATAATAAATATTAGTAAATACTAACGTTTGAAAAGAGTCAAAATACTTAAATATATTAATACCTTTGATATTTTGAATCATTCAAATGATTCAAACGTTTGGAAGCCTTTCGAACGTTCAAGCGTTTATCTCCTTCCCGTTGTCTCTGTTACCTTGATCCAATAGGTACGTCCAAGTCTTACCTACTTAGACGTACGTACGTACCGTAGGTAGCAAGAGGCCTGGCAAGAGGCCTGGCTGATTAAGTCTTCGGAATCGTCTATATAAAGGCCTCTCCCTCCCTCCTTTGAAAGCGATTTTTCTTTCTTTTCTTCTAAGTCTTCAACCCTCAGCCAGCCAAGCCACTGTAGCCAGGACCTAGGACCCAGGAGTCATCGTAGCCTCGTAGCCCCATAGCCTCGTAGCCTCATCACGTAACCTCATCACGTAGCATCGTAGCATCGTAGAATTGTAAAATATTTAATAGCCTTGTAATCCTACTGCTTCTAATTGCGTTTGTACGCTCGTTTGTACGTATATACGTACCTAATATACCTTCCCGTTAGCTCCCGTGGCTCCCGTTGAGGCTTTTGTACCCCTTTTCGTAAACGCGTAAACGTTCGAAGTCAATTCGAACGTTTAAAAGATTAAATTCTTCATTAAATTGGAATAATTTAAAAATATAAACGTTTGAAAGCACTTCGAATATCTGAGATTATCTTGAACGCTTGCCAAAGTTATTCAACGTTCAAGAAGTTGGAATTTTGTTAATGATAAAAAATTTAAATGGTGAGAAGACGGTGAATTAACGGTTTACAGGAACCAGCAGAACCTGGTATGGTAGTATCCCCACTTCATCATTCTTTTTTTTAAATACGTACCCTACCTAGTACCTAGGTACCTACTCATACAAAGTGGAGATGGTGGTGGGTACACTATCTTTCCTTTCTTTCCTCAATTACTTCATTTCTCTCGATCACTTTTCCCCTAGTATAAGAGGTATCCATTAAAACGTTTCTTGGCAACCTTAATTTATCATGTCAATTCCACCAGCATCTTCCTCTGACGAGACGTCGGTGCCATCTGGCGCTGGAAGTGCCTCGTCGGATATTCCGCCACCAACCCCTACACCTTACCCTACTATTATGCAGCCATTTCGTTTCCCGCCTCTAAGAAAAAACTACACAGACCTCACTTACGATCGTAACATTCGCGTCTTCCACCCGTATTATCCCCCCACAAAAGGCCACGACCCTATGTTGCAATTCAAAGCAACGGATGGTGGTGCTCAGTACTTGATGGTATATTATGCTTGCTGTATTCTCGCGAACAACTGTATGCAAGAAGATGAAGGCAGAGATAATAACAATCCAGATGGGCCCTTCCTATCTAAAAGCCCAACCTCGGATGGTCGTATTCAAGTATCACTGAATGATATTTTGGAACCCGGCAACTACTATTTCATTATGCCTTCTTTTTCAGTTGTATCTGATGCTTTATCATCGGCATCGAAATCGGCCTCAACATCAGGATCACCCTCTTCGTCTATCGACCCTGATAGTCGTGGATTCCACTACGCCATCATACCAACTTTTGACGATTGGCAACCGCCTAAGGATATACCGCAACCTTGGCAGGATGTTGAAGTTCCAATTGATCTTACCATCGACAATCCAGCCACCAAGTTGGAAAATGAACCTTGTTACATCACAAGCGATATGAACGGCGTTGAACTGGCTCATATCATTCCACGACAGGAAACGGCTTGGTCGAAACGGAACTTCGTTGCCAACATCCTTGATTCGAGCAAAGATGTCCTTGGTGATTGGAAAAATAAGATCCCGATACGGAAAGACCTTCGTCATCTATGGGATCAAGGTTATTTGACTTTCTTCCCCAAGTCTACCGGAGGGACTACAGCTAGACTTATCCAACTATGCATACATGTCATCCGCTTGCACAAAGATTACTCCAAAGGCTGTGAATGTATTGACAAATATCACAACACGATAATCAACAATTTACATGGGGTCCCCGCTAAGATATTATTCATCCGCTTCGCATGGTCCTTTTTTAATGAGGACGTTATGTTGCTTTTCCGAACCTCTTCGAACTATCGCGTGAGAATTTTGGTTCCTAATTCGAAAGGCGAGATGAACGCTGAAGATCAGACATTGCCAAATTCGAAGATTTTCAAACGCGTATCGGGTACTTTCGCATATATTCACTACGGTTCAAACGATCTATCACAAATAAGAGAAAGCGAAATGCGATGGAAGAAAGCATTGAAAACATACCTATTGAGACCCTTGACAATGACGAAAACCTCTCGTCCAGCGGCGCTGAATTGGATTCCTATATATATCCAGCAGATTCGCCGTCTTTCAGCAGCACAGACGACGTTGTCTCCGATTACCCTTCCGAATATGATTATGCGGATGGTTATGATCCTGTTAATTCGGATTGCGATGTGGATATTGATTTGTCGAATCCCAGTCGAATCGTCCGACGTAACATCCTTGATGATGATCCCTCACGCAAACGCTAACGATCACAGTAATCTAACATCGATGTTGAACAGGTTGATCTTGCAATATCTTCACATGATTACGAAAAGGACCATGGTTTCCCCACTCATCCACAGCGCGAACGCATTCTAGAGCTTTTCAGGTCGGTTGAAACCGATAATGGTTTTCCAGGGGAAGCCAAGAATCGTATCCTAAAGAGCCTTTATCATTTATTAATTCTAATAAGGCCCGCGATTCTACACGGTCACTAGAAAAAGGCAAGCGTTTCCGGTTCTATCCTTGATTTATTGGAAGTTCTTCAAAAAGTACCTAAGGTTATTTACTAAGTTAATGTTCTTTATAGGTTAGTTAGATTTCAGGTAATTGGTTTAATTGATTAACGGGAGATGTCCTAGGGTAAATATGATATTTAAGTTCAAGAGTTATGGAAAAGGTTTCATCTTCCTCTTCTTTCTTTCTTACGTAGGTAGGTACCTAGGTGGGTTTCCTTTTACAGTTGGCCAATAGCCCATATAGATCTTATAGTGTACAAGATATCATTATGTTATCTTATTCTTCCCATATTTATCCGTAAGCACTAATTAGACCATGGGCTAGAAATGGCGTATATACCCTATATTCTAACTCGGTCTTGTTGCTTTAACTTACTTTGTTATAGGTGCCTGTAGCCTTTTTGGAACTACTGAGTAATTACTTCACTCGGCATAAAGACGAGCCCAATCCATACCACAGGTATGCCACACAACTAGACCTACTCCTAAAGGATTACCTCGGATTTTTTACGAGGCCCTTCTCGAAGCCATACTGTCTTGAATCGATTCAGCCGGCGGTATTAGTGACTAGTGACCAACAACTTGTTACCGGCATTGTTATTGTTGCCGTAGGTTATATTCAACACTGCATCATTACACAGTATCACTTCCAAATGGTTGCTTGTCTGGGTGACATAGGCACAAATAACCCTGTCGGTCCGAAAATGAAAGTGTTTAGGATAGGACTTCGGACGGTCTCCTAAGCCTCAGTTTAATCTTAACAATATAGGTCTACGTTGGCAGCATGCGCGTTTTATATCCTAAAACGTTTAAAACAAAATCCTTCATTCTATCCGCATATCAATATTAAATAGTCCTTAGACGCTTTAACAGTAGGTCACTAAAAAACCGAAAGCGCATTGGAAACATATTTGCTCATATTATTACGAACTCCTTGACCAAAACTCTATTACAGCGCTTATTATCCTTTTATATTATATTATATTTACATCTTCACCCTTCCTGTCATTATGGTAGGACCAGCCTTTTGGGTTCTTTTTATTCCATTTTTCATTATCTTTAAAATTCCCGTGTCGATATTAAGTTATGCCGCTCGGTGATTCCTCTATTCGTCGCACGTAATTTATTCTCTTAAATAGAAGTAATCCTAATATAATATCCTTTTATAAACTTAAAGCATTTTACCCACCTTATATTCCAGCACCTACTTCCTCGAATTCTGATGGCGCGCCCTCGAAGCTGTATAAGCGTACTTCGCCGTCTTCACCTCCACTTGCCATTCGACTGTCGCTAAGTCCAACACAAGTCACGGGTCCGTTGTGGCCTGTGAATGTATGCTCACACCTTACCGTCCTCGGGTCCCAGACCTTCACCGTAGCATCATTCGCCCCCGTCACAAATCGCAACGCGTCTCCAGCGAGACCCCATATTCCCTCTACGTGGCCCCAGAAGCAACGGGGACTTTGGCCTGAAGCCGAATCCCACAGACGCATCGTCAAATCCAGCGATCCCGTCAAGAAATACCGCGGGGGAAGTTGACGTTCAGGATTATTGATGAATATCGGGCCGTAAGCTGCTCGCGTATCGTTATGTTGTGCAGCTAGGTACGAAGATGAGGAGGCAACGCTAGGAGCGCCACTGCGCTGGCTAATTACAGAGGCAGCATCGGCCTCGCGCATGTGTTCGTCCTCGAACTTGAGGTCATCCGGGAGCAGGAGGACCTGCTGGACTTGGCCGGCATGTCCTTCGTAGGTCTTGATACACGTCTGAGAATCGAGGTCCCACAGCTTAACGGTGCAATCATCCGAAGCTGATAAGAGGGTTCTCGAAGCGAGGTCCAGCCTGACTTGATTGACCCAGTCCAAATGCCCCCTGAGACAAAACGATTGCTGCGTCTCGAAGTTAAAGACTTTTATAGTCTTGTCGATGGAGCCAGAGGCGACTAGGCCACCTGCCATGTGCACTGTGATAACGCCGTCTTGATGATGCAAGGTGTTGATGCACCTACCTGTACGCCAATTCCAGACGCGGAGGTCACCGTCCAGCGAACCGCTTACAAGTATTCTATCATCGAATTGGAGGGCACGGATTCCGCTTGTGTGGCCTCGCAGAGTGCGTATAACCTCGCCAGTCTCTATGTTCCAGAGCTTGATGGTGGAATCATACGAGCCGGTTGCCAGCATGTTGTCATCGAATTGTAAGCAGGTAACGCCGTTGGTATGCTGCCCGGTGAATGTTTTGATGGCACATCTGCCATACTTCCAATTCGAGGAAATATAATACCTGTCACGATAGACCTCTTTCCACAGTCGAACCTTCTTTTCCTGATGGTCGTCAGCGTTGACAGAATCAGCCCCACGCTTGGCTGGGGCCGAGGTTGGTAAACCATGGTTATTGACCGCTGGGGTTAGTGAAGGGATAAGGGCCCGCCGCGTGTTATTCATGTCCATCTGACGCTGAATCTTCCATTCTTGTAATCGCCTCTTTTCCAGTTTAGGCAGACCCCATTGACACTTCTCACACTTGCGTCCAATATGTTGTTCGCACATTCGATGCCAGACCACGTCATCTCCAGACAAGGTATTCCATCGTCGGCTCACTTGGGCGGCCTTGCAAAGAGAAGCGCAATCGAGATGACATAATATCTTTAGTGATAATTCGGAAGGTAGGGCAGATAGGAAGTCGATCTTTAGCTGCTCTTGCACTTCTCGCGATACGACCGATAGTTGTGGAAAGCAGCATTGCGTAATGATACCCCGCAACATGAGCTCGCGGTGCTTGGTCGGGGCTGCGGAAAACAAGGACCACACGTTGGTGATGGCTTGGCGGTCGCCGGCCGGGAGGCTCTCGAGTTCCTGCGCATCTGGGTTAATACCTAGGTATGCAACGGGCAGGAGTTACCTTTGTGGTTACATGCATACACTCTGGATCAACGCCATCTTGGACTCGTCGGCTGCTCTGCGGCACTTAGAGTCTGGCCGATGGCGATAGCAACACTTGCTGTTGGGGTTTTCGACATTGCGCATAGATAGCGGATCTGGCTTTCCGACGGGCGCATACAACCCTTGGATGTGTTCTCGGAGGAAAGGGGCCACCGTCTGACCGATGACCTGTCGGGATACGTCGGGAAGGCGGAAGCGGTAGGCGGCAAGTGCATCATGCCGCGATACGGGCGTCTGTCCCTTCGTTATCGGTAGAGAATAAATACTCTCCATGGATGGTGGTGACAGTTGGAAAGAAAGCGTTGGTGGGAAATGGGCACAGGGCAATGGATGTGTCGGTGATCAATCATGTTGGTGAGTTGCTTTGCGGCCAGGATTCCGCCATTGCAACCTGACGCTTTCCGAAATCCTTTATCCGCCCTGCGGCTGTCGGCCTATGGATTGAGGCCCGACGGGCAGGAATGGGTACCGGTGTGCCGGCAGGCTGGGGACATACCAAATGTGTCACACATTTGTCCTTGGCATAGTATAGAGTTGCTATAAGATTATTTTGAAAGCATGTAGCTTAAAGAGTAATGTCATTTGTGCTATGTTGCATACCTCTAATCGTCGTCGTGGGGGGGCTCCCCTAAAGCCCACCACAGCGTAAAAGGAGAGCTTGGATATACGGAGGAAAATACATACATGCTGAATGACACAAAAATAAAAAAAACATGGGGTCCAAAGGGGATATTGAATTGAAAGGGGGATTTACGGGACACCTACCATACTCAAAGAACTATATTTTAGGTATAGATGTCGGCAATACATGTAGATTCCAACTAGACGATGTCACTCCCTAGGTACCTACCTGTTAATTTTTCCCTTAAGAATTCACAGTATCAGGTATTCAAAAATTGAATGTGGGTTACGGGATCGTAAGATTACCCTCTTTACCAGGCGGTTCAAGTTTATTATGAACTATGAATATATTTTGTCATTTAACTCATAGCAACTCCTCCGCTACCTGAATCATGTCTCCCATATCTAGCTTTAACTTTGAGCGCTGGCTTAAGAGCCGACGCAATTTAGTCTCCAGATCGTCCCAATCTTCTTCCTCGTAGAAGCCTTCCCCTATTTCGCCCAGCACATCTAAAGCAGTATTCTTGTCCTTCTGCAAAACAAACTGTACTAGCTTCAGACAGATTTTTAATCTGTTTGGTCGGTTTAGAAAAGCAATCCATACTGCTTCTACAATATGCGAATATTTGGTGAACCTCCAGTCTCCTTCCCAGTCCATTTCTCTTCCCAACTGGTTACTGTAGTAAGCGCGATAACACGATAAAGACTCTGGAGAGTCCTCAGTCTCTTCATACGGCCAAGCGTATATGAGCGGGTCCCAGTCAGTGACGATCCAGCTTGGATAAGCCGCATAACCTAGACACCGTGGCGTGGTCATGGCCATATCCCAACCGAGGAGGCCAGTAATATTACCTTGGGGATCCACCATGACATTGTGGGAGTCGAGGTTAGGATGGCAGAGCACAAAATCGGTTGGTTCGTCATGTACCGCGGAAAACGACATTGCAGCTTCCAGTATTTTCCTTTCGGCTCTGTCCCACGCCCCCTCTTGCCAGTGATCGTGATTAGCCTCAAGATACGCGGCAGCAGTATCGAACGGGCCAGATGCCTCGATATAGGGGAGACCACCAGGGCCTTCACCCCAAGCATAACACTCCGAGATCGAAGCTGAGCTGGGGTCGGCACCTGAAAAGGCCCCTATCTTATCAAACGTGAACTGCGAAAGTTGAGCCATAAGTCCCGCCAGACTTTTGAGAATTCGAAGGCGCAGTTGTTCTCGCAGCACAACGTCGAAATCCCGGATCCAGACCTGAGATACAGGTGTTCCCGGAACAAAGCTCATACAGATGTAAGGAGTCCCGATCACGTTGTCATCGTCCGTATCGAAATCGTAAACTTGCGGGACCGGGATCGATGTATTCTGCGCGATGAAACGCATGGTGGCAACTTGGGATTCGAGTGCGCCTGCTGCTGCTGCCTCCTTCTCGTCGGAACTCCGATCGCAAAGCGTTAGGCGAATGACAAGTTGAATTTCATCCAGTTGGATGACGTTGACGATGTTGCTGCCCCCAAAGATTTGCCTGACACGCTTCCCGTTGGTGCCTGGTAGGTCGAGGACGCGCTTGCAGATATCCGAAGCGAGTAGCACAAGTGACTCTTCGGGGATATCAGCTAAGGAACCAAAATACTCACGGTCTGCCTCGTGGTCCGACATCTTGTCTGCTGCCATTGTGCTGGGTTGATGTTGCTTGGAGAATGGAATAACTATGGTATGAGAGAGCAGCAGGCAAGACGGAATTGCATGTCATTAATATAATAGACGTGTAAGGAATTTAGTTAAACTTGACTGATGGGCTTGAATTGGCTTGATTAACATGGTCTTTGGACAGCTATACTTCAAAGAAAGGACTCTTAAACAGAGTCTAAACTCAGAATTTAAGAATTAATAGTCTTGAACCAAGACAAACAATAGAAATATCTAAATGGACGCCTGAGCAATGAGCCATTCAAATTAGGTATGAAATGCCAGGGTTAAGGTTTATACCACGGTTATGAATAATTCATAGGTCTTCTTTTTTTGTGCCTATTCTGAATGGATATCCCGCTAAAAGGACTCAACGTAATTAGGATATCTTTGTGCCAGGGGATCGTACAAATAATTTGTTCAAGACTTTTTATTTACTATCATCTGCATTGGCATTACCTAGAGAGGAGTGTAGAATGACCTAATACTTTAGGTAATTAGAAGGTAGATAGTCCTCTTCCTCTGGTGCCTTAACTAAATCTTTTAGAAAGGCATGACTTTGACATCGGCAACTAGTTGAGTTACTTCCGCCAAGTCGCCAATCGCCTTCACGATCTCTTCGCGCGCTGATGCGTTCTTTGCGGCATCCAGTTCCTTGTAAGCAGAATTAGCGTTAGTGGCCTGAGCTCCATGAGGGTACCTTGTTAACGTCTTGAATACTAACCGCTTTGTCTGCAATCGCCCTCACAACAGTAATCTTCTTTTCAGGGAGGTTTACGGTGCTTCCATAAACGCCTTCGGTATCGTTGAGTTTCTCCAGTGTCGCCTGCACCTTTTTCAAAACAGCCTCTGCTTCTTCGTCGGATGGATTCTTCGGCTTGATGAGCAATATATCCAGGATGGGGCGGCCATCGAAGATATGCGAGCCGGGGTTGGTCTCGAAGACATTCAAATCCGGTGGTCCAGCTGCAAAAGGAGTAGCCGCGGCCTTATACTCTTCGTAGCTGGCAGATTGGACGAACTTATAAAAGTACGATGCCTCAGGCCATTCTAGTACCTATCATTAGAGACGTGGCAGCAACACAAGGACCGACAAGCCCGCATACCAATGGAAAGGAATTCTCTGAACTCCCCGGTCGTATCCTTCCCGTTTTCCGAGATTACGGCACCCGCCACTCCTCTTAGAACACCGGCTTCCTTCAAAGCCTTGAAAGCAAGAGGGATCGTCTCCTGCGCACCCTTGATGGACTCCGGGTCATTCTTAATCTTGGGGAAAATAAGCTCAATGACGGCCATCTTGGAAGGAAATGAGGTTTGTTGAATACTGTAGTTACGATAGTAAGGTATTCTACTCTTAAGTCTTGCTTGAAAGAATAGAGCAAGACGGGAGCGGGGGAGGAGGGTTGACATATGATATATATGCATGCAAGAGCGGCGGGAGCGGAAACGATCGGTGTAACCTTTCGTATATCGTAGGTATCGGCTGAAAATTGGAAATTCAAAATAGGTAATACCTTGACCAGCTCAAGGTATTTAAATTCTTGACGTACTCGAGACTTGCTTCCAAATATACAATCAGAACATTAAACTGGAAAAGTTCGTTATTTTCTAGCAAATGATACAAGTTAATACATCATTTTATCACCGATGAGGCCCAATCACCGATCACATCAGTGTTATTTCCGAACGGATAATGAGGTATTAGTTCTTTGTCTGCCCGCAGATATCGTAGCGCATCTGCACTACAACAACATCCGAACCAACGAACGGATCCGAATCAAGTCCTAATTAGTCAAGACCAACTTGACGGGTATATATCATTACGTTTACCCTTCCGGTCCTTGGCGGTTTTTTTCCTGCTTTACAGCTTATATCAGTAATTCGGACGGCTCTTATTCGACCATGATCCTACTTCATATGCTGCTTATTATACTGCTAGCACATTAAGTCCCGATGTGGAGACAGAAAGCTCCGTTCTAAAACCCCGCAATGGAGTGCGAATTTGTTACGGTAGACGGGTTTCGGGGAAGATATCATTCCGCATGTGAGCACTATTAAATGATGCCATGAACTTGGGCCGATGGCCATGCCATGTTCTTCCGAAACAGTTGTTCGGGATAGTTTGGCTTAGTATATTTCGTTTAGCCCTCCGCATCATCAAACTTGTAGTTCTAACAGAGAGAAGCTGGCCTACTCTTCCATCATTTAGAGGAACCGTTCATTTTTAGATCTTACTTAAGACTCTTACGTCACACATTACGAGCTGGGAATATTAACTGGAGGCGAGTAGTTTAAATAGGGGACTTTGTTAAGAAACATTCCCATACTTTGTAATATCCGTAAAGGGGGCACGCTTATAACAACATTGGATTCAATATCTCGTGAAGTACGAGTGCCAACCCACCGAACCTTGGGTGCCTAAAGCACAGCAGCGGTATCACTAGGTAAGTCTTAATGAACTATCTAGGTAGGTCAAGCTAACTTAATTCATTAAATCATTTGGAACTATAGATTCTCTGAGCCCCGTCTAGTCACGAATATAATTCCACCTACGAGGCGCAGCAGGCTACTTGTTTTGACAACGCCCCAATCAACACTCCCAACAGCTGCCCTCTATCCTGTAAACAAACCATATATATCCACCGTAAAAGCGACGTGTAGTAGCGGCGTAGCGAATGAAAGGGATATAAACATCCAATAACCTATGTTGGATATATTCGGCCGGGGCAACCGCAGTCACGGTGCCACAGTAGTCCTACATGATTTAGAGGCAGCCATATGTTAACTCTTATTTACGTGTACGAACGGGACGCCAACCGGGAATTACCCGGATTCTTGGTCAAGCAACTTCTTTCTTGATGAAAATAATTCTAGGCACATATAACATGCCATGTCTCTCTCTTCACTCAAGCTTTTGCTTCGACATATTGCATCCCGCTTTATCGCCATGCTAAGGAGGATAGGGTCGTTTCTTTACTATCTGGCCCATCTGGAATGGACGGAGAGGGTGCAGACGTCCTGCATCTTTTGTGACCGAAGTAGGTTTGAGGAAAACATCGTTTACGAGGTACGAGCTTTATAAACTTCAGATAGGCATGATACCCCGATATACTAATACCTACTCTTTGCCCCTGGTTAGGATGCCAATCTTATTGCCATAAACAATGTGCGCAAAGCGGGGCGCCATCACTGGCTGATAATGCCCAAGTCGCATAGTTGGCGCGACATCGAGAAGCTGGAGCATGCTGATGCGCACCTAGGTCAGTAATGGGGGCCCGGAGTAACCCCTACGGTGCGAGAGTAAAACTGACCGATCTGCTTCTAGTTAACTCCATGGTGAAGCTGGGAGAACGTCTCTTGGAGCAGAACTGCCCTGCCGTCCCGCGCACTAACATACACATGGGATTCCATCGAGGTCGCCGTATTCTCTTTGGAGATATCTACTGGCCCGACATCGTCTCCATTCATCACCTCCACATGCACGTTCTTGTCGAGCCTCGGTTCTGGCTAAAGCTATTCAAGTATCCTTCGTGGCTACCGCTCATGTGGAAGTCTGAAAAGAAAGTGATGCGAGACCTGGAAACGTCGTGTAAGAGTGATTAGACAATGGGAGGTGAATATCGGCATGCAGTACGCTCTTAAGCACTCTAAACTATTTTTCTTATACTAGGGGAGAGTTACTTTAGAAGATACCTAATATAGTACAGAGCTGGTACTTTGCTCCTTACCGTGCATCATTATATTCTCAACTATTTTTTCAACTAAATACGTCTAACATCGAATGTATTAATCGCGTGTCGGTGCTGTCGTACTACAGAGGTATGTTTGGAAGACTATTCTTACGTTTCTACCCAGGTTACTAGTTTAAATGCCTCGATGTTTTCTTTGAAGGTTCCAGCAGAGTTACTATCACGGTACTGCCCTTATAGACAGGTAGTCTAGTAACTTCAATCCTTAGAGTTAACATCATTTGATAGCTATCTTCCAAACCTTTACCTACAGCCACCTACCTGTTATTTTGAAACAGAGAAAGAGGCATGTGATAATCGAACATGAGGTAAGTTTTCATATAGACAAAGGAATGAGGTTGAAAGTATAAGTTCCTCTTTAGAAATGACTAACCTCCCTAGGCAAGATAGATTGTTTAGGTAAGAATTGGTCTTTGTTTCAATGTTATGAATGGCAAAAGCTTTGAAAATGTATACCTCATGTAAGAAAAACCTCCCTTCTCGCTCATGCGATTAGTACACTGAGTCGGTATCTAACATCATGTAAGTACGGCTCATATACCTTACTTTCAGCGATTCCGGCTTGTTGAAAAGATATCAAATTGTTCTTATAACTATCACAAGTTTAGACATAGATTCTAGATAGGTGTAGTATAGGTATAGTACCTTTTTATGAGTCATAAAGACGAATTCTATTTAGTAGAGGTACTACGTAGACTACGATGTAAATACACCGGAGTAATAAGGTACCTGCAGTCATATCACTTTGAAATCATGTTGCATGACTCTGCAGACACCAGCAAAGCTAACGGCCTAGGCTAGTTTTGCAAAAGTCCTCTTACAGATAAGATCTCTCAGCTAGGTACCTAGCATGACAGCGAGGTCTGCACTTTGGATATGATACAGATTGACTAAAATGACTGACTTAACCCAACATTGCGGATCAGGGCGTCCGCATGAGTACGCCCCGTGGTAAAATGCCAGTAAGCAGTTAGATCGCCTTGTAGTATGCAAGAGCCAGCGTTCAGGCTAACGCACTTGTGCATCAAGATAATAGTAACCGTCACGACTAGATGGGGCTGAAATTCCGAGGCTATTACTAGACCAGCCCCGAAGCGGCGACGCTTGTACGCATGGGGGGACGTGCGAGACCCAATCCTTTGAGGAAAGCTGGAGTAAGTGTTGGCGACGTAACTACGATGTAGATAGACCACCAATTAGTTACACAATATGTTTATGTTACATGATAGAGCCGACTTGATAGCTGGCAACATGTACCTAACCTAATGTATGTATGTTCCCGTCGAGTTTATCATTTACGAATGTCACGAGATGGTATCGTGGCTTTTGATCAATTGATCAGGACGTTTAGTGCAAGTACCTAGGCATAAGTGCCCTCTGCTAGGGCTGAATCCCGTGCGAAGCCATTGCGCTGCGCTGTCTGGCTGAACTCCTTGATATTCGTCAGCTACAGCCTTTGGCATTAATAATAATTTCGTGATCTCTTATAAGACGCGGAGATGTTCCAGTTTAGCTTCATCCTCTGCTGATTTAGTTTAGCAGCCCTGCCGTTAGCTTCAGATAGGGTCGACAAGGGGGACCCAAGCATCTTGTTTGGAGAAAAAGGAACGTTGCTATTGGACAGCGCTTTTTCCTTATCTCTGGGCAATTTGCTTGGCCTGGTCTTGGCTCGATCCCATCGCTTGTTCCTACGACCTTCCACAGCACACAGCTCGTCGTATCTGCCTTAGGTACCGTACCGGAGGTGGGTAGGTAGCTAGGAGATAGGTAGCTACAAGTATTGTACCCAAGGTAAGCCCAATTATTACTTTTTTGTTGGCGGCTTATTGGCAGAAATTGGCTGAAGAACTTATTGATCTATTTGGCTTCTAGAAGAAGTCTTGATAGGTATTCGACGAAGGGAGGCGTTTGACCAAATACTTAGCGAAATAAAGGGACTGCTCCAGCTATTTTTGGGGTGATTGTTTTTCTGATGGCTTCGCTTGTAACGCTTTTTTACTCTCCAACGGATCTTCTTTTACACCCTTTATAGCCAAGGAATGATCGACCCTTGAATACTCGAAGCGCTGTGCGACCAACGTTATGTCTTGAGCGCCCGACATGATCCCGACATAGATGAATTCTCTAGGACAGGCTCTTACAAAATTCGCGAGCACACCTACCTAGGTAGGTGCCTAATTCTTAAACAGCATATGTAGAAGATGTAAAATCGTGGAGAAGATATTTTAAAGCGCCGAATACGTTCATATAGATGAGGTCAAACTGAGACGAGGTCGTCGTGATAGGTCCAAGACAGAAAAAAGGTGCTCGGATCCGACCTTCTCTATTGTCGCGATTGTTTGCTTTTTAATTTCACATTTCAGCTAATCGTCTTTCGAGCTCTGGGTTATTTTTAGTCGGCATCTTGAAAGGGCGGTCGAATTGAGTCCGTCACGAGTTGTTGACCGACTTCTCCCTTCTTCTATTGCCACACCGTAATACATACCTGACCTAGTAGTACAGCATAATCTTCCACGTACTGGTACTCACGTCGACCAAATTGTTCGTTACCTTTCAGATGTCTTAGACAACTGTAAATTTTCGCCGAGGCTTCTTCCGTTACGGAACCACGTGCTGTCGGGCTGGTTGGTTGTACTGGTGTTTTATATACGCAAGGCTTTGATGCGAATCTGCATTTGGTACAAGTTTCCGTGTTCCCCGATTCTGAGACCTACGGCACTGCCTTGAGCTACCGACTGACAAAAGCTAGCTTGGTGGTGTAGGTATTTATATTTTTTTTTCTTTCATTTGAGCATACTCGATGTACTCAATTAAGCCACCATTTAGCTAGGAGTACCAAAAGACTGCTGGGTAAACACACAGACTTCTCAAAATATCCGATTAGAGTTCTATGGGTGCAACGCGACACATAGAATTTCAGTTACGGTAATAATGCCTTACCGTTGAAGCGGTTAGTAGCATGGTCACAGTAGGATGGCTGGTTTCGTATTAATATGGCTACCTCACTCTCAGAAACAATAGGACAACTCCAGGAACAAACACTTCCTCAAGTTGCGATCAATTTTCATCTCTTGGCAATTCAATCCCAAGTTTTTTCATCTACTGCATGAAGGAATCCTACTGCTGCCCATATTCTCTTTTCAGTGGTGGTTACGCCGGCCAACGCAGCCACACAACATGTACCTAATGTAGCGTATCTCTCTCCAGCCGTGAGGTTATCCCCCGTGAACCCCTCCAACTCGCAGCGCCAAGAGCAGCAAGGTTAGCGAGGACATGGGAACCCACCGTTTTCTCGGGTCCTTATCAACAAGCTCCACCAGCTACCTAGACCTATCAATAGCTCTTTTAAGATGACTTATGACTGTCAAAAGGGTCATCGGTCAGGGGTGTCCGATATCTCTTCGTCTTGGTCTAGAGCTGAACTATGATATCTCTGACATCTAAAGGAACAAAGCGACCTTGGAACTTTAGGTACAATACCTTAGGTAGTAGGTAGACCTTAGGTATCGGAACTTCCTCGTCCTTTCATACATGTATCGCATGGGTCGTACAAGCCACTGCAATGGAACTCCCTTGTACCCATCCCCCTCTTGTAACGTGTACGGAGTACAGATAACGACATGAGGGAAGGCATGTAGTGTACATTACATACCTTAGGTTAGGTATACATCAATACACATTGGATGTCTTGCCAATCGAGGGAGGCTCCCCGAGCCGTGAGCAGCAGAGCTGAGCCGTATTTAGGCACAGGCACCCGCCCCTAGTAACCTTTGCTTGTGAGACTCCATATTCTCTCTCTCCTTCTCCCTTCGTTGTTGTGTCTTATATTTTGTTGTCAAAAGTAAACTCGCGACACCCCCAGCTTTTCTGGGACGCGTGGCTCGTTGAAGGAGGATATCCGAAATCGCGTTTCTTTATTCCACGCAGCGGCTGGCATTCTAATTCGCGCCGACAGCGACATGTCTGCCAGTCTATACGTTACGCCGTACAATGGCACCACCGGCGATGCTGACGCCGGTTATACCACCGGCGTCACGGATCTCAACCAGTTTTACGAGGTACGATCATTGAAAATGTGAATATGAGTTGGCACACGATTTTCACAACTGTTATTGTTTCTTATTTTATTATTCTTACAAATTATTTATTTTATTTTTTTTGAAAAAAATAAAACCCCCAATTTGTGAAGAATAAAAATAAACGATGAAGGAAGAGCGCTAAAGTGAATTTATTCTTCTAATTTAGAGCGGCGACTTCGCTTGGATTATGACCTGCGCTGCCCTCGTCCTTCTTATGATTCCCGGCGTCGGCTTCTTCTACTCAGGTCTCGCGCGACGAAAATCCGCGCTCTCGCTCATTATGCTGACGATGCTGTCCATCGCCGTCGTCGACTTCCAGTGGTTCTTCTGGGGATATAGCTTGGCTTTCTCTCATACCGGCAGCAGCTTCATCGGCGATCTCTCCAACTTCGGCCTCATGAAGACCCTCGCACAACCTTCCGTCGGGAGTACCAAGATCCCCGATCTATTGTTCTGCTTGTACCAGGGCATGTTCGCCGCTATTACGTGAGTTACCTTATGGATCAAGTGGAGCTATACAGTCTCAGAACCCCCCTTTTTAGCATCAAGTCTTCTAACGCCGCACGCATATGATTAGACCAGCTCTTGCCATCGGTGCTGCAGTCGACCGCGCTCGAGTACTACCGTGCATTGTTTTCATTTTCATCTGGGCTACCATCGTGTATGATCCCATCGCGTATTGGACGTGGAACGCCAACGGTTGGTCCTTCAAGATGGGCGGACTAGACTTCGCTGGTGGTACTCCGGTCCACATCTCGTCTGGCGCAGCCGCCCTCGCGTTTTCCGTCATGATCGGCAAGCGGACTGGATACGCAAAGTCTGCTGGTCTACCCTACCGTCCGCATAACGTCACTCACATCGTCCTCGGTACCGTTTTCCTCTGGGTCGGTTGGTTTGGCTTCAACGGCGGCTCTGCCCTCGCTGCTAATATGCGCGCCGTCATGGCTTGCATTGTCACGCACCTCGCCGCGTCCGTCGGAGGTATCACATGGACCCTTCTCGACTACCGCCTTGAGAAGAAGTGGACAGTCGTTGGGTTCTGTTCTGGTGCGATCGCCGGTCTCGTAGCGATTACCCCCGCTGCCGGTTACGTTACCCCCTGGGCCGCTGTCGTCTTCGGTATCGTAGGAGGTATCGGCTGCAACTTTGCTACTAAGCTTAAGTTTATCATGGGCGTTGATGAGGCGCTTGATATCTTTGCTGTGCACGGAATCGGTGGTATAATAGGCAACCTTCTAACCGGCATTTTTGCAGCGTGAGTTACTACTACTACCCTTATTTGGATATTTCAAGCCGATCATGCGCTAACGTGGATTCATCATATTACAGTGACTACATAGCGGCCCTTGACGGTTTTAGCGAAATCCCCGGCGGATGGATCAACCACAACTATATACAGCTGGGATACCAGATCGCGGACTGCGTGGCGGGTTTCTCCTACTCGTTTGTGCTAACATGTGTGATCCTCTTCTTGCTGAACATCATCCCAGGCCTGAGCCTTCGCGTTTCGGCCGAGAATGAAGAGATTGGCATTGATGATGACCAGTTGGGCGAGTTCGCATACGACTACGTCGAACTGCAACGCCATACCAGCGACGTCCTCCCAGGCTCAGCTGAAGTTTCGATCCCCCACATGGGTCGCGCAGGTTCCTCTAAAAGCAGCGAGGGACCGGAGAAAATGGTTTAGAGAGAAGAATATTTAATCTTGTGTTAATTCGAAAAGGTGGCAGGTGAACATATTTTCATTTGTCTGGCCTGTACATTTACTGGAGTAGTCTCTGAGGAAATTCTTACAGAGAGATGGTCGCTGCATCCAAGTACATTACATAGCAAATATCTTAGTTGCTTTTTCAGTTTACTACCTACTTAGGTAAGGTAGTTGTCTACCTCCTATCTAGGGTTACCTTAGATACCTCTTATATATACCCGATTCTACGCTATTAACTGAATGTCGCTAAGTATACTCAATTATAGATTACACACTACCAAGACCTATAAACATTACCATATAGCCATGGATTTTTGCCGACAGTTTGCTGTGTATTGAAACATTCTATAATGTTTCATTTTTCTTTGAAAAGAAGTTACTCCGCCTATGACCGTTAAAATGATACGTTTGGAGGCTAGGTTATGCCTTAATATCTTGTGTCTTAGTTGTTACGGTTGACAAATCTAGAGTAAGGTCAGGTATCTACTTAGGTACCTCTAACCTATCGTAGTCATCTCCTACATCAATAGGAGGTAGTCATAGAGATTCTATTTACTAACAATCCTTTCGTTCTGCCATGACGACCTACATTACTCAGGAACAATAGGCAGAATCACTCTTTGAGCAATCGTCTTCGTCTCCCAACTCGGCATTGTAAGGTATAAAGAATTGCCGAATGCGGCATGCAGATAAGCCTGGAGCTTCGAATCCAACCTCTCCCGTAAATATAGACCCAACCTGAGTCGTTATGCTTTCTAAACCACGCTTCTAACTCGTAGGAAATATTTCGGACAGCTACACTAGTAACACCCGGTGTTCGTCAGAAGATAATTACCTACAGACGCAGTCATGGCTAGCAAAGACGAGAACCCCCCGCATTCATATGATGATATATATGATGCGAGCGATGATGAGGATGAGATAAGAAGTGGTATAGATCGAATGGGTCTGGACCCTACAAAAGAACCTGCAAAAGAACCTACACGAGGTATTTAACCTCTACGTGACGATTAGTCGAGGCTCCTTTGCTAATAAACATCGCGATTGACTATAAACATAGGACCATATATACCGCCCCATCTGAGAGGCAGAGGTGGTGATGACCAAGGGGCTTCACGAGATAGCACACCTCCGACGGGAGCTTATTGGTCGCCACGGAAACGCAGTCACCTAGGGCAAGAGGCTGCCCGCCGGGATTGGCGGCAGGCAAACCCTCCGACACAAGAGCAAGATTATAGCATGGATTGGCGCCGGAACGTTTCCGATCCATTGCCAGAGAGACGCGTTCCAAGGTCGAGGGAAAATCCACCGGATATCCCACCTCCGGCCGATATCCCACCTCCAGCCGATGTTCCACCTAGGGTCGTTCCCAATTACCCGCCGCACATAATACCCGAGCAAGTAATTCAGCATGGACGCTCAACTCCCGGGTATCCGCGATGGCGTCGCACCCAGAACGAGATCAACGCCGCGGCAGCAGCCGAGGCAGCATCCAACCCTTGGATTCGGTCCGTTCCCGAACCAGAAGTTTACGTTCCTTATCTCGGGCCACGCGCGTCCACGCTTCAAGCCGAGGAGATATCCAGGATACAAATGCGTGGCCGGTGGTACATCAAATCCCTGCCTGTCATGAGCCGCTACTTTACCCGGGAGCCGGCCGAGAAGGCCCCGTTGGTGGCCGGCGAAGACCACGACCCGTACGACCTCGTGCTGGTTCTTAAAGACGCCCATACGTTCCAGCGGCCCGAGGACTTCGTAGAGGCCTTGATGCGCGAACTGTCGACCACGGGAGAGTATTCGCGGGACATGGCCACCCACAGCAAAGTTGATATGGGAGCAGAACCCTGCAGACGAACGCACACCAACCGCGCCGGCAAGGAGCTCCTCGAGGACTTCGACCTCATCATCGAAGAACTCTTCAACCTGCAGAGCGAGCTGGAGACCGTCAACCGAGGCAACTCCGCCGACCGTCTGTTCGACGCGATAGCGGCGGCGTACGGGTGGGACAACACCGAGCTCAAGAAGTCGGGTTTCCACACGGAAATCATGACGTACGTCGGAATGGCCATGATGAGCCGGTTCCGGTACCTGAAGGATTTCATCCGCTTCGATAACCCGGAGCAGGGGTTCGATTACGTGGGCGATCTAGACGAGGCGACTACCATGCTGGCGACGCGGCAGTACAGCTCTGCCATCCATTCGCCGTCCTTGGCCGACGATGTCCGCGCGGTGGAATGGTTTTCTTACTGGGCGGGACTCTTCCCTGGCCGGCACTCCAGAGAGTTTGAGGCTACTCCTCATTTGAATAGCCAAAAGATGCTGAATGTTTTCCACGATGTCTACGGGTTCGACTATCAATATGCAGTCCGATTGCGTGAGTATTAATAACCTGAACGGGGGAAACCTTATCTTTCTATTCAAATCTCCAAAGCTAACCCCCTATTTTTTTTCTTTTTTAAGTCTCTGACCCCGGCTTCGCCGAGGATGTATATATAATCGACAGCTTTACAGCTTTCAGGGGCACCATGAATGCTTTAGAGCCGGCGAGCCATTCCCATCTCCTCGAGGTGGCAGACCAATACTACAAGCCGTACATCAAGGTGCTGACCGACACCCTGGACAAACACCCCGAGACCGACGGCGCGCTTTGGCAGAAATACAGGGCCAGCCCCAACAGCGTGCCGGACTTGCGTCGACGTCTTGTGCAGTACGTGGATCAAGCCGAAAAGCCCACGTACGTCGGCGTGGGGCGGTGGTGCAGGCACAAACCGCCGCCGGGGAAAGTCGGAATGGCGACGGAATTCAAGGAAATGTCCACACGGTCGTGGCGGCGAGGCTGGTATTGCCCCGACCACCGCCCCTGGATTAGGTGCAGCTCTTGCAGCTGGCGATATTCGTGCGCGATATGCACGAACCCGCACAGCTGTCCTCATTGCAAGCAGGGCTTCAAATGTACCGCGGAGGGGTGTAAGGTGAGGTCGGACTACTATCCAGATGGTCGGAAGAAGGATTACAGGTAGGTATGGCCAAATCCGAAGCTGCAGCGGGAATATATATATATATGCCTTATATAAGCGAAGCTGCAGCAAGAGAGAGAGAAAGAGAGAGAGGGATATACTAAAAATTGCTGTAACAGTTACCAGATAGGCGAGACCGTTCCCGGCGAGGGCTGGCAACAAAACGGCAGGCGAATTACTCCCCAACCTCGAAACATCTTATCGAGGATGCACCAACCCGCAAGGTATCGTGAATTCTTCCCTAGGGGTGTAGGAGACGTACCGAATGACGGCCCGATCGCTGCAAGAGCTATATCTAATAGTAAGTTTTTTTTTTCCTTCTCCCCTCCCCTTCCCGTCCCTTTTCTTGCCCCTCAAGAGGAAGGGAGAAAAAAAATATTTTAGCTAACAAGCTCCAAGGACACGGCCACGATTTTAGGCATAGCCGTATAGATACTGGGTGGAAAGACCCGTATCCATCTAAAGAGTAAGTGATTAACAGTTCGATTTCCCCTTTCTTTCTTTCCTTCTTATTTTCTATTCCTATTCTGTCGAGCCAAAACCTTTCGCTAGAGAAAGGTACTTAGCTATCAATGGGCCATGACTTACAAAACCGCCCCTTTAACCCCCCCCTGGTACGTATCAGTGTAAACTGACTTGTATGAATTGTGATAGGGCTCCACCCCATTCCACGAGGTTTGGTGCCAAAGGAATCACCTTCGTCGAGGAATGGCAACTCCCCAACTATCCTGGGGAAGTCCCCTTGCCGCCTGCCGGTGGCCAGGCTCATTCAGCTCTGGTCGATGAAGAGGCGGCGGTTGGCGGCGCACCGGGCAAGAGCGGGAAGCGCAAGAGGGAGGCGGACAAAGGGCTTCTAGGAGATGTGTCTTCCGCGTTGCGCTCGGCGAGGATGGTAAGGCGTTGAAAGATTTTGAAAGATTGGGTTTATTTTCTCCTATCGGTGTATTTAGTATAACTGTATAACTTGCTACTAGTAGAATAGCAATAGCGTATGCCCCTTAAACCTGAGTCTTGAGGTCGGGACCATATTTTGGTAGAATTATAGGGTCGCTAGAGCTAACCAGCCCCGTATTTGGTAAACGGAACCAAGAGTCCAATCTTCCAAGTGCCTATTCGAGGTGATATTATTGTACGTACCTAACCTAACATATCAATTCTCACTCCTGTATCTTTAGTTGATGGATATATACGTGTCCATACGTCACCGTCCCTCGATCTATCGTGACATTACCCAAGTTACGCCGAGAAGATACCTAACCTAACCTAACCTAACCACGTCCTACCTAGAAACCCATCGCATAGCTAACCTTATCGAACTTACCGAGTTCGTTAGGCAGCGCCTTGGTGTACTCGACAAGCATCTGCCGCTTCTCGAAGTCCCAGAACACGTTCGAGCACACGTATCGCTTCTCGGCCGGGACCACGTAGTCGGTATCTGCCGGGTTCGGCTGGCCCTCGAGCTTCATGGCGCCCGTCACCACTTTCGCCACGTTTCCGCTGTCCCACGTCGACTCGCGCCAGTCGCACCGCGCCAGCAGGTCCACGGCCTCCTGCCGCACGCTCGCCTTCCGGCACTTCATCCCCACGAAGGCTAGCAGCGGCAGCCGGCCGTTCTCGTTGATGAAGCCGATCTTGGTGCGCACCGCCGAGGGGATGTCCGCGAACCGCTTGCACCGCTGCACCACGTCCTCGAACTGCGGCACGTACTGGTCGTACATCATCTCCGTCGAGTCAAAGCAGCACGACGTCGCCACCCACGCGACCGCGTGGTGCAGTCGCAGCAGCTCGAGGCCCTGGCGGTCGCGGCTGTCGACGGTGCTGAACAGCAGCGCGTCCAGCGCGACGCCCAGGTCGTTCAGCTGCGCCAGGTACGTGGCCTGCTCGCGGAAGGCGGCCGCCTCGTCGAAGACGTACTCCGGGTTCGAGTTGCGCCACGCCATCTTGCTCGCGAAGCTCGCGATCTGCACGCTCAGGTGGTCCCATATCTGCCGCGCCTGCTCCAGCGTCTGCGGCGGCGGCGAGAAGGCAAAGGGCCCGTCGAGCCCCGTCCCGCCGTCCTCGTCCTCGTCCTCATCCTCGGTTAGCAGGATGTGGTACGCGAATTTCCCGTGCGCGAAGGGCATATACGCCTTCGACACGCTCTGCCGCGCGAACATGAGCGTCATCTCGTCAACCTCGTCTCGCGGGGACGATAAGCATCGGTACCACTGGCGGCGCAGGATGGACTTGGAATCGGCGCCGCCCCGCATGTTCCTCAGTACTTTGATGCCGCTGCGTATCAGGTTCCCCGAGCTGAGGTAGTTCCCTTGCATGTTCTCGAAGACTATAAATAAGAGAGTTGCCGCCATGGTTAAACGACCGTCGATCCCGTACGACCTGATATTTGATCGGAGATGCGAAAGAGCCTTGGCGTGGTGCACGAGGGCCGCCTGGTGATGCCGGTTCATCACCGACGGAGGCCACCACGGTCGGAATATCTTACCGTTGGCCGCGTATCCCTCACGAAGGTCCATAAGAGCACGGCCGTAGGCGCCTATACTGAGGATAGAATGGTGAATACATCGGTTGACCATGCTGTCTCGCAGAGACGTGTGAGACCAGAAGGTAGATCGAAAGTAGGGCGATAACTCGTGGGATATCTGGTCCCTGAACAGAGTAAAGTACCACTTGTCGTCCTCGCTCAGCTCGAAGCCGAACGTAAGGATTTGCGGAGTTGGCGACCGGTGGTAGACCGCCGGATGAGATAGAGGCGAGCTCTTGCTCGGTTGTAACGAGGCAAGCTTCGGCTTCGGTAATAGTAACCTTTTAGGCCGGCAAGAGGCTGTCTTGACCTTTGGCGGAGCATAGCCCTCGCATATGAGTTTGAGACGCTCGCATTCTGCGCAAGATGGTTTTCTTTCGTCGCATTTGACCTATAGGGTATTGAGTTAGCAACGGGTGATGCATATCCAGAAGTTTGTCAAGAAGAGGCCGTGGTGTTTTTACCGTCGTCATTGATTGGCGGGCAAAACAACGTCTCCCTAAACAGCTGGAGGACAGAGGGGGTAAGAAGTCGCGAAGATAAAACTGACATGTCTTCTTTTACAGCTAATACAGCCTGTAGTATAGTGGGAATAAGATCTCAGCTAAATGGTCCCATCTTGAGCTGATTGGGGATAACCTTTTTTTACCTGTTCTGACTTTGGGCTTACTTGCCCTTTTCCTTGTGGGTTTTAAACCGTCGCATCGTCGACTACTTTCGCTACCCTTCTCCGAGGAATCGGAAGCTGGTTCTGATCGTTGACTGAGGCTGCTGGGATTATTCCGACGAGGCTGTCTCATGTCTGCCGGCGGAGAATGCCTATTTTGGATATCGAATTATGGATCTTCTATATCTAGTCGTGGGTTTTTCTTCTTTCTACCTGCTAATTACGAGCTTTATTTTCCGTGTGGTACTATGTTATGTTATAGTAGTTGTGATCTCGTTTGTTGTGAATTCTACAGTCGCAAACCTAATCCAAAACGCGGTGACCCGATCGAGGGACAGACTTGCTTATCAGCCAAAAAAAATAAATTTGTAACCTTGGCCCTGGCCAGCGTGTATGGCCAAAGCCAAGTAGAGGGCCAAAGTAGAGGCAGGGGTTCGGCTCCAAATGCCGGGATACCTAGTCGCTGGGGATTGTTACGGAGATCGTATACATAAATAAAGTCTATAAATAAAGTCTACACTATGCTCAGATGGAAAATGCACGGGTTTTTTTAAGTAGGTAGGGCGAATCCATCTAGATAGTAACGTCGTAATAAGGGGTAGGCTGGCTGGTAAGCTGGTAAGCTGGGGAATACCTACCACCTAACCTAATAAGGACATTTAGTGTATCGAATCGCGGCATTCGCACGGGGGCTTGGTTGTTCGGATCCGTAATGTGGTGAGATGGGGTGCCATCGGTTAAGGCTGATTATGTGTTAGCAGGGCTTTGTTGGCATGGTCTGTCATGGCGCTGGCGCGGTTAGTAGTTAAGCATTAGGATGTGGATAACCTGTGAACCTGTGTGTATGATTTGAAGATCGTGCTGCCTAGATGGCAGTCAATACCTACTCTATGGGGCAAGTCCGAAAGGTCCTTGTGATGCATTAACATAGCCATTCGGACTGCTTACTTGCAGGTGCATAGTAAGTATATGGTTTGTTAAGATCGAGACCGATAAAAATAAGACAAGTGTTAAATTACCTAGTCACTATCACGTGATTTACGAATATCCCCAACCGCCTATAAATTCTCATGTCTCCACTCATACATCGGAATTTTACATAAGAGGTAATTAATTGTTGCTACAAATTTATAGATAAAAGGGGCTTAATGTGAGAGGTTGTGAAATGAGGCTGTCTACAGCTAGCATGTATAGCTTTGATTAGGTGTAGCATATATGCATACTGTGTCCCTTATTATCTTATAATCCGGTTATGAATGAATGGTGGATCTTAAAAGCGGCGTTGCCGCGGAACTTCTATAGCCTCAAATAGCGCATCAGAGATAAGCGAGAATAGAACATCGAAGCTTTTATTTTTCTCCATTCCTTGATATCGTGTGGAATCATCTTAAGAGGCAAGGATGTAAGAAGTTAAGCAAGTACTATGTATGAGTAACTACCTACTGGTTACCTGTTATCGGTATCTATTGCTCAGTATCAGTTGTGATGGTCATTAAATACCTAGGTAGTTATTGATACATTCTCCAAAGTCCAAACTCCTTGTAGTTAACCACCCCCTTTGTGGCTTTGCCTTTTACGGAACCCCATAGTTTTCAAAGTGCGGAAGCAAGTCTAGGTACACATGGCCTCATTTTATACCTCGGTCTCGACACCGGCGTCTTTATCGCTGTGCTGGAATATCCCGCTGATATTTCCTTTGAGCCTGCTGAGCTTCGCCCCGACGTGGTTAGCCTCCCTCGCCGGCCGCCACTGCATGATCCCGCGATGCTTGCGGTGGAGCTGTTTGTGGTGGTCTTTGTAGTCGCGCAGCTGGTTTCGGATCCCCCTCGACCCGTCGTCCGGATTGTTATGCCCCGGCGCCAGCACCGCCGTGGCTGCTTCGCTGACTCCGTCCGCCGGGTTGCGGAACATGTCCTTGACTTTCTTAACCTTCTTGATACCCGACAGGGATAAGCGGGAAGAAGAGCCCGATGATCCAGATCCGGCGCCGTTGCCCTCGTCGTCGGAACTAGACCGTGATGAATCATCGTTAGTATGGACACGGAGCTTTTTCTTGCGAGTCTCGTCTTCGGAATCGTCGTCGCTCGTGGTATCGTCCTCATTTTCAGCTTCATCCACGTCGTCGTCGAGCTTCTCGTCTGTGATCGTGTCTAAGCATTGCATCACGTTCCGTAGGTCGTTATTCTTAGCTTTAGAAGCGTAGCTCTTGTGATAGCCAGATAGGCCACGCCAGAACTTGAGGGATAGCTCAACTTCGCCTAGTGCTTGTTCGCCGTCACCCATGCCGGTATAGCCGCAGCATGACTGGGCTTTGCGCAGACCGTCCTTCGATCCCTTCCACACCTTAAGGGTCTTAGTTTCGCTCTCCTCGTCGACGACCTCGTGGAGCCATAGAACCGCAAATGCAGCTGTTTTGTCGGGTCCAAGCACGGACTGGCGGAACTCGATCACCATGGCCGAAGCGTAGCGCTTGCGCACCGCCAAGAACACAGGCTCGTGTTCCTCTCCGCCCTTGGACACCCATTGGCCATTTTGAGGATACATCTTCGCATGTCCCAGGTTTGTACGTATCTTGATTCGATGCTCTGTTAAGGACCGAGGTAAATCGTTTTTCGCCTGAATAGCTCCCCGTATCTCTAAAGTGCCATAGTCCCATCCTCTGAGGTTCGGTGGCAATTTGAGTTCCACGCTTCGCCAAACCATGCTAATACGAGCCCGGCCATATCCAATACCTCCAACCACTATAAATAATCACATTTATTAGTATATATTTGTAAAAACGTGGCCAAGTATATGCAGAACGAGCGTATTCAACCTCAACTTACATGGGTAATTATCTATCACTTGGCTTCTTTTCGCAAAGACCTTTGCAAGGGGAAGATAGACGATCCCTATGAGCGGATCATCTTCTCGCTCACGAGAGTCCCACACGCTGACGATGACCTCGCTATTACTCCAGTCTCGGACAAATCGCTCGGTTCCAGCATTAAAGAATGGCTTTGAATTCTTTGGTTTGGTCCTTGTCCTGTAGATCTTCTTGTGATTAAATATGATAGTACAATAGCTATCGGGCATATCATCGCGTTGCTCGGCTTCATCCTCGTCGTCGCCATCGTCCCCTTTATCTTTCTTTTGCAGCCTCTGTACTTCGAGTCCTGTGATGTTGTGGATTTGGACACTAAGAATACCAGAGACGAACTCGTCAGGGGGCGGTGCTGAGATAATCATGGACTCTTCGATCTCTCTGTAGTCTTGGGCTTTCTGTTGCTTTACTTCGTCGTCGTCCGAAGGTTTGCCAGCCTCCCGGAGCTTGTGCTCAGACAACTTCGAAACATACTCCTTAAGCTGATCGCGAGTCCTTATTTCTTCGTTGACAGTTTGCTGCTCAAGTTGTCTGGACGTGATCCTCATCTTTGGGAAATATCCTACCGACCATATTAATGACCCTGGCATCGTCTCGTCCGGATCTTGACCAGCAAACCTGTCCTCGCGATCTTGGAATTTATTCGGATTTTTCATAAGGGATTTTAGATCGACCTCTACGCGGCCCAGATCGTCATCCGCCGACCACTTATCCGAATCCCAAAGTTGAAGCCGCAGTTTTTCCTCGGCATTCACCTCCTCCGGGGTGACCAGAATGCTCGCCCATTCATGCCAATCGGGCTCATTTTCACCCGTAATGATACGAGTCGAAGCAACCGGCTTGCCGAACTTACCCCACGATACAGTAACATACGAATCACTCGAGCCTTGCATAGGTCCGATCCCGCCATCGCCCTGTTTGAAGCCGCGGGCTTGCTTGATGAATATCCAGACAACGCCTAAGCTAGTCGTATCCTTCTTAAAATCTTCTCCCACGAGCATGTCCTTGAGGTTCAAGGTCAAGCTCTTCGGAGCTACGTATTCCGCAAGAGCAGCATCAATTGCCGAGTTGACAAAAGAAGATATTAGAGGGACATCCGTCAAGCTGAAGCTATGCTTGGAGAGAGGAACGCATGAAATAGTCGCCTTCGGTTGTCCAAGAAAGGTCAAAGTACATAAAGATATGAAAGGGGGGTCCGGTGTCAGCTGAAGTCGTAGTCGCATGGTCATAATAAGGCCTTTGAGCTCGACCCATACGGGAATGGCCACTTCTCCAGGAAGGTAAAATTTCAGGTAAAGATGAGCATTCTTAGCCTTTGCCTTTACCGAGTTGCCAGACGAGCGGCCACGATAGGCGAGTGCAAGCTCCAAATTTACAAAATCACCTTCTTCTGCCTCCATCCCCTCTCTCACAGCCGCTTCCTCCTGTTCTTCTTGCTTCGCATCTTTGCCCTGTCCTTCGTCTTTCTCCGAAATCCCCTCAACGTCATTCTCTTGACTATTTGCGCTCCCTTGAGGGTTTTCGGGGTCTGTTCGGTCATTTCCGGTCCCTTTGTCTTTCCCTTGAAGTTGGTTGTTGGGGCCGACTGTCTGGCTAGCCGCGCCAGTTGGTAGCCAGCGCACGCCCAATATGCGAATAGACTCGCTTCCCTGTCCCATATCGTCCACACTGACCATCTTGACGGCCTTAGGAAGGGAAGCCTGCATGATATCTTCTATTTGGTCTATAAGAGAAGTGAAGAGGTCCGGGTTAACAAGTGGCCAGATGGAGGAGAGCAGACAGTTCAGCCATTGGGCTGATTCAGGCAGCTCTTCCTCGTTGCTTATAATAGCTTGTTCCTGACGACGCGCAGCATCCCAGGTCTCATCTTCAAAGACCTCGCTAGCTTTTTTGTTCGCCCATTTTCCCATGCCCACGACCGTTGTCGCTCCTAGTAAACCAAATAGAATTGTGCCAAATAGGATAGACCAACCCGGACCGTTAATAAGTATCGGGACGAGTAGGAAGACTACAGCCAAAGTACCTATTATAGCTAAGCCAGTATATATGGCCTGCTCGTAAACTATGGCGAGCCCTTGTTTTGTGCTCTCGAAGTCTGGAGGTGGGAATACTCTCTGCATTCCATTGTGGGTTTGCTGTAACTTGTCACGCTCAGATACCAACTCTTGATCGGACTTGGAGGCACCCTGAGGCCCTGTGGCAGTATAGTGATGTAAACCAGGCGCAGGAATATTATAAGGCACAGAGCTAAGATCCTTCTCGGTCTGGTCGTGTATGACAACAGGTAAGTGTGTAACGGGATCGGTAACTTCGCGCCCTCCGCCGTGTCTTTTAGTCTTCTTCATCGCCTTGCGCTTTTCTTTAGGGTCAACAGAGCTTGCTACCGCTTCCGTCGCCGACTTTCCTTGCTCGCCTTTCTTATCGCTTTCTTCTCGATGTTTGTCAGGTTCCTCTTGCCCCCCAACATTATCAGCCGAATCCTGTTGAGTGTCTTTAGATTGTGTCGCTTCTTCTTTGGGAGTATATGGAGTATTGTCGGCATAGTTACGGTTTGTAGATGGGTATGGATCATGTCGAGACTTCGGAGTATCTTCGCCTTTGAAGACAGCTTTCGCAGACTCGAACGCTCGCTTAGGTCTCGAAACATCTTCCGGTCCTCGTTGCGCTTGTTCCTCGTCTTCTACTTGCCCTTCCAATTCCCTTCTATGTTGCCTGTAACCTTGAACAGTAGGGATTGGGTGTTTGGCGTTGTGAGGTTTGCCGTACTCTCTCCCCGACGCATCCTGCTCGAAATCTGCCTGGTTCGGCATGTTTACCTAGGTAGGTACGTTTGCGTAGGTTTTAGATATTATGTATTCATTGGAGAGTAATAGGAGATAATATTGTTGATAGTAACAGGAGGGCATCGGAAGAAGACAGAAGGATATATTTAAAAGTTGCTCGTGTGGCCATTTCAAGGGTATAACAAGAGGTAATGCCTAATCGTGCCAGGTAAGTTAGCTACCAGGTACCTAGGTATGCTTTATGCTAGGCAATAAACATGTTTTCCTTAAGCTGGAGAGTTGAATCGTTGAATCGTTGTAATTGTATGAGGTCATCGCTTGACGAGGGGGGGTTACACGCACCAATATTACCCCAGCTCTTGCCGTTTGTTAGTGGAGTTTAGGTGACGCAGCTAAAACCAAGTGAGTTTAAGGTGCCTGAAAAACCTCCGAGCCTTAACGGCTTCAGCTTGCATGTCATTCTCCACAACGGCAGTGCGGCACGTTAGTTCTGGCAACCACGTTACAATAGGTACAACAAGTACAACAAGTACGTAGGTACCTAGCACATCTACTAAATCGACGTAGCTGTCTGAATGTCACATGACATGTACAATACCTAATACCTTAGGTACCTGGTACTTATCCCACATCTCCTTACCCAAGTGCTCCTAATCCTTTATAACATCAACAATAATTACCTAGGTACAATCAAATGATTTTATGACACTGGATCTCGTCACGTCTCCCACAAATAAAACTTAAAACAAGACAAGTCAATATAAGTACCTATACCAAGGTAGGTACTGATACAAATATATTATATTCCATCTCATACCTTAGGTAGGTAGGTATTATATGTATATACCAAATAACGAACATCAAATATCCAGCCTCGGCTCATTTAGGTCGAAGAAGGTAGCAATAATTATATATCACCGGATCATTCTCCTTGAGCTTGAGTGTCGGGATCCTAGCTATGACCTCGACGTCGAATGGAAGCTGCTCGATATCGAAGCGAGCTGAAGAATAGCTAAGGGAAATCCATATTCCATTGTCAGCGAGACATTGTCTCACGCTAGAGGCCATTCCCGAGAGGGCTGTGGTCCCGCCGCAGGAGACTGCGTCGGTCGTGCTCTTGTCTACCACTATGTCAAACTTCTGATCGTGAGATAGGTTGCAGGAGAGCTGCGTCGCGTCTGCGACCATATATTTCATCCTCACGTCACCAAAAGCCTCTTGCTCTAGCTGACGCCCGCGCTCGATAGCCAAGGGTTCGTAGTCAGCGTTGGTAACGTCCAAGTAACCTCTTAAACGGAAGCAGTTATGCAGATCGCTTGTGCCTGACCCTAAGTGGAGGATTCGGGGCGAGCCTTGGCAAGTAAGTGAGTGTCTCGAGAGGTAAGGCTCTATTATGGACATAAAAGATTCTGACGAGGCCAGCCACTCAAAGCACGTCTCGGACGAGAATCTCTCATGCCAATAACTCTGTTTCTCGAAGTCGGCGGGCATAGTCGATTAAAGTACCTATATTTCGCTCTCGAGTCACTGGATGTAGGTATATCAGTGACGACATAGTTCAATGCTTGATCTGTTATTGCTGGCGTTGAATTAGTACCTAAGGTATCAACAGTCATTTTCTTTTCTCTTAACCAAGACCCATAAAATCATGTGAAGTTGTAATTTTTCCACTTTCCAGTTAGGGTCAAATCAGATGGAGACTCTTCTGCCCAACTTCTTCTAATATGTTCCTTTAGTTACTTACGGCGCTAAACAACTCCATGACCCAGTCCCTACCTAACCTAAGTTAAGAGGTAGGTAGGGACCTAGGTAGGATTTCATCTTCATATGTTTCGGCGTCGTCTTCACTTATCGTTACCTTTCCAGTTTCCTAACAATTATAAACAGTTTATGAATGGACCTTCTTCCAGAAAATTTTCAAATCACTTGCTCACTACTAGGTAGAAGTTAATCAGTTCTAATATAACTACAATAAATGAACCAAGTCAAGGTAAGTTAAGCTAACTGATACATAGTAAGTGGTGCTATTTAAAGGTTTCTAAGATAACAAATCAAACCAAAACCGAAGAAAAAACAAAACAAGACAAGAAACCTAAATACAAAGAAATACAGTTCAAAATTTCCCTTCGAAACTCCCGAAATACCTCCAGGTAGACGTACCCAAGTACACACCGTTGTCACAATGTCCAGGCGATAGAAAGCAACTAGGTAAGAAACCGTTCTTAGGAGGGTAAAGGAGACGACCCCCTTCCCCCCTTCCCCCCTTTTTTGAAAGCATATACCCACAAATTTATCGCCTCCTCGTAACGCGTCCCTTATTTACGCGTCCTAGCACGTCGCGAAGGGGCGTCCTTGGCGGGCGCTTCAGAGATTCGGCGCGCGAAAGGGAGTCTCTCAGCAAGGCGGAAACAGTCAAGCGCGTGAGCGGGCCCTCGAAGTCGGACTCGGACTCGGACTCGGATCCGGACTCGGATCCGGACTCGGACTCGCTCGGGCTCTGAGAGCCCGCATCCCCGTCCTCGATCCCGTATACGCGACGCGGTTCCCGTCCTACGTCGGAGTAGTCGGAGGAGGACAGGCCGTCGTCCCACGAGTCGTCAATCTCCGCCGCGCTCCCCCATAGAATCTTTCCTTGGCCCCCCGGCGGGATCGCAGGAGGGTTTTCCATCGGGCTCGGTATGATCATAGAACGCGCGACTATGTAGCCTGTTCTTGGTCCCAATGCCTGCCTTGCATCTGCCCTGTCGGGTATGAAAGTTACGCGCGGTACAGGTGTGGCAACGTCGTATCGGAAGACTGGATTTGTCCAGTTCATTTCGGTTTGGTTAAATGCTAGATCGTGTCTCGTCGAGGTCCTCTCGTCCAAAATTGGGCGCACATGTCTAGCCGTGCGACCAAAACGCACAAGGGTGTATGTGTAGGATCTAGTAGCGTTGAACTCGGCCATCAGCGCTGGGGGGATGTCTACTCCGGCCAGGGCGAACCTAGCCATCATGATAACCCGATTTAGAAAAGTCTCGAAGGCGGTCTTTCACATTAAATTATCCTCGTTAGCTTCTTGTTCTTGCCACACTCTACCTACGCGCTTAGGGGGGGAGGAAAGGTATCCACGGTTAGTTAGTTACCTAAGCTACTTACTACCAAGGGTTAGCTGTTGGCACCCACCAATTCAAGGACCAAGAGTTAGGGACAGTCGTTGGAAGAAAAAGGAGAAAATCTACAGCGCGGAAGATTTTGTCCTGACATACCTTCGATCAGAAGACCGTCATTTTCTTCATAGGCTTGGACACGAGCAGCATCGCGCGAGATGCCAGGGGGACAGGGCAACCTGTTGTATCCCCAAGTAACCGTCGTTTTCCAGTTTACAAACTGGTTGATAAAATAAACAATCCACGAGAATATTCTACCGGTGGCACTCGGGCTGTTATCGGCGCGTTTCTCCGTTGCGAAATAAACTACAGCACTCCTGTTAATTCTATATATGGCCCATGGTTCATTCATACTGTTCTATTCCTCCTTTGGGAAAGAGGAAGGGAAGGGAAAAAAAAAGAGTTATCACAACGTACCAATCGCAGCAGCTTCGGGCCAAGTAAGACGGTATATGCCTTCGAAATACGCAAGCGTCAGTCCTAAAGTGTTCGAACATGACCCCGTCACCTCGTTGGGTAAAATATGCGGGGTGTTAACCCATGCGACGTCCGTCTCCATATTCGCTTTGTGAACAATGCCGTTGCCGACACTTGTTCGTTCGCGGGCCCTCTCCCGCCCCGACTCCGGCGTGATGAGGCGGATGTCGTCCTGTATCGCGTGTTCCATAAACCGGGTCCGGAGTGTGAAAAAGGCGTGGGAAAACCTGATAGCTAAGTTCGTCGCATCCCCGGTGGTCATCTGGCTCACCGAGTTCGGACCGAAGGCTTGCGTGAAATCCTGCAACGTATTCCACTCGACGCCCCGGTCGCGCGCAAGCGTGATAGTCGCGTCGAACTCGTTTATCAGGCCCAAAGCATCCGCGTTGCCGTAAGTTCCTATTATCCTGCCGTCGTGGAGATAGTCGAGTGCACCCGAAGTGAGCGTGCTTCCGTCATACTGCTGAACGACACGGTGGAGAGTGGGTAGCATTGAGCCGAACCATACCCCTGGGACATCTCGTAGATAGAGCAGGATACTCACCCTCTCTTCGTCGTTCAAGGCCTCCACAGTGGGATCGTACGCATCGAAACGGTACATGCTCTGCGGCACAAATTCCGGGGGAAGCATCGTGACTTGGATTTAACGTAAACAATTATAAATTACTACTTGTGCCTTGGAGACCTCCAGATAGTAGTACTACTGTAACCGAAACTAAAACTCAGTCAGACTTCAGGATAGGGTATATTTTGTGTACCCCCTATTGTGTTTATTGTACAAATATAACAAATGTCCAATATCGAAGCGATAGCCCCTTAGACGGCTACGGAAACGTCCAGGGGGACACAAAGAAGTATGGATCCGGTAATATAACAACCAGGTGCGCTTTGTCTTCTACGCGCTGTGAGGTCACTTTGTATAGTATAATGAGGATAGAATAGTCGATTTCATTCTGGTTACATACAATGCGTTTCCAATGACCCGTATGTACCCCCCTATCTTACACCAAAAGTCATCAGTTTCGATGCTACAGTACTTAACATAAACAATATGAATCGATCTAGTATATTCAATATGAAGCATTTAACCGAAATAAGATTTGAGATTTTAATAATTTAAATATCTTGCGGTTTGACCGTTTACGGTGTAGTGTACTATATATATATATAAAAGGAAAATAATGGGAAATTCATACAATTTTCTTTTAATTTACAATCGGACGTTGAAAGTGATTAAATTTTGGGGCAAAATAAGGGGAAAGCACACAGACTTTTGGTAACGCATTGTATAAGCCAGGCCATAATAGCTCTCGTATACTGCCGGTAAATAATATCGAGAAACGGCTGCGCTTGGGGGCATTTACGTATATTCGTAGCCATGGCCAGCTTGTCTATCATCTTTAAAGAAGCCGGCGGCGTCACATTAAACTGTGAAAACAAGAAACAATACCGGGAAAGTCCTGCTTAGGCGCTATAGGTAGGTCAGTGAAAGGGAGGCGAGTACCAGAGTAGTTTAGGAGACGCAATCGCGGTATCATTACCATGAGAAGGATCTGGAAGTTGCTTCGCGGTTGGAAATGGAGAGAAGATTATATACACCATGGCTCTTATTCTAGCATGAAATATCATTTAGAATTCTACATCGCCTAGTGGTGCATGTTGAGTATCATAGCAGGTTGCCCACCTCGGTATGTAGCACTTTACACGGGCCAAGTAGTTGATCTAAATACCTAGAAGCTCTCTTATCATGGGGGCACTTAATTGACACAGATGTCCTAGTTACTCTTTTGGAGATAGATATGTCTACCTTAGATACCTAGATAGATATGAACACCCTGCAAGCAGACTTTCAAAGGAATAGGTAGGCAACATATTTTATCCGAGTACTATATTACCTCCCTAGGTACTTAGTTAATAGGTATATCATAAAACGAAGGTTTCTTGCTTAGGTACCTAAGGTACTAAGTATTAGTCCCCGCAGATTCCAAGTCCCATTAAGATTGCCTTCGACTTCATCCTCCGTTCCGTCGCTACCTAACCAAGTAAATATTAGGAGAGTCAACGATTCTGATGCCTTTATTTTTCGTATTGGTGCAGTCTATAACTACCTATTTGAATTGTACGAAGACGTGATAATTCAAATAAACACTGTGTGGTAGATACTGATCTAACCCCCAAGTGGCATTCGAGTAGACCACGACTCGGGGTTGTCAATATTTCAGGCTGCCGTCCAATGATTTCAACATCCCATTAAGATATCCTATATACTCTATGCGGCCGCAGAGATGGGGGAATACGTGGAAGGGAAGTTGGGTAATTAAACATCGGACGTATGGAGGAGCTTAACGAAACCCAGCCGTACCCAGCAGCGAGGGATAATACGCGTTCTTTCACGGGGCGTCGACCTGGACGGGTTCACTTTGTAGACTAATATTCGTTCACGTGGGTCGCTGGTTTAATGAATCGTTGATTTAATTAGGGCGTCTGATTTGGAGGCCTTATCTAACGTTATCCGCCTAAACGATTGCATAGAAACGACGACATGGTATGTCATAATATAATTATGCGTATGTCTGAAATATGAGATGTCGCAAAGCTATTTTCCGCGATAGCCCAACAAAGTAGACAAACTAGTGTACAGTAGTAACCGGAAATAATCGTGAGTAGTAGCGGCGTAAAAATCCCTCGACTCGAAGATTGACTGGTACGTTGGAAGCGAGGCAATAGCAATGTCCGCTGGGTAGAATTCTCGAGAAAGATATCGCTGAAGCCGGTCTTGATCTATTCTATCGGATCGATGAGTCGTCTTCCCCAGTCTGTTTAAGAGCCGCCAGCGAAACGCTTTGCCCGTGCCTCAGCTTTCGCCCTTTCGGACGGGTCATTTAGGATGCCAGACTTCCCCTTTGCACCACCAGTCGGTCTGTTTTCCTTTCGAGGTCCACCTGGCCTACCGCCTCCACCTTGGCGGAAACGTCCTTTGCCTCGGTGTCGACCACCAGGGTTTTGTCGCTTCGCGCCTCGTTCGCCTTCGGCATTGCCACCTTCGCGGCCTCGCTTTGACGGTCTCTTCTCAGGCAGCGCCTCGTCGAGACCCTTTACCAAAGCAGGTTGCTCTACGCCAAAACGCTCAGCGCGCTCAGCTTTCTTCTTATCCTCGTCATTTTCAACTACGCCAAACCGTTTAGCTCGTGCGGCGCGCTTGCGTGCCTCTTCATCTGCGTTGGATGCAGGAAGGTGTGCAGAGAAATCTTCTTTTGGTGCCTCCGTCTTTGCGGGTTCTTTAGCGTCCTCGTCGGCCGGCTGTTCTGTCGTCGCAGCAGCTTCTGGCGCACTTGTCACCGGCTCGCTAGGCTCGCCAGGCTTCTCCTCAGCTGGAGCAGGTGTTGGCTCCACGGGCTCGGCAGCTTTCGCAGCTTCCGCGGGCTTGGAAGTGGCAGGGACATCATCATCACTGTAATCAATTTCGTCCTCGTTTTCGCGAACGGGAGCGGCTATTTGACATTCATTAGTATATGTATATCTTAGGCGACGCTGCGACAAAGGAGGGTTTGTTCAAACCAAAGTAATACTTACGATTCTGGGACTTGTCGTGATCTTGCAGACGAGCGATTAGGTCGGCCTTGTTACCAGCCACAGGTAACGACTTCTCTTGAAGAAGTTTCTTCAACTCTGGGACCTTTAGGGAGGCGTAGTCGGACATCGTGATGTCTTCGCGACGCGACGATAGTGTCAAGGAATATTGGGAGGGAAATGTTGGGCAATTGCGCGAAGGATAATCGATTGAATAAAATGTGGAAAGTACAACTTGTTTGATGCACCACCCGCGCTGTGTTTTGGTTCTCTGGGAATTAAATAGTTGTAGATGGTAAGATGGTAAGATGGTGATGGAATGTTGAGAATTGAGAATTGAAAATAGAGAATAAAGAATTAAGAATGGAAAATGGAAAATGGAGAATGGAGAATCGGTAGCAGCGCGGGTACGCAAAAAAGGTATTGTATAATAATAGGTACTAGGTATCGTTCGTACCCTGGGTAGAGCTAAATACCCACTTTCACCTATTGCACCTACCGCTCTCAAGTACCTATGATCAAAGACGCGTTTGCTGGGAAAAACAATGGGCTGAATGAGAGCTGGCACCTTTTTTCGCACGGACCTAATCTAGGTACCAGGGTACTTGATATGCCAAGACTTAATCGTATCTGTTATTCGGTGCAGGGTCTTCTTCGCTAAGAATACCACCTACTTATACCAGAGGAATAATGATTTATAAATTAATTCCAATACACTACGGGTCTTTATTGGACTTACGAAATCGACCATTCAATTGCATAAGGAGAGTGTTTCTTAACAGCTGCATTGACTGGGAAGATATCTAACAAAGCCCAATCCAAGGTTTTCTGTTTTCTTTTCACTTTTTTCAAAAAAGAAATACAAAAGAAGATTTCAACTCTAGCAGATCTACTCACTAAAAAACCAAGTTGACTAAATCAAGGATTAGTATAAATCTAAGGACGTAGAACACATTGACTAACTGTCTTTATTAAGTTACAGGTAGGCTGGTGTCCGTGCATCATCGCGGGATATCACAGAGATGGACTTCCTCCTGCGTCATCCCTTGATCGACTTGAATACTCGCATACTTATCGAGATTAAGCTGCTCCCTTGCATAATCTACGATATGATGACATCGATTGATATACATAGATCTTGCTTAGTAGGTAGTTTTTCTTCGTCGGTAGTTGACGATACCTAAATGATTATGTGCCTCTTTTTTTAGAGGTTGTTTGTAAGTGAGACAAATGCATATCACTTGTATTTCCAAAACCCAACCTATGGACAAGAGCTTGAATAATCCGATTCACAACAGCATAGCGATCGAAGTTCCGAAGCATGCAGTGAATAGCGCGCATGTACATATGTTTCGAATTACAAGAAAATAAAACTCGGAGTAGCGAGCGGCGAATAAAAGTTGCAACCGCGAAGTCGAGAACTTCCTGCGCAGAAGCAATGAGGTAGCTTGCAGAAGCTGACTGCAGCTGCTTTAACCCGCCTTTGGTGTCACTGTTTCCCTCATATAGTAGGACGACTTTGATTTTCTCTCGGGACCGATGGCATGTCTAGGTACCTAACCTACCTAAGTAGGATCTTTAGCATCGCACAATAAATCCCGGCAGTAAACGTGGCTTGACAAATAGCTTCTTCAATCCTCGAGCAACACTGATATAATGACGAAGGTTGTCCCGAATTCATCGTGAGCGGTACCTGTCTAACACGGCCAGCTTCAGATTTCTAGCCTTTCAGACTTCCCTACCTACCTAACCTACCCACACCTTCTTTCCACCATGGCCGATACATCTAAACCGATCCCTATCGTCGTCTGCGGCAAGGCAGAAATCGTTGGAAAGATGGTCATCGAGGGTTTGAAACCTGAGTATGAAGGTAAGCGAACACCAAGAATTAGTCGATGATACATATGTACATCTTATGAAAAGCACTGATGATCTGAACATGATATACATAACTATAAGATATACTATACTAACATATACATATCCTCTCACGCAGTCATCCTCTTCTGCCTGGGCAGCAAGCCAACAGCCGCCGAATTACCATTCAGTAAGCGCCCCCCCCTCTCCCCCCCAAGCCCGCAAAGCCCGCAAAGCCGCCAACTAACAACAGCCCCCCCACCCCACAGTCCTCCGCGGCATCCCACCCCCCTCGCCGAGCAGCTCCCTCGGCACGGGCTCGTACTCGTCGACTCCGTACGCGGTCATCATGGGCGCGGCCTGGAGCGCCGAGGACGTGGCGAGCGTCAAGGCCGCCATCGACCAGAACACGATGCCTCCTCCTTTTCCTTCCGCCTTCGTCGATACCAACCCCAACCCCCTACTCCGCGCCCCCATCCTCCTCCGCAACGACACCTCCCGACCCACCCCCAAACCCCCCTCCCCCGAGTACGCCGCCCAGCTCGTCGTCCGCATCCGCGCCTGCCTCGGGACGCTGCTAGCCGGGGAGAAGCCCGCCGGGCCTGGCGAGGAGGGCGTTGTGGTATGTTTTTTTTTTCCTTTCTTTCCTTTCCCCCCTCGTTCTTACCCCGACACAACCAACATCGTCTGTTTTTTCCGAAAGCTACCTAGATTTAAGTCTGACGATCTGATGCTACAGTGGTACTAGTATTAAATGGACTGACTTGAAAAAATTATAAAAAAATAAAAACGAAAACCCCCCTATTTTCGAGCAGCTATGTTATGACTAAGTCACTCACCACTTACCTCTGTTAGAAGCATTGGGAATCGGTTTGTAGTTCCTAAAAAAACCACATCACATGGAACTTATGATCGAGTAAAAGAGGTACGAGTGACGATTGAATGACTTTGGTGATTAGGTATCTTTAGAGTGTTCTTGTGTACATAACAGGTATCCCACATGATATTTCTTTACCGGTAAAGGGGTAGCAGAAAAAAAACGATGTGTGACGAGAGGGGACGCAATTAAATACAATAAACCACCCCATACCGTCCATGCATATGGCCATCCATCCATTCTCTCTCCCTTATGCTCTGTCCGTCTTGTCTGCCCTCAGACATCTAATGCAATATTGTCCGACGCCTCGTCTTATCCCTCGAAAAGTTCGGAAATTTGTGTTGGCTGGCAGGTTGTAGCCAATATCTGAAAAATGAAAAGCGTGTGGAAAACGGCATTCGAGCCTTTTTTTTTTCCTTTTATACATATGAAAAGGGTATCATCAGACAATTAGCTTATTACCACCTCTTGCGTTACGAGTCCAAAGATCCACCTCGCCTGCGCAACCGATGAGCACTGGAAACACCATTTGCGTACGTTTCCTCCACTGTTTCCTCCCTGGGGCGCAACCCCGGCTTGTCCACTCTCGTTCTTTACTTCCTCCCAAACATTGATGAGGACACCCCTGCTTCCTAGTTGACTGAAACACTGGCTACCTAATACGACATCCAAAACCACCACCGGTTTATCGGCATCCTTCTTGGGGATCGTCGTGACTACAATTCTCTTTTCCATTCCTTGATACTTCCGTAGGTTCTGTCTCGTGCCTCGGTCAGGCCTCGTTACTTCAAGGAGACAGTTGCCATGGTCTTCCCACTTGCTGGCCGACACTAATAGATGGAGGCGGATCTTGAGGTTATTGGTTGTGAGATCTACCTTTGTGTGGCCGCTGTTCGCAATGCTGACTGAAGGAGAACGGGGTGGCGTGCCTGACGAGGATGAGGTATATAATGATGCGTCTCCACCACTAAAACGGTGCGGCCTGTCGACAGACGACATTGCAATATTAAATGACTGATTACCACCGCCCATCAGCTTTCTTAAAAATGAGGAGGCAGATATGCCTGAAGACTGCGATATGCTACCTGCCGACTGTGACGGAGCTCGAGTCGACGCGCGATAGCTATTCTTCCGTCCAAACCAGCTTCGACGATGGCTGCTTCCGTCGGCTTCTACTTCTGGGTTCGGGTATTGGCCGAAAGCTCTGACCCGGGTTTCTTCCTCGAGCGCTTTATATTTGGCGTTATCCATACGGGCGCGGTGAACTGCCATATAGAGGGACTCGCACTCTGAAACAGACTGAACTCGGAAGCGGAAGAATGAACTATCGACCTTGAGTATCTTTGCGTACAGCCTAGAGTAGCTGAGAACTGGAGAGCGTATTTCCAAGTCGACAACGGTGCTATTTCGTAGCATGACCAGAGGTGTAAGGTCCAGAGCAATAAGGGGTCGCTCTTGGGGCGAGTTGTGAGATGACGGGTGTGCTCGCTGATAAGGATACGCCTCAATAAGGCCGGGAGTCGTAACAATAGAGCAGAGGTCCGGCCAGAGGTCTTGCCAGCGTCCGTGCTTATTATCCCAGTAAGAAATAGAAGCGACGGATTTGATGACGTATTCAGGTTGTCGAATTTCTGACTTCGGCAACCCATTTTGTGAGAGCAAGGTGGGAGAAGCTGGTCTAACCGAGCTTTCCGAGACGATAGACTCTGAGGGGATGTTGTCATGTTTCTTGATACTGATAGCAGGTGCGGTATCTGGCATATCGACAGCTTCAAGCTCATCATCGGATGATTCCTCCGAGATTGTACCATCTTCTGATACAGATGCTGGGGATGAGGAACCTTCAGAAGAAATGTCTGAGGGGTGATACTCGTGCTTGAGCGGTGAAGAAGTACGGCGCTTGAGACGGGAGGTGTTTTGGTCTACAGGAGGTGAAAGCACCGGTGCCTTTTTGGAGCTGAACGTCCGATGGACTGGGGGAGGTGGTGCACCGTCTTCGCGGTGGGGACTACTATTCGATGACGACTTTTTCGACGTTAGGGTATTAGGGCTGTCAAATTCGCTTGAATATATTTCGTCTTCGTATTTGGATCTTGAAAACGAATCTTGGGTAGGAGTCTTCTCAGGCGAAGAAGTTGAGTCGTCGGATTTGGGAGTAGAATTTGGTGTGTCATAGGGGCTACTAGTCGCCTTGCCCATACGTTCGGGGGTTGTTGGTTCGCCTTCGGAATTATGCTTGGATCTGGTTGATGTCGAAGAGGCTCTAGAGGTCTGACGTAACTTCCTCTCGCCCATAGGAGTCTCGCCGGCGGTCAAATTTGGGGAGGGATATAGTGATTGTGCTATTGAAGGCGCTGGCCCTTCGATTGGCGGGGGGATTGGAGTAGATCCCAACATGTCCAGCCATTCGAGTACCTGCTCTTGGCTGTCAGCAGTTAACAAGAGCAGTTCAAACCAGTCCTCCCTGGAACCCCTGATCATGACTACTAATTCGCGCTTGTCATCTCCCCTTCGGGCGGAGAAACGGCCACCAATAATTGGGGCAAATAGAAGCCATGAACGTCCCGCGCTGCCAGTTTCTCTGATTAGGAGATCACCAGGATCCGACTTGAATGTTTGATTGTCTCGAATTATGAGCTCGACTTGGCATCCGAGTCGTTGCCCGTTCGAATGTCTCAAGTCTAAGGTGAAAGTATCTTTGGCGTACACCTGGCGAAAACGGTCAATTTTAACGTTATCAAGAGCTTCTAATGTTCTTAAGTCTCGGGTCCGGGATGTGTCGCTGTTTCTGGCATCCTCATCGATAACTCTGGCATTTTCTTCCTTATGCCGCCGTCTTGCCTTATTTTGTAGTGCTTCCCACTTCGCGACGAGGGATCCAAATTCCTTTAGGCCCGAAATCGCCCGATACCCCTGATTTATTAGCTTGAACAACATAAACACAATCAATAAACGTACCTTGATGAATTTAGTAATCCACTTGACTCGAACTAGGGGGCGCTTCAGCAAGTGGGCTACATCTATGCGTTCTCCGTCCTCATTGAGAATATCTCCCTGCTCGTTGCGAGGCATCGCATTGATTAGCGAGTCGGCATCGTCGGGCGACCGAGGCGCCAGGTTGACGATGATACCTTGAAAGCCAAGGCGCCACACATCGAGATAATTGTTGTAAATGGGATAGATTGCCTCAAGCCATTGTGGCAGCCTGTTAATGTCAGAAAGTGGGGGGCATTGGTAGTGGAGGTTTTTGAGGTTGTCCAGGGCGATGCCCATGCTAACAACTGCTTTATCTAAGGTATCCTCCTTATATTTTGTAGGGGGAGTTCCAAACAAATCTTTGCGTGCCCTACTGGTATTGTTTACAAATTGTGTTAGAAGGACTGGAATTACCCCGTCTACAAGAGTTTTTAGCTCTCGTTGGTAAAGATCTTCGTCATCTTCAAATTCTAGTAGAAGTTCGTCTAATGTAGCGTCGCTTAGGTGACTTGAAGGTCGTCTTATGCTCCGTGCGGACCGGCGACTGATTCGTCTGTTTGGGACAGAATCATCAGCTGGCAGAGATAAAGCTGAAACTAAATCTGAGTGTTTTGTAAGCCGCCTCTTAAGCCCGGACCTATGGCTTCGCCTACGGGAGACTGCGGCGCTCCTTGTCAGGCCGGCATTTTCAGTTGTAGTTCTTTGCGACATTTCGGACGAAAGATCGGACTGAATTCCATAATGTGACTCCATCTCTGATATAATAGTCGATAATTCATGGAAGCCGTTAGTTGGCGGTTTACGGTTGTTATAAGCCAATGGCTCCGGGTGGGTTGGTTCAGAAGACACCGATGATTCATGGTCTTCTGGAGATGGGCTTCTTTTTGTCGTCCCAGAAGAGCGCCGCCTTTCAGAGTACTCGTCTTCATATTCTCTATCGAGATCTACCACTTCAGAACAGCTTGGATATTCCAAAGGTGGGGGGCTATGACCTGTGGATTCACCTCGAAATGCATCTATGAGCTTCTCTTTGAACCCTTTCTTCATACTACTTTTAGAGGGGGCCGAAGAAAGTCTGGTGGCTCGGCTTCTCTTTAGTCCAGCTGAGGTGGGAGTTGTGACTTCGCGTTTGCTGGGCTCATTGTGGTCCGACTTTTCAATCTCTTTTGGCTCTGTTGCTTCATCGCTAATGCTAACGTCGGATACACTTGCAACTTCTGCATTTTTCTGCTTTGAATGAAGACGGTGTTGCATAGTGTTTTCATTTGATAAATCCTCATCTGCTTTTGATTTTTGTTCCGGTCTGGACATAGAAGATTCAACAAAAGGATCGACAGTATCCTTGAGCCAAGTCTCAATATTTGGGGGCCGATTAACAACAGGTTTAGGAGGATCAACCTTCTCAGCAAGGATCTTCTTGCCCTCTGTTATAGCCTTCTTCAGGACGTTAGTAGCGCCCTTGAAACTAGCTTGCCTTTTAGTTTTTGGTCTTGCACTTCGTCGTCTTGAGCCTGTGGCTAGGTCAAGTTCACTAAATGCTGAGTATCCAACGGGTATTTCTGCTAGTGATTGTGCCAGCGTACTGAATGGCATATCTGACACCGAGTCGCTCGACCAAGATTCACTATCAGATACTTCTTCGGTTGCTACAGTTTCTGCATCTGCATGGTTCTTTTTGGCGGGGTTAGAGGCATGCTTTTGCTGTCTCTTGGATTGCGTCTTCGAGTTTCTCCGCGGAGACATCCGACGTTTATCAGATACAGGTTTCTCTACCACTTCTTCGTGTTCTGGTGGTGATGGGTCTCTGTGAGGACTTTCTCCACGGGTACTTGATCCCCTCGAAGAATGTCTCGAAGAAGCTCGGACTGTGGGAGCATTATCCGATTCTTGAGGCTCAGAGGGGGGTGGCCGCGCCTTGGCTCTTGCGCGGATATCTTGATATGCTTGCTTTTTTGTCGACCTGCTCCGAACGTTATGGCCTCCTCGTGCCTGTGGTTTTCGTGGTGTGGGTGTTTCCGTTGAAATAGAACTAGATAGACCAGTTGTAGCGTCGCTTTCACTCATAACAGACTTCACACGGATACCATCGTCTTGAGAATCGCTAGACTTTCCAGACTTGGAGGTTTCGACAGTAAGATGAGAGCCAGTTACGCGAGACCCCGTGAGAGAAGATCCTGACAAATAAGATCCTGTTAAGTAGGACCCTAATAGATAAGACCCCGAAATCCGGCTAGTTGTGTCATTTTCGCTTGGGATGGGCTTGACGCGAATGCCGTCTCCTTCTCGGTCTTCTAAACTTCTCGAGCTGCTCGCCTTAGCAGTGGCACGAGTAGGTTCTGATCTTCCGCTCGCATTATCGTCCTCAGAGCGAATGGGCTTGACTCGAATTCCATCCCCACTACCAGTTGATCTCACTGATCTTGGTGGGCTGTGGCGTCTGACAGGCGGCTCGTCGGGAATCTCAACCTTGCTGGCCCAGTCCCTAACTTTCTTGGACACAGAGGGATTAGAAGCCGGGCGTGCCAGAAAGTCCTTTGGTAGTGGTAATCCAATGCCTCCGTTCGATTTCCTCTTTGGTGACTGGCTCCTTGATTGATTCTTTTTCTTATCTTTGACCCAGTTGGTGTCACTAACAACCCGCTTTTTGGGCGCATTTGAAAGCTTCAAATCCTCTATGTTGCTTTTCTTGGGCTCATTGCCATCTGTCCTATGAGTAATCACGACTTTCGTGGTTGGTTTCTTCTGTCCCGACTTGATCCTCTTTCGGTCTTCCTCAGTCACGCTTTGTTCATCTACTTGAATATTCACCTCGCTTGGTTCTGACGGGGGGGCCAAGGGATCGGCATTGGCCATCGCTTCGGCATTAGCCTTTTGCCATTTCTTAACACGTTCATGCACACCGCCCGGGACCTGGATTCGCATTATAGCCGCTTGCCGCATTTCCTGCTTTACCAACTCCAGACTCTTCCGCCTCGCCTGTGCCGCCTCCTTTGCTGCTTGTCTATCTGCTGCAATTCGAGCTGGAGATGGTCGGCCCAGTAAGAAATCACCAAGAAGAGTAGGGTGTGGTTTTGTTGTAGCGGATCGTGGACGGCCAGCGGCCGGCTTAGGTTTAGGAGCTGCGCCATCTTTGACTGGTGATGAGGATGATGATGCCTTAGAAGTCGGTGCTTTCCCCGGGTCGGTATCGGGAATAGACTTGCTAGTCTCTGAAGCTGGCTGAGAGGTTTCGGGAGGCGGAGGATCCGTTGGATCATCGTCATCGCTGGATTTAGCGACAGTCATGATCTATCAGATAAAATACCGTCAGTCTCAGTAACATTCCAATGGTTTAGATATTTGATACATTTGCTATATTATACCGATGGACATGAGCCAAGATACGTCCATACGTCCAGAATGCAGGTTAGGTGGTCGTGTTAACAGGTCAGTGCTTGAGAAGCTGCATGCCACAGCACAGCACAACACGCAGCGAAGCAATGCCCACCATGCAATACACATCACACCGCACACCGTATTCGCACCTCAATGAACTCCTGAATTGCTCAATTAAATCAATTCTTACCTGATTTGATCAGGGCCTGGCCCAGGCTTCATGCTGACATTGAGATACCATACGACATAGGCAACGTGCATGTAGGAGTCGGGCTTGTTAAGAGGAAAAAGGCTATGAGGTATGACGGATTATAATGCGACAACAAAGTGTACGAATCTGAATTTGCATTTCCGTTTACGCCGTAACATAATAGAACACGCCAGGTGTCTGTCCGTTTCAATGCCTAAGGTAAGGGTTTAAGGTAAAGTGAGAACTAGAAAAAATGGACTGAATAATGAGTACCTAAAGTGAGTGAATGGCTATGTGCATTGGAAGACGGCAGGTGTGAAGGAGAGAGATTGTAAAAGTGCCATAGCAACCAATGGGTTTAAGCGGCGAGGGGCTAATAAGACAATAAACAATGCCATTTCCAATAACATAGTACAGACCAGGTACCTATGTACCTAGGTACTTAGGTAAATATGCGCGGATCTAACTCATCTACAAATGGTGTTAGCGCCTAAAAGCTAGCAGGTTAGGTAGCATTTACCACGGGCTGAATCTTTTTGTGTTAGGAGGTACCTGCTTCGACCTGCTTTTTCGGTGGGGTCCTCGTACTTAAAGCTTGCTTTTACTTGCTTTGGTATTTGCTTTAGGGCTGTATGGGCGTTAGGTGGGGTTGCCAGCCCGGCTTTTCAAACTTGGAACTTGCAGCTGATGATGGCAGTACGAACCGTAAGTACCTGTAATTGGAGCTATTATGCCCCTGTAGTTACCGAAGCCGTTCCGGTCTATCCTGCCAATCAACCACATCATCAAGGCCCCCTCACTTCAAGGCACCTCTTCTTTTACTGTACAATCATCACATTGCTTAGGTGTCATGGCATCATGTGGCTGCTTACAGCAGCCATCTTCAAGGCTTTCTAAATTCGTTCGCTTTCGATATCCGGAGTCCGTGGTGTTTATTACTTCGAACAATTAAGTTGATATAAGCTATTCAAATCAAAGCTTACAATTGAATATAGCTTACCATTATTTCATCCGGAAAGGGGTAGTAGGATGTATAAGTGGATAGTGTATTTCTCGTTTATCAGCTTCAGGGGGTTGGTTCTATGACGTTCTTTAAGGAATATTCTCGGTCTATTCAATGAGAATATCACAATGATTAATGGTGGTAAGACAAACATTGATAACAAATAGTACATATTTATCTCATGCATGGTAGTCTACCTAATGGTGCAACACATACCCAAAAGGTAACGTACGAGGCGGTTTATCGATTCTATTCTATGCTAAACTGAGCTGATCTTGCAGATTGTGGGTTCATACCTTGATTTTGGTGTAAGGAGGTGGAAACTAAATGCATCGGCAACGGCGAAAACCGCATCTAATAGAACCCTTACACTCTTTAAGATTGTATTCAAGTAGCCGACTTCTTGCGTTGGAACTAACAACTAAAATGCGAAGGCCCCGTTGAAGAAAGATAGTCATCTCTTACTAACCTAGGCAATCCTGTCAACTAAAATACCTAATTCTGTTAAAGACTCTTTCAAAACCCCATTTGCAAGGTTGGATGTCGGAGCAGAGAGAGACTGAGCATATCATTCAAAACAATCAATGAAACTACCCAACCTAAGATGTAAGCTTATAGGGACTAACTCAATACCAGGTACCTAGGTGCCTGATTAAAAGTCAAGCATCGCTCCAATCCATCGACAAACTTGTATCTGTATCTTGATCTTTTGCTGGCACCGATCAGGTTTCTTCCCTGTATTGCCGATATTTTGCCTTCCCGGCACTGCTCATGGAGACGCCTATTATGACAGCAGCTAAAGTCGTACCTTTGAAGATAGTCTCGAACTGCTCGGATTTTACCGCTCGCGAGAATGGCTGACGGTAAACGCGGTATAAGAAAAACGATGTTACGGCGAGATACGCTCCAAAGAGGATGCGATATCTGTTCCGAAAGACCGGGTGCTGCGGAACGTCTTCGAGATCTGGGGTCGAAGTCATAACCTGTCCTCCTATTAACAAAACAGTATTATAGATAAAATATTTCCAGTTTAGAGTTCTTAAGTACCAACAGGATCAATCAGATAAAAGAAAATAAATCAAGTCTGTTCTGTCTAAAGACATTCGAGAATGGATTGAGGGACCTCAAGGTTTTCCCCACATTCTGATGACGTCAGTTCCTTTTTTACATAGTACTTAGGTACATATAGTACATGTAATCCGTAAATCCCTAACATGTGAACGATAGGTCTCCCTGTCTCCCTGTCTCCCGAGACGCGACGCTGAAACTACAAATTGCAAAATCACAGATCAAGTTATAAATTTATAATTTTGCCTTACTGCCCTGTGCCTCCTTGAATCGTTTTGCGCCCTCTTCTTGTCTCTTGTTCTCAGCTTCTTGGATGTTCAGGGTTTTTGCGCCTTCTTCGCCCGTGGCAGTCAACAGTTGTATACTCTCGCGATACATCTCGGCCTTCAGTAGTCCGTAGACGCCGGTAGCTCCCTTCTTGATCAGCGATCGTTCTTGGATCAAGCTCAGTGCTGCGTCCAACTCGCCGACGGCATCGATCAACCCAGCTTCAAGCGCAGCTTTAGCATCGAACCGCCGGGCTTCGAGAACCATGTCGCGATAAACATTGGGGGTAGTCTTCATTCTGAAGATGGAGCTCATGGGTGGCAGTAACGGCGCGCCAAACTCGAGCTCGTTTATGCATAGGTAGCCCTTTTTGCCCGTGAACACCCGGTAGTCGTGATGCATAGCCAACATGAACCCGCCGGCGAAGGCGTGGCCATTGATCAAAGCAATCGTCGGCATAGGATAAGCCAAGAATCTTCGGAACAAGGGGTACAGGCTGTTTTCCCAGAAGCCCGGCAACGATGTAGCAAGCTGGAGGTCGAGGCCATTGGAATAGAACTTGGTAATGGATGAAGTAGTAATGACGACGCCAGGAGGATGGCCGAATTCGATAGTATCAAGCGCTGTCATCAGCGCGGTATTGAAGGCAGGCGTGAACCTGTTGTCTGGTGGCGAGGTCCATGTGAGAACATAACCCTGAGGTTTTGGAGATGTACAGACAATGCTGCCTCCAGGATGCGGCTTCATTGCCGGAATGGGAATTTTAAAGAGTTCGTTTGAAGCCATGTTTAGAGAATTATTGGGAGATATATAAGTTAGAACTAATGTAGTAGTAGTATGCACTAGGTAGGAGATAGGTTAAACAAGGTGAGGTGTCTACCTATGACCTTAGGAAAGTATAAGTTACTTGAATTCTCGGGAATTAGATGTACGTGATGCTTTATTTTTTCCTTCATCTCTTTCTTTGAAAACTGAGTTTGTTTGCATTCATTTATAAGTCGTTAAGCTCCCGTCGCATGCCTGAGGATGACATGGTGGAGCTGTAGCCGAGGCATTTCCCTAATCAAGTCAAAGTGTACCAACAGGTGGTACTCTAAGGAACCTTAGTACCCATGTATCTTAGGTACTTACTGACTAAGGTATGTACCTTACCTCATCATCTCACGTACCTATTATAAGAACGGACTCGGTTAAACGCTGAAGTTCAGCTGTGCTTCAAAATCCCCAATACAACCTCAACCGCCATCAAAGCAGCCACAGCGCGTAAAACGTTGTCACGATGCAATTGGTCCATCTGCTTCCGGGATCATGTGACCTCGTTGGGCTACCCCATCACCTTGGCATCAACCAAGAACATCAATCAGGTAGAAATTACATTGAGGTCAAAATGAAAGTCTCAATCCATACCACCAAAGTCAACAAGTAGCGCAATGGGTTTACGAGATTCATGATGTGTAGCGCGGGTAGGTAATCATGGAATCCACTCAAAAGCCCAAGGTGTTTAGACTGCGCAAACTCCCTGGTGATACCGACGAATCTCAGGCTCTCGTCTATCTCAGTATTGGTCTTGGTAGTATACCGGTCGAGAGTATTCGAATATTCTCTCTCGCGACGAGTCTGAGCCCTTGGCGTCCAAGTAAGATAGCTACGCTTATGTTTGACCCGCTTCCCGACTTGCTGCAACAAGGTCATGGAAAAGATGAATGGCATATCAGGGTAAATAGACTCGAACTACCTTTGATATTGGACATACATTTCCGTGGACTTACTCCGCTTCGCGATCCCACCCCAGACCACAGTTATGAGTAAGTTTATCCTCCTTGTATCTTCATTGCCATTCATACTAATTAACCTGGATAGTTGCATCTCCCTCTCGGGGCTTTCGAGCCACCCTTTCGGCTCATGGCAACCTAAAAAGAGCGACAATACATTCATGTGGATTAGAGATGAACTGCCTCTCGATCTTCCCCAGCTCAGGCCGATAATCTACGGTTATGAGACTGTACTACCCGGGAGCAGATCGTTTCAAACGATTACTGACCTGGCCTCTCAGCTGATCAACCAACTAGCATCAAGCGTATGGACGGCTTTGAGCGCAAAGCCCATAGTTTTTCTTGCCCATAGCTTAGGTGGGATTATACTAAAACGGGCCATCGTAGCTCTGGCGAACAGTGATTATGATGAAGATACTATTCGGATCACCGGAGGAATCTTCTTCGGAGTACCAAATTTCGGCATGGAGCAGTCATCTTTTCGCTCGATTGCGAAGGGGAATCCTAATGAGCCTCTAGTGGAAGAGTTGGCTCTAGACTCAGATTGGCTAAGAGGCCTAGATTCGGAGTTTGATGGTATCTCCTATTTGAGAAAGATGAAAACAATTTGGGGTTACGAAACCTGTACATCCCCGACATTGGTTGTGAGTGAAACGGCGTCTGGCTTTTTCAAAGACCACAGACTTACACTGAGTAGGCAAACGGAAATGGGCAACTTTCAGAAGGTCCACATGTCGTGCTTGTAACGCGCCATTCAGCTACTCGAGGTTTACTCGAGTCTGATGAGAACCTAACATTTCCTCTCAACGAAAACCATTCAAATATAGTCAAGTTTCAACCTGGCCACGAAGATTATAGCGTCGTCGTAGGGAACCTTGCGCGGATTTGCAACATTGAACCTAGGAATGCTATCACAATGAAAGTAGACGGGAATCAACCAAACAAAACAATCGCCGGCCCGATTAGGTTGGGGGCGCAGGGCCACATTGCTTTCACGACATCAGAAGAACCCAAGGTCAGAGAGTATCTCTTCAATAAACAAGATCAAGAGATCTCCAAGAGTAAGTTCGAAGCCTTAAAGTATCCCCGTGTCTTTCTAATTGCATACTAGAACTGATAAAATCTCTCCGAGTGCCTGAGCGAGATCGCCGACTAGAAGATATCTCATTAAATTTCGAAAACACATTCGATTGGGTATTTAATCACCCCGGATGCAAATTTGTCGACTGGCTACAACATGGTCGGGGAGCATTTTGGATTAATGGTAGCCCTGGTTCAGGTGGGACGAAATAATTTTGTTAAGCTGCAATACTTACTAGTTTCGAAACCCATACACCCCTTTTCTCCATGCTGCTACCTTGGACTTCATTCGTAGGTGCTAATTGGCTGTGATGTAGGGAAGTCGACTTTGATGAAATACATCTTTGAAGATAGCCGAACTCGAGAACTCCTCCATGATCCCCGTAATTCGGTTGACGAGGTATATGCTGGATTTTTCTTTCATTACCGCGGGTCGCTGATACAAAAATCCTTCGATGGACTACTACGAGGTATCCTCAGCCAGATTCTAGAACAAAAGCGGAAAGTCTGTCATATAATCCTCCCTCTCTTCACTCACACTACTTCAGTCGAACTTCTTGCTGAAAGCTGGACCTCGGCAAGGCTAGAGGAGGCTCTCACTTTAATTTTAAATCAGCAGCAATTCAACTTGGATATATTCCTATTCCTGGATGCGTTGGACGAGTACCAAGGACGTCCTGAGTTTATTGCTAGGTTTGTGGAGAGTATTATCAAACGAGAAACGGCATCTTTGACTCGAGTTAAAATATGCTTCTCGAGCCGACCGTGGGCTACATTTACCACTTGCTTTAAAGACTACCCTGCTCTCACAATGCAAGACTTTACTAAAGAAGACATACGTCGCTACTGCTTGGGTGCTATGGATGCCGAAATGTCTTCGAACGTATCTGTCCCGATGGAATTCTTAGTTCCTCAAGTCGTCGATCGCTCAAAGGGAGTTTTCCTTTGGGTTAAATTGGTAGTAGGCGATCTTGCTAGAGCTGCTAATTTAGGATCGAGCAAACAAGAGTTAGAGGATGTACTGAAGAATCTACCAGCCGAGCTGGATGAATACTACGCAGAAATTGTTCAAAGAGCGTCAATATCATCTCGATGGACTCTTTTTGCGATGCTCAAAATCACCTCACAAGCTCTGCAACCCTTAAACGGGCGAGACCTCGTGGGTGCTGCAGAGTGTTCACGATCATCACATTATAAGGCAGCATTATTTAAGTCAAAGAAATTGCTTCTCTTGAAGCCAATGGAATGCGATGCCTATACCTCAAGCCAAATCAAGATACACTCTCAAGGTCTTATTGAACTTCGTTCAGGTATAGCCGAGCTTTTGCACCAGACAGTTGAGGAATTCGTTAGCCAGCCGAAATTCAACGCTCTCATCCTCGACACTGAAGCAAAAGTCACTTTCGAGAATGGACACTCCTTTTTAATGAAGTGGTTCATACTTGATCATGCATTCTTTGAAAGGGCTAGTCGGGATGTAGAAGAAAGAAGTAAAAACGGACCATTCCAAGACCCTAAGTTCGAATCTTATTACGACGCTTTCTATGATGAAGACTATCCAGATTCTAAAGGTATCTCGGAATGTTTCTATGCTACTGTAATGATGGCCGAAAGACATGGAAAGTTGGCGGAAGACACCACGGGCCGCAGCATGAAGCAATTTATTGACAGCACTCCAGCAAAGAGATATGCTCAGTTCCCGGACATCGAGATCAGCACATCCAGAGAATTTGCCTCATGGGCAAGACTCAAACTCTATTTTCGGGAGACCTTGCAACTAGAACCGGACTTTGTGCAAAACTGTAACCAAGATAGCAAAAGGTCTCTAATTGCACTAGCCCTTAGCATTCGCAACATAAATGAACCTCGCAACGTAAATAAGCTTTCCGATTTTCGTTATTTTGAAAAGGATGGTTTAGAGATAGCTCAACTACTACTAAATAACGGTTATAAGGATCCGAAGGCATTTGATTTACTAATATCCTGCCTGGCCAAAGATATTTCTAGCCAGGAACTCAGGAATGCGGTCATTGGTCTCGCAATTCGGTTTATTGAGACAGGACATGACCCAAATTTGCCTCTCGCCACATACAAAATATCAGACATGAGGAAGAAGGGCGTAGTTTTTACGTGCCCTGCACTACACGTCGCATCTCCAGAGATTGTACCTTCGCTACTAGTCCACGGCGCCGATGTTAACTCGAAAGATTCCGAGGGTAAAACGCCGCTGGAAAGACTCTGCCGCAGCGTCTCACCCCATGTAAGGCCACAGCATTACCTATTTGAACGGATTAACGAGTATGTTAGAAGCGTGCCGGACTCCTACCAGATAGCCTGCATGCTTGTTAATGGAGGCGCAAACATACCCATGATGTGGAATTCGTCCTGGAGTAGACTCTTACGCCTCTTTGTTGAGCGGGGATATGATTTGGAACCGCTTCGGCCCCAAAAAGTTGTTTCTATATCAGCGAGACTGACAGTCAAGGCTAAGTTAGCCTTGAAGTCTGTTGTCTCTCGAGGGCCCAAAAGACAGGTCAGTGAGTAGCGCTTCATTAAGTAGCGCGCCTCATACATCAACTCCCAGGATAATAATCCGACGTAGAAAAAGGGGGTGATGAATAGCTTCTCTGTTAAATATGGCTTGTGCTTGGATGGACTAGATTTTGCTTTGTGGGTTCAGTTTACTGACCCCTGTTTGGGCCCTTAAGAGATGAAGTCAAGTACCAGGAAATGACCTTCCTGGTAGTAATAACTATCTACTGTCTACATACAGAGGTAGCTTATCCTTGTTTCTTTATTATATATACCTACGTTTCCCGCGCCATATTAGGGATATACCAGGAGGCGTCTTCACAACTACAGCGAACTCGTGTGCTCTTAGGTTAGGTAGTTATGTGTGTACTAGGTATTCTTAATGTATTCATAGATGATCAATATGTCATATTCGTATCAATAAGTATTTTAGAAGAGGTAACCATCGATTATCTAGGTGCTGATATTGAATATGAGGCAACTTTCGTGTTAGGTGTTTTACAGTTGTTAGTAGGTAGACACATTAGTTACATGAAGGCTTGCATTTTACACGTATTAAACTCATATCTTCTTTTTCACTATGGGGAACTCAGATAGCGGAAGGTATTAATTAATATTGTTTGCTTGGATCTTTGCCCTATTAATAAGTTTACCTCCTAATAACTCCATCGTGTACACCAGACATTATGCCCATCAAACGGGACTTTCATCAAAACTTCCGGCCATAGAGCATTACCTACTTCCCATACAAAACGTACCTCAACTTCACCGAACACGTAACATTGTCTCACGGCAAGCGGTGGGTAAATATTTAACTCATTAATTGTTACTAGGCATGTTGTAGGTATCAAGGTAGTCGTTCCTCACCTAGGTACCTACCGGAAACACATGTTGAAGCCCGGGTTCATCGACTCCAGCTCGCCGTACTCCTGGCGAAGGCGGAAGAGCACCTCCTGCTCCTCTCGCTCGTAGAACACCGTCCGGACAGCCTCCTCGAACACGCGGTCCACGTTCTCGCCCGTTTTCGCCGAGCACTCCATGTACTTCATTCCGCGCATGATCATGGCTCCGGACGAATCCTAATATACATATTTTACCGGTTAGTATTTCTTGTGTCGAATAGGATGTGTGGATTGGGTGTTAGGTAGGTAGGTAGCTGGGTAGTAGATGGATGTTTAGGCAGGGAGGAGGGCTTGCTCTTACCTCGGTAGCAGAAACCGGCGATTCAAGGTCCGGATGGAAAGGGGCTCGCGTGTTGGAGCTGTTGAATTTGTCCTTCTTCAGGCCGAGCAAGATGAACGGGACATCGCCGCAGAACTTCTGGATTTCGTCCATCCACTATAAATATCCCCCCTATAGTTAGCTTGTGTACGGTGGGGTTGGCGAATAATGGGTGCAATGGATGCGACTTACCGTTCTCTGGACAGCTTTGAAGCGTGTGATGTCATCCATGCTGAAGCAGAGGAACACGGCGTCCCACGCGAGGTAGGAAAGAAGTTGCAGCTGGTGGAGCGAGATGTCGCCGGATGTGTCCCACAGCTCCAGGTCGACTTTCTGTCCGTCTACACTGGCGACCTTGTTGAACAATTCATACTGGGTTCTGACATGCATCTGTCTGATGTGAGCAGGCCGCTTTCCTACCGAGGACTCCTTGCCTTTAGGTCCAAACGGGTGACTTACGGGATTGAAGGCATCGCGGTAGTAGCGACTGTAAGTGCGAGATGTTAGTACTCGTTACGATGATTATACGATGGCAGGTTTAATAGGTGGGAGAAAGCAAGGATTCCTTACAGTAACAAGTTCGACTTTCCACAGCCGATGTCTCCAACAAAAACGAATCTCATACGGGGGCGTTCGACAGGAGTAGCAGGCGTTCCGGGCAGCGAAGGCGTTCCGGAAATCGTAGAGCCTGTGGGCGATTCTTCGGGTTTCTCAGAGCTAACGACTCGGCGATATATGGTGGAGGCTCGACGGATCAGGCCGCGAGCGAAGCTGCTGCGTCTGTGGTTATCCTCCTTGTAGCTTAGGGAGGAGCCCATTCTCGTTCGCTTGGCGCGGTGGCTCTCGTCGTCGCGCATGTCGACCAGGTCGGGGGTTTCCTGCAGTACGTTAGTTTGTTAGGTTAGAAGGCGGTCGGAGTCTAAGGTTAGATGTTTAGGCAGGTACCTACCAAGCCGCGTTTGGGAGTTTGGATGCGGGCAGGTTCCAGCGGTTCCTCTCGTTCGACGTGGCCGGGAAGGTTGTCAATCCAGCGGACGACGGAAGGGTTAGTCTTCCACTTTTCGGGGATGATGAAGGAGAAGCTTTTGGCTATAGGCAGGCGAAACTGTGGTTGAGGTTTCCTAGCAGTCTCCATGATCATCATCACTCAATGCAAAGCAAGGCAAGGATGAAAACTCGGAGAAAGTGTTTTGTTTATTATCATTATTTTTTTGCAATCGCGATTGCGGATTAACCCAGAGGAACCCCGACTATTTTATTATTATTATTTTCTAAGGCCGGAAAATAAAAACAACTGGCACAGTGTTGGGAGGTATGGGAGTCAGATGCCCGATGCCATGGAAACCAGAGGTGGATGTGGGGGGTCTGCCTATACAAGTTTGTCGTCGTCGAGGTTCGCCAGGTTCGCGACGTGCCTGCCTAGATGCGTACCTAGGACCTAACCGACTAAGATTGACACCTGGCAAGGTGCACAAATAATTACTGGTTAGTGCATCGAATCTACAGGCAGAAATAAGAGGGTTTGTTACCTGCCTTCTCCATGAGAGTGAATGATTGAGGCTATGAGAGTCGGATTTCCCCCTCCCCCTTATTTCATTGCACCTGACGAAATTCAAAACAACTCTCAACTGAAAAGAATATGAGTTAACGGCAGTGAATAACATAATACAGTTCATTCATTCTTGGTAAACATGCTCTCTTACCTTTATGAATTCTTTATAACGAACTTTGGCAACCCACTGTCATCCTTTTCTTTGCCCTATGCTCCCTCACCCCTTCCCCCCCCCTTCTCTCTCTTCTTGGTGGGCTAACATCTGAGCATGTGAGCTCAGTCACCGCTATGCTAGATACATGTAATGAAGGTGCTGCCATCTCACTCAAGGGTATGAATATTGATATCAATCGGGCACGCATAGTTCCTTCCAGTACCGGAACTTTGTCAGCAAGTAGTAAGATGCCAGATCTCCCAATGAACTTATTCTTTTCTCAGAAGAAAAGGGGAATTAGAAAAATACAAGCCACCTCCGCCACTTTGGATCGAATGACCTGCAAATTATAAGCTGATTGTGTCTTCTTCGCGTCACGAAGCTCCAGGTGCCTCACAGTTCGTATATAACAGAAAACCTGGAAGTAATTTGGGCTTCTAAACCTTTCAACATATGACTCACTTTATCTTGTTACATAGGTATATCTTCTATTTTATTGCTAGCAGATATCCCCGTGATAGATGTTATATAAAGAGTGAGTATCAGGGCCCTGTATCCGGTATATTGTAGCGATCTAGTACCTAGGTAGGTAACGTCTTACTTTCTATCCTCTTGAGAGGGACCTGGCAACCTCTTATATACACAGCAGAGCTCCAAACTAGCCAGTATACCCCTGCTATACCCGCATATACTCCTGTCCCCGAAAATACTGTCTCGAGCTTTGATACCCTCGACTTCCTGAGTTTAACTGGTTACTTGGCATGGCTATGAGCTGATAGAGGTTTAGGTTTAGGTATATGGCATATTATTGACCCGATCAACTGTAGGTAGGGACTAAACTTAGAAGATGATGGATTTTGAATTAATAATCTACACTTCTTCCATTGGGCATCGAGTGTGAACCCCACGATTCCAAATGCGTTGGATACCGAACTAATCAGTCTTTCAAGCACCTACCGTACCTAGTATTATACGAACTTGTGATTGAGCCAGTATTATCCCAATATTTCGAATTACACCCGGGATTATTGTTAGCGATACATGGTATGATATTAGTTCGATATACATAAAACTACTTACTTTAAAGCTGTATTGCACGGAGTAGTCCAGACACGGAGATGTCACGGCGGCTATTTAGTACGCCGATAGGGGTCGCGGTGATTAGGTAAGCTATCTGCCAGACAGGAACCATGTAGATCTCTCCGGAATGAGCCGTACGGGTTTGGATCATAACATGAGACCCACAGCGCCCTAGTTTATACCTAGTAACTATAATACCAAACGGCCTCCAGTTGCGAAACCGAATTGGATTACAGCTTTAGAACATTCAAATAGTATTTTTTATTTTTTTTAAGAAGAAGACCTGTAACACCACAGATAAATCTAATAAAACATTTCTTCTTAAATAGGACTTGGTAAAAATACTAGAAATGTTACGGTAGGTATAAATAACTTTTTTAATCCGGACGAGCTGGGCTGATACCATATCCCGAACGAGTTGGGGTAGGAAGCGGGGAAGTAATAGGATTTGATTTATCATTCTTTCAACCCCATCGAAAGAAAATGGATAGAAGAGCAAGGGTTTAAGGGGGAAAATCTTATAAAACCAGGTGTGCATATATATATTGGTACGCCATTTTGACCTTGATTGCTAATCAGCTTCAGCCTTCACCGTGTTTCTCATACAAGATGTCTGATATCCATTTGTATACCACCCAGACACCGAACGGTGTCAAAATACCAATCCTGCTGGAAGAGCTAGGGTTATCTTACAAGGTGAGAGTTCATTATTACCGCTAACAAAGTTAAATCCGGTAGGCGCCCCGTGTCTAATCATTGAACAGGTTACCGATATCGACATCGCCACCAACGTCCAGAGAGAGCCGTGGTTCTTGGAAATCAACCCTAATGGCCGTATCCCCGCGCTCACTGACACTTTCACCGATGGCAAGCCCATCAGGCTATTTGAAAGTGGTTCTATTATGCAGTATTTGACCGATAGATACGACACTGAATATAAAGTCTCGTACCCGAGAGGATCCAGAGAATATTACGAAGTAAATAACTGGGTAAGTCCTATGCATCCAGACATCCTCTACGGTTCAACTGCTCACCTGGCTTAGCTTATGTGGCAAATGGGAGGCCTTGGTCCAATGCAAGGGTGAGTAAAAGCCAGTATCAAGAAAGTTTAACGGAGGACACTGATATTTGAGTAGACAACTGAATCACTTCATTCGTACGTGTTAGATTTTTGATTCCCATGTAACTCTTATGTTAATACAAGTACCCACCTATCTAGGCTACGCACCGGAGAAGGTCGAGTATAGCATCAAACGGTATAAGAAAGAAGTTCGTCACCTTTACCGAACGCTCGAGACGCAGTTGGAATCCTCGACATCTGGCTACTTAGTTGGTGACCGGTGTACAAGCGCGGACATCGCGTGCTGGGGGTGGGTGGCAACAGCAAGTACGTGTTACCTACCTACCTATTTATCATGACGAACTACCTCATATGAAGTTAACTAACACCCAAGTAAAGAATGGGGTAGAATCAATATGGAGGAATTCCCGGCATTGCAAGAATGGGTCGAACGGATGCTGAAGCGTCCAGGTGTCGAGAAGGGCCGCCATGTCCCGTCCCCTCATGTGTACGAGACGTATCAGATTTTATCTGACGAGGAAATGGACCAGCGAGCCGCTCGTTTGAGAGACTGGGTCAAGTCATCGATGAATGAGGAAGCAAAGTAGCGACGTCGTCTTGATGTTTTTCTTTTAAGAGTCTATAGTAGAATTTTCAGTTTCTCATGCTCCTTTTTGCTCGAAAGTGTTATGAGAGCTATCTTTATCTGGTTTGATTGGTTATGAAATGATTATGAGGGTTACTATACTTAAAGTCATTCGGAACTAACTAACTAAATAATATTTGGATATTTCGTGATAGTAAGCATAGAGTGTGGTATAATTTGACTGTATCTCTGCTATTAGTAAGCTTGGAGTTTGGAGATGTGCACTAAGGGGTTTAGGTGCTTTAGGTACCTGTGAATTGAGAAATTCCATTCAATTCCTGATCATGCCTGTTCCTTTTTCCTCTGGTACGGTACGTACCCTTTTGATCTGACAATCTGACTAACGCCAAAGGTTTTAGCGTTGCATTTGCTCCACCCTGGGGCCTGGCTTAGGTAGAAAAAGTGAGTGTTTACCTAAGCGTGGCGCATGGAAAAGTCGCCTCAAAATCATTACACGCAACAACGGTCCTTGATCACTTATTTTTTTTTCTACAACTCTTTTTTCTCAGATACATTTTTCCTTTACTGCGCAAAAATCCATCAATATGTCGTGGCGAAATCAAGGGATCACAGGATCCAATAATATTCCCCTCGGAAAGAGTCGACGATTTGGAGTTGACGGAGAGGATGCGACCGAGAAACACGAAACCGGAAGCGATAGTTACAGCTTGTCGAACGGGGACCGCGACTTGAAGCGCGGTCGCAGCCCAGAGCCAAGTAAGTTATCTACGATAATATAGTATTCGCTACAGAGCAAGTAACTAATGGAAAATCTCATAGGAACCGATTCTGATGGCCCTCGACGCCGGAAGAAGCGTAATCGATGGGGTGATGCCTCCGAAAATAAAGCTGCTGGACTTATGGGCCTTCCCACGGCCATCGTAGCCAACATGACCAGCGAACAACTAGAAGCCTATACCTTACATCTTAGAATCGAGGAGATTAGCCAGAAGCTGCGCATCAACGATGTTGTCCCTGCCGATGGCGATAGGTACGTTTGACTCTGTGTCGTCTTAACAAATTTGACTCCGGCGCAATTCCATTAACGTTCCACTCAGATCTCCATCCCCCCCGCCACAGTACGACAACCATGGTCGCCGTGTTAACACTAGAGAATACCGTTACCGCAAGCGTCTCGAAGATGAGAGACACAAACTTGTGGAGAAGGCTATGAAGACTATTCCTAACTACCACCCACCTCAGGACTATCGCCGTCCTACTAAGACCCAAGAGAAGGTCTATGTACCCGTCAATGATTATCCAGAGATTAACTTCAGTGAGATTGCTAACCCTCTAACCTTTCTAACCATGTTTTTGCCCCTTCTTGTTCGGGATATCGCCAGGAATGCCGTTATATCTCGATGGATGACTTGCCACATCTTGGCCTCATCCAGCTCGTATTATTGCTCTAACCGTCTTGTTACAAGTACTAACACATAGGTCTTTCTCACTAAAGTTGGTTTACTTATCGGTCCTCGTGGTAACACGTTGAAGAAGATGGAGTCAGAGTCCGGCGCCAAAATTGCCATCCGCGGAAAAGGCTCCGTCAAAGAAGGCAAAGGTCGATCTGATGCTGCCCACGCTAGCAACCAGGAGGAGGATCTTCACTGTTTGATCATGGCAGACACGGAGGAAAAAGTCAACAAGGCCAAAAAGCTAATTCACAACGTCATCGAAACCGTACGTACCTATGGATCCTATATGTTCTTTAAATGCTTCTGTACTAACGTCTTGTAAGGCTGCGTCAATTCCCGAGGGACAGAACGAACTCAAGAGAAACCAGCTTCGAGAACTAGCAACCTTGAACGGTACTCTACGTGATGACGAAAACCAAGCCTGCCAAAACTGTGGTCAGATTGGTCACCGGAAGTACGATTGTCCCGAGAAGCAGAACTTTACGGCCAACATCATATGTCGCGTCTGCGGTAACGCCGGCCACATGGCTCGGGACTGTCCTGATCGGCAGAAGGGTGCTAGTTGGCGCAACGACGGTCCTCCCCGCGCTGCTGGTCGCATTGGCGGCGGAGATGCCGTCGACCGTGAATACGAGGTATGCATCCGTTTACAAATAAATATCTGGATAAGATGACATCTAACTGAATGTTTAGCAATTCCTGCAAGAACTTGGAGGCGGCTCCAGCGGAACTCCAGCTCGTATTGAAGCAGCTCCCGGCTCCTACAACAATACTAATGGCGGTGACGCAAAGCCTTGGCAAAGAGGTCCGACAGGCGCTGCTGCTCCATGGCGTTCTCGCAACAACGATCAGACCAACGAAAGTGGAAGTGGAAGTGGAGGCGGAGGCGGAGGTGGTGGCTCTGCTCCTTGGCGTGATCGCCATCGCAGCAATGACAACCATGGAGGTGATTACTACGGTGGTCAAGGTCAGAACTACAGCGGTGGTTCTGCCCCCGGAGCGGCACCGTGGCATCAACCTCCGGCTGGGCAACCGCAGTATCCCAGCTATCCCAGCTATTCAGGATATGGTGGAGCGCCTGGTATGGCACCTCCTCCTGGTCTTGCTCCTCCGGGTGGTTCTCTCGGTGCCCCCCCTGGACTACCACCTGGAAACATTAATGCTCTTATCCAGCAGTATTCCAACGGTGCAGTGCCTCCTCCCCCACCGCCGCCTAGCGGTGATGCTCCTCCACCTCCTCCCGGCGATCAGCCGCCGCCGCCCCCTCCTGGTGCTTGAGCGTGGGTACATACACCTAACAATCTAGCGTCCCTAGGTATCGATACTAACACATTTGGCGATGGTATATCATATCCGGTTCAAGTTATTTCGTACTGATGATTCTGCTGTCGCGCGTCATTTCCTGATTTTAATACTAACCGTTCCGTATGCCTCCCATTCAGATTTGTACGATTTCACTTCTCAAGCAGGTTCGAGAAATATGTGCGATTGCGGTCGCATCTATCGCGAGTGGAGGTGGTTTACGCACATGTATTATAGGCTTAATCCGTACGTAGACAGCAATGAGGATTTCTTTTTGGTGTTTTACTACATCTAAGTTTTTATTGAAGTAGCTATTTTGATCTGTTACCCCTATGTGATATTTATTCGTACCTACCTAGGTACCGTTGGTATTAAGGTAAGAGGTACATACATACCTCTATGTAAGGTTCGTCATATCGGCAGGGATCCCGTGTCACACAGCTCACGTAGCGCCACTTTTCTCGATTGCGTTCTTGGGAGCTTGGGCCACTTCTCTCTCTCTCTCTCTCCAACTTCTTTGTGTTTTCTTCGATGTCGTAACTTACAACTTCTTCTACCTTTTCTCCAACTCTCCAACTTTATTACGGACCTCTACTTCCAAATCATGCATTCAAGTTTGAAAGTCGACGATGTTTAAGGGCAATTACAATTTTAGAATGAAATAATTTAAAATAAGTATCTAATCTACATCAACGAAGCTCAGCGCGCACGTGCAGCCAAATCCCCTCAATCGTACAATACCTAAACTTATCACTATCAATATACCTTCGCTTCAGCACGTATGCCCTACTACTCCTGCATCTGTGTCTCTTAGGGATGTTTATAATCATCCCTACCTAGAGCTTTTCTACCTCTCTTCACTGGTTCTCGCGTGTTCCATTTCCTGCAGCCTTTTGAAATAGTTTTGGCCGTATCTCATCCTATAGGTGAACCGGCAGAGTCGGCCAACTTAGCCAACCTCAGCCAATCATGGCTGTATCAAACCCGGTCGCCTTTAAGCCACTCGTTGTAACATTTTGGACCACAATCGCTTACATCGCCCTGCTCGTTCCGCTACTCATCGTGCACGAAACCGTCCCGCCTCCTCCAAGCAATCCAACCCTCTACTCCGGTCTCAATCTCACAAAATCTTGGCTTGACTTAACTGTGATATCCCGCGACTACCACCCATTCAACAGCCGGAAGAACGATGAGGTCCACGATTGGCTGTTACTGGAATTAAATAATATTAAAAAGCGCAATAGGGCGAACGATTCGAGCTTGGTCGTATTCGCGGACAATACTTCAAATATAACTACCGCCAACATCGTATTTGGGACGTCAAGTTCCACTGGCACCTACTTCGAAGGCACAAATGTTATAGTATACATTCGAGGGAAGGATGATCCACAGGGTCCTTGGTGGGAGGATGGCGCCGTAACGTCGGACAAAGTCATAGGGAAGGGAGGCGTTTTGATGAACGCCCACTACGACTCGTACGTCTTTCTAGATCTTATGTAGTGCGAAGCTAATACGAGAACAGCGTTTCTACTGGATACGGTGCTACAGATGACGGGATGGGCTGCGTCACTTTGATAGCACTAGTCGACTACTTCTCCCGACCAGAAAACCGACCTCAAAGAGGTATCGTTGCCCTGTTCAACAACAACGAGGAAGATGGTCTATGGGGTGCTCAAGCCTTCATCAACAGCCCTCTTCTACCTTTCTGCCACACCTTCTTAAATCTCGAAGGCGCTGGAGCTGGCGGCCGGGCTATTCTATTCCGTACAACTGACGCCGAAGTAGCCAATGCCTACAGGGGCACTGAGAACCCATTCGGGACTGTAATCTCATCTGATGCATTTAGCCTTGGTGCTATAAAAAGTAATACCGACTATATAGTCTTCGATGGAATTTTTGGCTTGAGAGGTTTAGATATGGCTTTCTACCGACCGCGTGCCAGGTATCACACTAATCAAGACGACGCCAAGCACGCAACTAGAGCCAGTCTCTGGCATATGCTCAGCACCTCTCTTCACACGATGCAAAGACTCTCTGGAGATACTGGTGAAACATTCATTGGCGACCGTCCTGACGGAGATCGAAAGAAAGCGTGGAATGGCAGAGGAAACGATGGCGTCTGGTTTGATATATTCGGGCAGACGTTTGCTCTTTTTGCACTGCGGACTTTCTTTGCGTGGTCTCTTACTTTACTAATAGCCTCGCCCCTGATCCTTCTTGGCCTGACGTATATCCTAGTCCGCAACGACAAATACTACTTTTTCTCGTCAAGTCGATCTGCTTACGAAGGATCAGATCTTGACCCGGTTATGCTAGGTGGTCGAAAAGGTCTATTCAGGTTTCCTTTCGCCTTAGTCGTCTCGGGGGCCTTGGTTGTCGGTTCTGCATTCCTCATAACAAAGATCAATCCGATGATCATATACAGCAGCGAATATACTGTGTAAGTCTTGACTACTTGATATTTTGGGGAGTTGTTAACATGAAACATAGTTGGGCTATGATGATGTCGCTTTTCTATTTTTCCTTTTGGACCATCATGGCAGGTGCAAATTTCGCTCGCCCCAGTGCCCTTCACCGAGGATACTCCATTTTCTGGTTATTTCTCATTGCATGGGCTCTTTCAGTCGCGAATACTGTTTTTGAAGATCGCTTTAGAATTGCGGCTGGATATATATTCGTCTTTTTCCATTCTGCCGTTTTCCTGGCCTCTTTCGTTGGGCTTTGCGAATTGTTTGCTCTTCCTACGAAGGCGTCGTTTGCGCAGCGAGTACACGACGAACACGAGATCAGAGATCATCTTACTAATGTCCCGCATGCCGATGCGTCAATCTCTCCGAGCCGAGATGAGCTCGCTGCTAATGGTAACGAGAATGAGGAAGATGAGGCCCAATCCCCAACAACGGAAACAACACCTCTTCTCGGTGGTAGTCCTGCAGACACTCGTCGAACGACATTTGCCACTACATACCGTCGTTCGATATCGGCAATCATAAATAAAGCGAAATCAATCGATAGCGACGAACACCGCCCGTATGACCATGAGCAGCTGTGGTCGGCAAGTCTTCCAAGTTGGCTTTGGTCTCTTCAATTCCTCATTTTGGGACCGTTCTTGATCGTTCTTATTGGCGAGCACGGCCTAACATTGGTGGCCTCCGTTTCCCAGACAGGTGCTGATGGATCGAGCCTCCTAGTCCCATACCTTATGATAGCATTTTTCAGCATATTTCTACTGTTGCCTATTACGCCATTTGCGCATCGGGTCACTCACCATGTACCGATGGTACTCCTCGCGGTGTTCGTTGCTACATTGGTCTACAACTTGGCAGCGCCCCCATTTTCCGAAAGTAACAGATACAAAATATATTTCCAGCAAACTGTGGATTTGGATACTGGTGCGACGAAAGTACATTATGCCGGCCTTAAAGAGTATGTCCAACAGACGATTGCTGAACTACCATCAGCCGCCGGTAAAGAAGTCGAGTGTACTTCTCGAGGGAGTCTGCGTAGTGGCCTAACTACATGTTCTTACGACGGTTCAGAAGTCCCTCCTAACGTAGTCAAGACACTTCCTGATGGAATCCCACCACAGAAGGGTTTTAGTGACTGGTTGCATTTCAATGTCACGCGCGCAAAGGGCGGGACCAAAGCCAGATTTGAGATTGATGCGAAAGATAGTAGGTCATGCGCGATTGCGTTTGACAAGCCCATCTCCTCATTTACAGTCAATGGCAATGAACCCCACGAGCGTTTTGGTGCCATACCGGAAGCAGGACTGACTAAAATCAAGCTCTATCGACGGGATTGGACCACGCCGTGGAAAGTTGACGTTCAATGGGAGGCCGATTCACCTGAAAATGCTGGGATTGATGGCAGTGTCCTCTGCAGCTGGGACGATGTGAACACCCCTGGTACGATTCCTGCCTATGATGAGGGACTCAAGTATTCCCCTACCTGGGTAGCTCTCACCAAGTTGACGTCAGGTTTATGTGAAGGGAGGAAAGCGTTCAAGGCGTGAAAGCGGGTAGATGTATTATTGCACGGCACTGATGATTCTGAGCGAGGATGACGCATCTCCTCGCCAATAACATAGGGACGATCGATTTGACAACTTACACCGGTTTCTTTTGCATAGTGCTCGTTAGCAACGTCGAGTATCTTAATGTTACGGGCCACGAAATGAACGAGGTGCAACGAGCTGGTTAGTATTAATGGGGTATGGATACATTACATTGCATGGTAGGCGTTTACTTCAATATTGATAGGGTTGCAGCTAGGTAATGTCACATAACCTACCTTTTTTTCCGTGTTACCAAGGGCCTCGATGAAGCCATTGTCTCATGGAGTTAGTCGTCCCTTATCTCCCCGATGCAATCATATTCAATTGGTAATACGGTAGTAAACCATATCTATCTCTATTCTCGAACCCCCATGTCTCAAGGGGAGTTTATTTGGTTAAGTTGCTTTTTTTTACTACCCGTAACTCTATTATTCATCTTCTGGAATGATCGACAGGTCAATCTTTCTTATTAACCAGTCGAATCTGGATCGCTCTGTTTTTTGGGTGACTTGCGAGTCTAATGCCATCCTCCCATACGCCTCCCCAGCGTCACAGTAAACGATCCTAATAACGTGTTGGTGTGTTGTCGATCACATTCGGTGGGGAAAGGGGGCGTAACATTTTCCTTATAAAGCCACCACTAACTAAACTAACCCAGGGGAGCCCAGAACGAGCCGGAGTATTTCCCCCCATTTCTTTTCCCAATCAGACGCGGCAAGTGTCTGCTCAACGATCTTTATCCTATATACCTTAGGCAGGTTGGTAGGTACCTAAGTATGGTGGTATATTAAACCCAGGTTGCATTTTGCCTATTTTATGAGGAGATGTTGATGCGTGGTTGACGCGATGCACGCAAGCTTTTATGGGTTCGAGAGATTTTGGGAATCTCCGTTCGAAAGATGTTAATTTAGGTACCTGTTTAAGGTGAGTAATTTTTTTTTCTGGTAAAAAAAAGGGCAAAGCTAAGGATATGATCTGAAGATCTAAAGTACCTACTTCCGGATAACTGTAATTTCTAGACAGGTCTATACCTAATAGCATTGGTAAATAGCCTAACCTTAGGTACTTGTTAAAACAGAATGATGGACAGAAATTAGGACGTTTCTTTATGCAGCCTCCCCCAAGCCTTTTCCCTCGAGATTAATTAAAAAAATAAATCCAGAAGGTGTCACGGAGTTTTTTTAATGTGAATGGAAGCAGGGAAAAAAAGAGGGCTGCAACTTTCCTTATTAGTTAATACCCGTTTGTGTGCCTTACATTGATTGCTCTCTCTGTGTGTTTCTCTCGCCCGGTGCCGGAAGAGGTCCTTGTTTCTTCACATCTTCACTTCCAAGCGGCGGGACACCACCTCGCAGTGCCGATCTTCTTCTTTTTTTAAACCCCTGCTCTCAGGGGACTTTCGACATCAGTCTGTCATCTCTGTCATACCATCCCGTCTCCTGTTTTAGATGTAGGTATGTATTATACACACGCTCACTCGGAATAATATCTATCATCGACTCACTCCTCCCGCGTCTTTGTGTTCTTCTACCTGGTACCTATTCACTCCCCCCCAGTTGCCGAAGCGGATCTTCTTATAATACAACCCGGAGACCCCCTAAATACCCCCCCTACCCTATCTTAATCTCCCAGCAAAACTCCTAGGCGTACAACAGCACGGCACTGCACAGGACTGCACTGCACACCAATTCCCTGATATCAGAAGGTACCCAAGTTTTCGCATGAAAGTAAAGCTTCAGGCAAGATGGGAAGCTTCACTTTACGAGCTGCATTGTCCACCGTAGCAGTCGTCGCCGCGGGACTCGCGTTCCCGGCCGCCGAGGCCCCGGCCCCTACTCCCGCCGCAGCTCCCTGCACGACGGGCGAGCCCGTCGTCACGGCCGGATACACCATCAACTACGCGCCGGCCGTGCCTACGGTAGCGTTTCAGAAGGGATACCAGCCCGACGAGGCGTGGTCTAACAGCCACGTCATCGGCACTTATGTGAGTACCTACCTAACCTACCTAACCTATCTACCTTACCTATCACTTGATGTTCTTCTATGTGCCATATAGTCGACTACTTCCCTACCTCCTACCCATGTTGTAATGAAAGCATAGAAGGAAAAAAAAAAAAAAAAAAACAGGGAAAGGGGGCGTGGGGGGTCGGGGCCGGAGTTTGGGGGGAGAAGAGAGTTTAAAGGGGAAGATAAATAGTCGCTGATAACTAATACGCGAATATCACAGACCTTCGGCGTCCCGACGCCCGTCGAGTCGGGCTTCGCCTACGCCCAGTTCAAGTGCCAGTACTACTGCAACAACGCCGGGAGCGGCGCCGGCAGCTTCTTCGTCAATTACGCGGGCGAGGAGAGCAATTCCGGCTCGTACTGCACATGTTTCGATGAGCTGTGAGTTTTTCCCTCACTCCCTCCCTCCCTGCCTTAGGTACATCGCCTAGGTGCGGTACTCAGGTAGGACACAAGGCTGACATCAGGCATTGCGGCGCATATAGGCTGGAGCCCGAGACTTTCGTCGAAAACGAGGAGAGTCTCGTGGGTGCTTGGAACCACATCTGCGCCAAGTAGGGTTGTTACCTACCTACCTAGGTACAGGTAATACCGGCTATCGGTGGGCAGGAGAGGCGGTGGATTATTGCAAAGTACCTAGGTAGGTAGGCACCTAACGTAACGTAAAACACGCGTTGGGAAGCGAGGAAAAAAAAGGGGCTACGGGGTTGTAGATGGCTTAATGCAGATATGGAGGGTGTGAAATTGTCGCGGCATGGTGTTTTGTTTTTTTTTTTTTTTGTTTTTTGTTTTTTTTTTTTTGTGAAAAAAGAAGTTGAAGCTAGGTGAAGCTATCGTAATTAGTTCTTGATGAAAAAAGAGAAAAAATGAAACAAATGAAGAAAAAGACAGAAACTAAAACGTTACGGTTATTACCTATTAACGTGTACGAAATGTAGCTTAGGAGGTAGGTAGTAGGCTGGGTTTGGTAAATGGAAGGCGTCTAATTTGAGAATTGTATATAGTTTGCTATTTTGCTGTATACCTAACCTAGCTTATTTCTTGAATCTGATACTAGGTGTTGGTTGAGTTGTTCGCAAATTGGTGTTGGGAATTTTGACACAGGTCGTTTGTTACAGCCCCTATTTCCATCGGTTACACTTGTGACAATTGAAAGCGCACGCCTTTTTATGTGCAGGGATACCCAGGCTAACGTTAGGTAAATACTCTCTTTTGGCTATGGATCAATGATATTCTTCATAACTCAGCATGAACATATTATAGGAGGTAACTATTCATTGTCCGTCACTTGGAGGTACGTAACAATCACCATAGCAAGTATCGTATTAAGACAATAAATGCAATACTTCATGTATGGAGTGTGTGTAGCCCCTTTTCCGCGGCGATAGGTAGCGCACCATATCCCTTCCCTTCTATCTGCCCTGTCTTCCTTTCCTGGCTGGTTTCAGTTAAACGACCCATTCGTTTCCGAGTTGTCAGATAGACAACAACTATCACTTCGCAAAGCTTATCCCAAGCATCAATGCGCAACCCCTAACCGGTCAATCCAACCATCTATCCAATATCCGTGAAGCAACCCCCTTCCTCTTCTCCCTTCTTAAGCCGCATTTTTACGTATCATCTCGTCCCATTCGATCACATCTACTTTCCCTCATTCTCATTCACATTCTTGTTCTTCTTATCCTTCTCGTCCTTCTTAGCCCCTTCTTCTCCTTCACCCCGTCCCCGTCCCTGTCCCGGCCGGTGGGGCGTCGCGTGCCGCTTAAACAAGCCACCGCCACTGCTGACCTGCGGCAGAACACTACCTGCCACATCCTCGTCCCCCGTCCCCATACTCGCCGCCTGCGGGAACGGCATCGGCGCCCAGAAACTCACCGTGGGGTCGGTCGGCACGCCCACGCTGGCTCTAGTTCGAATACGGCTATGGCTATCTTCTCCCCTCGGGGCCGTACTCGGACTCCCGCTCCCGCTCCCGCCCCGGCCCCGGCCTAGACCCCAGCCGCGTCCGAACGACGCGTTCGCGGGCGTGCTGTTACTGCTGCTGTTGCTGCCGATGACGCCGAAGCGGAACGGCTGCGGCTGCGGCGCGTGCGGCGTGGGACTTTCGGCCTGCGAGGGGGAGGGGGAGTGGGAAGGGGAAGGGGAGTGGGAGGCTATCTCCTCGGTGCCGAAGAGCGCGGTGCGCGGGGTGAGCTGCGCCTCCACGTCGTGGATAAGGGTTCGGCGGATAGAAGGCTGGTGATGCTGGTGATACTGGGGCGGGGCGCAGTAGGAATCGACGGCGGCTGAGATGTTGGCGGGCGGGGTGTTGGGAGGAGCAGGGTGCTGCTGCGGACCCTGCGGCAACGGCAACGCCGACGACGGTGGCATAGTGTCGACGAAGCTGTTGCCGGGGGTGGCGGGAGGTATGCAGCACGGTGGGGCTGTTGAGTCGCCGCCGAAGCCGACGCCGGAGCCGGAAGTGGTGATTGGAGTTCGCGACGACGGGCTTGCGAACATGCCCCGTAAGAAGCCGGATGATCTAGCTGCGGTGGCGGGGGCTGTCGTCTGCTCGTTCGCGCGGGTTGTCGGGGCCCTTGGGTTCGTGTATGCGTCCGCGGGAAAGCTGGAGGCAGCGGAAGCAGGGGTGGCTGGTTTATTTGGTGGCGGCGACATCTTGCCCTAATTAATGGATTGATTAGAGTAAGTGTGTGTGCTATGAGAGAGAAAGGGGAAAGAGAGCCTGATCTTGAATTGTTTCTGAAAGTTGGTCGTTGAGAAAGGCGGTTTGTTGTTGTTGTTGTGGGTTGCGAAATTATGCTGGAGGACGACGAGAGGAAGTCGATAAGGTTGGGCTATATATCGCTCTCTTGATGAGATAGGCAGAAGCCATATGTCCCGATTGCTTCTAGTTTCTTCGTCGTTTGTTTTTCGCTTTTAGGTATTTCTTGAGACTTACCGATTGATCCATTTGCGTTTTTGTTTGTTTGTTGAGAATTTACTCTGATTCTAGCCTATGTCTACCTCTATCTAGCACTTGCATATTGAGGTGTGCCTGAGATACCTACTGCAAGCCAAATGGCAAACGGCAAAGGTGGCGAACAATCAACAACTCAAAGGATTGATCTACCTGCAGCTCGGCTAAAATCATGCAAGAGATAACTCGTCCTTCTGGACTTGCGTCTTGCTTTCTTTGACGCATTTGTGTGGTCTGCCCTGCATATCTCAACTGATAGTTATCAGCTGCCTTAGGCAGATTATGCATTCTCCTTACTTCCAATATTGACCTACAAATAAGTCATCGGCTTGCGTAACACGCCTAGGTACGTAAGTTTCAGGTCCCTTGTAGATCATCAAAGACTAAGTTCGCGATGAAGTCTCAAGAATAATGAAGCCTAAATAGGCGCCTATACCAGGTACCTACTAACGAACTTGTTTGTATAACCTTTAACGAACCTGTTTTGATGTTAGAAGAATTGCAACCCTTATTCAGGAAATGGAACTTCAAGCTAATAGGTAGGCATTTGTTGCATACATCATGGCGAATATGCAGGAGATGAATTACGCATGTGGTACGCAGAGCAGGTGAGACGATAAAGAATAGAGATATAATATTGTTATTCGAAGAGATATATGGTATTGTTATTCGCTGCCTCTAGGGAGGAATATACATTAGTCTAGGATAGATACTCACCCCAAGCATCCGCATCATCATCATCTTCATCCTCATCACTAGGCCCACCAGCATCACGACCGCCCCATACTATATTTCCAAAACGAATGGCCGCTGGAGCACGACGAACGTTACCTGGATCAGGATACCAAACTGGTGCCTTAATACGTTCCTCTCTCTGTCGGATCAGCGCGATAAACCACTCCGGCGCGGCCTCGTTCTGGAACAGCTCAGCGCCGTACTGCCTGAACAGTCTGCTAATGGACGCGTTGTTCCTCCACGCTCTGATGCCTTCCCAGTGATTGCCCGAGTTGTAAATCCAGACGATGCGAGAATTCTGCTGCGAGGCAGTCAGCGCGAACGGCCGGTCGCCCTGCTCGTAAAAGCCGAGCACCAGAGGCGGGAGGTCTGGGTGCTGGCGGCCCCACAGGGTCAAGACGTCCGACAGGATTTCCGCCTGATAAGGACCGCCCGCGAACTCGTCCTCGGGATGGATCTGGAACACCAGCCTATACCGGCCCCGAGCCAGCTCCTGGCGGTATATATCCATCAGCTCGGAGTAGCTTGGCACCTGGGCTCTGCCTGCGTCAGAGAGGATCCTCTGGAAAGACATGCTGTCGACGATAGCTCGCAAACCGCAGATTTCACGCGGCTGGCGGTTTCGGACTACGGCAAATCCGTTACTGAATCGATAGAAGACTGGGAATAGGAGTTAGTTCATTTCATCATTCACATTTGCTTTCGGTTGCCAAGTTTAGGTAGGCAGGTACCTAGGTAGGTAGAGGTTTTGAAATTCTAGACAAACGGAAGAGAAAAGGGGTAAGAGGGGGGTAGGGGGAGGGGGAGGGGGGGTTACTTACAGTCGGCCAGCGGAGGCATTATACTCGTATCCTGTGGATCTTCCTGTGGAGGCTGTGGTGCCGGTACAGGAGGTTGAGGCGGAGCTGGAGCTGGTGCTGGAGCTGGTGCTGGTGCTGGTGCTGGTGCTGGTGCTGGTGCTGGTGCTGGTGCTGGTGCTGAAAATGGAAATGGAAATGGAGCTGGAAATGGCAACGCATAACGAGATGACGGGAAAGAAGTAAATCCGCCCAAGTTGGTTGGTAATACTGTCGTTTGTCTTGGTCTATTCCATGGAGGCCATGGTACCGGGATAGCTGCGGGTAGTCGTGTGGGTGCCGGTGTGGGTGCTGGTGCCGGCCTGGGTATCGGTGATGGAACTGGCGGTGCTGGGGATGGCACATAATCATCTTCCCTTGCCAAGCGCCTTCGCGCTCGTTCTAACCATGGCGGTATGGGTCCTGGCCGCGTTGTACCGGCACCTTCCCCTCTGCCTCCCCCAGTTCCTCCCCCTCTCCCTCTCGGGGTGAATCCTCCGCGGTGCGGTGAGTGGCGGTCTGGGTGTCCGGCCATTGTTTCCGAGTAGGTAGCTTAGGTGAGTAGTTTACTTGGAAGTACGTTTTAATGTAAGGTAGGGAGCGATATCAATGTCAATATGCAAGTTCCGATGAAGGTCGATATTGCTGAATGGGTTGGATGAGCATAATGGATAAGCAAAAGGCAGTCTACCTCCCGACATATATAATATCTACGGTGAGGTGTATCGTGTCATGATGTTCCAAAACTCAGTGTTCGTACGACAAAACAAGCTAAGTGTTCCGTAACCTTTTCGCCGTCAACATAGATCTCCAACAAAGCATTGTTGAATAAAGAGCTCGTCGAAGGTGACTGTTCCGCTCCGCAATGTGATTATTGAGGTACATATATGTTGTCCTGGAACTATCTACTGCATACAAAGACGCCATTGTTTCCGGGGATGAAAAAATAAATGGGAGATCTGCTAGGTAAGATATATCCTTGTGATTCACGATTTAGGTAGAATTCTGAATAGTTCGCTTGGGTGCTAAAGATCGTATACGTTGATATCTCAGTCTCCTCATCACCTCGAAATGCATCAGACGAGATTAAAGAAAATTATCCGCAAGAGGATTTCCTAAACATAGTAGGTTGGAATATGGAAAAGGCGAACATGACACTTTTTGTGACTTATTCAATTCTATGCTAGGTTGATATAGGTACCTCGGTACATGGTAAACGAACTTCAGAAATTGGCTTTGTCAAAATTCAATGGACATGCTTGTATTAGTGACATGGAATCGGAATCAGTGGTATGAACATGGACTACCTTAATCGGCCAATCAGAAAAAAAGAATAGGAGAAAAAAAAGAATACATGGAATAAGTAGTACCTATATAGACAAGTACTTGGCCAATCAAAAATTGAGAAATTCGAAGGACATGAATTTGCTGAGTCAGCAACGCCCCCCTAAATCAACGTCACTCCAAAGAGACAGGGGGGACTCACTAAATATTAGCACCTTTTTTACATTCGTTTATTTAGTTTAAAGCATGACGAAAGATAGAATGGAGGGTATCAGTAAAATGCGAATCGGAAATACATTGATTGTGCTTACGATGTAACGGATCAGTTTATTTAATTAACTTAAAATATTTTACACTGGCAGTTCCATAGGTAAATACCTAGGTACTTGCGTTGATACTCGGATCACAGAATATTTATTCCACACCTGGTTGGGACAAAGTACCTAAGGACGAAAAGAAAATAAATTATAATAATTATTCATCAAGGATTTAGCCTTGCTAGGGCTATTTTCAGTATTCTTAATCATCAGAGTATATGTGTGGAGTGATTTTAAAAGGTTTATGTAAGTGTATTCTACGGCTCGAACTTACAATTAACGCACTGCATTTTTGCGACTACTCTGATCTTGACATATTACTATGACCAAACTTGATTGGCTGTCGAAAAAAAAAATAAAAGGAAAAAGGAAAGAGAAAAGGGAAAGGGGGTGCGTTGTTCTGATACGTATCATACCTAGGTGACCAAGATCAGTGGATTTGTAAGTAGGTACCTAAGCTATATTGATTTTACAGTGATGCGTACCGTGGTGATTAAAATTTATTTGAGGCTGATTGTAGCTCTTGAATAATAATTCCCCAGTGATTAAGAACAATTATTTTAAATTAGGCCGGTACGTTTAATAAATGTACCAGAACGTACCTACCTTATGTGTAAAATCATACATGTATGTCAGGTACCAAAGTAACCTAAGGAAGTCGCAGTTGCTGAATCACGTATTATTGAATCACTTTGCAAACTTAAACTGCAAGTGCGAACCGGATTTGCCTATGTGCACTTTCCAAATCAGTATCAGAGCAACTGCCTTACCGCCCTTGCTCCTAATCAGCCTTGGATTCTGCCAGCTTCCCAAATTCTATAAAAGCCCCCCTTCCCCCCCGACTTTCTCTCCCATTCCCACTTCTCAACTTCACAACATCAACAAGTACAACACCAACTACAACACCAACCAACACAGGTAAGCTTCCACCTAATAATATTTCATACATCGCTTGTCTTCCTCTTCTACCACTTCCCTTCCCTTCCCTTCTCTTTCCTTTCCTTCCCCTCCCTCCTACCCCTCCCTCTTACCCTATCAACCCTTCAATCAATCAATCATCATTGTCATCTTGATATCCCCAATCATCACACTCATTCCTCTCCATCTTCATTTCAACCCAACTTCCCAATCATCGCAATACCTTCATGCCGCTTTGCATAGACTTCCCAGGCTGCAGCCTGACTTTCTATTTCGCATTCTGGACTTATCTTTTCTTCATCACTTATCAATTGTTATCTTGACCTTCCCTTTTCTACCACATCTACACTGTCACTAATCCCCCATTCACCTGTTTCCTTTTATGACTTTTTATCTTTCCCTAACCACAGTCTTATTTATCTTTCTAGGACAACTTCGACCATCGACAGCATCGAGTACAACCCGACGACTTCGATTCACTCACCTCCGATAAAATTCGACATTCGATCACCAAATATCTATCCAGCTGATATATACGACTATTCCGACGACAACACATGGTATTGATGGAGGAAATACAGAAAGAGGGTGGGAAAGAAGGTGAATAAAAATGGGAGAAAGAGGGCGGGAAAGATGGTAAATTGGGCATGGAACGACGACACACCAGCATCAGCACGACAACTCGACCAGGACCGGATATTTCCTTTGTCTTAACTTTCTTCTCTAACGAAGTCATCCTCAACCACCGCAAAGAGCCAAGCAGTACTGATCGCCGGTCCCTGGACCCGCCGTAGATCACCACGGTGGAGAGAAGCTCAAGTGTTCCCTTGCTTGTTTCAGAGCCAGCTCGGGATCGCATTTGCGGCCGGGTGTGAGACCAATTGGATATCCCTCTCCGGTGAGAAACATTCGGGTCTGTGGTGGGTCTCCAGTGCGGGATAACACTGGTCTCCGTCGAGCTCGGGGTCACTCGGCGGGGGGGTTTCGGCCAGGCCCATGATGCCGCGGTGGTCGGATGATGGAGTTTTGACCTTCCCCTATTTCCCCTTCTCTTTTGCTCTTCTCTTTGCTCTTCTCTTTGCTCTTCTCTTTGCTCTTCTCTTTTCTCTTCTCTTTCCCCTTCTCTTTCCCCTTAAAAAAACTTTGGTTGCAGCTAAATCATTCGCAGGCCTACACCCAGTCCACGTGATCCTCATATTATCACTGAGACCTGGAAGAAACAAGACCAGTTCACAATCCACAACCTTTTTTTATGTGGCATTCGTGATCTGGCAAATATTTTTGGAACTCTTTTTTTTTTTTTTTTTCATTGCAAAACTCTAGCTTGCTAGGGGTGCGAAGAAGAAATCCAGGGGCTCATGAGTTTTTTTACTCAAGCCTTCTCAAGTAGTATCGCGTTTTTTAGTGTTACAAACCAACAGCCGAGGAGATCACGTTCAGGCCTGGAGCGGGGTCTCAATATCCCTTGGTACGGATAAATCTCGGAATAACCTCATGGAGGGTAGTGATCTGGGTGATCTGGAGTGATCTTGTGTGATCTTGACCAGATCAACCAGATCCCACCAGATCACATAGAAATGCTATGAACGATAGCAACAGGAAGTAGAAGAGGCATTTCATATAACTATCGGACGTTTTCTCATGTATCTAGTCATTCATTTTCAAGCTTTCTAGCTATTAATCTAAGTCTTATATCTAACCCATATAAGGGGAAGGACTCCAAGCCTTCCTGACGAACATTTTAACGTTTATTTGACACTTGACTCGTATCGTTACTGTTTACCTGAAAATCAAGACCCATCGGCACTACACTCTAACGGCCTGAGTGTAGGTTCGTCACATTTAGTATGAGAAATAGATTAGGTCATCCTAAATTTAATTTTTTTCGAGGAAAAAACAAGAGCCTCCACTGTAATACTGCTGTGAAAATGAATCTAAGTGTAAATTGAGACCCCGTTACCGGGGCCCCCCTAACTAGGGCCACCCATTTCCCATATAAAATTAACAACTTCGCATATTTATATTTAATTTAAGAAAATAGATGAAAATATGCACATTTTTCAATATAGCTTTATTATACTTATTTAACTTCGTATAATTTTTTTTTAATTTTTTATTTTATTATTCAATAAAGAATTATTAAAAAAATATTTTTATAATAATATTTTTTACTTTAAAAGTTTTCAAAATATATAAGAATTTTATATTAAAAACATTAAATTATTTTAAACTCACATAATGAATAATTTTTTTCAACACTTCTATATTTGCTAAAAGCTTTATTAAGTTTTTCTTTATTTAATAATGTTAAGATAATTACCGCGAGGTAATTACTGATTGGCTGCTCTAGTGAGGCTACCCTGTAAGCGAGCTACCTTGCAGGCGCACAGGCCAGCAGGGCACACGAGCCCTGGCCACAACATACCACTTTTACAGGGTGTGTAGCCACGTACGTTTTCTTTACCTTTATATACACAAGATATAGCTAAATACAACCCCGTGGGAATACCCTTACTTTTAATACCGTTTTTTCGTTGCATGCAACCCTTGTCTTTCCAACAAATGATATAAAAAGCGTATTTTTAAAATTAATATCCGTAACATTATACACATAAATAGACATTAACAGATCTCTATATAAATTTATACGTGCATCTGTTAGTACATTTACATCTATTTATTACACCACGAATACTTGTCCCAATGATCTGTCAATTCATATACGTGGTAAAGGCCTTATAATATCCTCAAAAGTAAAAACCTCATATTTCTATCTATTTTCCTAGATTAAATACAGGTATGCGAAGTTGTTGATTTTATATGGGAAATGGGTGGCCCTAGTTAGGGGGGCCCCGGTAACGGGGTCTCAACTTATTTCAAATATCTTGACGTCTTTCGCCATATACCATTTATTCGAGGAAAGGATACTCTAGAATAATATGACCGGTCCTGCATAGGTACCTAGGTACCTACCTACCTCAAGTAATAAATTTATCACGTCGATGCCGCGAAAGGGCGAATTTAACCAAGTGCTCTTAAATAAAAGCAAAGATATCTACCTAGGCCCTAGGTAGCTCTCATATCCCAGGACGAGGACTGTCAACAATACAGTATACAACTCAGTAAGATTTCATGTAATAGGTAATGCATGTCACCACAGTGCTTTCTCGCATTATGATGTACCTATCTAGCACATGTGACCGGTGGCGTATGGCTGGCTGGCTACCTAGGTACCTACCTACCTAAGGTACCGTGATGTATTATGCGCCGCCATCAGAATACCTAGCAGGCACCTAAGTCAAGAGGTCACCGCCCTCTCCTATCTCAGGCTTCCTACCTATTTACCTAGGTAGGTACCTAACCTAACGTAGGAGGTATGTAGATGTATCTAAAATGAGAGAAACAAGACTAAATTGTTTGAAGCTTACCCACCTAGGTACTTACAGCTTCGAGTTTATAAAGGATGAAAAGAAGAGAGAGAAAACGGTTGGCTACCTCGTTGCTAATAGGTGGAAGTACATTCATTACCTTAGGTACCTAGGTAGGTAGGTAGAGGTAACTATCGCCTATAACAAAAAGGGGTAGGTAGAAAAGGGGGGGGGAAGGGGGGCTCGGCTGTAGAGGTTGCTCGGGCGAGACAAGACAAACAGAGGATCTTGGACAATTCTTAAGGTTAATATACCATACCTCTCATCAAGTTCCACTGCAGTTTCCAATCAACTAAATGAACATAAACATCATCATCATCATCATCATCATCAGGAGCTTCCCTTCCTAATCATAGAAAAAAAAAAGAAAAGAAAAGAAAAGAGACTTATTCGACATCCGGGCGACGATTGAGAAACATGCTGCTGCATGAGGCATTTCTTAAAGGTACCTTAGGTATTAACTAGGTCTTAGGGATCTCAACTCTCCGCATCCATCGAACAACCAGAGGTCCAGCATCCCAATGTGCTTAGAGATGGGTCCAATGAAATGAAACTAGGAATCATTGGGTATTGGACAATGTACGTAGGCGGGGAGGGACTTCCTTTGTCGGGCACCTAGGCCTTTCTACATGGCTACTATTACTATTACTATTGCTACTACACGTATGCGATTATAATTCGCTCGGCGTCTTAGACAATGGACAGCTAATTCGAGTAGCTAATAACTTTTGAGGGTTTGTGTTACAACCGAATGCTTACGAGTTACCCAGGGTGCATTTGTGGAATTATCAATTTTTTGGGGTTGTGTTAGAGCTCGGCGAGCCGGGCTGTATTGCTGAAGCTCACTGAGTTTCTAGCTAATGACTACATCCGACGACGGTCCGCTACCACTTGGTAAGGTTAACGCGTCTAGTCGACCAGCTCTTCAGGATTGAGGCCACTGCTCTACCACTTGGGAGCAATAACGTTAAGAGCATTATCCTTCTCTGGTCCGTTACCAGGTCAGCAGGTAAAGTACCAACTTATTGGATCATGCTCTTCGGGTGATCATTGTCAAGATACACCGTAGACCCCTTCGCATTTAGAGGGTAGGAGCTTTCAAGCTACCATTAACGACCCTCTTATAAAATAATTCACCTTAGTCTCATCCAACCACCTCGTCTCAGGCTGGAGCTTTAAAGCTACCAAGCGGCCTGTCTTCTCTCTCTCTCTCTCTTTCTCTCTCTTGCGTGGTTGACCATGACTCAATGCTCCTCCTCATAACTCGATTAACACCAATCTCAAAGGGGGATGGGCTAAATGCAGGGCAAAGCAGGGGGAATTGGGGGGCGGGTATGACATCGGCCCTATGACTATGTGCTAAATCGCCCAGTAAATTTGTGACATCGGGCCTCGCGAACTGATATGCTAACGATGCACCATTACATATCCATAGTGTCTCCGCCGTTGGCGAAGTTGAAGCCACCACCCTGTGCGCCATTTGTGCCGAAACCAAACGTTCCGTTGGCTTGAGTCTGGGCAGCGATAGCCTCGTCGGCGTTTTCATCTTCGTCGGAGAAATACTTCTCTATAATGTTGTACGACTTCATATAGATTTCTTCGTTTGCATTTGTCTGGCAGTCGTGAATCTTCTCCATACCTCCGCACTCCTCAATGAATAAGGCGTAGCGGTTGATAGAGTCTGGACCCTCTCCAGCTGCCTGCTTATCAAGGTCACCAACCTTGAGGATATTCTCCAAACCATCCAAAGCAACTTGGATAATCTTATTGTCGGGGCACGCTAAAAGGTCGCATAGCGGCTTAATGCAGCCTTGCGCAACCAAGTATCGGATCTGCTCGGGCTTCTGTAGACCACCGCTTGTGGCGTTGCTAATAGCCCAACAAGCCTCTTTACGGGTCTTGAGATCACCGTTTGACAACAGGTGGATCAAGGGTGGGATGATGTTAGCATCAATCACGGCCTGGATCTGTTGCGAATTGCCCGCAGTGATGTTTGAAATTGTCCAGCATGCCTCCTTACGAATGCCATCTTTGTTAGAGCTAAGGAGCGACAAGAGACAGGACAAAGCGCCGCAGTTGATAATGACCTGCGTCTGGACGTCGTCGCCGGTAACAATGTTGCCGACAGATCGTAACGCAGGGGTCTGTACGGAGGTGGAAGCATGCATGAGCAATTCTACCAGCCTACGCGGGATACCAGCCTCAATGACGGCCTGTATTTTATCATTGGATCCATCCGAGAGATACGAGATGGCCCAGCAAGCATCGATCAAGACTTCGTCGTCGAGTGAGTAGACCAATTTGGCAAGAACCGGAAGCGCTGGTGCAATCTAGAGAAATTTGCACATTAACATCATGACAATGCAGGATATGAAGACTTTTAACTTACCGTATTCCAATCAGGCTGGGGGGTCTTGCCTCGGCAGAAGTTGCTCAAGGTCCAAGTAGCGTTTCGAAGCATGCTGAGCTTACGGCTGTCGCCAAGCAGGGTGAGTAGGGGCTTGAGGGCACCACAGCTCAAGACGTAGTCTCGGCATGACGGGCTATCACCGGCGATGTTGCCAAGAGCCCAAACAGCCTGCTCGCGGACGTCGGGTTCGGGGCTTGATAGCAGCTCGACAAAGATGGGAACGGCACCAGCCTCGATGACAACCTGGGTCTGAGTAGCACTTCCCGATGCGATGTTGGTCAAAGCCCAAGCGGCTTCGAACTGAACTAGGGTATGGGGTGATCGAAGGAACTCGACAAATCGAGTGACGACGCCAGTCTTAATGACTTCTTCGATAGGAGGGTTTCGCTCCTTGGAGAGAAGCTTTCTGAACTTAGTAGTGGCCTGGATCTGTAAATCGATCTGGTCGGAGAAGACACCTTGGACCATTTGAGGGAGGTCCTCATTGAGCTGTTTAGCCAAGATGTTAGCATTGTGGTTTGTTTAAATGGTAGGGAGATAGATGTCGCGATAGAGCGAAGGGGAGTAAAAAAGTATTCAAGTAGTAAGAGGCCAATAGTGTAGACATCGTTATTGTGGAGCACCCGTCGCCGTAGCAAAGATTTGAAGGCTGGAGGGAAAAATGAAAATAAAAATTGATAACACACGTACCTGACTCTCAGTAGGAGCAGATTCATCATCACTATCAGGAGCGGCGCCCAGAGAAGCACCAGGGCGCGAGTCGCCAGTGCCGATACCTCGTCTCTTGGCTAAGTTTTCTTCACGCTTAGCCTTGCGAATCTCGACAGCCTGCTCCTCGCGTCGTCGGCGCAGTTCGTCAGGCTTGAAGGTGCCCTTCGCCTTATAGTTAGTACGACGATGCTCGGGAATGAATCTGTCAGCCATGGTTGCGAGAGTGTGATGCTGATCGCTTCAAGCGCTTCGGGTTGTCGTAGTGGCGAAAAGGACCTAAACGACAAGGCGGGGTGATTGTTTTGATCGCCCGCAGACCTGAGGGAGAAACGGCGAAATTAAAGAGTAAAAAACTTGTATCAACGCAAGGAGATGGGGAAATTGAAATTATCCTGCGGATGTAGCAAATGATGTGTACGTCTTTTCGTCTGTGCGATGTTGAGAGGAAAAGAGGCAGAGAGATGAAGAAGTTGGAAAGTAGAAAAGTTAAAGTTTTGAAGAGTTGAATTTCGTAGTGGGGGGAAATTATTATGATGCTGGAAGCAGCAGAAGAATTTGGATTAGAATGGATCTGGCTTGCTTGGTTGCTTCTTTCCAAATCCGTTAGCGTTAGCGTACCTAGCGTACCTAGCGTACCTACTAGCGGGATCCCTTGAGTTTCGCATTTCGCACTGGTACTTACCTCTCACGTTACACAGACCACAAAGCCACCTGACTCTCATGTGACGACGCAACTAAAAACATAAAGACGGCTAACTTACTGTGCACTTTATGCATATGTTATGCATCATAATGCAAAGCACTTTAAGTTTAGGCGCGTTTTAACGCGTGCTTCTTTGTGAGTACCTACCTCTACCTCTTCCTTTACGATACCTAGTACCTAAGGTATTATGTACGAAGTACATGGTATTCTTGAATTTTCCTCTGGTGTCGGCAACTTTTACTACTTTTAAGACTTTTAACCCCTACATCTAATTTGCACCCGATTTAAATCCTCTCTTTTCTCCATGTTTTTTAATTCGTCTGCAAAGTGACTAGTCATAAGGCCTCAACTCATGTCACAAAGCCTCATAATGTCTGAACTGTTTCATTATGACTTCTCGGCAACCTAAACCAGGAACACCTCCTCCCGGCTTTCGTCTTATCCGGGATATTCTGGACGAAGGCATTCCGGTTGGTAAGTTCGTTAATGTTGTCGGTTTAGTCAAAGACCGTAGGTTACCGATCCAAACTAGTGGACCCGGTAAGTTGACCATTGGTTCATACCTACTCCGTATCATTTTTCCTATCGAGAAAGCCTAGCTGATAGCATGGGGAGGGAAGACTGGAAGTCGGGTATTACTATCTACGACAAGTCTATCGAGGACGAACCTGATAAAGGTCTACTCATAAATATATTTCGCCCTGAGCACGAAATTCCCCAACCGGACATTGGTGATGTTTTGTTAATAATAAACGCCAAGCTTCAGTTCTTTCGGAATGAAGTATCGTTACTATCCCATCGTTCGACTGTAATTCATATATACTCGGCAAACAAAATTCCCAGGCTGCCAAAGTCGGCAAAGCAGGCCTTGCTAGACCCTATACGACCCAATGATCGTCGTCCCTCAGATAAGGAACATGAATATGTTTCTTGGCTGTACCATTCCGTTGACAAGGCCGCTCTGCCAGACGCCGCCGAGTTCAGTATCCAAGTTGACCAATCTCGCAACGTCAAGAACAAATTCAAAGTCCTTGGCGACGTCCAAGACAGCCAATTCTGTGATATTATCGTCAACGTTGTCAAGGAACCTTTTGATCAGATGGACAAAGCTACATTATGGGTCTCCGACTATACCGAAAATGACTTTTTCTACAAATTCTCATGGGACTCTACAGAGGTTTCTGAAGGTCGAGATGGCGACCCATACGGGTACACCACCAAGAATGTAACACCATCCAACTGGGCCGGTCCTTACGGCAAGCGTTCAATGCAAGTAACTTGTTTTGGTTTGCATGGCGAATTTGTCCGCGAGAAAGTCAAAGTAGGAGATTGGGTGCGATTGCGGAATCTTCAAGTAAAATATGGACATAACGCCAATAATCTTGAAGGATATTTGCGCGAAGACCGCAGTTCCTTCAGCACAGGTGTTAGGGTTGATATTCTTTCGACCGACGACCCAGAAAATGTTGACCCAAGACTTAAGGACGCCATCAAACGAAAAAGAGATTACGAAAAGGCCAAGAAAACCCAGATGAAGAAGTTCGTTGCAAGCGAGAACGGCAAAGTAAATGGCGGTAAAAGGAAGGGTGAGAACCAAGAGGAAGAGAAAAAAGCCTCGAAGACGCGACGTAAAGAGCAACGAGCTCAGAGGCTTAATAAGATTGAGGAGCGGGACCTAGAGCAAAAAGCAAAGCTAGGTCTTAACGAATCAAGTATGATCATTGCGCTCTCTATATAACGATCACTTCTACTAACAGAGACAATAGTTAAATCTGAATCTACCGACCAACCTATTTTTTCTGTTCCATCCATACTGAAACCAATACCTTGGACGACTACCGTAGACGGCCAAGAAGTGACATTGACACTTCCCTTTACTTGTGCCAAGTACTGTGCCAACGTTCGAGTTGTTGACTTTCGACCACATAAGTTGGAAGACTTTGCAACTTGGCGCAAAAATACCGAGTACGATATACTCTCCGACCATAGCGGTGCTTCTGATTCAGAATCGGACGAAGACGCAGGCACCTTAGACCGATACCGCGGCGATAAGATCTGGGAGTGGCGGTTCGCATTGCTGCTCGAAGAGGCTGCTCCAAAGAAAAAGGGCGAGGATAACAGACTCTGGGTCGTGGTTGATAATGCCTCGGCACAGATGCTGGTCGACCTCGACGCTGTAGAGTAGGTTCTCCTGAAATTATTGTTTCTCGACTTCGAGATAACTTCTCTTGTCCCGATTCCCTGGATGCATGGGTATCAAGCTAACTCGTAGTCAGTCTTCGAGCAAACCCTGACGATCTAAATAATCTGCGAGAGAAGCTCTTCAAGCTATGGGGCAACCTGGAAGAGTGTAAGCAGCAAGAGCTGCAAATCCAGCAGAAAAACCTACAACGAGTTGTGGCCCAACAGCCGCCAGACAGCACACCCCCTAGGCCACCAAGCAGTGGCCCGGCTCACAACGCCATCCAGGGAAGCTTCGTAGTATCGAATAAACCGTTTACGTGTTGCATCCGCCAATACGGCATCAAAGTCCCTGAGAAGGACCCCCTCAAGGCAGATGCCGGCAAGGGGAAGCGCTGGGAGAGGGTGTTTGGCCTGTTCGGAACTAGGATTAGCTCTTGATTTCAGCAGGCGGGATCGAATGTCAAATTAGAATAATTAATATCATAATGCGGTTGCCTGTCAGGAGCTCCCTGCAATAGTGCACTGCTTCAACGTTGGTAGCTATATATAAGAGAGGCTTAAAATTTGAACGTCTTTCTAGGTCTAGGTAATTACCTAGGTACCGAAGCATACTCCTAGCATTCCTTGAGAACCAGGAAGCATCGAAACTTAGTAGCTTAGGTACTCGATAGGTACCTAACCTAAGGCGGTTCATCCTATTCTGACCCTACTACGCATGTCCCTTCTTTCACCATTTACTCCCATGCCCTCGATAAATACTTCAATCTCCAATACAACAAGCAGCCTCAGGTAGGTAGGCACATAGGCTACATATGCCAAAAGCAGGAGTTGAATGCGAGTATGTATTAATACACATCTACCTAACTAAACAGGTAACTAACAATAACAGTCCACACCCTCCGAGGAATCATCCCTCAACTCCGATCTCCAACTCCAACTCCGTACAATCATCTCTCAATACCCTCCCCCCCTCCCCCTCCCCAGCACACAGTCAATCAGTCAATCACCTTGCAATACACTTCGCAGAACAGCATGGCATAGCTTTTCTCCACCGCAGTCTACCCCATTCTTTTTTTGGCGCAATGAGAAAGAGAAAAAGAAAAAAAATAAGGAAAGGAAAGAAAGAAAAATTCGCGTAAGCTCTAGAGGCGAGGCGTGGCGTGCCTAGTGCTGTTTCTGTTTCATTCATGCCGTCCCGTTCAAAAAGCCGTAATTCAGGTACATACATACATACACTGGGCATAGTAGGAGCAGGACTAGCAGGACTCGTAACAGTAGTAGTAACAGTAACAGCAATAATAATAATAACAATAATAGTAGTAGTAATCGAATCAGTCAGTCATTTCCCTGCCTGCCTGCCTGCCTGCCTGCCTGCCTGCTCGACCCAGCTTCATTAATCCCCAATCCTAATCGCCGATGACCTCATCATCTTCCATCAGCTCTCCTCCCGCTGCTGGTGGTGGTGGTCTCTCCTCATCGGAGTCGTCCTCGATAGGGTCGTCTTCTAGTAACTCCCTCCGTCTAAGATCCTCCACCGTGCCTTCTTCGGGCTCCGGTTCGGGTTCCAGATCCTCCTCGAACGGGTCCTCCAGCTTTCTCTGACCACCATTCACATCGTCGTCGTCCTCCTCGTCCTCGATGACCAGCTCCGCGCTCAGCATAACCTTCTTGGCGGGCTCCTTGCCCTTAGCCTTGGCTGTGGATTTCTTCTTTCCGCCTCTTAGTTCGCGAAGGTGGTCCTCGTCTAGGTAAGCAACCACATCTCTGTAGTTGTTTCCTAGTTTTGTTTTGTTACGGTTCAGCCGCTTTCGCAGCTTCCCAGCGTCCGGTCCGGTGTGGTCAATAGTCTTGGCTAGAATGGCAAGTACGAGTTTACCAGTTAGATCGCACAGGATCTTCTCGGCCTTCAGCTCGGCCGCGAAACGCTCCTGCTCTGTGAGCTCCTCATCCTCGTCATCTTCGGGTGGTAATTCGTCATCCAAGGGATCTTCATCATCCGTAGGCTCGTTGAGCTGCTTATTGGCTCGTTTCGCGTACGCTTGCTCTGCTGCATCGAATATAGGGATCACCTCCTGAGTAATTAAGGCCGGGGGCATTTCCTCGAGCAGAGGGCGCAGCTTTTTGTATTTGGAGCCCTGCGGATCCTCAACTATAGGACGTAGGAAAACAAATAACACGGACAAATCGCAAGCACTGCCGACGGCGAAGAGACGAAGATCGTCATTGAAGCCTCGAGAGGAGAAGGTTTGTATGAGGTTGGTGACAAATTCTTTGCGTAAGAGAACCAGTTGATCAACATCGGCATCCGAGATATCCGCATCACTATCAACAATGCTTCGTAGTCTCTTCACCTTCCACATGAAGTAAAACTGACACGCTTTTATGGCAAAGGCAACTACTTCATCCTCAGGGTCATCCAAATCTTCATTTGATTCCGTCAGTAGACCGCGATGCACAATGCTAATGAGAATCTTGATGGCTGGTCGATCGGAGTCGGTCGATGTTCCTGGAGTTTCAAGTACATCAACACAATCAGAAATGCTGGCTAACTTGCTGATCTTCATAAGGATTTGAGAGAGCTCGGTCAGATTTGACCGGTCAAGATTGCCTCGAGCTGATAATTCACAAATCTTGTCGACGGTCCGCAACGAATTGAGCGCGTTGTCCCAGAGCTCTGCTATCTTATTATCAGTCAATTCCTCGAGCTCTTCGTATTGTCTGGCATGAATAAACGCTGATGTTGCTTCGTTAAGAAGCCTCTGATCAACATGCCGATTGAATTGGGTGGCGATTTCATCGAGAAGTTTATCGTATGTTGCCGAATTTTGGCGCAACTGTTGGAACACTTCCAGATCAAGGAAGTGCTCTAATCGAAGTACTATGGCTGCCAACGCGGGATCCGACCCAAACTTGTTCAAGAGACGAGGTATGAGCGCTGCCAGCTTCATACCAGCATCATCTTGCGCATCTAATTCGAATCTACCGACCTTCTTCTTATGTTTGTCATGCTCGGAAGATGGCGTAAGACTCTCTCTTACAGCTGCGGCAAGGACTTCAAGCAGAATAGCTTCTTCTCGTGGTTCGGGTGCGACAGCTCTCTTTGTGGCGGCCTCGACGGAATTGGTCTTCGAACTCGCCCTGGATTTTGTACTGGTTGAGTGGTCAAATAACAAATAACCGGCAAGAATCTGCCAGTTATTGACTTCGGGAATTTTTTCATAAAGCACCTGAGTTGCCAATATAATTCGGGAGTCTGGCATGTTGGCGTTTAACACTTCCGCGGCTACGTCTAATCCGTGACGTATTTCATCCTGCTCTTCATCCAGTTGAGCATCGTATACTGCGAGATTCTCTGCGAGAGCCTTGATATTGATCCAATCCTTTCGAAGTGAATCATATTCGTCTTCATCTTCATCTCCAAAGACCTCGTCCAGCGCGTCGTTTCCACCAATTTCATCCACTTTATTTTCGATAAGCTCTTGGACTAGCGCCGAAAAGAAACCAACGACCGCTTTACGTATTCTGACTTCAGAGTCGAAAAGCAGTTTATTGACCGAGTCGACTTCTTCAGGCTCAAGCATGCCCGACGCGCGTAGTATGTCAACAACACCAATTGCCGTTACACGAACAGATACATCGCAATCTTTCGTGGCCATCTCAACAAGACGAGGTCTGAATCTGTCAATGAAATGGGCCAGTTTCTCTGCATCTCGTTTCAGGACCCTTGCTAACTGCCTTAGAACCTCTATTCGAGTAGAGGCAGAAACATCTGACAACAGCCATCCCAAGTAGCGCAGGTATTCGGGGGCCATGTAGACTGTTGGGAGAGTGCAAATCCAGGTACCGAGAGCCTCGACACACTCAGCACGAATTTTAGGGTCGATGTCGCGGTAACGGTGAACAAAGATAATGTCGAAAAGGTCCTTGACCTTGCTGTCGATAAATTCGCGATTACGATTTGCAGTGTCAAGAGCCTTTTTCGTGTTTTCGATGAGATTCTTATTTTTACCTCTGCGATTGGACTCGGTTTGTAGAGCCTGGTTGGATTTCGTAATTCGTTCGTCGAGCTGCTCCGTCACCTCGATAAGTGAAGTAAGTATTGCCAACCCTACCGTCGTTGCCGTATGTCTGAACGGGCGTAGAGAGGAGGATGACATGATACCAACCCATCGTTGAATATTGTCTAGCAAATCCCCGTCATTGTAGAGGACATCGGTTTGGTGAAGCACACTAATTAAAGACTCGAAGAACCCAATAAGCAGTTCACGAAAGTTTTTACTGCTCTTCGCCCTCGATATAAGGGGATAGTCGGAGATGCTTGTCTATTGGATAGGTTATCAGCCTCTGTACTACAAAGGAGTATGAATGCTACTCATAAGTTGATCTTAAGTTGATGAGGGCGACAACACACCTGTTGATAAGCATCTTCTAACTCCGATAATCTGTTTGCAGAATTGTCGGGATCTCGGATATCATCCTCGCTTAGTTGCTGCTCGCAGCCTGCCGCAAGCAAAACGCAGTTAATAACTTCGGTTAATGCTTTAGCATCATCTTGCTGGTAGCGCTGGAACCAGTTCGCAGCAACATCGTCGGAAGAATCGCCAGAACCAAATACTTCAGCTATTAAGATTGTTAATACGGACTAATTGTATCTCAATGGGCGATATTTATAAAGCCAAACTCTTACCATAAAGACCGTCTCCATCGGGATGAACTATAACGACTCTCGCAGTCTTCTTAGGCCTGTTTGGAAGCCTAACCGCAGGCGCAAGTGAAGCAATTCCAGCTTCTGTCGGCGTTGGCGCGCTGCCGTTTACTTTAGCGCGCTTCGCTGCCGGTTTCTTCGCTCGTGGTTTTTGTTTGGGTTTGGACTTCTTCGATTTGGAAGTCTGCTCTTCTTCTTCATTGTCCTCTTGATCTTCTGGGTCGCTAAGCTCGTCGTCATCATCCTCGGCAGGTGATTCGTTCTCAACATCTCCCCCGTCGCGATCGCGACCTCTCTTTCGCTTCGACGAGACGCTATCATTGTGTGACGAACTTGCTTCGGGTGAGAACTTCTGAGGTGCTCTCACAACGCGTCCCGATCTTCGTCGCGAATTGTCGGGGGCGGAAGCGGAGGCAGAAGCAGAGGCAGAAGCGGGAGAAGAGGTCGCGTTATTGTCGTCGGTCTCCATTAGTGGCAGTCTAGACGGTGACATATGGAATTGAAAGGTGATGCCGATGTTAACGCGGTGCGACTATTCCCCCCATAGAAATAAAATAAATGCGATTACTGGAAATGTTGACTAGGGGTGAGATTCGTTTGCAATTCAGGCGCGTCTAAATTGGTGGGGAGCGTGTTCGAAAGTTTGGATTCGCCAAAAATGAAAGTTGCCGGATTCCAATCTTCTAAGAATAACTTTAGGTACCTACCTTAGGTAAGAATGACTAGTAAAAGTGGAGAGCAACTGATTGATATCTTTTAACTTGCACTGTACCTTATACGTGTATAATTTTCTTATGACGAAATCTTTAATCTCTATCTTATCTGCTTATCAGCATTGTTGCAGGTACCTAACCTAACGTACCTACTGTACCCCTCCGTTCTCCCATTCTCTCATTCAGATCTCATTAATAGATTTCTCATGTAATAATACGTTAGGTGCTATCAACATAAGGTCTTTGCAAGTAGGTCTTTTTTCTAGAAATGTGTTTTTTCTTTTTTAATTTGCTATTTTCAAACCCCCATTTATACTTAATGTTTTCTTCGTTTAAAAATAATAAAGTTGACATTTCTCCAACGTGTATTCAAAAGCTAACCTCACTCACACAATCTCTCTCACAAGGGGAGTCTTGAGATAAGCCTCAATTATGAACATTTAGCTAGCGCCTCGTTGAAAAACCTCAGAACTACATCTCTCACAAATATAAAATGAACTTCTTACACATACTTTCCCCTCATCCTAATTCACTTACGGGATGACCTCACCATTTCCAAAATCGTCATCCCTCCCCGGAGAGGGTCGAATAGTTATCAAGTTATCGCCTAATAAAACCTCTACGATCGAGAGTATCACATATCAATACCCGCTAAAACTCATATCCCCCGCATCTACTACCGAAACTGGTACCGTATTAGTGTTCCTTTTATCGTATGGCGGAGGGCTTGTTGGCGGAGACCAAATTAACCTCTCCATTGACATACATCCCGGGGCAAGACTCGGCATCGTCACCCAAGGTCACACCAAGATCTTTCGATCCGTTGCGCCGCATATCATAACCAAACAAAATTTGAACGTCCAAATCAGCGACAGTGCTGCGCTCTGTCTCTTGCCAGACCCCGTTCAACCGTTTGCAAACAGTATTTACGAACAGAAACAGATTTTCAAGCTGACTCCTAAGGCATCTCTATGCTTGTTAGACTGGGTTACCCAAGGTCGTACGGCTCGAGGTGAAGACTGGGATCTTGATCGATGGGTCGGGCGCAATGAGGTTTGGACCACCTCCAACGCAGCAATATCCAAAGATCGTCTTCTAGCCCGAGACGCTATCATCCTGAACGGCGCGAATAGGCCGGCTGGGTCCCCTACGCTTAGACAGTCAATGTATGGACACGCCATAGTAGGGACTTTAATCCTTCGAGGCCCTATGACTAAATCCATTGGCGATTTCTTTCTATCCGAGTTCGCTACATTGCCACGGCTAGGTGCTCGGGATTTCCGCAGCGCCGAAGCGCGCGAGAAAGATGCGGCGATACCTCAATCTTCCCTCGAACGTTGGCGAACTACGAGGCTAAAAGAGGAGAGAGAGAATCAAATACTCTGGTCAGCCGCCAATGTACGTGGTTGCATCGTGGTGAAATTCGGGGCTGCAACTGTTGAAGCTGCACGGAATTGGATAGGGTCTATGCTCCTTCAGGAGGGCAGCATCGAGCAGCAGTTCGGCGAACAGGCCCTAATGTGCGTTCGATGATGGTCAGTCCGTCAGTCCTGGTATGAGAGCAACAATAGAAACATTTCGAGGACTGTGAGGTTCCTTTTTAATCTAATAGACTTCTCAGAAGAGTATGCTTGAATCATCCAAGTTGATTCTCACAACTTTTCTTTTCATAAGAAAGCATAGGATGGGTAAGAGTCTTGTCTTGTTTAAGCTATTGTGCCCCCTTTTCTTGGTGTGTTGTAATGTTGTATTGTACGTATTATGTACAATACCCAACATAACTTTCAGGTGGCAGGCAGCTGTTGAATTCCCTTACCTAGGTAGGCACCTAACTCTAAGATGACTCAGGTACAGTCGTACCCCACCAAGGATCTCTAGCAGTGGCGGGTCGCGAAACAGGTTGCACTTAGATAGTACAATACAAGAACTTTGCCCCACTAGAAACTTTTCTATTTTCCCAATCAGAAAAAGCATTCAATCTCACTAATAAAAAGCATTCAAGGTTAATCAAATCAGAAGTTGGATTCATATTTAATAACCTGCATTTTAACTTTTAACACATTCGATTTTTATTATCCCGAATTAATACTCGCACCGCTCATGAGATAGTAGAGATGCCTCCTCGTGGTTCCCGTGGTGCGAGAGGAGGGAGAGGAAGGGGTGCAGCCAGAGCCGGACATTCATCAGCATCAGATACCACAAATAGATCTGCACTTGGAGATGCAGAATCTCATCCTGCTGAAAGTTCATCACAACCACAAAACTCCATAGAAAGGGGCGATGTAGTGGTTATAAACACATCTTCCGAAGGGACTCCAGCCAATAGCCCACCGGTGTCTGTTCCTCAGAGTGACATATCAACTACCACCTCATTGAGACAATCGCAAACACCCAGTGCTACGGCTTCAAGAGCTGGTGGTAGATTTAGGCCTAAGAATGTTCGGCGAGACGCTGCAGAGCGTGCAAGGCTGGAACAAGAAAGAAACCGTGACCTAGCCGTCAAGATTAAGGAAGAGGAACGGCAGCAGCGAGCAGAGGACCGGAGGGCAAGACGGGGACGGGGACGAGGTCGGGGTGATCCGTCACAAGGAGGGTTTATCAGAAGAATAGTCACCGCCGCTGGTCCATTTTCTGCAATACCACAAGGTACGATTCTCTGCCAATCAATAACAGGAGAAGTTTGCTAACTTTAGGTACGAACAGAAAATGTTAAAGGAGGCCCAGGAGGTGCCGGAGGATGGGGTTGGGGAGCTAATGGTGGCGCTTCTTCTTCGAAGGGAGGCTTTACTTCTAAGTTCGCTGAATTTAGATATCGACCCAGACGAGAGCACGAAGATAGAGTCAATACTGACCTTCTAAGTGGGTCTACTGGTTACGACGAGGAAGGAAATCCTCTTTACCAGCCCTCCCGTTTCAATAAGGCAACTGGAAGCCTCCCAGTCGGCCTTCTTCGGACCCATCATGAAGAAGACGAAGTTAAAGTCAAGACTACGGCGGAGCTTGAAGCGGAAGAGCGACAGTCTTCTGACGATGACGAACTATTCGTCGCCCAGGCAGCCAAAGACTTACGCGAGGTCGGTATGGAAGACGATAGTGAGGTCTGGCACGCTGCACCAAAGAGCCAAGTCAAAGTCAAGACTGAACCCGGCACGGAGCCCGAAGAAATGGACATCGATATGGCCGATATTCCTGAAGCAGTACAAGTGAAGGCGCCTCCTTCGCCCGAACTTAAAAAGAAACCGATCGTGGATAAAGATAGCGTCGGAGCTGCACAGAAGAAGCGAAAGGAGAAGGCAGCCAAGGACCCCGAAATCTTGCAAGCCATATACGACCTGGATGCTCAATTACAAACACTCAAGTTCGACGAACTCCCTAGCGGCGAGAAAGGAAAAGAGAAAGAAGAGGAGGATGAGGAGGATGCGCCGCAGGGCCAAGAAAAAGACGACCAGATGTTCCTGTTCCAACTACCCCCCGTTCTCCCGCCATTAGTTAAACCTACAGACAGCAGTGCAAATGGCGAAGAACTGGAAGTCGCTAATCCTACGCCCCTTGTTGGGGCTCCCAGCAGCAAGGTGAAGACCGAGGATGGTAAAGAGAAGGAGAAAGAGTACAATCCGTTCGCGACTCTCCCGCCTGAGGGCGGTCTTATCGGCAGGCTCAACGTGCGCAAGTCGGGCAAAGTAGAATTCGACTGGGGAGGCACAGTCCTAAGCTTAGGGATGGGTACAGAGACCGACTTCTTAACGTCGGCCATCATGATCGAGCAGAACATCGACCTGCAGAACCCCGAAGCGAGCATTGGCTTCGCCTGCGGGATGGGTCAGATCCTGAACAAGTTCGTACTAGCACCTGTTTGGGACGAAGAGGAGGATTGGGATCCCAGTCTCGACGACATCGAAGGCCTAACTCAATAATAATAACCTTGGATGGAGAGGAGATCACGAATTACGTTATTACAGGTAGACAGTTAGCGAAAAGCTTGGTTTAGGCTACAGGGCCTGTCGACGTTCTTGGTTCGTATAAGAGGTACCTAGGGTAGGCATATGGAAGCTTGAGATGGCTAGCAGAGAATCCCGGCAGCTTGGTTGGGCAGAAGAAACAAAAAGAAGTTTTGATACCCCGGTCCATCTAACCCGGCTCTTAAGGAACCGCGTATAACTATACCTTTTACCTTTAACCTTGCCTTATTACCTTAAGCGAACTGAAATTGTAGTGAGAAAGAGCGCATTCGTGCGGGCTTGCGCTTGCAGAGCCGTTCATCAGTTAGTTCCACCCTTGGGCCTTGGGCCCTTGGCTTTTACTAGGAGAATTTTTTAAGTGTTAGGTGGCGGGGGGGGGGGGGGGGGGGGGGGGGGGGGGGGGGGGGGGGGGGGCGGGGGGGGGGG